TCAAAGTAATAGAAATTGATGCCGCCGCTGGCGGCTCAGTTGCCGAGCCTGGTCGCCAGCTTCCTTGAGCAAGAACCAAACCGATGTTGACTGATCTCAAAGGCTTAGTACTGGTCGACATCGGTAACGCCTTGTCGAAGCAATAATTTGGGAGCGACCATAGGAGGCTGAACCACGACGCTTCGACGCGCGTCTTCAGGGTTATGCAAGGGGAACTGGGGCACTAGGGGATGCGACCACGGTGACGATTGATCAGATAGGGTGCCTCGGTACTCATCCAGATGATGCGACCAACTCCTCCATCTTACAGTATCATCCATAACCAGAACGCGGAGGCCCCCAACGTTCCCGATTCTATACTTCGTCAACGTCTACGCAAAGGAGGAGGCGTGTTTGTGTCGTTAGTGGCGGCGAGGTGGTAGAAGGAGGAGGAGCAACAGTATAGCGACTCACCAACATCAACTTCAACATCAGTTCGGTGTCCACCCCAGCGTCAACCTCTACGATTTCCGGTGGCTTTGTTGGGGGGAGGGGCCGATCGAATAGGGAATCGCGGCCGAAGACGAAAGGCCCACGAGACATCGTTGGTTCGCCGTTCGTTTTGATCATCGTGAGCGTGCATTGGCGCTAGTGATGGATGAGGAACGACTGCACAGCCACCGATCGTTAACGGAACGTCCTCCACTACGATATGACAGAACTTCGCATTATACGTGAACTGCTTTCGACAAAACACGCCACTCGACGGCGGATGATCAAGGTGGTGAAGAGATGGTTGATTTCCAAGGTTATAATGCAGTTAATGTCGGATATTCTTCGATACCCAGTTAAACGCCTGGATAGTTGGATCATAGTGTGAGCAGTTTTTCGCTATCTCAACGCTTACAGTGCTTAAACAGTACACAGAAACGCGCGCCACCAGAGCGAGCACGACGCAGAGTCCCAACACATCACCATCCGAGGCTACCGTCGCGGAATGGGCGTTTTGACGGCGCACGTTTATGTAGACGATCAGTACACTTTCCAGCGTCATACGATCTTTGGCACTGGGGCGTGTATTCGAGCAGAGACGGCTGTTGTGTGTTTGTAAGTCCCTTGCAGAAATCCAAGTCTTTCCAGCTAATTCGTCTCCAGTGACATATATCACTAGTTGCATGTCCAAACGTCATTGTTGTATCTACCCGATACGGTCTTGTGTACTTGTAAGTCCCCTTCCTGGCTGCCAAACACTCCAGCTGACTTGTCTCCAGTGTTCTCTATCATGTTTGTCGTCGCATCTACATCGAATTTCACCAAAGCGCTATCTTGGGAATACGCCCATATGAATGCCTCACCCTCGCGCTTCGCGGAATTTGTCGCTAACCCACGAACAGAAAGTTGAATTGGCTGTCAGGGAGGGCAGACGAACGCGATTCAGGAACTCGCCTCCGTTCATGGTAACAGCCGTTCGTCTGGGTTGCGCCGCGGCGTCTTGAGTGTGCCCTTGTTGCGTGTGGCAGCGTTGCGTGTCAGCGGGTCTGGTGCACGCATTCGCAACTGACGGGAGACGACGCCTCAGACGACGCCTCAGACGTGTCACGTCTACGATCCACTGCCACGCGCCTCTCTCATCTCGCTCCCGGCCTGGTAAGTTCCCGTGTCTACGGCTACGCCTGCGTTTGCTAATCTCCTGCGCATATCAGACACGACCCTCCATGTGCTATCCCACTGCGAGTTCACGTATAGACGGGATGGTCGGAGGCGCGTCACTCAGTATGCCTGATTCATACTTTATGTGTACTTTCTGACCAAGTATCCATGATTGATACTTTATGTGTACTTTCTGACAAAGTATCCATGATTAATACTTTCCTCGTACTTTTTATAACTTATACTTCATCGTTACTTTATCGTTACTTAGCATTTTGGAGTATTGAAAGGTTCTTTGTTTATATATTACTGATTCATTACTACTTTACTAGTTCTACTTGAAGTATTGAGCCTCGCCTCGTTCATTACTTCACCCGAAAATATTCTAAAAGTTAGCAACAAGTAAGTATAAGAAAAAAAACTATTGATTACAGATATTAGTTTGTTAAGTCTTTGGGACTTTAAGCTTACTTTCGGGCATATTATTGAATGTGGCAGTGTAAAATATTGTAAGTGAAAGTAATTAAATAATAATCCGTTTACTTGAATATTATTTTCATCGATCCCAGGGTGAAAGTATCAATCCGTGCACGGCGTGTCATCAAGTCCTTCTCGATATTCAGGTTAGTCGTCAACCGCTCTTCTAGCAAGAAGTAGTATGACTACGAGGGGAAAGCCTGAACTTGAAGTACGCTAGTAAGTGAACGTTCTCTTTAAGCCATGCATTATACGTATCTGATTGATTCCAGATGAAATTGTACAACAAGTTAGGGTGCTGGGGTCGCCGGTAGGACGTTCAGGGACCGTAAGTAGACGAGGAGGATTCAGGAAGTAAGCATGTTATCTAGGATATTATGCTAACGGATGTATGATTGGCCTATACACCCATACCCCAACATTCCTCGTTTAGACAAGCGACGGACATCACATACAGGCGCGACCGCAAAGTCACAGTCATTCTGATAATATGTCATTCTGTCGGGATGTATATCCTCCCCAGTGTGCCATCTATCCGGAGGCCAATCTCCAGTATGTTCGTTATTAGTTCGTAGCCTTGCTTTGTTCTGAGAGGCCGAACTGTCGCAATGTGGGCTTCCATGTCGTCGAACCATTCCGCCCATCCTTCTGGACTAACCCGGATTCCCTTTAGAGCAGATACTCTTTGTTCCCATCGAAAGCAGCTAGCGACACGAAATGATTAGGGCGCTCAGAGTCGTAGCATGGAAGACCAAACTCGCTGTATGTGCCCTTCCCATACTAAAACCCTCAAAGGTACCAGGCTATCTTGTGATCATGCCACGATATACCATGGCCTTGCCAACTTTACTTCCCCCACTGATCTCTCAGAATCTTCGAAATGAATTCATCTTCACTGTGATCATCATATATCTTTTCTGTGCGTCGACGGGCTACTAACGTGTTGATTTAGGATAGGACCACTGGTATGTTCTTGCTCGATACATGTAGACTCGTAGCCAACGCCTCGACTCTCATTTAGGCAATCGGTTACATGTTAAGCTGCATTCTTTTCGGAATACTCATTCTCCAAGTCTGTACGTCGCACTTAGCTTGGCATCATCTTTGCAAGTGCCGAATCTTCTAAGACATATACGCAACCCACTATCACAAGGACGGCCGTCTCATCAAGGCTTTAGGTCGGTTCTCTAAAGTCATTTACTATTGTGTTGATAGTCGTCCAACAGTATGGGCCATTGTCACTATCGAGTCAACTTTTACTGTCATGACTGCTATCGCTGCATGGATTAGCTTCGGAACAGGTTGGGGCAATACCGAAGCGATGATAGAGTTTCATTGGTCTTGGCTAGTTCTTCCCCTGTTAGACGGTCTAGGTGAGACCTTCTCACAAACTGTCCCTCTCGTGAGTGCTGATTTTGCAGTGAATAGTCGCTTCCATAGTCCATACATTTTTTGCCTGGAGGATATACAGTCTCACCAAGAAGGCCTGGGTTTGTTTTCCAGTCCTAGCGGTGAAGATGATGCCTGTGTCACCGCCTCATGCTCTGATTCACCTCATTTGAAGTTGTCTTTTGTGCAATGTTTCTCGACGGTCTACTTCTCCATCATGGTGCGTATTGTGTTCACTCGTCTGTGGATGCTGGTTAAATCCTTGGCCAGACTCACCTACACGGCGGCACAATCCATACCTTCCAATTATATGGCACGTTCATCGACGTCAGTGTTTTATATATGACTCTTGGGTATGCTGAAAGCCTCCGTGCGTAGCTATGGCTCGTCTGTGGCGCGATTTGTGATGTTATAATTACTGTGTCCTTTGTCATCATTGTAAGTCAGTCCACATCGTGTCCTGTCTATCATCCTGTGGATCGCTTATAGGTTTTCTGTAGTTTATCCAGTCAACGTCAAAGATGTCTCTCCAACGAACTGATCAACTTCTTCACAAAACCATCAAGTTCACAATAGAGACCAATCTGTTAACAACTATCGGTGCCATAGTCGAGTTCACTCTTTGGCGCGCAATGCCATACAATCGACTCCATTTCATCCTGTAGGCCTCTTGTCTACCGACACCTCCTGATGCTAACGTGCTGCAGTTGTATCGTCCTCGGAAGACTGTAAGTTAAGTTGGGCATCTACGATGGGTTTGGCTAAAAGACGGCGCAGTTACGCCAATGTATTGCTTGCCTCCCTGAATTCACGGCAGTTCTCAACCAGGCTGCGTGGCTTGGAGGCTTTCTCCGAGACTCCGGAAGGACCTATTTTTTGGGCAGATATATCCCGGGGCCGCAATATCAGCACTGGACAAGCAAACACCACACAAGCGAACTCTTCGAGAGAGCCCGAAAGCCTTAGTAGCCATGAGATGACCTTTTCTGTAAGTTTATCAACCAATCGGGAACTCCCTTTTGAAGACTTCCGCCCTAGCCCAGCAGTGTTCCCATGCCAGCATCTCGTCGGTATGCTGACCCTCCCACTTGATTTGAGCTAGTTGTATCATCCACAGCACGTAGTTTCAGGGATCATCACAACGACCACGGTGTCCAGAGACAATCAAGGTGGATGAGAGGATGGCTCTGTGTGTTGTGGTCGAGCGCAATTTTATGGTGTGGTGCACGAGATGTGTTTTCGTACACGCGCAAAGGTCGTAAGGTGGCGGCATCTGCTGCAGACGTTTATGAAAATGCGAAAACTATTACGCCGATTACTGGTTGACCTTGCAGTCGCTACAGGTACTGTGGAAAAGAACAGAGCCCAAGTCAGTTAGGAGCGAAACTGGGACAGGGGTCCAGGGGCACGTAAAAAGCTCTGGCGCCAGTTCTAGTCATAATAAATCTGAAGGCTAACACCAGCGAAAAGAGGGCATGCGTATACAACTTTTGTAATTCAACATCTTAAGCCTCCGTCTCTAGCTCAGTTTCCAACGGCCAGAACGCAGTTTCAAGTTCTAAGACCCGCCTCCAGATGCCTTCCGCCTTCGCATCTAGCTCCGGTGTGCTGATTTCATCTACCAACTTCCCGATGTCGTTGACAAAGGCTGTAAAATCATCGGATGACCAGTTGGCAGACAGCGTCTTCAGTGCCCTAACATTTTGGCTATGGTTATCCTCCACGCTGGAGAGAGACGCATAGACACGAGACCATGCGTCCAGATAAACCTGCCGATATGAATTTCAGACGACATGATACAAGAGAGGTGGTGGTAAATGGGACACCTTCTCCATGGCCCAGAGGAATATAATCCCCTCCTCCCAGGTTTCCGACCACTCTGCAACATACGCCATCTCCGCCACATAGTTCAAGGTTGCCGGTCGCTTGGTGTGAGGAGGTGATTCGGTGGTTGAATCCCCAAAATCCAAGCCGTATTGGGCAGCCAAGCTATCGAAGAATTTAACTTCTCTGACCACCCCCGTTATCGATGCTGCGAGGACCGGCAGGAGAGTCTGCGGCTGGCTGGGTTGAGATGCATTGCGATAAGCATCTATGCGCCTGAAAAGCCCTCCGATGAATTTCGGATAGGCATATCCTGCGTATACTTTATCCTGCGCTAGGTAGAATCTAAGGAGGCGATGAGATAGGGTTCCGTTGGCAGCTGCCACTAGGAACGGGTGTGCAGTCGTCGCAGCGTGGTAGAGACCCTGCGTATTCGGGGATTCGAGCAGGCGTGTCGTCAGATTGGGGGGCATTGGGTGAACGCGCAGTGAAAGATGGGAGCCCACGACTTTATTCCTGAGAAAGTTTCGCGAACCGCATCCAGAGTGGTGTGCTTGCCACTTGAGTGTATGCTAATTTGATCGCGTACTGTCCCAGCTGTCACGGTATTGAAGGTGACGGAATTTACACGCGATGACTCTACGCATTGTTTACACCCTGAGGAATACATGCAGCTAGCAAACTAAGTCGAACTTAGATTTATCTACCCTACAAGTAACCTACTGCGGAGCTGCAGATTCAACAGGCTGTGCAGGCGAATCATGGTTTCCAATGTGGTCTTTAATCCAGTCAAAGCCCTGGAACAGGAGTGGGGCGAACGGGGCGGCTTGTCCTAGTTTGGTGCCCAGGCCACGACGCTCAACATCTGTCATTTCGCGGCCAAGTAGTCGCTCGAGCTCCTTGAAATCATCTTCCATCGCTCTCCTCTGCGGTGCGGAGGAGGGAGTAAGTTGGAGACCTTCAACAAGAGGTCGACTGTTGACGAGGCTATGTCCATTAGTGTTCATAGGGAAATGAACTAGGCTGTCGAGCATTCCGTGGATGCCCTGGCGTTCATCTTCCGCTAAGTAGCGAGAGAACAACCGATTTAATGCTTGGGTGTCTGGGTCATCACTTCTCTTTTGTGGCGCAGGCGCGTTGCTGGCAGTGGGTGTGGGCAGCGATGGGGGTGTTGCGGGTGAGAGTATGGTGTCTGCCGCATTTCTTCCCTTTGAAATCATGTTGAATAGCTTGGGGATGAAGCCGAACAACCCGCGAGCCTCGAGTTCATTTGCGAGCTCGCGAGATTGCAGAGGATGCTCTAACTGTGCCATCGCCTCGTCGTCTACTTCCCGCCGCTGAAGGAGGAGGGGCCCGAGCTTGCCGAATATCTTCCCCAGGATATCTCCAAAGCCACGGGCATCAAGCATCTCGACATCTCGACTATTGAGAAGCTTGGCCAGGTCGGCGACATCGGAGGCAATGTCTGATCGAGCGTGTAGATCCGAGTCCATTCCCTGATATGTGTACTTTGGAAATAGCGGGCCTAGCTGCGTAGTGCCTATTCGGAACGGTGGACGAGATGAAGGCTGCTGGATTGGGAGTGGGCCTCGCATAGGACTTGTGCTCCAGCCTGCACCAAAGGATCCGATGCTATCCGGTGTGGCAGATTCTACTGGACGGGGTGACAGCCTGGACATAAATGGGTGACATCGTGAGCAGATGTACTGCCTTTCGCTCGAGCAGTGAAACCTACTGGAGGGGTGTGGACATCACAGTCATGGCCTGCAGCAAGAAGCCAGCCAAAGCAACGGTATATGTGGAGTAAACCATGATTTAATGTAGAGGGTAAAGCGTGGAGAATTGGGAGAGATTCGAGATGACCAGCACCGCGAAAAAAGAATGGATTGGTTGGAAGATGAGAACCGGTCTGAAGAACTTAGAGGTCTCGTGTACCTGCTTTTATATGGCGTGATGCACGCAAACATCTGTGAAGCAGGATCAATTCACCACCACAAATATCAAGAATGGCCACACATCCACACGACGCGAATTTGGCTGGCAGTGAAATCAGCGCTCATTCTACTGCAGCACCCACATAGGTGCAGTTTTCGAACGTCCAAGGGGATATGTAGACTCTGTGTGGGAGAGGGCCAGAGTCGTTAAGGTACCATTTGGTCTAGCGCTACGTTGCTACCGAATGATCTACATGATCGAGTACCGCTATAGCGACACCCACATACACAAGTATCAAAACACGCACATCCCAAGCAGTGGTCACTTACAACGTGAAACCGTCAGACAGCGCGCTGAAACCCGAGCAAGAGTAAGATGGGGCGAGGATACTAGCAGTTTGCATCGTAAGGCGCAACAAGTAGGAACTTCTTCATAATCTATGAAGAAGTCTTGGTCCGGACTCCGGAGAGTCTCCAGGCGGGCGCTCCGAGTCACGGCCGTGCGCCACCATCACGTGACTATCGGTTCCATAGGTGCCTACGACTCGTCGGACTGAAGTCAACCATGACAAGTTACAGCTAGTGTCCAACCCAAGAACTCGGAAAATCACCAATCAATTCGAATTACTGCCTCATAGTACGATTACGATGGCGAACTCACCTCTTAAACGGCGACGCTCTCCTTCTGTACCTGAAGTCTCAAGTCTTGACATGTGGAAATGGACATTGACGAACGACGCGATCGCGCCGTGTTTCGTTCAGGATGTTCTACTGATGCGAGAATGTCAGCCACAGAAGGGTACGTTTGAGAACTGTCTTCGTTTGTGCTACTATATGCATATAATCAGATGTGGATTACTTCTGGTTGGGACGTGTCCCATGTCGGACGGCCATGATCGCTGGGATTGTAGTCGGCGTAAATGTCTTCGAGAAGAGGACCGTGTACACAGGTACAGCTCGTCTTCTACTCGTTGTCTGGCACTCATTGGTCAAAGTGGATGATGGCACAGGTGTCGTCGACTGTTCTCATCGGGCTGTTGGTCCTCGTGCCCCTAATCCGTCGGTTAAACCAAGCGCTTCCTCGCAAAAGCTCAAGCTCAAGCACCCGCCATCTCAGGTGACCAAGGATATACCAAACCCATCATATTCACTATTTGCGTTCAAACCTCTATGCTCAACCAACACCACCGACGATCCATTCATCAACGTACCGCCGACCTTGGCTAAATACCAACCAGCCACACTCCCTAAACGCATATCTGTGGGGGCTTTTGTTCGAGTTCACGGGCGCGTCAGCAAGCTGCATCGTGGTCGCCAAATAGTCGTCCAGGACATTGGTGAGGACGTGTCCAAGGGTGTCGTATAGCTGCTGAGTATCCATTTGCAGAAGCGGTCTCCGCAAACCACGAAATACTTCATCGGAACACGGTGCGCATGCTTCATCGTACTCGATACAACCCTAGTCTGGGGCCATTCATCCCTCCTATTGTCGACGCCGCGACGCCGAGCAAGCTACCGACCACTCCCACTCGACCACGGTTCCCGAATCGGACTGCCGACGCTGACGCCTCACCGTCCACGCCCAAGCAGAAGTCGAGGCAGCGCCAGACCCCGGTGAAATCCAATGCTACGGAGTCGTCGTATCTCTCAGGGACAGAATGTTCGGAATCAGAGTACAGCGAATGTAGTCCCAGAAAGGTACGGCTCTTCTCTTCCCCTTCGCATAATTGCTGATAATCTGACAGACCCAGAAGATGCCTGTAGCCAGCTTGAAACTGCGCCACCCATCGCGGGCTCACTCGCGAGACCTCACAGCAAATACTTTCAAGATATATCTCAAGTACTACATGGACGAGCTCGATAATATCTCGCACTCGGCATTTTTCCAAGATGTGAATACACTTCGCAAGCATGCTGTATTACCCCCTACATGGGGTGAAGAAACGCCGAGGCCGTCGAAGATACAGCCCCGCACGATGCTTGCACAAGACAGAAGATCAAACCCCAACGGCGACTTCACTAAGAAGGGCTTTACGATGTCATTTCTTCGGCGGATACCGGAACTCGCTTTTCTCGCAAGGCGAGTCGTTGAAGCAGAAGCAAAGCGACGAGCGAAGGAGGAGCGAGGTAAGACGCGATCAGCTAAGACGGCGGGTTCGACAGGTATCAGGCCAAACGGCGATCGCGGGGTCAGCCAGTCGACGAGTGCTTCTTCCGCCCCCACCCAATACCGGACTGCGAAGTTAACACGACAAGGGAGTCAAGACAAGGAGAACGCCGTGCAGGATCGCGGCAGGGATCCTCGCGTCAGAGAAGCAGCCACGTGCCCGAAGGACATGGCATTGAAAGATAACCCTGGCCCGAAGATGAAGCGTCTGTTCACGTTCGCGATCCGAAAGCTGTACGACGAGGGCAGCATCGTGTTGTGGGACGGACCCACGCATCCATATGCTAGCAAGTATGGGTTTATCCCACCCAATGATCGGCTGTGGAAGGTCTCAAGCAAGAGTGCTGCCTCGACGCAAATGCTCAGTGACAGCCTGTCGTTGTCTGCGACTTTCAGCACGACTCGCGACTCGGCTTCGATGTCTTGCTCTGCGATACCTGATATGGACCTTTGCCTTCGCGAAATTGAGGGTGAACTTTCCGATCCTGGGGAAGATGAAGAAGCGTATATTCCCCTCACCCCAACGTATCTCGCCCCATTGGTTGAGGAAGCTATCGAGGTATTGATGAGCAGGACGAAGTCAGCTAATACCGGTGGGTACTCTAGTCTTTTCCATGAATCGACGGAGCGGACATGGAATATGAATTAACATTCATACTTTAGCCAATGGAAACACCCGTCGCGAACCCACAATCCACTGCCATCCTGGGCCCACGCAAGCGCAAATCACATCCTTCCTCCAGCGTAAGGATTCCCGATGGGCGAAGATCGGAGAGTGGTGGGTCCATGAAGCACTGACCCTGTTGCAGGACACTGGGAAGATATGGCCGGTCAGTGGACGCGGCACGGAAACGCGGTGGGAGAAGTGTTTGTAGTTCTGTGCGCACGCAGTGTATGTATGTATCCATTGTATTGGCAGCAGTTTTTCGTGAGACAGGCAACATAAATTTAGCTCGTGTGCACGGCTGGATTCGCTGGCCTATTCAGTACATTTCCTGTTGAGCCATATAGATCAGATTTATATTGGTCGAGCATACCAATCGCGGGTAGAGCTTCGGTGCGGGCTTCCTTCCTCGAGGCTGTGACGGAAGCAGTGGTATCCTGCTTCGTGATCGAATTGATGCTCTATGTATGTATTAGGATGCTGGGGAGGAATCGACGTTATCCGAGACTTGGAAACCGACTGAATGACGAGTCGAGTCGTCACAGCTCTGCGCCGTCGTCGACGTCAAGCACCACTGCGGTGTTTATAATTCTTTCAGTGGCTTTTACTCTTACCTGTTACCTCCTGTTACCTGTCCCGATGATCCCTGCATGAACGTCCGTTCCGGCAAATAAGACAACGCAAATTTGGCTTCAAAGCCCGCGAGCAAATGCAATGTCGATGAAAGGCGTATCAGACACCCGATGTCTTGGCTTTGGGGCCTTGAGGATGATGGATTGAACATTAGAACAGATACCCTGGGTTGCTACAGAATATAGATATATTGAAGGCATCATGGCATGGCTATCATGCAGCAGCGGCGTAGGCTATTGCCCGATATCTGTCACTGGAATATTTAAATTACTGGCCGATGGGAAGCATTGCCGGGTGGCTGGTCGACGACGTGGTAATGAATTATGACACGGCACGGTCGGCCTGTTGGGACTGAAGTGCACGGGGAGGACTCTGGAGGACTTGAGAGAATGTATTTACGCGCTTGGACAGGAAGCCGTTATGTCCGATCGGGGAGCGCAAAGTACCGAATCTTGGGAAGGATGGACGGATAATACTTTGTGGCCTGGCAATACAACGGAAGTTGAAATATTCAAAGGAGATAAGGGACCCGAGAAGCTGTCTCGACATCAATGAAATCAAGGAAAACAAACACGCTCAGGACGGTCGAGAAAGGTAGATTCCATCCCACTTTGTTCACCTAGGTGTCCGATGAATTCATCAAGGAACAACTTTTGTCATGGCCTCAGGGCTAGGTCGTATTCTGGAGGTTCATTCCTTGCACTCTGTCGAATGATCGGCGAACTGGGCTTAAATTGATTGGAATGGGGCTCGCCGCTGGCTGGCCATACGAATACTATAGACCGGTATGTTCGGCGCAAGATTGATCAGAGAGAGTCCGAGCAGAGAGCCCGAGATTAATTCCCTCTGCATCTGATTGACCCAAATTCGCTGCGGGAACGGACCTATAGGATCATGTATCGAGTGAGTATCCAGGACCGGGCACTAGTTGGCGCTAGCTGCGATGGGCAATGGGGTAACCTTGACTATGCTTCCCTTGACCCGAATACGCATGAGCTGTCTGGCGCTGTCTGCACCCGCTGAAGCGCCACATAGGGTGATCGGCCATGGGTAGAAACCCGCGATGACTTGGCCGAAGACTGAAGGTCCGCCTCATAATTCGCTTGAGAAATCGTTACGCACGAATGGGCATGCATGCCGTCTGGGCAGAACTTTCCCACTGCGCGTCCTGGAAAGCCATCGAGGGCATCGGAGCGAGACATTCGAACCACGATGTGACGCGTCGATCGCGGCCAACGGTTGTTGGATACGAGAAGGCAGACTTCAAATTACATCTTTGTGGCTGCCGCGATGATCAGTGGAATCGTGGAATATGGAGTCACGTTACGCACAGTAACCGCGGCCCCTGGCTCCCCTGGCTCCCCTGGTCCAAGGCTAATCTAAAAATATGAGATTGGTGAATAACTGCCGCTGACTTGAAGAAAGATGGCACTAAGGATACATACCAAAAGGATGGACGGGGCTGCGAAAAGTTGATCAACAGTGATTGAACGTTCCAACCACACCACGAGGCCGCCATTACTTACCTTCAGAGACGACGTCAAAACAAACACGAAGACAAACAAATAGTGATGGAGGCGTGTTGTGAGTGAATGTTGTACATAGAAAGGTCGTGTGGGGCGGAGCTGTAACACATCGCAATATAACTGAATTGAGCAAAACATGGAATGATCAGCAGGAAGATAAGTCTCGAATGTGTCCATATATTCTATCGACGCCGTAGTCGGCCAAATAGGGCCGAAATGACATTTCTATCAGGTCTCCTATCTCCACTTCGATGTGACTGCGAGGGATCAGACGATTCTGGAGACTCATGTCCGGAGAGATGACGAATGACTCGAACGAGGTCGGGGAAGAGCTTGTCGACGTTATCGGCCGTCTTCGCGGATGTCTCCACAAACTCGCAACCTAGTCGCGCAGCGAGCTCCGCGCCTTCTTCTATCCCCACTACGCGCTGATTCGATTTGTCCCGCTTGTTGCCGACGATTATACCCACAGGATGCTCCCCTTTTAGCCGTAGAACAGAGTTGTAGAAGTGCTCGATCTTCTCGAAGGATGCCCTGGATGTTATTGAATATACGAAAACGAAGCCATGGCTGTTGCTATCAAACTAACAGTCAGTCGGGAGCGCTCTTGAGAAGGCCCCGATGATGTTCTCACCGTATGTAGGCGTCTCTGAGGCCCAGATACTCTGTAAATAGCTTCGATATCAGAGCCGTCAAAATTACGCAAATAGGCAACGATCAGTACCTTCGCCGTCTTCGCAATCCAGCGTTTCTACTAAGCATAATATCTCGTCCACTAGTATTTGCTTTCTGAAGCTGTCTTCTATGTTCTGAGCGTAGTTCTGCGTGTAACAGTTGGTTTTAAAGCGATGAAGCCAACGCAGCGGGGCATACCACTGTCCAATGAGTTCGTTCAGCACGAGTATTATTGGGGTCTGTGATAGAAGATTCGTACCATCAAAAAAAGATTCCGTAGCAAACTAAGGGCAATAGTTAGATCTGCACTAAAAACCAGGTCTGTTCACTCACTTGTGTGGCCAACGATGTCTTTCCAACACCATAGACACCCAGCATAGCAAACTTGTAACATTTCAGGAACACTCGAGTGGGGGCGGGGGCGTTGGAGTACATGGCAGCTGCACGATCCGAGGCACGACTGCGACTGCTATAAGGGTGAATGTACCTCTGGCCCTGGGTGCGTTTAAGCTCTCGACATTAGCGGTATGGACAGCTTTTGTATCCCATGACCTGTCAAGGAGGATTAAATGCGACCTTCAGGCCAGTGAGGCCCGGGATAAATCTGTCAATACAGAAACCGACGTTTAACATTCTAGATGACTTGCTGACATCGAAGCAGGGATGACGTTGGTTGACTTTTCTGTTAAATTAACGGTGGGCCACACGCATGCCCAACTAACATACCATCTACCCTATTGCGATCTGGGAAGGCACCTCCTGGGGTGGCGGAGAATTTCCAACATAACGGTTCAAGCTGGTTCAGTGGCCGAACAGGAAACGCGGTGATCGAAATCAAAAACGGTGGGTCACGTGGGCGACGATTATCTTATCGGCGCTGACACCCAGGCAACTCGAATTCGCCGAGCCTGTCACTACAGGTCACCACCATCGAGGAATTTGGCTCGACTTTCTGACGCCTGTAACAGGACCTGGCCTTACATATACGGAATGTCAGAATCTGCGCCCTTTTCTGCGGACTCATATTTTGCAACCCAACCGCCGCCGGCTTCCTTGGAACACGACATCTTGGGCGTTCGGGAATTTGTTCAGCAGCAGCTGAAGAAGGACAGGAATGTGGTTCTGGTGACCGTGAGTCATGCTACCGCCAGGAATTTACGTTCGTGGTAACGATATGGCCTTCTCGATGTCAGAGCGGTGGGACGACTGTCCCATTGGAGCTTAATGTGTGAGGTGACGCCAGGGATCGTGTATGTTATCTTGTTCTGATCAATTCTATCAGAGTGCGTTTCCTGGACAACTTCAGTGCAGGTATGATTTATCTGTGTTGTTGCCAACATGAGTTCAGACACGAGGTTGATGTTCTCTTACCTGTTTGCTAGGAACTCGAGGCGCAACGTCTGCCGAATACTTCCTGAAAGCGGGATATGCCGTTATTTTCATGCATCGCCAATTTAGCCTCCAGCCGTTCAGTCGACATTATTCGCATTCGACCAATCCTTTTCTTGACTTCTTGGAGATAGAAACGCCACCAGTTGCCTCTCCGGATTCCACACCTCAGATCTGTGTAGCGAAGGAAAAGCGAGAAGACTTGATGTCTGTACTTACGGCGTACAAATCGGTACAAGCTTCCGGGACTCTGCACACGTTGGCGTTTGTAACTGTCAACGATTATCTATGGTTACTCCGTGCCGTTAGCCAAGAGCTCTCTGCCTTGCGCCGTAGGGCCCTGTACTACCTCGCCGCCGCAGTCAGTGACTTTTTCCTACCCCGACAGAAGATGGTGCGTATGGGCGTCATGATCCCTTGTTGGCGTATCTAGCCGATAGTTCCGCGCACAATTAACACATATACGATTTAGTCGGAACACAAGATCCAATCCGGCAAGGGAAGCCTACATATCGAGATGGATCAAGTCCCAAAGATCCTCAAGTCCATGGTGGATGAGTGGACGAAAGACGGCTTCATAGTCTCGTTCAAGGTAACTCTCTTATCAGCCTTTAGCCTTACACGCCCCTGACCATTCATCAGTTAGAGACGGATCCAGCCCTCCTGATACCGAAGGCGCGAGCGGCACTCAAACGCTACGGCCACCAACTCGTCATTGGCAACGAGCTACACACGCGAAAATACCAGGTCCTCTTCGTCACCCCATCCTCGCATACTTCCATTCTAGATGACTCGGTGGATGAAGATTCTGCTTTTACGGAGACCTGGCTACGAGTTGATATCCCGTCGACTCCCTCGGCCGTGTCTCAGAAAGAGATAGAAGAAGACATCGTCTTTGAATTAGCACGGAGGCATAGCGAATGGATTAACGAGAAGAAGTAAAGCAAAGCCACCTTCCCCGCACAATCTTTGTATTTGACAACCGTTACCACCGTTTCCATTTTCTAGATTGTAGCAGACACAGCGACGTTAGACGCACATCAAGTCCAATACAAAGTGGTTCTTTTCTAGACTAGGTAGGTTCTCCCCTACGGAATTCCTCATATCATGATCTGTCTTGTTAGAATGTTATTACGGTTCTTTAGCAGCAGTTCCTGCACGGATCTTCTATCAGTTGTCCGCAGGCTTGAACAACAAATGACATAACTATCTCGTGTTACGAAGCTCAATATTTCCTATTAGAAACAGGCTCTATGTTGCACCGTGTGGATCTTGGGGAGCAGGGCCGCAACTGGCAGTGGTACAGATATGAAGGATTCTGTCACTATTCTGGGCGCAGTCTTTCAATCGTGGCTATGTCTAGGCTTCTTGACATGCTTGACCGGCTGCAACAGCATCTTCGGCCTAGCCGAACTTTCTTCCTATGATCCTCAAGTTCAGACGTCAGCCAAACATCCTTGAGAAGGTGGAGACCCGGAGGTACCTGGTGCCACCTTGCATAGCATCTTCACTGTCAACGTTCCATAGCCGCCGTTTGATTTTGGCTCGACTAACCCTCTGTGATTGACTGAGCGTTTGCTCTAGTGTCTACTTACGACTCGGACATGGGGACCAAGAAGGCCGAGGTCAAGAGACGATTCTACGTTTTGGTGCTAAACGGGTATATATCCAAGTATCAATGATCTTGACCATCAGTTTGCTGTGTAGTCCTCAGGCTGAAGTGGATGCCGCGTTCCGACGAATTAACACTCATTTGGCTGTATTCAAGATGGCTTCACTGGCCCTCCGGCCACAGCATCCATGTGCCGATGGCTAATTAATCATGGCCAGTTTCTCATTCGAGAACCCAGTCAAACCCTGGTAAATTAATGAAATCATGCCCTCATCCTTGACCTGGACGCACAGGTGATGGCCCAAAGTTCAGCCGCTCCACCCGGGGCTGAGAAAAATTGGTGTGGGTGAAAGAAGCCACCACAAGATGATGAGATTCTACCATCTGTGAAGGCCGCTTGTTAAGTACGAAGATACTTGACGTGTGCATGTGGTCTCAATATATACCAAGTCTACAGTCCGACTCTACGTATGCATCATAGACGGCAAGTCCTTGACAATCGTGAGTGTAGCTAGTCTGCACAGCCAACTGAGGAGTGGACATGGCGAGAACCGACCTTTTCCGGTCAAGCGAGCTGATAAGTCCGGCATGATGAATCCTGGAAGTAAAGCAGCATGGCTATTACAGGATATATGAACGGTGGTGAGTGGGGGTGGGGGGGTTCAAATACACATATCGATGAGTAGCATACGGCGAAACGTTTAGCTGAAAGAAGTAAATGTAAAAATAGGCAGCGAGCGAAGTACGGTAGATTTAAGCCATATCTATATCTTGGGTTGGGGCAGCAACCTCGCCAACTTTCTCCGTGGCGGTGGTTGTCTGTGGGGGTGCTGTATCTCCCATGAAAGCTTCTAGCTCTTTGTCCAAATCTTCGGCTGTCTGGGGCTTCCTCTCCGCTTTCCCTCCTCTACGTCCGCCACCTTGGGCACCTCTCCCAATCCGCCGACCGCGTGAGCGCAGCGAGCCAGTTCGTCTCCTATCAGAACTGCCAGGGGAACCATTTGTTATCATTCAAAACGGCTGATCAAAGAGCACATACTCCTTAGTAGACATCTCAGCATCCTCAGAGTCAGCAGCGAGTCGACTCAGGAGAGGTTGCTTTTGAATGCGATTGAGAAGAGCGGTCGTCGTCGATTTTCTTGAAGGCCGAGGTGCAGAAGTATCGAACGAGATGTCCATCGGTTGACCTATGGACAAGTATTACTATTGCCACGGATAAATTCTCGACCGCCCTGAATGGTACCTTTGGCGAGTAGTCCATTGAACTGCTTCAAAGCCTTCGAAGCCTCCTCGGTTGTTTCGTATGTGACAATTGCAACGCCCGTCGATCGCCCGCTTCGGTCGTACTATTGAAATGTTGAATTGTCGTAGAGCCCAAGCAAGCAAAAGGAATCGATGGTAAGCCAATCGCCAGAGAGGAGGTCCCCCAAACCGCGAGATGCGCAAATAATTTCATATCGCGAGGGCGTAGTCGGGAAGGTTTTATCGTACCCTGATGAAAGGCTCACTAATAAGCGTGCCAACTTGCCCAAATATGGCCTGTACAGTGATGAGGTCAATATTCGACGAGAACCACACCAAAGAAGCACGCACATTCAAGTCCTTTGGGGTAATCTCATAATGCAATCCTGCGACGACCAGTCTTGACCCTGGTGAAGAATTGATGCTTCCTTTTGGTGAGACATCTCGACTGCGACCCGTAGGTGCTTTGTCGTGGAGCCACTGTCCATCTGCAGGTGTTCGCTGCAAAAGAAAGTTAGTCAGTCCAACGTCGGCTCTCAGATCATACCAGGGCACTAACGGAGTGGGGCTTGCTGCGTCCTCGGAAGTTCACCATCTTCCAAAAAGTGTTGCACGGTTTGAGGGGAGGTTCAAAGAAAGTTGAAGGGGATACGGACGTGAATGGGAGATGGACTGAGGCCAAGAGGTCGGAGAAGCAAACGGAGTTGAGCGCGATGCTTGAACACGAGGCTGCAAGTAAACAGCGGGCGTAGCGCCCGTGAAGCGCCTGTCTGTTTTTGAATCTGTCCGAAATGGCATACAAAGATCATTGTTTTCATTATTTTGCCGTCAATATCCAATAGTGAATGCACATCAGTAAAATTAGAAGGAGGGGGGTGTCATCAATGGAGGGGTCGTCAGAGTCAAAGGAGAAATCAGTCGTCGCTCAGATCGGCTACAGACCCATAATTCTTGAGAGGGTCCCTCCGTAGTGCTTCAGCTTCGCTACTGATAGATGAACCCTCTGGTCCAGCCTTCTTCACCTTCATCACTGTATCAGGGGCAGCTGGACGTGCTGTCGAAGCCGGCTGCGAAGGGGTTATTAGTGGCCTTGCGACGAAACTGTATCTGCGCGTACCTCATCACGGAAAGGAGTGAATGATCCTCCACCGTCGTCATCTTTGAAAGGGACAAATGATGGCTTTGCTGGTGTTTGTGGCAATGCCTGAGGTTCATCGTCCTTGAAGGGTACAAATTTTCCTTTGGACACATCTTTGGATGGTGCACTGGGTTCGTCTTTATACGGTACAAAGCCACCTTTCGATGATAGTTTGACCTCTTTGCCCTTGCCCTTTGATTTCGCCGGGGGGATGGTTGGAGGCGGGGGCATGTTTCCAGAATCACCAGGCGCTGGGTCACGGAAGGGAACGAATTTAGTAGACGATGTTGCAGACGCAGCGGTGGCCAATCGTTGCGTCTTGCCTGATTGCTTTATCTTTGTCCCAGTCATCTTCTGCGTCTCAGGCGCATTCTCTTTGATGCGAGTCTTTCGAGTTCCGAGGTCTGACCAAGCGTTTCCTTCTGCTGCCTCAGGTTCTTCGCCGGTGGGATCAACAAATACTTGTAATTTTCCATTGGGACGAGATGAAGATGGCGCAGGCGGTGGTCTCGATGCGGGAGTCGACGCGGTCATGACTGTCGTTCGCAAAGCGACGCGTTTCGGTGCAGGGATGGTTGTGGGAGGTGGGGTCGGTATGCTTGGCAAAGGGGCAGCGGTCATCATTCGTTTCTGGAATTCTCGATATCGAATAAGCAGTCGATCCAATGGTTCAGCCTGTCGAGCCACGCCCAGTATGTATATCTCATCCGCAGCATTCCGTCTAGGACCAAATGCATTACAAGCCGTCGGACGGGCAAAATATTTGCCACTCACCTTCCATCTCTTTCCAATACCAACGCGTACTCTTCGTAAAATAGCGCGTGGTTCGTCCCGATATCATTGACCAACATGAACTTGTATACTACACTTGGCTTCTCGACGAAGCTAGCGTATAGCACCCATAATTTCAAGTACTTGAGCTCCCCTCTCCACACGCCATCTCTGTCGTCTTTGAGCACCCTTGTGGCTTCTTCAAGCAATTCGAGCAGACCAGATTCAGCGCTTTGGCCTTGAGGATAGTTGTCGACAGTCCAATATACAAAACGGCAATAAGCTTCAAGTGGATCGTCTTCGGGATCTTCTAAGGCGAGTTCGACATTGACCCTAAGGCGATTTCGCGTGGCGGAGAGCTTTGCTTCGCGAGCGGCGTGGGGAGTAGCAAGTATAGCTGAGAGGGAAGTAACGCGTCGTCCAGATGCCAGTGGCTGAACATTTTCCTTTGCTGCCTCAAGGATGTCGCAATCGACGATGGTCGGAGTGCTGTCCTGAAAGATATCATCAACGATTTCAGCCATTCTGGTCCCTTCGTGGGGTGCGATCTTTGGAAGATGGTTCGTGAGCTTCCCCTTGTAGATTCAGTGCACAGGGCTGATCCAGAAGGTAGTTGATAGTGGGTGGAAACGTGAAGAAAGAATGGACTTCGCGGACACAAACATGCAAACCCCCTGAGTAGTTGTTGGTTGTGCTCACGTGATCGAGTTGGGATGGATAGGGACTGATAGGAGCTGATAGGGTCTATCAGGTGAAGCACCCCTGTGTCCTCTCGCTCGACTTCACCTATATTACTACGTGCTGTATCATGGAAATTCCCCTCATTCAAACTGATACATTGTAAAAGTGAGTTACCACTCACATTGCTGCAGCACCTGTGGCCTAGCCTTCCAACTCTTATACATCAACAATACCCAGCCCCCTCTGATCCCTATTTCCCTAACCAAGACGGCTCTCCATGCTTACGGCTCCATTTACCGTTTGTGGGTTAAAAACTGAGTTATATTACAGCTGCAGCCTCAGACGTGATGCGGCTACTGAAGCCGCTGCCGCGGGACTTGCTTATCACAAAATCCAACTACTACTTGGCTGCTGGCGAAGCAATATATACACGTTATGCATAGACCCTCCCAAGGAACGTCTCATCAACCTTTCCCACAGACTCCATTGGCCTCCCATCTCTACTCCTTATCCCGGGCCTATGGTGATCTACTCCGTCTTCCGTTCATCACGGTCAGCTTTCTCCCCAGGGCTTCCTATTCATGTTCCCCTTTTAATATGTTGCATTCTCGTGTTTCGGCTGCCATACATCGCTTTTGGCTTCCGTCTTTTGGGCATCTCCTTCGCATTTCTGGCAGCCCAAGCGAGAGAGCGCTTGGCGGCCATGAATTCACACATTCGCGTTGCCATGTCTTGTATTCTTCTCTTCGTGCGTTTGCTAGAGTCGCAGACAAACACAATAAAACCATCTGATCACTTGTAACACTCGGTAGGCTATCTCAACACAAGAACAAGTTGGATAGATTCTTAGTGGTTGTGTCACGTGGTATTCCGCGCCACTTCGACTCGGAGATCATCGCAACATACCCAAAACATACCACGATATGGACTCTAGACACATTGGAGCACAGGCGAGAAGGTTCCAGCGCAGGTACAGAGGCGTCATATGTCTCCCCGAAAGTCCTCGTTCCTCCCCCCACAAAATGCGCTTTCTGGAAATTTCGCCGGCTCAAATTAACATCGGTTCCAGAAATTTCGTTGCTTGGCCTGGGGTGTATATAAGGAGGGCGATCCTCGCTACAATGGACCTCAGAAAAATAAGAAACAAAGCACCCCAAAACATCCACTAATCTCATCTTAACCACCCTCCTCGCTAAACATGTCTCTCTGGTTCTACGAGCCTTTCGCTGATTTCGACCGCCTCTTCGATGAGGCGTTCAATGCCCGCGCTGGCAACGGGACTGTGTCTCGCCAGAGGCAATCAACCACCCCCACTGTCCTCAGGCCAAGGTGAGTATTACCTCACCAACAACTCGTACAGCGAGGTGCTAACATGCTCTTTAGGATGGACCTCCACGAGGACGCCGAAAAGAACGCCGTCACTGCATCGTTCGAATTCCCTGGTCTCAAGAAAGAAGATGTCAATATCGACTTCCACAACGGTCGCTTGACCGTGTCCGCCGAGAGCAATGCATCTTCGGAGAAGAACGAGGACGGCTACGCCGTGCGCGAGAGGCGCTACGGCAAGTTCTCTAGAACGCTGCAGTTGCCTCAGGGCATCAAGGTAAGACATTCTATAGGTCCCTCCAGGCTGGAAACGAGGTACTGACTGCTATCGAATTAGGACGAAGATATCAAAGCCACGATGGAGAATGGAGTGTTGAATGTGACATTCCCCAAGACAACTCCTGAGTTGGCCCCTAAGAAAATCACCGTCGCCTAAAATGCCCTTGTTGCGTCAAGATTTGAATGAAAATTGTACATAAAGTGTCTTGTATTTGTAGCTTTCGAAAGCAATGTAAAATGTTTCTATTCGTGTTCATTCGTAACATTCATAAGTCTAAAACATCTAAAACATTCCACAAGTCCATATTTGAAAATAAAGGTAACCACGAGCGATAAACATGGTCGTTCCTACTCTAAACTACCTCTTGTTTGACCTTGCTCAGCCTAGAGATAGTGTCGTCGTCGAACCCCAGATGTGATTTGACCAGCTCTGGCGGAGTCAGAGCAAGCCACTGGTTCAGCGAGATATCTTGGAAGATATCTACCGACTGCGCATTAACCACAGCATTGCACGCCGAATGCCACGGCACGTACCTGCTTTAAATATCTCCAAGAATTTGAGTGTGGTGTTGCCGGTATTCTCGACGTAATGACCTGAGTAAATCCGTTAGATCAATCAAAGCAGCGAGAAGCAGAAGAGTGATGCCCACCGAAAGAAGGCGGTATGTATCCGACGTCACCAGGCTAGTGTGTGTGCTTTAGCCTAACTTGATGTAGTATAGGCGATCGATCAATTACCATGAAGTTGTAGGTCTGAGCGTGTCCTTCTGAGGCGAACACTGTTACTCGCGCTTGACCCTCACTGCGATATCAGTCAGCTTTATCAGATAGACAGGCAGAGCAGCCCACGACATACAGGAAGTAGCTCCACTCGGGTTGTGTAGGATGCCACTTGTCACGACAAGAATTAAGCCAACGCACACTTCGCAAGTTTACGATACTCACATGTAGTTCCCTCATCCCACCGGGGTTTACCGTCACTTCAACGGCGCTGATGGTCTTGGACACATTGAACGTACGGGAGTCGACGACCTTGACGCTCCCTCCTGGGGTGCTGGTAGCGTTCACTCGCGAAAGGGGGAAGGTGAATGGAAGAGGCGTGTTGTTAGGCACGACCATATCGTCTTCCACGTTCTCTGGCATCGGAGCAGCTGAAGATATGAACGAAGGGCTTCCATGAGTATCGTTGGCGTAGCACCCGCAGAAGGTAACCTACACGGGAAGATGTAGAGCTCCCGCTCTGGAATGTGGTCGAACGCAGCAAGGTTGTTCGACATGCCAAAGTTCTTAGCGATAACGTCCTTGGGCGTGTGCGCGAGCCAGTCGGTCAGCAGGAACGTCGCGTCCTCAGAGAAGTTCCCTTCGTCGAAGATGAGCAGGAACTCGGCGCCGTCGGCCGTGGTGTTCTTCGCTTGGATGGAGTGGGGGTAGCCTGAGGGGAAGTACCATAGATCGCCTTGTGTCTGCGAGCAAACAGTGAACAACGTGCATTGGAGATTATGCGTAGATGAAAGCAAGTGTTATTACTTACGACATCAGCGAGGTACATCTGACCCTCGGGGGTAAGCACAGAGATTCGGACATCGCCCTAAAATAGGATAAAATGAGTGATCGGCATCATCCTTCAAGCTTCAAGATATAGATACATACTGCAATCATATACGCCCACTGTGATTCGTTGATAGCGGTGAGCCACTTTCCGTGGACAGAGATATGGATTGTCGTTGCGTACCTCTGCAGAAGTGTGCCAATGCATTTCCCTGGAATCAGATTGCAAGTCAGCGAATATTAAACGATGCAACAGCCTTGCTAACTTACCGTGCGACTCCAGGTTCAAGCCTCATATTCACACCAGCAATTGCCGTAGCTGCTGGCATCGCGTTCACTAGAGCACCATTGATAAGTGTCTGAATAAAAACACAATTCAGCTATTTTATTGGCGCACCGTTCTGTTGGCGCGCCCAACCACCATTTGCGAGCCTATTGTGGCTCATGGAAAACGGCCATTTGACGTTAGGAACTTGACCGCTATCAGTCGAAGGAGGCGCCAGCAGATCCGGATTCATTAGATCCAACAGTCTGTTTTGGGGGCCTAGTATCGATGCGCCCATCTTGCCCCTCACTGCTGTTGGAATGCTATCAGTCCCTTCCGACCATAGAACTGGATTTGGATCGGGGCTGATGAAGGAGTCTGTTGGAGGCATGATAGAGTCGTCTGGTGTGGGCGCCGCCACCGTCAAACGGGCCAGAAGCACCATTGCGAGAGAAAGCGACAACATGCGAGCCATGTCTGGTGCGTAGAATGGGAGAAGGATGATAGAGAAAAGAAGCGGACAGGTGGGCGGGGCGAGGAGCTCTGGAGTTTAAGCTTGCACAGAATACAGGGGTCTTTATACTTCTTCTCTGCCCATATTAGAGTATATATGGTCTGGTTCTCCCTTCGTCGGAATCCTCAGGTCACGTCGCTTGCGTGGAATTTGAGTACGCGACCTTGGAAGATACGTATATGGTTGACGTGCTTGCTCCAAGTAACGCCGCCGCGAAGACGTGTACATCCAATGTGATCATCCCAAGGTTCGGTGGGTCGCCGCAGCTCTGTGGGCCATACGTCTAGAAGGATATGAAGGTTCAGCGTTCTCAGAAGGCCCCTGAGAGAAGAATATCAGATAAGATTATTTGTTTCTGAACGCGACTTTCGCACGGCTTCTCTTCAGTTTACTGCCACCATCATTTGTCGCGAAGCCCAGCCGAAAGCTGTGAAGCAAAGCGAGACATGTTGACGGTTCATGTCCGTTTAAACTTCGCCTACAAGGCCCTGGACCATTCGTTGACTGAAGGTGGTCGAGAGGAACGACTGCTTGTCCTTAACCAAATCAATTGGCCTGCCTCTGGATAACGTCTGCGCGTCTTGGGGTGGGGTTCATTGCTGCGATGTTATTTAACTGATTTGTGGCATTTGGCGGAGCACCGAGTGGCCTGTTTCTTTTTTTGTTTGTCTGTCCAAAGGGCAATCATTCCCTCCAAAAATACTATCCGCCGGCAAGACACTCCATTTAGACTGGGCTCTATTTTTTGCTTCTATATTTTTACCCCGTGTGCTCCCAGATTACAACTGCGGTGGGTGAAATTGGTTAGTACATGAAGAATACCTCGCTGATTGCTTGCGTTCTACAGCATCGGACCGTCGATGATGGCATTTCATTGTTGATACGGCAGGCGCGGCGACGGGCCAGAGTTCGGCAAAGTTCTTCGAAGATATCGTACTAAGCCCCAATATAGCACTGTATATAAGAGTAGCAAACTTAGGTTCACGTTTGCGCGGGCAAAAGATGGATTAGTCAATACCTATAAGAGTAGCAAACTTAGGCTACGCGCGGAAGTAAGTATAAGGTGTATGGAAGGATAATGTAAGATACTCACTTCACGTTTGCGCGGGCAAAAGATGAAGTGAGAACGAACGAGTATTCAACTATAAGTACGAAAAAGGCTAAGTAATGAGGAGTATCATATGTATTGTTGAGGTAGCGGAACTCAAGAGTGGGATAAAAGGGGGAACAGAATCGGTCACTAGGGTCCATGGAACATATGTACAGATGTCGGGGTGGTGGTCCATACACCAGGCCGAGATTGGGTTTGAGCTCGACAGGCGATCGGCTCTCGCATTACGGTTTGTCGTTCCAACACTCCCCCTCAAACTAAAGCGAGACCGAGGCGGGAAGCGAAATGTTTGACCTTCGAGGAAGGGAGAGCTTTGGTGAGAGTGTCGGCAACCATATCATCGGTGGGACAATAGACAAGGGTAATGGAGCCGCGTTCAACGACCCAGCGAACGAAATGAAAGCGAATATCAATGTGCTTCGTACGTGCGTGGTAACGATGGTCCTTGGTAAGCGCAATGGCAGACTGGTTGTCAGAATAGATGGTGGTAGGGAAGAGAGACATGTCGAAGAGTTGAGAAAGGAGGGAGCGTAGCCAGATGGCTTCTTTAGCAGTGTGCGTTGCAGCAACAAGTTCACTTTCGGTAGTGGAGAGCGAAATTATTTCCTGTCGTTTAGCGGACCACGAGACAGCACCCCCGTTGAGTAAGAAGGCATACCCAGTAATGGCCTTGCGATCCTCTGCCATACTTCCATCCGCATCGCCATATCCAACCAACTCCTGCTTATCACCTCCATACGTCAACCAGTACTCCCGGGTTCCAACAAGGTATCGGATGATACGCTTAACAGCATTCCAATGAGGCAGGCCAGGGTTGTGAGCAAAACGCGAGAGAGTTTGGACGGCGAAGGAGATATCAGGACGTGTTCCAAGAGAGGCATACATTAGCGAGCCGACGGCCTCACGGTATGGCACATCGCGCATTTGAGCATGTTCGTGTGGCGTGGAAGGTGACTGTGAGGAGGAGAGATTGTGATTCGTCTCTAGCGGAATTGAAACGGGTTTCGCGTCTTCAAGGTTGTAACGGCGTACGAGGGAATCAATGTAGGAACGTTGAGAGATATGGAGAGTGCGCTGTTCACGCTGGCGCTTGATCTCGATGCCGAGGAGCCAATGGAGTTCTCCTAAGTCCGAAATCTCGAAGTGCTTCCTGACAGAGTCCTTGAACTCGTGAACAAGGTCCGTGGACGTCGCCGCAATTGTACAATCGTCCACGTGAACAAGGATGATGGTGATCCCACGTACATCATGTTTGTAAAACACAGCTTGATCCACGTCACATCGCCGAAAACCCAGTTTCTCCATCACCTCGCACAATCTCTGGTACCAGCGTCGTCCGGCTTGCTTCAGCCCATACAAGGTTTTCACGAGAAGACAAACCTTTCCGGAGGAGTTTGGGGATGGGTAGCCAGGCGGTTGACGCATATAAATACGTTCGTCTTCGGTGAGTTTACCATTCAAATATGCGCCTTTGACATCGATTTGATGTAGTTCCATGTCCTCAGATGCGGCAATGGCTAGTACAGCACGGATTGCGGCCAGCTTTGCAACGGGCGCGAACGTGTCAAAGTAGTCAACTCCTGGTACTTGGGAGAAACCTTGCGCAACGAGGCGAGCCTTGCGTCGGATGATGTTCCCAGCTGCGTCCTTCTTGATTCGAAAAACCCATTTGGAGCCCACAATGTTCACGTTCTCGGGGCGAGCCACGAGGACCCAGGTGCCAGCAGATTCTAAGGTGCGTAGTTCTTCTTGTATAGCTTCTTCCCATAGTGGCCAGTCTGGTCGGCGGCGAGCTTCCTCCAAGTTCCTTGGCTCAAGGCCTTCCGCATCTGCGATTTGTGCTGCCAACGCCAATTCTTCATCCACCATCATCATCCAATCTGCTGTACCCTCCCCCTCAAGCAGAAGTCCATTGGGGTTTGGATCAGATGGCTCTGGAACTTGAACACCTTTCGCAACGAGCGGATCACTGGGTCGGTTCGATGTGCGACCGCGTCCTTCAAGTAGATCTTGTATCACTCTAGAAGGTTTCCGAGCACGTTTTGCGGGGGGATCCTCGACGGGAGGGATGACTGGTGTAGACGGGGGATCAATGGAGGTGGTGTGTTGAGGACCAGCAGGCAAGTCGTGAGGAGTACTGGATGGGCTTGAGCTGATAGCAGGTATCGTGACAGATATTTCTTCCTCCCCCTCAGCTCGAGGACCACTGGAAGTATTGTCGAAGTAGATGTTCCGTTCAGTGGTGACAGCGTGGCGGTCAGGCCAATAGATACGGTGACCTTTGCTCGAGTCATCAAAACCGACCCAACGTCCCTCCTTAACGCGGCCTCCCAACTTATCTCCACCTTCTGTGCGAACATACACCAACTCGCCCCAGACTCGCAAATCTGCTAAATCAGGTTTCTTGCCGAAAACCGCTTCGTAGGGAGTCATGCCCTTGACGGCCTTCGTCGCCGTCCGGTTCATGAGGTATATGGCGTGGTGAGCGGCTTCACCCCAAAGACTTCTGGGCAAAGCGCTGTCATGAAGCATTGCACGGATACGCTCGAGGATGGTGCGGTTACGACGCTCAGCAACGCCATTCTGCTGGGGGGTGTCATGAACGGTAAGCTTCTGTGTCGTCCCTTTGGACTTGAGGTGCATGACGAATTCCTTCCCAGAGTACTCGCCGCCACGGTCGGAGTGAAGGGTCTTCACAGGTGCGTCCAACTGAGTCGAGCACCAGGCTTCAAACTCACGATATGCTTCGAAGGTTTCGTCCTTTGAACGCAGGAGTTTAAGATGCGTATACCGAGTGTTGTCATCCGTAAATGTAACGTAGTATCGTCGACCGCCAATCGTCTTAACCGGAGCCGGACCCCACAAATCACTATGGATCTCGTCGCCGAAGTTCGCCGCCCGTTCGCCTTGTCGAACCTTTGGGATCGGTTTGCGAGTTGCTTTGGAGTGTACGCAAGAATCGCAAAAGAAATCACCATTACTACCCGGCTCCAAAGTTAGGCCTGTCACGAAACCATGTGTGATCAGACGGCGAGCTGCATCCGGTGAAATATGCCCAAGCCGACGATGAAGCTCTTCCAGTCCGACACGTTCTCCAGCGGCCATGGCACTCTCTGTTTCTCTCATCACCTTATATAGGCCCCCAGTCGTTTTTGGGACGACTCCAACGGTTATGCCATCGGGTCCTGTAATGGTGCATCTCCCATCCGAGAAGGTTGCTGAGAATCCATTGTTATCAAGACACCCAACCGAAACGAGGGTATAGCCAACTTCCGGTGAGTAAAGCACCTCCAGCAACTGCAGCTGAGATACCGAACTGCCATTAGGGACTTCGAGAGTAAGGGAGCCAACGCCATTTGCCTTGAACGCCTCCTTGTTTGCGGCTTTAAACGATTTCGGGGGGATCTCTACGTAATCCTTCAGCTCGTCCTTATATGGGGTGATATGGCGGCTGCAACCAGAGTCGTATAAATCTGTTCGTACATCATCTTGATTATCTGTGGGTTCTGTGGCCGCCGCAACTGATTCCTCTTCCTCCTCAGAGTCTGTCTCGAAGCCAGGAACGATTCCATCCAGTCCGAGCGAACCAAGCAACCCTTCCACAGTGAGCTCTTCGCCAAACATCATGTCTGCGTCACTCCCATTTTCTTCATCATCAGAATCGTCGGAGACTGGCTCAAGATCGGGAATGGTGTCATCTTCATTTGCGACCACGGCAAACGCGCCACCAATGTCAGAATCATCATCAGACTCTTCAGCCACATTTGCCGATGCAGAACCCTTCCCATTTAGCTCAGGGCATTCTCTCTTCCAGTGGCCATCCTGTTTGCAATAGTGGCAGGCACCTGTGCGCTTCCTCAATTCAGACGGTTTGCTGATTCCTGACGATGAGGATGTAGCTGCAAGTGCCTCGTCGTTACCATTGGTGCGCGAGTCCTGATTGCGGCGGCCGTAACGTAACCTCTGAGTGAGTTGGCGGGTATTCTCTTCGGAGATGAGATGGATCAGAGCATCTGGATCCACTTCTTCCTTGCTCATGTAACGAGTTGCGGCGATGAGGCTGGAGGCAAACGTAGACAAGGAGTGAGGTAAGGAGGACACAATTGTGGATCGGTAATCGTTGACGCTGATGTCGACTCCCATAGCCGCAAGTTCTTCTCGACGCGCCCGAAGCTTGTCGAGGAAATCTTTCATACTCTCGCCCCCTTGGCACCTGGACTGAAGAAAGGCTGTGCGTAGCTCCGTTCGAGCGAAGGTACCACGGTCCGTATACTCGCGAACAATGACGCTCCAACGCTCACGCACCGTGGGCTTGTTCCGGACAAGCATGAGAGCGGAATCGGGTAGCTTCTGTGTGAGGAGGGACTTCGCCGAGCGCTCATCCTTTTCCCACTTTTCTAGCTTCTCAGACTTTGCCACCGTCGTCGTCGTGGTAGCACCATCCGCAGGCGGGGTCACCGTAACTGTTGGCTCCTCAGGTCGGGCATCGCTTCCATCAAAGTGGCCCCAGAAGCCCTTCGCTTCAACGGCATCCTGGAAGCGCAACGAGAACACAGCCCAATTCAACCCTGACGAGTCAAGCTTAGGCACAGAGGAGGGTAGAGAGTCGGATAGAGCAGTGGTAGACATAGTAGGGGCAAGCGGTGTAAGCAGAGGGTGTGCGAAATTGATCTTTGAGGTTACAGCAAGGCAGGGCCCATAACCTATAAGAGTAGCAAACTTAGGTTCACGTTTGCGCGGGCAAAAGATGGATTAGTCAATACCTATAAGAGTAGCAAACTTAGGCTACGCGCGGAAGTAAGTATAAGGTGTATGGAAGGATAATGTAAGATACTCACTTCACGTTTGCGCGGGCAAAAGATGAAGTGAGAACGAACGAGTATTCAACTATAAGTACGAAAAAGGCTAAGTAATGAGGAGTATCATATGTATTGTTGAGGTAGCGGAACTCAAGAGTGGGATAAAAGGGGGAACAGAATCGGTCACTAGGGTCCATGGAACATATGTACAGATGTCGGGGTGGTGGTCCATACACCAGGCCGAGATTGGGTTTGAGCTCGACAGGCGATCGGCTCTCGCATTACGGTTTGTCGTTCCAACACTGTAATCCTTCGGACTGTTAACCACTGAAAGTAACAAGTGACGACTCGGACTATACGATGATTCGATTCGCCTCGTGCACTCCACAGCTTACCTAGAAACATCGGGACTAACACTGATACACCCCTACTACATGGACATCATCAAACATGACGTGGACTTGGGCTCAGAATAGCTTTCTGACGTGCTACTCGGCGACCATCGCACAAACCTCGCAGGTTGTTGGGCTCTACAGGTGCAGAATAGCGCGGGTTCATGCTTTCTATATCCCGCATCCACGATCCCTCCCCATCGCCGATGGGCTACCATCACATCTTACTTGCCGACGGCGCCACACACCGCCATTCTTGAAAGCCGCACCACCGCATATCAATTCACTCGCCGATTCGCAATGGTCCGCTGTTGATACGCTCTTCTCTGAGGTAATAATTGGCCGGGAGGCCAGGATTAGCCCTTCGATTTCGCCCAAGAAGAGGTGCCCCTCAGTATGGATGCCGCAAGTATTCTTCATCCGCGTTTCCTTCTTCAAGAGGTTCTCTGGAGAACAAAGTGGGCCTCGGACTTCCCATCGCGCCGTCGAGTTCGAGGGCAGCGACACGGACTCCTACAACATCCGTGTAGTCATGCTAGATCGGACGCCTGTTCGTGCGTGATGCTTGTGTCCTGCTGTTGGCAATTGCAACCTGTTTTCCGAGATTGGGCGCTAAACGGCGCCTGTTCGGCGACTACCGCATTTCGGCGAGTTTATTTGGGTTCATGCCTTCTGTCGGTGCATCTCGCTGACTTCCACAATTCATACTGTATTCTAGAAACTCCGTTCGGAACAGATTTATACGCAACTCTCCCCTAGGGGATACAATCCTACCTAGCTCAATCATAGAAGGGACTAGACAATACATAAACTTATGCGCCAAGTCCTCGCCCTCCCGTCCGAGGGCCACCTTTGTATTAGCATCTTGGTCTGCACCTCGGCTTCTACTAGCATGCCTCTAGCTCTCCATTAGTCTCACTAGCAGCATTCATAGTCAACGTGTCGCCCCTCGCCCATAAGTATTCCATATAAATATCGGCATCACATCCTCTAGACGGTTTCGCTCCTCCTCTCTCCCCGGACCCACCTGACATACTTGTCCCGCTGCCCTTAGCCGACGAGTCTTAGTCCATCTATCCTTGACGAATCAGCGATGTATTTCCAAACCGTCCTGGTGTTGTTTTTGGCGTCGTTCGTTGCTGCGGCGCCCATGAGGGTGACGTTGCGTGTAGGAGGGATTATCACTGGGGGATCGTCCATAGTGTCTGCCATGAATGTGGTAGACCAACATCATGAAATGGCTCGCCCTCAGCTGCACGGAGGCTTGGACTCGGACTCGGAGCACGCGAGCCATATGCTGCCGCCTGCCGGTGCTCAGGTCATGCTGGGTGAGAAGCCGGTTCCCGAGCCCAGTAGTTCTTCGCCGTCCGCTACCATCGGAGATATACTCAAGACGTGGAGTTGCAACCTCTCAGGGTAAGCCTTTGTAATCGCTACACTAACAAATGGCGCTAACAGTGAGGTTATCAATTAGGGCTGTACAGAAATTCAGCGTCAAGTTGAGGTTTCATTTCGGACCCAAGGCATCGTAAGTGAAGCCGACTTCGATTAAAGCTTCTAGTTACTAAAGCACCCCATAATAGACATGTTAGACTCCATCAACGAAAACTTCTGAGGTTAGTGTGCATCTAAACATTCTGTTCGACTTCATGATTAAATCATCTTTTCAGGAGTCGCCATCCCGTACGCGTTTAAAGTTCCATGAGAAGTTACAAGTGATTGAACCCTTCCCCTAGTGAACGACGATCGTTTTCCATATGTCGGCGCATTTCGTACAAGCAACCACTCAGCGTGTATGGTCCTGGAGCATTGGCAAAGGCCCATGCATACTCGATGGTCCACAGGGACTCGGGTTACTTACCAGTTCACGTCAGGGTCACAGTTGCCAAGTCCGTGCGCCCAGTATCAATAATGACGGATGATAGCATTCATTCAACGAAGTAGACACGATCCCTCCAGCGATATATATATTTGCATATAGACACAATCCAACGTTGTACATTATCATTGATTCCTTCCTTATGTGGCATGGCCTTTGACTATAATTATACCTTGGGACGACGAGTTCAAGCGTGGAATGTCACCTCCCATACCCGGAGGCACCCATCTGCACCACCGCTTACAAGCTTACTCGTCTTGGCGTCCTCCGACGTCCACAGGACGACATTGACGCCGCCTGGGCCAGCATTCTTGATGGCGATATTCTTCATGGGACGCTCCACGCTCCACACATACACATGGGTGTCGAGAGATCCAGAAGCGCAGTGTCTGGATTCGCTGGTCCAAGATAGAGAATTAACGCGAGCCGAGTGGAACGACCAGCGAGAAGTGACGAGCTAAAATGAAAAATGAATGAGGACCACATGTCACATGTTGATCAAATAAATTGCCCCGCCTTCTTCTCCTGAACGTCAAATAAGCAAACACGACCAGTAGACTGTGGAGAGGATATTGGGAAATCAGTTATCAAGTGGAAATAGGAAGACATACATCACCAGAGGCAATGTATTTGGAGTCTGGCGAAAAGGCAAGCGCGGAAACAGTGCCTTTATTACCATCTAAGACGGTTGTCTCCTTCAGTGCCTTTCCGTCCCACTGGTATAGATGTACTTTCTGGTCCTGATAGATAACAAATTAGCTCCAATCAGATATCGGTGCGCAGCGGTGGTCGTACATCACCGCCGATAGCCACAAGGACGCCACTTGCAGCAACGGCATGTGGTGAATATTTAGGTTGATGTGTGTGTATCTTCTGGTTAGATCTGAATGCCTCGATGCTCTTTATCTCAGTTACGAAGACTGTGGAGTCGCTGGCAACGGCTACTGAGCGAGGCTGGGAACTCAAGGTCGCGGATGCGTCTCTATGGAATGGATGAGACCATTTGCGTGGAATATTTGTTCCTTCCATGATTACTCACGTAAAAGACTGGCCAGTAGCCACGATCTCCTTCACTTTGTCATCGTACGCGATGGAGTATACTGTGCCGTCGGGAGATGTGGCTAAACCCGACACTAGGTTGGTGTGGCCTTCCCCATCAACGCTGTCGGATTCAGACGTTGCTGTCGAGAACGAAAGGATGCGGCCATCCGTGGAACCAGCCAGGAACGTTCCAGAGTCCTTAGACGGCGTGATGGAAGTGATGGACTTTTGTGGGCCCTAGCAAATAACCAGGTTATGGCATCGCCTGTCATGGAGTCATGAATTGGGACTCGCCTGAATGACACGCGTGGGTTTATCGCTATTTGCTCGTCTATCGAAAATATTTAGGTCGCTTGACATGGAAAGTGACACGATGTTTTCGCTGCCACTCCAAACATTCCCAACTTGTTGATGGCTGACGCCAGAACCTATTGTCCATGTTGTAATCCCCTTCTTGGTTTCCACGTCCCCTGGTTCCTGTTCAGTACCAAAGAGGTGGTACAGGGAAGATCACTCACATAGTTTGACAGTGCAATCCGCGGAGGAGGTAACGAGGCTTGAACTATCCGGGCTCCACGAACAGGCCATCTACCATATGTCGTACAGTGAGTTTTATACACAACAAGAGAAGGTTTAGGACGCTAACGATGGATCCTTTATGGGGGCTATCTGTTATTTCGCCTAGTGTATCCCCAGTCTTGCCATCATACAAGAATACCTTCGAGTCCGAGCCAACACTAGCAAATCGGTCGCCGGTATTATCATATCTAACGTCTTGAACGAATTTCGTGTGCGTTTTGATGACCTTTTATTAGGATGATTGATTGAAGGGGATGTATTCGATCGTGTTTGACACACCTTATCATATTTATACGGAACACCTATTTGGCCGTGACTGAGCCATAGAATCATTGAGTAAAACTAGACCACACCTTGGTGGAATATGATCGAACTGTCATCTCCTGCCGTGGCGGCACGGAAGGGGCGCTGCTGGCGAATTGAGACAGCGTTGACTGCCTTGGAATGGCCTATGATCTCGCCGCTCGATGTCCCCGTATCCATCATGAAGGCGTGTCCGAATCTACCCCCACGAATGAGCCAATAACGTATAGCTGGAGGATCAATCCTACTTCTCTTTACCATCGCCCACAGCGATGATTCGCTTACTCTCACCGTCCCAGGCAATATCATTACTTCGAGGCGTCAGTCAGTCAAGAGGTCCCCTCTCGCATGGTACAAGAACTGACATCCGCCCTCCGATAACCTTGTATTCTCCTTTCAAGGTTCGATCTTCCCCCACCGTGTCCCATACTCTGACTACAAATATACGCATTAGCCTTGATAATGAATAGGCTATGGATCTCACCTGTGCCACTGATGTCGGCGGACGCGCAGTAATACCCTGAAGGTGAAATTCGGGCTACAGTGGGATCCTTAACGTGCTCAGTGTACGCCGTCGACGAAGCGGGGTTCTGTAGTAAAGCGACACCGATGTCAAACCAAGCCGCTGGACAAAATCGTAGCTCTAACATTCAAATCGCGTATCTAGACGCGTCGTCAAACGACACAACACGATGAGGCTAAGATTCGGCGCGTACAATTACGACCTTTCCATTCGTGTAGACGATTTTATCCTTCTGCGCGCTGAGCTTAGTTGAGACCCCTCTGGTAGTCAATGGGTTTGGCGAGAAGATTCCAGCACGTTTGAAAGACATTATGGCTGTAGGACAAGTTCAGGCTGCGGTTGTTGTCGTCGTTAACCCGATTAGATAACAAAATCGATCCTGCAGATGAAGATCACATGTCCGGCGCGTCTAGCTGCACTCCCTTCCCTTCGACCAACGTACGTACCTGTGCCCTTCTGGGGCAGAAGAAGCAAGGATGCGCCATCTTATGGTATGCTTTATTCTCATGCTCTAATCTTGAATTACTTGCTCAACTTCTTTACCAGCCCCCACGTCTCCTAGCATACTCGCAGGATAATGTCGATGTCCAAAAGCCAGCCGGCAGGGAGCATGGAGAAGGAGCTTGAGCGCGTCGGCATTGAAGAAGAATACAAACCCACAACCCCCTTCCCATCGAAGGACGAAAAGGCTCTTGTTCGCAAGCTAGATAGGCGGATACTGCCCCTAGCATGTCTGCTCTACTTATTTGCATGTAAGTGACCCTTTGCTTCGTGTGCACCACCGAGTTTTAAATTCTGATTCCCCTGATAGACTTGGATCGCAGCAATCTAGGGAACGCTCGTCTACAAGGATTGCCAGAGGATGTACTGGCCGGCGACCCCACGGGTATCTTATTCGACTGGGTCAACTCTGCGTTCTTCTTCTCCTACGTGAGTACCATGTGCCTTAAGGTTGAATGTTGAGGACTCGATATTGATGCTAAACGATTCTAGATTCTATTCCAAGTACCAGCGACGATCACATCGAAGCTCTTCCGCCCCCGTTTCTGGATGGCTGGGGCAGCCATAGGCTGGGGTCTATCGTCAACTCTGATGGTAGGTCCCTAACACAGCCCAACACTTACTCAACCTAAATACCCAGGCAACCGGCTTCAACATCGGCGGCTTGGTGACTGCCCGCTTGTTCCTCGGCATCTTCGAGGCGTGCTTCGGTCCTGCAATACCCTTGTACTTCTGTAAGTAAACATTTCGTAACCCGCCTTTCTCTGGTGTAGGTTTCGTTTCTAAGGGAGATGCGCTTCTAGCTTTGTTCTATACGAAAACTGAGATGGGGACGCGCATGGCGTATTGGTTCGGGTTCGCGGCGGTCGCTGGCGCGTTTGGGGGGCTACTCGCGTTCGGGATCCAACACGCCCATGCTGCCATCGCGAACTGGAGGCTGTTGTTCTTGGTCGAGGTCAGCTTAGAACTTAGGGGCGATAATCATGTCCGAGCTTTTATTGTGATAGGGAATTCCTGCGATGTTGCTCGGCCTGTTCACCTTGTTCCTGCTCCCCGATCGCCCGGAGTCGACGCACTTCTTCGACGAGAGAGAGAGGCAGATAGCGTTGGAGCGTATGAACAGGGCGGCGAGCGGCGATACGGGGGCTGTAGTCAATAAAGGTGCGTGCTTTCCTGGACTATGAACATGAAGGATACCCTAACTGTTAACATTTGGTAACTGGTTCTGGTTGATGTCTGTTCGTTTAGCTCATATTGCTGCTGCGTTTCGAGATTGGAGGGTAAGTCACAATGCTAATGTTTCAATCACCCTAATAGTTGATGATCATCACCGCTATCGATTCCGATCGTACGTAGATTTACGTCGCCGGGGTCATCTATTTCGGCCTGAATTGCGCGCTTGCGTCCATCTCCGCCTTCCTCCCCACCATCATCCAGACATTCGGAAACAGTGAGTCTTCCAACTAACCCAACCAACCAAAATCCGCAACTCAACAATTCAACAATGCCCAATACTATATCTCAACAATAATAATGCCAATTTACCGCGACTAACCTACTATAACTAGCCCCCGCGGCATCCCAGCTGCTGACTGTCCCTCCGTACGCTGTGGCAGCGGTCGTCCTCGTCTGCTTCGCTATCGCTTCAGACAGGATGCAGAGCCGGGGCGTGTTCATGTGCATCGCGAGTTGTATTGGGGGCATCGGTTATCTGTGAGTGTGTCCTTCCACCTTCCACTCCGTACTGCGCACAAGCTGTATGTAATTAACAAAAGACTCGCAGGCTACTATTGACGGTCCCGTCGAACCAGCGCGTGCGGTACTTTGCGAGCTTCTGCATCACGAGCGGCACGTATGCGACGATTGGTATCATCATCGCGTGGTGTACGTACACCGTCTTCATATTCTTTCAAATTATCCTCTAGGTGGCTGACAATCGAATATGTATGGTATGTATATGTGTGTAGTTGCGCATAATCTCGGCTCCGAGACGAAGAAGGCCGCGGGCATACCGATGTTCATGGCGATCGGCCAGTGCGGGAGCATACTGGGCTCGCATGTATTCCCGAAGAGGGAGGGCCCACGATATATGTGAGCACAGATCCTATCCCAAGTTTTTTCAATGGTTTTCGATGATAGCTGATCATTGCTCCCGTCTTTGAAATTGTAGCAAAGGATTTGCGAGTGAGTGTCAACCCACGACGGATAATTCATTTGTAGTTGCTGACTTTAGCTGTGTAGTTTCGTGTGCGCTCGAGTTCCTCGCGGCCTTCTGTGCAATCGTACTTTCGGTCAGCTTCTCCCCTCACGGGCATTAGGAAATGCAGTGCATCTAACAGTGTTTCCCAAAGGTCTCGTACAGGATGGACAATAAGGCCAGAGATCGGACATATGGGAGGCCTGAGCCGGGCGGCAAGGTCGATACAAGGGAGTTAGCAGACAAGGTGAGAATCAGATGATATCAATAGAGATTGGATTCTCGATATGTGGAATTGTACTTGTTTTATATGGTTGCTGATCACACGAAACCCAACTTTCAAGGCCCCCTCGTTTCGCTATGTGCCTTAGAAGAGCTTGGAAGAAGAAGAGACGGTCGGACCGTGAGTTAGTGATGGGTAAAGTGTAGTGAAGTGGAAGTGTACCAGGGCTTATCAGGGCTTCTCCCCTGAGCAACATGGCTAAAGTTCGTTCTCTTGAAATTTCTTGTTTGTTGGTTCGACTTTTTATGCTTATGACCATTGAATGTGGATGGGCTTTATGTGACCTGTCTTTGATGCAACGAGGGGACCTTGTCTTCTCGGCGATCGCAGCAGGCTGCAATGAAGATAGAAACAAAGGGGCTTGTCCCGAAATTTGATGACTACGTTAACATGCAAGTTAAGTACTTGTCTACTACAGGGTGGAGAAGACAGTACACAAGGTTGGAGGCGGCTACACTACTTCCTGCGCTGCAAGCCCACCTGAACAGCTTTGATGTTCGTATAACTGGACGAACCACCGGTCTACATCAACGTCCCGTTTACGGATAGTTAGCAAACTTACTTGTGAAGGGCATACTCGCCTAAATCACGACCAAAGCCCGATTGCTTGAACCCGCCGAACGGCACGTTTGCATGGAGCTGGCCTGCACAGTTGACCTAAATCGCAACGTATGGCAAACAAGCCACGGTTTGTCAGATCCAACGGAAAAATGAATGGGCAGTGGCGCGGGCACTCACCCAGACTGTACCAGCCTTCAGACGGTGTGCAGTGTCCAAGGCCCTATTGGTGTTTTGGCTGAACACAAGCGCAGCGAGTCCGTAGATGGTATTGTTGGCCTGTCGGATCACATCGTCTTCATCCGTGAACTTGATGACGACGACGACGGGGCCGAAGATCTCTTCTTGCACAATTCGCATGTCGGGGGTGGTATCGGTGAATATGGTGGGCTTGATGAAGTAGCCGTCGCCACTGTGCTCTTCGCCGCTGTAGTGCACCGTTGCCCCTTGCTCGATGCCTGATTTGATATAGCCCATGACGCGCTATCGAAAGCGGAAGTTAGTCCAAAGTGGAAAGTAAAACTGGGATTGAGATGGCGTACGTCGAAATGGGGCTTCGAAACGAGCGGCCCCTCGTCGACGCCTTTGGCGAACGGGTCCCCAATTACCATCGATTTCGCCCGGGCAGTGAATCGTTTCAGGAATTCGTCATAGACACCCGCCTGAACGAAGATTCGCGATCCAGCAGCACAGACTTGGCCGTTATTCCAACTTTTGAAATCATTGATGTGAGTCGTATCAGAAGCTTGAGCAATACGAAGCAACGCACAAGATGCCCAAGGCAGCAGCAGCGACCGCCTGATCAAGATCCGCGTCGTCGAATATGATATTTGGAGATTTTCCCCCGAGCTCCAACGCAACACCTTTGATGTTGCTCTGGGAGGCGGCTTGCATGATCTTGCGGCCAACCAGGGTTGAACCAGTGAATGCAACCTTTTCGATGTCCAAATGGGCGGCGATTGCAGCGCCAGCTACTTCTCCGTAACCAGGAATGACATTCACGACGCCATCGGGGAATCCTGCTTCCTTGATCAATGCAGCCATGCGGAGGGCTGTGAGGGGAGTAAATTCCGAAGGCTTTAAGATTATGCAATTTCCTGTGGCGAGGGCTGGAGCGATTTTCCATGTCATCAAGAGCACTCCAGAAAAGTTGCAGCGTCAGCAACATGTCAGCCAGCCGATAAAAGCATAACCCACATGGGAAATTCCAAGGGATGATTTGGCCCTTTTGAATTTCGAAATTAGTGGGGTCAATGCTGATCTGACCGTTCGTGACGTACCACGACACCGATGGGTTCGTGCCGCGTGTAGGTAAGCTTGCTTTCATTAGTCTCCAGGGTTTGTCCGGTGATCTTGTCTGCCCAGCCAGAGTAGTACTTGATAGTTTCGATGGCCACTGCGACGTCTACATGTAGAGCCCAAGTGAATGCTTTACCTGTTTGTATATTAGCGCTATGGTGTTTTTCAACGCAGCAATGCCAACTGTCCACTTGCCATTGTCGAGCGCCTCTATCGCAGCCAGTTCTTCCTTGTGAAAGTCCATTAGATCGGCAAGCTTCCGAAGCAAAGCAGCCCGCGCCGCGCCGCTAGCGTTGAGGCCCCAGGTGGTGTCGAAGGCCTTTTGGGCTGCCTTGACGGCAACATCGACGTCCTGCGCGGTCCCTTCAGCGACCTTGGTGATCAATTTGCCAGTAGCTAGGTGACATAATCAGATGATCCGGTTGTATCGAGGATCATTAATGGTTACTTGGGTTGAGAACACTGAAACAGTCAGACAACGAATGGGTAATTTAAGTGCCAACAGATGTCTCACTCAATCGTTGTGCCGTGGCATCCATCGATAAATTTGCCATCGATGAAGAGGCCGGTGTTGAGTTCAGTCTCTCCCTGCCAGAGTTCCCCGGTGAATTTATACGAGAAGACTTGGGGCATGTCTGGGAGATGTAGGGAGACGGTTGAGGATTGAGGAGGCTTGTTGAGCAAGTAGTATATAGTATTTAAGCCAGCAGTGGATACACTGGCCTAGTACTACCTTTCAGCCATCAACGTGGGCGCAGCGCTGACACCATGCACATCGGGGGTATTCAATTGAGTATGTTGTGGGCGTCGATAGATGCTGATACCGTCAAAAGCGTAGGTCCTCGTGGGTTCTCGTAGGTCCCGCTATTTCCCAATGGTCGTTCGAACCCCAAGAAATGATTGCGTGTGTTGCATCAAACCGTCCGCAATTGGGGTGCTTAAGGAGTCGTGATACGATTACGAAGCTTCTACCGCCTCTGGTATCCCAAGATCAAAATACTTTGGGCTGGTACGCGGCGCCCTCTTGGATACAAAACAACGTAGCCGTTGATGTGTCGTAAGGCCACCCGGGGATGAAACGGAAATGAGAAGGTCCAGGTCCTGAAGACCAAGTTGACATTCAGTCTTTAGTCTTCTGTTCGTGTTTCAAGCCTCCAAGGAAAATGTGACATACGTCGTGTGTGCCGGTACAACACTTCGAGAATGGGATTGGCCTAGCCTCGTCTACGCAACTCGGCGAGTCTTTCGGGGAGAAGCTCTCGTGAGTCCACAGAGACGAATATATTGGATCAGATGTGGCTGAAGGAGGAACGAGCCCAGAAGTTCGGGTAGGACCCGCACGCCCGGAGTTTAGGCTGTAACAGGGTGCTCTGCCTTTGTATTACCTTTGGGTCTGCCTTGAGTTATTGTCGTTATTATTTGCGGTAGAGAAACTGCCTGAGGAGGTTAGCGGGATTGGTGTCACGTCAAGTCGGTGGGGCGTTGAGCGCTTGAGCTTTGAAGGAGTCCCTCGAGTCGACGCTTGTCAACAAGTTGAACCAGGATGGAAATTTACGAACACGTGTCATAGGGGTCTTTGTCACCGTGTCCACTGGCTTCCACTGGCCGATATGGAAATCATGTTGTGAACTACATACGTCAGAGTGTACAGTAAATGAAGACATGATCATTACATCGCTAAAGATACATAAAATTGGGGTTATTCGAAAATTAATGCAATGTCATTGAGTGTGGTAACAGTGAGTAGAGCAGATGAGTTCATGGTCGCAAAATTTGGCAAGTGAATATAAAAGCGAAAGCGAAGCGGTAAGTCGTGAACATGAAAGGTAGCTAGTGAAGCTTTAGCAATTTGAACAGATGTAGAAGCGTACTATATTTGGTTTGCTGACGTTCTTGCTCAGTCGTGTCGAGAACGAACGGAAAGAGGACGATTCAAATCCAAAATGTAAAGGAGAGTGAGTCCAGGGACCTGGCAGGCGAGATCCTGTATGGCAAAGGCCATAGTTAAATTATACATCCAACCGATTCCTTCCATAGAACCCCATCTTGGGTTAGCATTCAGCGCGAGCCACTGCCCCGTTAGGTAGACCAGCCTCGCAGCTAGATGTGGAACTCGATGAGTCCGGGGGAGTAGGCAGACCCAATCCGCCCCCGCTCCCTACGTCTCGAGTGCTCGTGGGACGAGACGGGCTCCGTTTGCCTTCACGTTCTTCCTTTCTCCGCGAAGAGGAATAAACTTCCGCTTCTGAGGGATGATGATGATGATGATGTGATGTCGACCTTGTTTGTGACACGGAATGCGAGTGCGAATGCGAATGTGATGCTGAGCGATGTCTCCTGCGTGTAGCTTCCATATGTCTGTCTTTCTCTACCCTCTCCTTATCTGAGCGGCGGTGTTCATGGCGGCTCTCTTTGTCTCTTTCTTCCCTTCTCTTCTCCTTGTCTTCGCGCCTCCTGCGTTCTTCTCTTCGGATCTCTTTCTCCTCCCTCCTCTTCTCCCAATCCTTGTCCTTATCCCTCTCGCTTTCTCGCCGCCTGCTGTGTTCCTCGTGGCTTCTTCGACTGCTATGGTACTTGGGCTCTTCGGGCCGATGATGACGATGCTCGCCCTCCCAGCCACGTCGCCGTTCCTCTTCCCGAGTCCTGCGGTCCCTTGAGCCATCACGAACATCACCACGCCCGTGTTTATGTGTCGACGAGGATACGTATATCGCCGAGCCACTTTCACCACGACTCTGTGAATGCGTATACCCGGCCCTGCCTCTATCAGCGTCAGAGTGAGCATGTCGGCTTCCATGACCACTGGCACTCGCAGACGTCGATGATGGCCCCGTCGTCGCACTAGTATCGGAGAGTCCTGTATCTCCGCTTACGAGGGGCGGCCGGTGAGCTGGGCGTGACTCAGTGTGCCCCTTTATGTCGGTTGGTGGTTGTGGCGGCTGCGACACGTATGCCTGGGGTGGGGGCTGGGGCTGAAGAAAGGCTTCGACGCCGGCCAAAGGCGTAGGAGGGGGCGCAGAGGCCACATACTGGCCTGTTGAAGGGACACGCAAAGGCGAGCTCGTTCCCGTACCCCACGTTGCAGCGCCTAAAGGCTTCATAGGTGACGCAGTGGTAGGAAATGCAATCACGCTATTTATTGACGGCATCGCAAGTGGCTGCGAGTAACTTTCACCAGTACTTTGACTTTGAGCTCGACTTCTGTTGGCTTGGCGGCTATGAGGCGCTTCGGCAGGCGAAGGTTGAGGGTAGTACTGAGGTTGAGGTTGAGGCTGAAGCTGGGATTTGGGGTGGGGGTGTGAGGTAGACCTTGACGCCTGCTGAGGCTGGTGTGAATGTCTTTTACTTGCCCGACCCTCCCCGAGCGGCGAATGTGATGCGTTCGTCTTAACAGCTTGATAACCCGCTTGAAATCCTCCCTGGTACCCGGCTTGGAAAGCATCCATTGGGAGTAGGGAAGTGCCTGTTGTAGGCGGGGCGAGATGCTGGGGCGAGCGATGAGAATGAGAGGAGCGGGGAGTCGAGTGATCCTGGCTTTGAGCGCGCTGGCGAACCATAGGAGGCGGCACGAGCATGGACGGCGACTGTGTCTTTGAAGACGAACTCTCTGCCTGCTGTGGTAGTGCTGTGTGGGAACGTGTCTTCGGAGGAGTCGTGGCGGGAGGGGCGGGTAAAGCTTTCTCCCTTTCTCTTTCTTTGCCCTTCTCCCTATCCCTTGCCCTATCCATTTCACTCCTCTTCCTCGTCCGCCCTTGTAACTCAGCGTCTACGTCGATACCGTCCAAAGAATCACTCTCGATCGGCGCACCCTCCACAGAGAAATCTTTCTTCCCCCCAATCCACGCCCTAGCACCGGACCCACCCAACCCGGTAGGGAATGTATGTGCAGCATCATCCAAGACGCCACTAACTACGCAATCCAGAACAGTGGCCGCTTTGCCGTGTGATCCTGCTCGCGACTGATGCGAAAGAGAAGGTACGACATCCCATCCGTCCTCCCTATGTTCCTCATGATCATCTGCCTTAAGAGTATATACCACTTCGCCCAGAGCCGACGCAGGTAACACATATGATATTGGCTTCGTGAGGTCGCCCGATGCGGAGGTGGTAGCAATGGTAACCTGATGAACGGAACTCGCTGTAGAGGTCCGAGATGTAGACGGAGTAGGCAACATAGACGAGAAAGGTGATCGTGAATTCAGCCCCCGCTGAAGAGGAGAATTCGAAGCGGATGTAGAGGCGGAACTTGTTGAGCCGCGAGAGGGGGGCGGGCTCGAAGTATGCAAGTTAGGTGCGGACGCTAATGAAAACCAAGAACATAGATGAGTTCGAAGCGGATAAAAATTATATAATAAGAACGCACATCCGGCGTTTGCACCAGCTCCTGCGCTCATCCCATATCCGATGATGAATTGTTCCATGCTGCTGGCTAACTTAGTTTTCTCCCCGGTGTCGTTGGATCCAGATGGCAATACGTGTAGAATTCGACCCTTCACTCTCCCGAAGCTACCGGTTGCAAGACTGCCAAACGTAGCAGGGGGGCTATGGTTGGTGCCAGTGCTCTCCTGCTCAGGGTTCCAAGTTCGATGTCTCTCTTTCTTTGTGCTTACTGGAGAAGCTCCTGTTCCAACATCCGGCACTTGCACGCTTGGGAGTGCATTCCCCAGCTGCCTCATCGACATCCCACTCGTCAACACCGCATCGACAATAAATGGGCTAACCAACGTCGTCATTAATATTGTATGTTTCAGCAGCACCTTCTCGCTAATTGCTACAACTTCGGTGGTTTGTTTTTGAGATCCGGATTTCGGTGTTTTTCTGAATGGGAGGCTCAGAGTGGAGGAGGTTGGGGGTGGTGAGGAGGAGACTGTGTATTGAGTTTCGGGGGGCGGGAGAAACGACATGACCACGTCGAACGGTCGGTGTGTTGGGTCGTGTTTTTGGGATGGTAGTGAAGTCGGGGACGTCATTGGTCGATCTGATGATGGTGCTCCCATCTTCGAGAGCCGGCGACCCATACGAGGCATGCGAACAGGTAACGAGAGCGCCAGCGACAGTTTGGACGTCTAACAAACATTCAGCACTCACAATGATATCCTAGTGGGTGTCTTACGTTCGGCTTGCTCATTACCACTTCACTTCCACCCTGAGTATGTATGCCATAGATGCCACTGTTATACCGCTGGCGGCGGCCACCCAACCACCCGTTGAATAAAGTCGAAGATCGAGAACTGGCGGCGGGGACGATCTCAATCCCATACTCGTTCACAGGGATAAATTCGCTCGAATCCAATGGGGGTTGTTCGGCGAAAAGAACGATCCGAATGATCGTTGATGGCGGCGGCGGAGAATGCGACGCAGAGGATGAACCAGACGCAGTAGAAGGTTGCGCTGCGTGTCCCTTGGCGTAATGATATCGACGAGCTCTCTCGGCAAACGCAAACGCTGTCGTATTCTTCCTCCATGCTCGTGCCAGCACTTGTGCACGTTCCAGCACGCGTACGAGCCGGAGAGCACCGAGAAGGATAGCCGGCGTGGCTATTTTGACCAAGTATAGTGTCGGGTATTGTACGCCGGGCGTCGGTGATTGCTGGAGAGCATTGTGGATGTCGTCCACAGATGGGGGTTTGTGAGAAATGAGGATAACGAGGGACTGGGAGAGCACCGGAGACGATAAGACAGGTCGTAGACTGAGCGGCTCGGGGTCTAAATGTGGCCGTCGACCGATGTGCCATCGTAAGTGTATTGGATCATAAATAACTCACAGATCAGCAAAATTGCCCGAAACGTGGAACTCGACCAACGCACCTCCGACAATCAAGACAACGTTCTGCATTGCGGACTCCAATGACTTGAGAGAAGATACATGCACATCCCACGTTGCAGGTGCCATATGGGCAAATGGGTCGAGCGGCAACTTGGCCGTTGGAGGGAAGAAAGCAGTTGAAAGTGGCCGCCGTCGCGAAGGGGGGTTATGGGCCATATCTGCAGCTTATTTCACGGCGCTGCAAGCAGAAGGGAGGCCGTCGGGCCACGTTCTGGCACGGTACGAGGAGGAGGGGAGGTCGTCGTTGGGAAGAAATGGATGACGAGAACCTTTTAACGAGTTTTTGTTGAAAATGACGACAGTTTCGGCCACTTTCTGCAGCCACTTGCTCCGACTATCCCCGTTTAGGTAGTTTCACCTTCCAACTTTGGACAAATCAGCCTCAAAATAGCTTAAAGCTATGTTTGGCGCTGTTCGGCCCAGCGCCACGTGGTCAATGTGTCGATTATCGGGTGAAATGTAGTCGGCAATACAGCAGACAAAATGGGTGAGGTGGAGAGATTTTGGCTCGCAGAAGCGAGGTTTCGACTGGCTTCGAGTCGAGGAAGGTGCCAAGAGTAGGAGAGCAAGAAGGCTACATAACTAATCAACGTCCCAAATGACGCCGACTGTTCGAGATGCTTGGTGGCTTGGCACCAGCCTGCCAGGACCTCGGCATCTGCGCTCGCACACTCCCTAAGAGACCTTAAGCTTAAGCTTGGTATGATGCTTCGACGAACTTCTTCGAGGTGGGGGATCATATATTGAATCAATCAGGGGGTCGCAGGGGACTGACGTATATATTCGCGAACGATAGCAGGATTAGAGAAGGTGGCACTCGGCTAAGGAAGATATCTAAACGCTGGGGCCTTAACGATTCATCATCAGGTGGGTATCAACTAAAGTAGCCATGCGGGTTTACCTTGTCGGCTAGAATCTGTGTATCTACCCTAGCACCAGGAATTGGTCGACCGTACACACGATCTCTTCTAGCATTGTCTAGGCGATAAGAAATCTGGGATTGAAGGAAGTCAGTTGAATGGATGTTGAGTAGTTCATGTTACACCCACCGACAATATGGCAGCACAAACGGCAGCTAAAAGCTCCAGCGCACAAGAGACTGAGCAGGTATGATTTCAGCAGGGCCTTAAGCTAGACATCGGCTACTTACTTGCGAAACCTTTGCTGTAAGGCGGGGACGATAAGTTATGGGCCGCGGGGGACCAAGGATGACAAGGCTTACATATATCTAGGACCTTCGCTTTGTGGGAAGATGTGCGAACCCAAGACACTACCGCATTGACCCATGGACATAAACATAGGTATGCCTGCAGCTCGCTTGGTTTCTGATCCGAGATTGTGTGCAACTGAATGGGTCTTCAGTTCATGACAGCTGCAAGCATCGAGAGGCTTACACCAAGCCATGATAAGCCCGATAGTTGTGTACGTGCCGCTTGTTATACAGAAGGTGGCAAAATAGCGCACGCGTACATTGTCGTGGACGACCAACAAGAGTCTAGAAACAACATGATCAGCCGAGTAGCACAGCAATATGATTGCTGCACTTACAGATATCCTATTGCGCCGATTACACTCGCGACTCCCATGAAAACACCACGGCTCTGTAGCCTATCCGATGCGAACGAGAAAGAGACCAAGATGACGAACGCGACGGCGTAAGGGGGGACGGTTAACAGCTGCGTTACAGCAGCAGCTAGAAGAAGTAGGGTCAGCTCGATAAGCCTCCACTGACGCAAAAAACGAGGCATACAATTGCCAAATGTCTGGATAATTGTTGGTAGGAATGCACCAATCGACGCAAGCGCACAATTTAACCCGAAGTATATCACACCACCGACGTAAATCTATTCCAGAAATCCAATTAGCATTTGCAACCCGAGGAGGATTGATGAACCTATGACTCACCCTCCAGTCGCGGAATGCGGCCCAAATATGCGCTGCGTGTGGTTTTAGCAAGGCCCAAGATTGATGACAGATAAGCAAGTACATTACCTTTGTTGACGGAAGCACCGACATCTCCGCTGGTAGCTCTGTTCATGCGGGCTATAGCAATCCTTCTCTCATCTTCGTTCAAAAAGGTTGTTGACTCTGGACGATCGGGAAATAAGAAAGCAGTAAATATCGCTAACACGACGGGTGGAAGACCCTTCGTCATACTTTAGAACCACACCTTTCTTGTAAGAACGAAGCTTACAAACCTCGACGATAAACAACAGCCTCCACGGTTGAAATGGTAGGCTGGCGTTCTGGATGCCGAATGCTATCAAGCCCCCAAACGCGCCGCCTACTGTGGCGAAACCAAACCAACAAGCCATGCGAAGGCCAATTTCCTTCCTCGTATAAAAGAAGGCTTGACATACGGGCCCGTTCAATGAGTATGCAGGTTTAAAGTGTCGGCAAACTCATCGTACAAAAATACAAGGGAATCGCTGGGCCGAACCCAGACTCGAAGACCCCTATGCACGCCCGAGCGGCGAGCAGGCTGCCGAAGTTGAAGCCCGTAGACTGTCAGGTTCACGAGGTCAATGGGTTGAGCATAACAGACCCATACAAGACATGATCGAAGGCAGCTTACCATCAATGTCGCGCAAGTACCCCATCCCAGGCCTGCGGCTGCCACCCACAGGCGGGGGCGAAACAGCTTGGACAACAGAGTCGCTGGGATCTGACACAAGATCTACACAATACCGTGTCCATCAGCATCAAGCTCTGAAGATGAGTACCTGCGACTGCGTACATATGCGAGGAAGAATGCAGACGTTATCCAGTCAAACAGCACACCAGTAGGGTCGCCGCCCAACACATCTTCGGGCAATCCCTGTAGACGTGCGTTCCCTAAATTACTGCGATCCAAATCTAAGAACGTAGTCAAGATATATGACCACTCTGAGAGAAAAAAAGGGCGAACATGAAAAGAGGTAAAGAGCGCAAGCGATGGGCATGATGCGTTTGTCCAACTTGCGAACGAGTGCCTGCTCTTCAGCAGACCCTTCCAGAAGTGGTGAGGGTAGACTCTCTTGTATTTCAATCTTCACATCCTCGTTGTGCTTTGAGTCGTGGCTGCTAATTGTCATAGTGCGAAGGTGGAGGTTGGATCGATGTATTGGCCGTGAAACAGTAGAACTGCCTCGGGCTCCACTCGAAGCCAGTCCGCAATGCTTTTATCCGCAAGCACACGGGCGTGAGCCAAAGATAGACCTTGAGATTTCTCATACTCGTCGACTGGGATAACTTTGCTGGTCAGCTGGCTTCGAGAATGTGAGAATCCAGGGCAACTGGTTGTACATCGAGCGAAGCCTGATGTTCCGATGGGAAGAATGGCCTATGTCCATGGTGGTTGAGGCACCACGCAGTGCAGGTAGTGCGCTCTCAAATGAAAGAATCACGATGTACTGCACATTATGGTGAGCATCGGCGAAAAGAGTTGGATTGAGAAGAATCAGTCTCATAAGGGTGCGACTTCCAAGCCGTAAAGTATACACTGTTAAAATGGTCAGCATTGCGGAATTCACTTGCTGGATGACCTACACCACCAGTGACTTTCTGTATTGAGTCTTGAACGAAGAAATTTCGAGAAATGCCTTTCTGTGAACGCATGGGTAGGTAAGAATCAGACAACACAGTCAACGGAGTAACTGTGTTTGGATGGTGAACTGATGGGATTCACTGAAGTGGCGCTCGCCAACGTTACGATGGCTAGCAATGTCTTCGAAACCCAGGTCCAATCTTGAGCTCGGATTTTGGTCGCGCCGGACGCAAGCCGGACGCGTCAGTCACATGATACAGTGAGTGGTCCGAGTCTCTACCTCACGGAAGCCTTCTATTGCATGACTAGTCGACAAACTCAATTCTACACCGTAGTTCGACCTGATAGATATCTAAGAATTGTCTAAGAAAAGCTGACAGCGCCGACTTGTCTGTCAGGCATCAACTTGAAGCCACCGATCCGTCCGCTCTCACTTTCCGAAACACGTATCTCGATACACCTTTTGTCTTCGTCTTGCTCTTGACGGCGCCGACAGCCGGTCTTCCTCCGTCTACTTCCTCCCCGCCCTCTCCCCCAATCGGCAAGTCGCCATTAACTCCCCCGCTTCCATCATCCCCATCCTTCGCATCGCCGTAAACTACCCGCCTCTCCAATCTATAACCATATTTCCTCGGCAGCCACCTCGACCATACATACCAGTACGACATCCCTACGAGCGATATCGACAGCGCCGCGACAACATGGGACTAACAACAACAACAAGTCAGCACCGTATTCGGAGTTGGGAAGAAATCCATTCATGATCTCACCCAGTACGGCAGACTCTTGTACACGCCCCCGCGCCCGCCGTCGGGCCGTGGTGCGGGCGGGACGAGAGGGACGACGATGAGCAGGAGGTTGGAGATGAAGAACCCGATGAGGAGGATTTTCGGCGCGCGGAATGGGGGATACCATTGTGAGAGAGGGGCGATCCATGGGAACGGTGCGGTTCGGGGGTAGGGAGATATCAGCGGTGTTGATGATGATGGCATTGAGGAGGGGGGTAGGGAGGGAGAATGAGAGGAGAAGAATGAGGACACAGAGGGAGAGTAGTACAGCAGGATGAGGCCGAGTGCGACGACTGTGTTGATGAGGGTGTTGCAGTACGATGACACTGGTGCGACGAGATAGCGGATCAGCGTTTATATCTATATTTGAATAGACGACACTTACTGTTAACCAAGAACAGATACGCGTCTCCGGCAGGTGGTATGAGCAACACCGCACAAGAGACGGCGTATTGCGTGAAGAGGCCAGGGAGGGGCGTGTTGAACGGTTTGTTAGAGGCAAAGAATGGAGAGAAGGGGAGGATCCCTTCGCGCCCGAGTTCCTGGATTACTATGGGGGGACGGGCGAGGTTAGTAGACGAACGGGAAGAAGAGTGGAGGGGATAACAACGCACTTCGTCCTTGGGTAAATTGCCCCGCTAGTAGGTTGCCTAGGGTCGAGAGCGCGATGAGTGCGCTTAGGATCTATTGGGTGGGTCGGTGTCGATGTCGGAAAGGAAGAGGGGAAGGGAAGGGAGTACGCACCTTCCCAGTTGCTTCACCGAATAGATTCCTGAAGAATAGCGCCCTGTTCACGTTCAATAGCCATTTGGATCGGTGTCCCTTGGATGATAGAATCGAATAGGATGATATATCACTCACGCAACGATCTCCCCGCTCCCCATCATTTCTCCCTTCTCCACCACACCCAAATACACGGTGTTCACGGCGAGGTAGAGGAGGGTCACGCTGAGGAGAGCGAGCGGGGCGGCGCGCTTGATAGTACGGATAGGATGGGAGATTTCAGAGAGGGCGTAGTTGGCATTTGAGTAGCCGATGAAGGACCTTGTAAATGTTAGTCTAAGTGGAAACAGACGGCAGTGGACGCACCAAATGACGTTATACAACCCCGTCACGAATGAGTTCACCCCAATCTCGCTGCTCCCTTCCCAAAAGTTATGCCACGAGTCCAAACTGGTGGAACGAGGGTATTTATGTCTCCAACAACCGCTGTTATACGTACCCGCATTACCAGTGCACGGGGAATCTTTAACGACGAACATCCCGACGACACCAGCGATAACGATGAAGCACAGAAATGCGAGTTTGCCGAGGCCAAGGACGTTGGAGAGGCCGAGGCCGAGGCGGACGGAGAAGGCATGGAGGAGGAGGTTGAAAGATAGGGCGAGGAGAGCGAGGATCAGGGGGGTTGGCAACGAGGGAAGCAAGGGGAGTGGAAGGGACGAGGGCAGGGAGCCCGCGTGCGCTGCGTCTGTCGTTATCCCATCAACACTAGATATCTCTATACGGTGAGGGAATACACACATTCGCCGAATACGAGGCTGTTCGCAGCACTTAGGTTCTATCGACATTCGTCTCGGGGGGTTCTTAGGGGTAGGGATAAGGGACGTACAGCCATCACGCCATAGAATGCGTAGATGCAGGTTGCGAGGAAGCGGGGCCGGAGGTAGATGTGCTCAATGTAGTTTTTCTCGCCCCCTGAGCGGGGAAGGGTCTATTGAACGGGGGACTCACAGTGAGCTCGTCGTGGACAGCGTAGACGACTCACAGTCCCAAACTCGATGTACACGGCCAACCCCATCGCGGCGATGGAAGCCCCGACGAGCCACATGAGGAGCGCGAGGGCGGGGGAACGGGCGGAGAGCAGGATCGTCGACGGGGTCGCGTATATACCAGTACCAATGATACGGTTGAAGATAAGGAATACGACGCTAGTAGTCCCGAGCTTCCTCTTCGAATGCGGGACGTTGTCGAAGTGCTCGCCGTGCTGTGCGTCGCCGCCATGCACAGGCACGACGGTGGTGGCCCCGTACGAGCTACTTGAGTCAAACATGGTGGTACGGACACGGAAGGCCTCTTAACCGCTTCTACGACTGAGTTATCTTCTTACGGACGTCGATTTGCCCTTTCAGATACAAAGTGTCGCTTCGAGGGAATACGGCCAGGATCCTTGTGCTTGAGCCATCCACGGTCAGTCACGCAATTCTCATGAAAAGTGACTGTTCACAACTACCTCCGCTGGTAGGATTATGACTGGTCATCATTGTCATAACGGGACTTTGAGTGTGCCACGGTACTTGGACGAGGATCGGAGTGAAAAGGGAAGAATTCAAAAGGGTCTGCAATCCTTTCAAGAACGGAATCCTGGACGGCTTGAACCAGCTCTGGGTGCCGCAATGCCTCAATCAACCATCAAGAAGACGAGGGATGTGCTCAGGCGATTTTGATGGTGCAAGATTCACCGTATCTAACTTATGTGTTGTCTAATACTCAAGTTCAAGCCTACGAGGACTTCCAGGCTGAAGTCGTCGAACACATGTTGTTTTCCTAGATGCATGTGCTAATTCTTCAACAATTCCTCCCACTTCGTCCGACAGTAGCACTGCGTTTGCCAGCTTGGTTTGCAAGGCTACGAACTAATTCGGCCTCTTCTTCACGAGAACAATACGGACGCCGCTCGCCACTGAACGTTCTCAATGCTCCAAATATGCTTTTCTATTCGTTTACGTTGCACCCTACGACGCTTGGTACCCACCAAGAATAACAGGGGGAGGTATGCGTGTATCTCCGAGATATACGGTCCCTCTGGACTGACTCTGATGCCAAAATCTGGATTATCGTCGGGTGCTGGTCCAATCGTTCCGGGTGCGATTCTTGACCTCAGACCGGTAATCGCGAGTTGGGAACAAATCATCGGTGCCTCTGTAGGTCTGGATATCTCCTCTAACCCTGTCGCGGATTATCACCGGGTACCTCTTGGTGGTTCATCTGATCGATGACTCCGTATAAATTCGACCTAGATTACGGCCACTGCACCATCTACTATATGGGTCCAACTACGACGCTCGCTTTACTCTCTCTCGTGCTTGAAATATACGCACAACATATTGGCACTCTTACGGCGGAGGTCCATCCATCGTTGGCGATCCAACAATGTACCCTCGCTCAAGGTTGTCAAACGATACAAAAATCGGTTGTCCTCGACGCTAACTTGCGGTGGACCCACCGCACCGACGGATACACAGACTGCTACACGGGTAACACATGGGACCCGGTGCTGTGCGACAATAATCCGGTACTCTGTGCTCAAAGCTGCGCCGTCGATGGTGCTGATTATCCTGCTACCTATGGAATTACCACCGCTGGGACGAGCATCAGTCTTCGATATGTCACGGAGGGCCAGTATCAGAGGAACGTTGGATCGAGGGTATTCCTCTTAGACGACAATAACAACTACATGCAATTCCGCCTTGCAAACAGGGAGTTCACGTTTGATGTGGATCTCTCACAAATGCCGTGCGGAACGAATGGGGCACTGTATTTCGTCGACATGCACCGCGACGGAGGTCTCAGCGCTTTCCCAGATAATCGTGCTGGGGCCCGCTATGGGACCGGATATTGTGACTCACAGTGCTCGCGCGACCTCAAGTGGATTGACGGAGAGGTAAGGAAGACATCGTATTAACTACATATTATCATACTCACCTCTGATATCTAAGGCAAACTCTCTCAATTGGACCCCGTATACCGACTCGAAGGGCAAAGGGCACTATGGCGGCTGTTGTGCAGAGGTGGATTTGTTACAGGGTAATGCGCACTCGTCTATCTGGGCGACGCATGCTAGCCACGGCCCCGGTCCCAGCCGTTGCGCGGATGTGGTCGAATGCGGCGACAGGCCATATTATACCTACGATGGCATTGGCGATAAGGATGGTTGCGAGTTCAACGCGTATCGCCTTGGAAATCCTTCTTTCTACGGTCCCAATGCCGTTATAAATACCGACCTCCCGTTCACCGTGACCACACAGTTCATCACTGAAAACGGTGACGATAACAGCATTGTTGTCGAAGTTCGTCGACTATACAAGCAGAATGGCGTTGTCATACCTGCACCCCCAAGCAACATCGTCCCTGCTCCGTCGACTGGTTTGACCACTTTCGGGCCATACGACACAATCACCGACCAATATTGCCATGATATCAAAACTGTATTCAACGACGTGGATATGACAGATGCTTACGGTGGATTACAGCATACCGTCTTGCCCCACTGGTCACACGATGGACTTGTTCTGGCATTCAGCATATCTGATGATGATGAGCGGCATATGGAATGGCTTGATACCCCACCTCATGGACCTTGCGCTCCAGGCTCCGGTGTTCCCTCAGACTTGCAAGCGGAATACCCAACCTCACGGATTCAATTCTCAAATATCAAGTACGGGGAAATCGGATCGACGTATTAGGTAGTCAACGGGTTGTCCTGCTTTGTGATTGCAAGCCCCAGTTGTGCCTATGTTTGCGTTACGGTCGCATCTCGGCTTATACGCGGATGTCATTCTTATTGTGCTCTATCGATTGTGCCTGTACTCAAGCTGTACCAGTATATAGTGTTTATCAACGTACACTGCTTGACTGAGACAGTCCGCTTGGTTTAGCATTAAGGAGGTACGACCTCAGGATTCAACGAGGTAGTGAGGTAGGAAGGAGCGCAGAGACCACATGGTATTATGTATATCGCTCGTCTGAGATGAAGTAGATGAAGCTTGAAAACAAGCATCAGATGCGCAAACGCGTTTGAAAACAGTCATAAAAGTCGTAAAAGCCAGGATGTACGCATGAAAGGTAAGGGATAGCGAGTGTAGTTTGAAGCGACGCGTAGGCGAATGAGGGGGTGATGCTTGTATATATGGCCAAAATCGGCGTTGGGCTAAGATAGAATGCGATGGGAAAAGTGAAAATGTATAGATTCCTCCCTCGAGATATGTAATGAACGTAATTGAGTAGCCAAATATGAGATTGCTATGTTGCTAGGAAAAGGAAGCTGATGGAGAAGAGGAGCGGTATAGATTATTACTGGAAGACGATTATTTTGCTGGTGCAAGAAGTTGGACCTTTTCCTTCAAGACGCTGGGATAGCTGTTCATTAGATGCGCGAGGGCGCGTAGGTCTTCTTGATCCAGAAGGGCAATGGTGATCTTGGGCTGTAAGAGGTGTGAGCGGGATGTAACGAGATGAATGGTAGGCTGAACATACGGCTCCTTTGATACCGAAGGACTTGACAACCTTGAAGCTATGTAAAGAAGGAAGATCAGCGCCCAGTAGTTGATGATCGACGAAAACCCAAGAGATGACGTACAGCTTGTCACCGAGTTGCTGCTTCTGCGCTTGAACTGGCTTGTCGAGAAGACCATCAATGAACTCGTCGGTAGCCTGGACGACGAGTGGATCGGCTTTCGGTAGGTTCGCACCAGAAGTGGACGTCGCCATTCTGATAATCTCTGCAGCTGGCAACTTGGCCAGCGATGGAATGGTATATGAGATGCTCCCAATGCTGCCGGGTGTGCCAGGCAATGGAGAGGATGCGGCACTTGGTCCGCGAGAAGAGAGATCAGGCGTCTGAGGAGATTCGGCTACTTTGGAAACGGCCGTCTTCTTCGCCTGGGGTGTTACAGGAGGAGCCGACTTTGTCGATTGCGCATCAGCCTTCTCTTCTTCGTCATCGTCGCTCTCCAAAACCATCTTAGCGTCAGCCAGTTTGGCGCGAAGAACCTCGGCATTGAAGAGACACATAGCCCGCTCCCGTTTTGGCAGACTCATCAAGAGGTCAGTCAACTCATTTTGACGAGAAGACTCTAGCTTGTTGATAGCGGCAGCCATGCGATCGCGTTCGGAGGTGGGAGGAACAGAGCCAGACGGCGAAGATGTCCGAGGGGGTGTTGATAATGATGCATTGACGGAAATCGGAGTCGACGGATGTTCTGGGGCACTGGCAGTAACCGAGGCAGTTACGTTCGGATTGAGGAGCTGCGAATCTTGAGAAGCAGATGGAGACGGAGATTTGTCGTGGAAAGATCTTGTTGGCTTCAACTTGTCTTTGATATGCTCGACGTGTTCAGCTAACTTGTCTGGGCTCTCTATGCACTGAACTGCTTCACTGAGGGAAACGTTGATAAGAGACTCAACAATGGCATCTACATCATCCGCTGGGACTGTTCCTAGATTTTTCACCCGGCGACTGAACTCTCCGGTGAGGACTTCCTTGCGCACAACAGGCGACAAGGCCGAGAGGTCGTCATAACGCATAGGTAGGCTTAATGTGCCAGATAACGCCGCCTGCGTGAACATAAATGAGTCAAGTATTCGCAAAAGAAACGTCGTTCTTACATTATAGTAACTACCAGATCCTCGCCTACCGCGATCTGGTCGTTCGTAGTGACTGGCACGAGGTGAACCAAGAGGAGAGGCGTGATGGCGTGGGCTCGCCCAGCCGCCGACATAGCTCTCGCCTCCCTCACTGAGAGTAGGACTTGTTGCACCACTAGCGCTGCGTGGGTGCCCATTATGCCCGAAGCGTTGAGCTAATTTTTCTTGCCGAAGTTGCTTAGGCTCGTGGAGTCGTACGACCATCTGTTTGCTCCCGATCTGCTTGCCATTCATTGCGTGCATAGCAGCAGCGGCTTCGGAGAGTCAGTCAATACGGCGCAAACTCGCTGGTGCTTGTATGTGTTGCTCACCTTGATCTGGAGTATGGTAGGAGACAAAGCCAAATCCACGACTTTCCCCATTCTCATTACGCATGACGCGAGCGCTCACGATTTGTCCAAACTAACATACAAATCAGTTCATGTGATCCGGGAGTACCAAGCAACCGAGTAACTTACTTCACGGAAAAGGGAGAATAGAGAGTTTGAATCTAGCGTAGGATCAAGATTCTTGCAAAACAAATTGCAGGGATCGATCAGGCCACTGTGACTACTTGAGCCGGGACCGCTCATTGGCGCCAGCTGCACTTGCTGACCAGGGCCATGGATGAATGGAGGCTGCACAGGCGATCGATAGGGACTAGCACGGGGAGGCGAGTAGGTGTAAGGGTAGGGTGCCGATGGCACGAAGGCGGGTGCGTTTGTGTTGAATTCCGTAGCTGCACTCGCTCGCCGGGGTTGATAAACCTGCACCGCAATATTCTGCCCATCAAGCTCTGCACAGTGTAACTCTTCTTCCGCACGCTTCGCGTCTTCCTCCCTCCAAAACTCTACCATGCCTGTGTCCGGCCCGAACTGCGTTTGGGCACGAGTTGATGCCAACGCGCCATAAGGCCTGAAAAGATCGTAGAGCTGAGAATCTGTGTAACCAGGGGGGAGATGCTTAACCAAACGCGGCGACGCGGAAGGGGGAGGAAGGGGTGTCGGTGGATTGGTCGGTGGATAGGGTGATAGCACGAGGGGTACATGTTGTGTTAAGCCCGGGATAGGTCGCGCCTGCAACGTCGCTAACGCTTTCTCGGCTGCAGTGCCCAATATTCATGAATTTCCATTATCTCATTAAGATCGGGGAAACCGAACCTTTCTCAAGAAAGCGGAATTCTACGGTTCCCGACAAGACAGAGCCAGGTATGTCGCGGGGGATGTTGGGCCTGAAAGGGCCGCAAGAAGCGAAAGCCATGACAATACTCTCGTCGGAAACGTAAGTCGGGACATTGGTGATATAGAGCAATGGCTCATGGAGGTAAGGGTGTGGCTGAGGTTCCTCATAGTTGGCCATCGTAGATCTTGAGTATCGGCAGAACCGCAGAAGTAATCAATCAGAGAAGGGAATGGGGGACTCTTGTCCTGATTTCGTCGTCTCGCCGACGCCTCGCGGCGCACAGGTGATGGGGGGAGCGAAAAACACAACACGCTTGATTTCAGGCAGGAAATTTCAAGTCCACATTGTTTATGTAATGATAGGCCGTACGTGGGAATATATGTGGGACCCCTGTCCGTCACATCACGGTCACGTGTGTGACGCGCTCAATTAAACGGCTAGCACCAACAATGCCACACGCTTGAGTCGCATCCACTCACTGCATCCTCCCACACATGAGTCTTTCATAACCTCATATTTATGCCAGTCTCGTTATCGGCTCATCTTGTGGACTCCTTCTATCAAAGCGCAAGGCCGCCACAATCACATCTACCCTTCCATCAATTCGTCGATAATTCGCTCGTCGGGCAGCCCAGACATTCTTCGCAACCAGGAAACGACAATATAATCACTTTTGGGAGAGCTTCATTTAATGCTTCTATGCACGGTCGCTCAGAAATGGATCAATCAATGTCCTTCAATACTTCTTCAGTGTCGAGTTCTTACTACGGAATGGACGCTCTGTCAATGATAAACGACCCAACTCCTTCATACATGGATCTATCTCAAGCTACGGCCGCAAAGATTGCCACATTGCAGGCCAAATTGAATAAGAAGCTTGGTCCTGAATATATATCGCAGCGTCCAGGACCTGGTGGCGGTCCCAAACTGACATATGCAGAAGTTCGTATGCCCCTCCTTAATAGCGAAAGATGAACTAAACGGAGCTTGCCAGGGGTGGAAGATAATTAATCTTGCAAACGAAGTGTTCGGTTTTAACGGATGGTCGTCCAACATAGTGTCTCTCACGACAGACTACATAGATACGCACGAGGAAGGCAGAAGGCATAACGTCGGCGTTACCGCTATAGTCAGAGTTACCCTTCGCGATGGTGTCTTCCATGAAGATGTTGGATATGGGGTGATAGAGAACGCAAAGAGCAAAGGGGCTGCTCTAGACAAGGTGCGTACGAAATGACCGCTCTGCTATTTTCGCATCCATTGACTATCACTTCTCAGTGTAAGAAAGAGGCGGTAACAGACGCTATCAAGCGTGCGTTGCGAAATTTCGGAAACCTGCTTGGAAACTGCCTGTATGATAAAGCATACACGCAGGAAATCGTGAAGATCAAGGTCCCACCTGTGAGTATTGGTGATTGGATTTGATTATATATGCTGAGACACATCTAGCCCAAATTTGATAAGTCGGACCTTCACCGCCGGCCAGAGTTCGAGGAGACGAAGCCGGATATTCGTCAATTGGAGGCGGGTTTGTCGACTAGTGGGATTGCATCAACATCTCATGCACCACAGCAAGCCTGCAGTTCTTCCAGTTCATCGATGAACAGACCCTCCACTAATCCAGCCAATCTTCAAAGAACTTCCGCGGCCGTTGCCACGACTTCAACTTCAACTCCCGTCGCAGATATAAAGGGAAAGGGTAGGGCGGTACCGGGTGCAAACATTGGTTTAAACACGCCAGTCACGACACCCGCGAACCCTGCTGGACGCCCCAACGCGAATCGTGGTACAATGCCCCCACCCCCGGCATTTGGCAAAGCATTCAATTCATCCGTTTCAAATGGAAGTGTGCAGCGCCTACCTGAACCCAGAGCCACTGGCTCTGCATCCACAGGGATAAATCAACCGAAGATGCCCCCACGACCTCCTTCAGCGCTTTCTCGTGGTCCCAATGTCGAACCAGTATCTGTAGAACCACGGGTCAGCCACAACATCGACCCCGGGCTACCTGAAGAAGCAGAAATCGACCCGGACGAATCTTTCGGCTTTCTTTCAGATGATGATGCTTTCCTTGCTGCTGTAGATCTCGGTGAAGGTGATCTCGGCAGACCAATTGATCCCGACGAAGGTTTGGGCGGCCCCGCACTTAGTGCTAATTCCGTCCAAAGCGAAAGTGAAATCTTGGACACAAATAGGCACGTTTCAGAGCAAGCGCAACATGTTCGTTTCCAAGAGGCATCACACCAAGAACGCGGAACGCTTTCTGGTGCAACGAGGCCGTCTGTGCGAACCGAGTCGGGGGTCGGCCAGCGAGCAACTGTTGGGGCGGAGCAATTTCGAGCTGCGACGCCGGGCTCATCAGCGAACTCACATCAGCTGAGGTCTGGAACACCTTCCATGGGAGGGTTCCATTTCCCTGCAGGCGTGGTCGGTTATGTTTAGATCTCTGTGTGTCTTGCGCCTCACGTTGGTTCATCCAGAATCCTACCCAAGAAAATCCCCAGTTACCAGCACGAAACGGGCAGCGCCTCACTCTCGGCTCTGGGATCTTGGGGCTCAACAAAGACCAGTTCAGTCATCTATTTATATCTTGCTTCTGATCTATGTTTATCCGTTCTCCCGATCACAGACCTCCCCAAAGAAGAATGACGGCAGGTATGGGCCTTGGTAATCAGAACCAAAGGTTAAATCCTCCAGGTGGGGACGGATCAGCAAAACCATCCTTCCAGCTACCCATCGACCGTCGTCAATCCGATGCAAACACGATGCAGAGGGGTGTGAAGAGAGAAATATTGGGCAACTTGGATATCGGAGTGGAAGGCGATGTAAAGCGACCTAGACATTGATTATCGCAGTCGTTGAGTCTTGTATTATTTCTTGTTTCAACTATGCATCGCACGCTGTGAAATGACTGTGTTAGACCACTTGGAAAGTTGGATGGAGCGGTAGCATCTGTATATGTTCCCCCGCCTCCCTACGAGTATGACGATAGCCACGCCTATGGATTTCAACTTCGGCGATATCAAGCAACATAACCGCGAAGGTCACATTTAGGAACACCAACTCATTAGAACTTCTAACTTACGAAGCAACTGGCGGTTCGGCGACATACTACATCCGACAGCTTGCTTTTGTCTTCACATTCGGTGTGGGAGTGGCGTTCTGACTTTTGTACTTACAGGGAATGTGAATGACACGAAGCTGACAAGGTGTGTTCCACATTGTTGGCTTGCTCGCTTGCTTCAAACTCATTTCTACGTAAGGTGTTATGAACTCCATCCTGAGGCTGGCTTCCTCGTTGGAACAAGCCCAGGCTGAAAGTATATAAAGGGCAGAACCTAAGCGCACAGAATACCCAGAGACACGGTGTTTTAGCTCTGGGAGTCCCCCCAACGAGCCTGACCGCTTCGCTTCATTTCGCAATGTCCACTCTCCCTTTCATTTCCCAGATAAAGTCACTCGTACAAGTTTGCACCGGCAACGTCGATGGTGCTAGGAAGACATGGAACGAGTTCACCGATGCTTGGACTCACCACCCGGGCAAGACTATTGGAGACATAGTGGATGGCATTCCAGTCGTTGGACACATCAAAGGTACCTGCCACCACGGTTTGACATATTGGATCGTTTAAAACATTGCCTTGTTTTATAGGCATCGTCCACTTCGCCATGGGCGACACCGAAGAGGGGATTGAGGCCGAAGAATCGGCAACCCGCAGCCTCGCTGTTATCGGCGCCGCAGCGTTAGCTGGTGCCACAGGTGGAGCTGCTCTCCCTGTTTTAGCTGCTGTCGTGGCAGGCGTCGCTGCAGATGGAATATTGACCGGTGTGTCGCTCTTTCGGCTCTGCTATATTTTACCAGACAAGTTGCTGACCCTTCTGCATAGGGATCGAGAGTGCTCGGCATCATAAGTACGATCCTCAGGGCATGATCGGTGTAGGAACAAATGTCGTCAAGGACTTCTCCCAAAGGAGAGAGGACAGACTCGGGGGCGACGTCTTTGATGGTGTCGTTATCGCAGCTAGCGACGGGCTAATTGGAAAGGGTGGAGTGAAAGTCAGAGCTGGTGCGACGACAAGAGTAAGTTATGGTTCTCAAAGATATCCCTTCACTATCACCTTGACGCACCCTTGATGTTAGATATTCCGTGTTGAGGGGAAGAGTCTCATACGTCAAGGCGACGGCTCTCGACTAGGTCACTTCATCGCTGGTGATAACCAGCGCATATTCTATCACAACGGTGAAATCGCCCCTCGAGAACGCCTACCTCCCCCATCGACAGCGGAATCCTTACCTACTGCCCACATCCCCCTCGAACCTGAGCCTCGCCCTGGAGGTCCTTTCAAAGGTGGGGACATCATCGACAGACCAAATTTCTTCCTACGTTTTGCCCCGGACTTCTTTGACGACAACGGGAAAATGATATTTCTGAATTTTGGAGAAGAGGACAGGATGTATGCGTATTATGCACAGAAGTTGCTCGATCATCGGGATTTGGTGAAGAAGTATAAGGAATTGTACCACGGTGACGTGCCTAGCAACGTGACCGAGAAAGCTCATGATATACGCGTCAAGTCGTTTGAGGCCAGTGCCACAACTCCGCTGTGTCGAGCAAAGGCAGAGGTTGACATCATTTTAACAGGTACTTACTCGCGACCTCGACCAAATCGAGAAAGACGCCATAACCGAAAGACAAAAGCAGCAAAATCCCGATTCCTATCGCGGCGTACTTAACGTTGACCTGAAAGCCCCCAGGCAGTATGGTCTTACCAGCAACCGCTACACGCCAATTTTCAGCAAAGTCATCAAAGACACCTTCCGCTCGGAGCCACTCTGGATCAGGCATCTTCCCACGACACTCCTCAAACTGATCAATGAACATCCTGTGGCTTTTGGCAAGATACGCACGTTCAAATACGCGCCGGTGGCGGCAGGTGCAGTTCTTCATGGTCGGGTACCCATCCGGGATGTCCTTAACATAACTACGGAGGAGGTTTCTAGCGAAGATGTCGCTCCTCTGGTTGTGGCGCACTGTCGTCATGTCAAGACGATCACGGCAGCTACTGAAGAGAGTCCTCCTGATGTCTCCGAGCACTACGAATATCTCGTCAGGTTCGATGAAGAATCACCAGCAGAGTGGTACCCCGAGACGCTCGTTTCGAAGGATCTTCAGGACGATTTTTATAAACGCGCTATGGCTTCTGCGCAGCCTGTACACTCATTTGATCGGTCCGACCAAGGGAAGCTTATCGTTCAGAGGCCAAGTGGATCCTGGGATGAGATTGAAGACGGCCAGATTTTCTGGAATGAGCAGGCGTCCGGGGAGAACCCTCTAGGGGTGCGCGAGCTTGATGCGATATTGTGCCACATGTATCGCAACGACTCAGACGCCGGTCCTCGTATATCTCTCGCCACCGACGACGCCATCCCCGCTTTAAATATCTTGCACAATCCGCCTTGTGCAGACCCCGAAGGTCAACCTGTATATCTCGCATCGGCACTTGACTTCAAAGGTGGGGTCCACCCTTGTAAAGTTGCACCCCATCTTCGACCTGGGCACTGCAGAGTTTCCTACGGAGGAGCCGAGGTTGTACATCAAGGGAGGTATGAGCTGTTGCCTTTCTCGACGGAACTTATGGAGTTTGTGGATACGCAAGGAGGGCAGATACCTGCGGGTAGACGAGTGGTCCTAGGCGGATACGAAGATGGAAAGCCGCTTTATCATGCTCTCGTCGATATTAATGGTGTTATGGTACCCGGGAAGGCTGCGCCCCATCTTGTACGTTCTCGTTGACGCCTGCCATTTGCTGAAATCAACTAATTTGTTAACAGGGAGATAGAGGGGGAGCAGACGCTCCGTACAACGACACAGAGAATTGGAGATATGAACACAAGATTTTGTAAGTTGGAATTGTACGGGCATATGTTTTTAAGCTGACCTGCCGTTCTGATACAGATGCTGGAGATGAAATACTGGCATTCATCAATAGCTTGTCTTACATCACTTTTATATCTGGTTCCTTTTCTTTGTGGAAGATTGACCAATGTCCTTTTTGCTTGATGTCATTTCGAATTGCTCGCTACTACGCCATTTACTTGTAATATATACTGTCTAGTAGATTCAGAGTCTCCTAACTTCAACATACACCGCGATTCCAGGAAGGACAGCCAGGAGCTAGGGGAAGCCCTGACAGGGGAGAGAGACGCCATCACGTGGTATTTTGATCGAGCTTCGCACGGTTACACCATTTCGCTAATGACCTGATTCCAAAAAAATCCTGAGAGTTCAAAAGGTCTCTTCCACTCCTTCGATTTTTTGTTAGACCTTTCCTTCCTCCTTCCCATTTCCCCTGTACGTTCGACTTTGCTTTTTGTCCGTCTATCCTGTGTTCATTAGCCTCTAGATATCTCAATGGCCGCCACCGCTACAGTCAATGGACAGAACCTTCCCGACGGTCGTGTCAACGACCGTATCGAGAACTACACCAAGTTCTGGCAGAAAGACATGGGGAAGGAGGCCAATGTTGATACGGAAAACCGAATCGACAGTTACACCGACGTCGTCAATGGTGAGCTTGATAACTTTCAGGAGAGGAAAGTACACTAAAACCTGTATAGGGTATTACGACGGTGCCACCGAGCTCTATGAGTATGGATGGGGTACCTCTTTCCATTTCTCTCGCTTCTACAAGGGGGAGTCCTTCCACGCCTCGCTTGCTCGCCATGAACATTACCTTGCCCACAAAATGGGCATCAAGGCCGGCATGCGTGTCCTTGACGTTGGCTGTGGTGTTGGTGGTCCAGCACGCGAGATAGCGCAGTTCACGGATGCTCAAGTCGTCGGCTTGAACAACAACGACTTCCAGATCGGCCGCGCTCGCAAATATACTCAGAAGATGGGCCTGCAAAACCAAGTCTCATTTGTCAAGGGTGACTTCATGAAGCTTGCTGAACAGTTTGGAGAGAACTCGTTTGACGCTGGTTAGTATTGTCCGGATTGTTTGGTGCTCTTGGCTCATCGCTTCCTAGTGTACGCCATTGAGGCCACCGTCCATGCCCCTAGTTTCGAGGGGGTGTATGAGCAAATCAAGCGAATCTTGAAGCCCGGAGGAGTTGTGAGTGTTTCGTCGCTCTTGATCGTCACATCCAAAGTCTAACGCCGGTTACGCAGTTCGGTGTATACGAATGGGTTATGACTGAGGATTGGGACCCTTCCATTCCGAAGCACAAGGAACTTGCCCACAGGATTGAGTTCGGTAACGGTATCCCCGAAATGCGCAAGCTCAGTGTTGCACGCGATGCCCTCAAGAACGTCGGTTTCGAGATTGAGCACGAAGAGGACCTCGCTGCCCGTCCAGATGAGGTTCCATGGTACTACCCTCTCGAGGGTGATATATGGAAGGCACAAACCGTTTGGGATTACTTCACCGTTTGGAGAATGAGCTGGAGTGGCAAGCTCGTTACACACAATGCCATGCGTGTAATGGAACTCTTTGGTGTCATCCCCAAAGGTACATGCGACGTTGGCGAGGCTTTGAAGGTTGCCGGTGATTCGTTGGTGGAAGGTGGTCAACAGAAGGTGAGATTCTTACGTCGTGTGTGTGATGCTCAGTTCGCTAATGCGTCGTCCAGCTCTTCACACCAATGTACCTCGTCGTCAGCCGGAAACCGTCAAATTAGTCGCTCCTCTTATATATTATTATCTTGCCTCACATACTTACTACATACTTACCATACCCTTCGTTTACATAAGTTCGCAATCATAGAGTTTGGACCCACTATCGTTATGTCTCACCGTTAGATTACTGGGCAACATGCTTCTTGCAAAGCAGCCCTCCGGCACGGACTCAGATAGTGGATTGCACAAAGTTTTTAAAATTCCTTGGCTGCGGCTTGCTAAAAATCCTCGATTCAAGTTGAAGCGCCCCTGTTTTCTGCAGTGAAATCCAAAGGAGCCTTCTTCTTTTGGCAGTCGGGATGCACGTCGTACCCCAGCCGGCATATCCCGGGACCTGAATTCCTGGATTTTCGCTTTCCGCCAGGACCAATTCCGTCCAAAATGTCGAGCGATCCTAGGGTGCATAAACCCAGAGTACCCAAGGCATACAGCGATGAACAACTTACGTTTCTCCGAAGGTCTGTTCTTAACCACCACCATCGTTGTACACAGCGCTCACCATGCTTCCTCGTCGTGCCCTTGTTTGTGTGCCACCTCACCACACACAGTCACCTCTCAGAGTTCGAAAGACGATCTCAAGGCTCTATACGCGGCGATGCAAAGAAGTTTGCCCTGGAGCGTGCTCAAGATTTCATAACACGATTCGGCCTGCCATCTGATTACGTCGGCGTCGACGAGTCGGAACCGCGATTTCGTGAACAGATTTACAACTGGTTCAAGAACACCGTTGGCCGAACTAGACGTAAACTTGAAGGCCGGCCAAGGTCTGCCAAGAAGGTGGCGGAGAAGGGTGCGTTCCTCGGGGATCCAGTTTCGAATCACCTTCATGATCGTTTGTTCTTCATGCAGCGGCAGCAGCTCACCAGGGGACGAATGATCACGGTGAAGTGACCTGGAACGCCAGTGTGTCACCCGCAATTATATCATACACCCAGACAGAGCATGAGAGTCCAGTCAATGCAGCGCAAGCATTGGCGCCGTTGCCATACAGCTCGTTGCAACCCAGCTCATCGTCGTTAGCTGCCAATATCACAACATCCGTCGGCGTGGTTCCGGTAAATACACAACAAGCTATGAGCCTGAACCTGCCTCCGACGATTCCTAACATAAGGGACGCGCTTCTCAATGGATATGGTGAGCAAATATATAGCAATTTATCGACGTTGATGTACCACTATCCCTCGGATGATGATTTGCGGGATTCGATATCTCTTATGTACATAATGAGGGACCTGATACTCATTCGCATGTTTTTTGGGTGTAGATCCTTCGACTATTTCAGGCCTGATACAATCCTACGTAATGGCGAATCCATCTGCAACACCGCTAACGCCGGTAGTGGATGCACTTTTTGATGCAATTGCCACCGCTGAATCCCAGTCTTCCTCGCGAAATGGTTACAACAACGGCCGGGATGCTACCTCATTTCTCCAAAAGTTCTACGACGCTTCGACGTTCTTCCCGTCAACGGTCGTCCATGCAGGTATCGCAGGTCCTTTCGCAGGTCCACGTGCCCTCCAAATGCGCATTCGGAAACACTCCACTTGGACGCCGAGTCCATCACCACATTTCTCGTCAGCAAGCGGGATATCTTCTGGCCAGCATCCCGGGACACAATCCTCGACCTCCATCGCCGACGAAATGCAGCGCATAGCCGTCGATCGACAGAGAAGGAAGGACTATATACAGTGGGCTAAAATACACGCCGCGGCTCTAGAGCTAGGTCTCTTAACATTAGAGCCAGAGTCCTCGAACTTTTCCACCGGACGTGCCTTCTCAGAAATGGTCGCTAGGGATGCTGTTTGGGAACAAGATGAGGTTGAATGGGTTGCAGGAATATGTATTCTCCGAGCGGTTATTCGTACAGCAGATCGGCGATGGCGAGACGAATACGACGGACTCTTGAGGGCTTATGAGAATCGGTGGAAGGAGATCAAGGACGAAGCCCGACAGACTATTGTGACGGTGAGTGTTATACCTTTCTGACCATTGACTATTTTTGATCGTGGGCATAGGAAGTACTTCTAGGTGCTAAAGAAGATCTTGCGCGTTTAGACGACTCGCACATGGCATGATACGGATGAGCCATCCAATCTGTTGCTATTGCCACGCCGGTATCTATATTCATGTTGTAATCATATTGTATTAAGTATAGGGATAATGGTTTGCTTGCGCTATCTACATCCATGTTCTGAAGTGCGTAAGCACTCTATTCATTACATCTTCGGCATGGTCACGCTCAACAAATCTGAAGGCCAGTTTGAGCGTCAAATCGTTGATAGGGCTCCCGGAACTCACCCATGGGGCTCTCTAGGATACACAACTAGTCGTGCTCCTTCACGCCCACGTTGCGCAGCTTTCCTCCTTAACCCTCGCCACAGACCTATTCCTTGCCCAACAGGGACACGTTCATCCTTTTCGCCGTGAAGAATGAGCACTGCTGTTGTTACGTCGATCACTGAATGAATGGGGCTTAACCTCCTATTCCCCACAACCTTCGCGTTGGCTTCTTCGTCCCATGGGACACGCTGCCCGATAGCGGCCTAAACATCAAGAATGCTCCGTCAGATCCTAACGACATCCCAGCGAGTGGGATTCCTCACCTCAAGCTCGGGAGATCCAGACTCCATCACCATTCCCTCCCAGTTGGACACACCGGCCCCAACGACAGCGGCTTTGAACCGGGTTTTTGTCTGCGTGACACCCCACGCCGCCAGCGACCCGCCGTGGCTCCACCCCGCAACGGCCAGTCGATCAGGGTCAGCGAGCCCGAGTCTGATCACCTCGTCGACCATGCTTTCGCAATCCGGCCAATCGCGCATTCCGATGCCAAGGTTAGCAGCATGTGCGAAATCGTGGCCTCGTCCTTGACCTATTCACAGAGGATTCAGTGATGTGCGTGGGTCGAGGCCGGTGTGGAACATGTCACTGACTTCCTCTGTAATTCGGGGAGACGACCAGGTACCCCGCCGACGCCAGCATCTCTCGCCAATTGCAGAAGTAGGGCATGTAATCCATGATGTCGCGTCTAGAAATGCTTTAGCGCTATCCCAGCCGTGATGGGATCTCTTGATGTTACCTATATGGACCTCCGTGGATGAAAAGCACAGTAGGCAATGGCCTAACATCCTTCTCATAACCAGGTGGATATCGCACCATCCCATCCAACTCCATACCATCGTCGGCCTTCCAAACAATCCTTTCCGTACGAATGATAGGCGCATCCTTCAGCCACTGAAGATGGGACGAAAGTTGCCTCATCTCGTGGATGGTGGCTCCGAGTTGGCTTCTCCCTGCCCAGATGTTCGGAGGTTGATGCCTTTCGCCGGAACTGAGAACCACCGCTGCTACATATGATGAATTTCCGTCTTCATCAGTAACTCGTCTTGCGTCCCAAGCACCAAACCAAACGGCATCAGCGTTGGTCTTGAAAAGAGTGAATATTTCTGGAGAATCGCTCTTCCCACTTTTGAAGCGTGCGATATCGATGTTCGTATCGACACCAACGGAAACTTCGATCGCGACTTCGCCAACTTCAGAGTCATCAGCCGTTGGCCGAGCATTGACCATTCGTACGGCGTCATCCTTCTGTCCATAGAGCCGCCTCGCCGACTGGGAATAACGGTCGTGGGTAGAGTCGTAGGTAGGGTCATGTATGAAGAGTGTCCTAGCGTCTAGAGTATTTCGTGGTTCGAAGCTTTGTAGTTCGACGATGTGCCCGGACGGGAGCCACAGAGTTGGGCTAGAAGGCGAACGCTCGTAAGAATCTATGATTCGCGGCACTTCACTTCTATCAACCGAAATCCTCTCCACGATGATATTCCCTTCAGCGTACTCTACCCCTTTATTATCGCGTAGCCTGTACAGTAACTCCTTGCTGTTCGGTAACCAAGAGAAGCTTTCTACATGCTTGTCCTTTCTGATGCCGTCTATGGTCCATATGTCCCCCGATTGGATATCACAAATCTTCAGTTTGGAGAGGCCCGTCTTCTCGTGGTATAACCTAGCGTCGGTAGTCTTGAGGTGCTCGCCATCATCTACGCAAGTAAAGGCCACGGAGGCGCCATCTGGTGAAATCTCAAACGCCTGTGCACCTTTCTGGCCGAGATTCGCTGTGACGTCGATGAGGCGTCCCCCACCTTCGTTCCCAACCTCTAAGGAAAATATATGTGCGCCCTTCCCGTTGTGCCTATTGGATAGGAAATAGATCCGCCCTCCGTCCGGGTGAAAGACAGCGGCGCGGTCGTTGAACAAACCGTCTGTCACAGGCTTCGCACTGTTCGAAACGTCCGTTTCAGCCAGCCAGAGTCTCGACGTTGACTTGTTCGAGGACTTGTAGAAAGGCTGGACTTGGTATATGATGTATTTTCCGTTTGGGCTGATCTTTACGTCCCGGACTTTCTCTGTGGCGGCGATAAGGGAAGGAGAGTGGCCGGGGGTAAGGGCGGGAGCGTCGTCGAGGGTCATTATCAGTTTCTTGGGAAATGCATACTTGTCTGCACCGACGTATATGTACACACAGCAAAGCCGATGGGAGTTTTATTGGGCGGTGCGCCAAGTGGAGTAACGAAAGTCACGAATGGTGTCGAATGTCGTCTCTGCATTTACTCAGTCGCTTACAAGATGAGATTATATCACAACAACATAAACAGCGTACAATATACGGTAGTAGTAGACAGCTACGATGGCTTATAAATCAATCAATCAACCCATTCAACCTTTCCAGCTGCGAGCGCTTTCTCAAACGATGCTCGCGGGATATAAGGGGTACCGTTCGAGTGCAATGCCTCCATTCTCACCTTCACACTCCGGTGCACCTTGACCCCGCGCTTTTGCTTCGGAACGATCCTCCCTGCGCCCATATTGAACCCCAAATACGACGCCCACGAGTTATCTGACTTCTGGTACCGCTGCTTGACCGGCCAGACCTCAAGCACCCACCAGTATGGCGCAAGCGAAAGCTGGTCGTACACGGGCGACAGCAGGTCGAGCAGATCGTGATCTTCCTCCGACTTGTACAGCGCAGAGAAGTCGCCCGCATCCGCGAAGTTGGGCAGCTGGGTGTCGTCGGGGGGCCCGGAGATGGATTTGGGGATGTCCTGGATGCGCAGCGTGCCGAAGTCTGTCGCCATCGGGGGACGTGGAAGGACTTCTGGGAACAATGCCCCCGGGTCAAGGCCAAGGGCCTGCAGGCCCTCGCAGTCGAACATGATCCCGGTGTTGGTCTTGAAGCACTCGCGAATCATCCAGCGCAAAGGAATACGAGCGAGCGAGTGCTGCGTCTCGTTAGGCACCGACCCACCGCCGACGTCTGCGTGTACGTGTGAGTCAAATGATACGAAGCCAAGGTGACGGACTAACCGCAATGGCAGCCGGCAAACCACACCTAGCACGCAAAGTCATTAGATACCATTTGATGGGAACGCCGAATGCATACCTCCTCGATATCTGTTTGCTTGCTGTGGTCCTTCGTATATTTCCTTTCAAGCGCCTTCAGACGTGGGTCAGTAGCATGGGGATGGTTCTTGTGCGCCTTGCGGTGGTGGTCAGATATGCTGAGCGTTTGTTCCTTGGTATTTGGGCGATTCCAGTGGTTGGCTTTGAATTTCGCTCGGCGCTCGTCCAATGCGATCGCATGCCGGAACGTGCGGACAATGGTGTTGGAGGTGGTGAATGGTAGCTTTCGCGGGATCAGGCCGACCGAGCTCACAGTGTCCCTGTCAGGGAATCCATTATTGAACGTGTGATATGGATCGCTGCTTCCAAATGGAAATGACGAAACCTACCAAACACCGATGAATTCGATGTCGACATCGACTGAGAAGGCTTTCTTGAAAGCATTGGATTGCTTCCAGCCCGTCTCATCCGCTCGTTTGAACATTTTGTACGCAAAGGGGACCTGTTGATGATTGCATGCCGGAAGCAACCCCACCTACGGTGGATAAACATTGTCAGCGTGAAATCAAGACTCCAGGAAAGCGTGACGTGCCTTGTGAATCATTCCTGCGAGGGCTCTGGCGGTGTAGGCACCACGGGAGAATCCGAAGATACAGATACGATCGCCTGCCTTGTCTGGAGAAGCGAATGTCAGAAATTGTGTTCAGAACTCGGCCGTGGAATTGAGGGTGGCCGGTGACGACGGCCCGTTTATCAATGAGTATCGCAAAACTTACAGTTCTGCATCAAGAACTCGTATCCATCTAGTGTCATGTGCATTATCAGGCACCGAGATGAGTCGCAAGTAATGTCCAACTTACCCATGACATGTCTACCCAGATTCCACGCAATCATCTCGTCCAGAGTCTGCAACCGAGGTTAAGCAGCGTCCACGAGCTATCAACATAATAATCTACCTTAGACACCTTTGCCATGAGGGGCGTCGCAATATTGGGCGATGTGTATGTGCCAATTCCCGCCTATGTGCTGATGAATATTTGGGATTAGAGGCTTCCAGGAGTCAATTACCTGGTAGTACACCATTTGCACATCCCTATCATCCTTCTTCAGCAGAGTGAAGAGCTGGACAATGTTCGAGTTCTATTGGTGGCATGTTATGAGAATCAGAAAGAAAAAATCCAGCAGCGTACGTACATCTCCATCGAACTGATCGCCGGTTCCATCAAAACTACAAAGTGAAAGGCGAGTCAGTATTTGGGTAATATATGAATGATAATACTTTCCAAAGAACCAATGTGCGAAACGGGTGTTCCGGAGGGATCACTAACGGGTCCCCTTCCACAATGATGGGAGACGACGGAGACAACGGTGGCAGTTGGGCTTTGGATTCCCTGACCTGCTCAGCGGGACCGGCGTCCACGAGCGTAGCCACACTCTCTTGTTGACCATGTCCATTCAGCCATTCAGAAGACTCGGACATGTTCAGTAAACAGTGGGCGAGTTCGATGGGGTTCTGGGATTTCCGCACAACAGACGGGCCTCGTTCTTATAAATGGCTGTACGGGTTTGACACCAGTTCATCAGGTTCGGTACTTCAGCTTCAGCTTGATTGATGATAGCATCTTGTTCGGACGCCCGACATGCTGTTTGCTGGATCTTGGCGTTGGATTCTTCTGCATTTCTCAGGCCGGTCATTTTGAAGATCTGAAGTCCAAGACGCTGGCATCAAGTAGCTACTTGAGTCTTTTCAACCGCTTTTGAACTAAACTAAAATTCGTGAGAATTTAACTTGGAGCAGTGAGGAGTCTTGACACTACCTCTCCATTCCGAAATACGTTTCACTAATGTTCCCTACCTCCCTGCGCTGCGCAGTGTTTTGCATGATGAGGACCAACCTTCATCAAAGGTTGGGAACGTCCCAGACCACCGCGTACCACGAGAAACAACCTCAACGATGATTAACTTGGGTAGAGCAGCAGAGCCCGTTTGGATTTGAACTAAGCATTGGTCGGAGTTAATTCGAAAAGATTCATTGAGTAAGTCTCCGTTTGTTGCTTGCGAAGCGAATACTGAAGCGAATAGAAGCATGCAATTGTCGCGTCGACATTGTTCGGAACTTCCAGGTTCACACCGATGAGACACTATTCTATTAATTGCATGGCCACCGATATCGAACTTCCGCAAGCCCAATGACTTGAGCTCGCAAGTTCCATGTCTTCTCTCTAAATGCAGTGCGCTCGGCGGAACCACAAGGACGATGAACATGTGCATCAGAACCGGCGATAAAAAACTCACGACTTGACGAGACTGAACGTTTGGCCGCACAGGTCCTAAATTAACACCACGAACCCGACATTGTACAACCAGAAAGGGCAGTACGACCCAAAGTGAGGGTAAGTTCATCGACATTACGATACCCTCAAACACCGAAAGCATGATTGGCTGCATGGGTCCAGCCGGGTTTCAGACACTTCCCTGAAATACTTCCATGAAATAGGGTCAATTGTGAGCGTCGAGGAAATGCAGCGTGTTCTTGTGAGATTGGACATGAAATAGCTGTCTCTCGAGGCTTGCAACATGTTATGATTTATGATTATCCAGTACCCACTGCCAGGTGAAGTCAGATACAAATCTTCATGACGTCAAAGTTCTTTTCTGATTCTCCGCCTGCAGAAGTGCTACGGGCGGAATATCACCACTGTTCGGCATATGATAGGTACCTATCAACGTATCTTGTCGGATGCCTCTCACCCCTTGGAGGCCTCCTTCTAAATGGACTTCCAATTCGTTGATGTAAATCGACCGACCGCGTAGAACTCGGTTGAGGTCGAGGCAGATGCGATTTATTCCCAAACTATTCAGTAATGTCATTCATTGCAGGATCGGACCTGAAACGGATGCGAACAACCACTGTCTAATTATGCAAATTGTGGTATAAATGATACTTGTATGAAAGTTGAGTAACTCAGCATTCATTGCAATATTCCCCACCGATAATGGCAAGTCTCTCTGCTTCAAAGGCTGTTTCCCTCGGCGCCGACGCGGCCTATCTCATTGCGAGACCCCCTCCGGATGCGCCAGACGGCCTCTACGACTGGCAAGTTTCCTCAGATGCCGCCGACCAAAAGGAGGGCCATTCAACGACGTCGAACTTTATCAATCGTGTAAGTGACTGACCGGGATCAATAGCTCGCAGACTGAAAGTGTCCCCCGCATAGGCTGAGACGTTGGTGTCCAAAGGGCAGTTCAAGCCGGATCCTAAGGTGTTGGTAAGTGTATCTGCTTGACGTGCATTCAGTGCCTTCGTTAACCTCCCTCGCAAGGCTGGCGTCACCGACAGCTTTCTCCACCCAGACGCAGTCGATGACAGGAAGGGTGTTGTGCGTACTAATACCTAGTGGATGTGTGCTTTCCGACTCACGCTATTCTCCAGTTCGAGACTGCGCTTGGTATCATGGCCCGCGTGGATCCGACTACTGATGTTGCCATGAAGCTCAACGACACAATCATTGGAGGGCTATATGATACGGTACCCCATCCTCCTGCTGCCTATCTTGGTCCCAAGTACGCTTGGAGACAGGCAGATGGCTCGAACAACAGCCTCCAAGACCCTGACTGTGGGCGTTCTGGACGTCCTTACGCTCGTAGCGTCCAGGCTCGAAGCAACTTGCCAGTAACATCCTTGCCAGACCCGGGTCTTGTCTTCGATACCCTTCTCAGGAAGCGTGACGTGCGTCGCTCCTGAACTTCATTTCGCCGCTTCGTAGACTCATTCATTGCTGTAGCACAAGACCCACCCTGGCGGGATGTCAAGCATGATATTTGCATTTGCATCTATCGTCACGCACTCCTTATTCCGTACGGACTTCAAGGACTGGACCATCAACAATGCCAGTTCGTATCTCGATCTTAGCCCCTTGTATGGAGACAGTGAGTGAAATAGTGTCATTAAACGATGTTCCGCACTGACACTCCCTTGAAGACCAAGCAGACCAGGACAAGGTTCGAGACAAGGACCAGGGTCGTGGATTGTTATACCCGGATACATTCCACGAGGAGCGACTTCTTTTCTTGCCCCCAGCCACTAGTGCCTTATTGGTCCTTTTCAGCCGAAACCATAACGTACGTGTTATCATAATGCCTTACTGTTCGGCTGCTTATTTCCCCTCAGTATATTGCCGATAAGATTTTGAAAATCAACGAGCGCAAGAGGTGGACCAACCCTCCGCCCACTGACCCCGCTGCTCGTGCTCTCCAAGACGAGGAAATCTTCCAGACTGCTCGTCTAATCAATGGCGGACATTTTATGAGTCAGTTCTTTTCGTGACTACGGCACTACCAAGTGGTAACTGAGCATTCTTTGCAGCTATGATTACTGGAGACTACGCAGCTAGTTTCCTGGGTTCTTCGGAAAACTGCAACTGGAACATGAATCCCTTCGACGTGCGTTCAAGTAGCATTGGAATCACAACGATATCTGATTATTAGCTCGACGTCTAACAGCCTATCAAGAGAGACGACCTTGTCGTCGATAGAGGCCGTGGGAACCATTGCAGCGTTGAGTTCAACGTCTTATACAGGGTTTGTCGTCACTCCATGGTCACCGAGTCCCCCACTAATAACCATGGCGTCTAGTGGCACGCGACGACGTCTGCAGTTGACGAGAAGTGGACCGAAGACATCTTCAATAGCGCCTTTGGCGGTAAGCCATTCGATCAAGTGCGTTTTGAACTTTATTCCAGCGCTCTGGTTAATGTTCGGTTGCAGCTATCCTTGAGGGATCTCAGTACGATCGGGAAGATCTTCGCTGATGTGCCTGCCGATCCTTCCAAACGGACATTCGCCGGGTAAGGATAACCCGGTTCGCGTACTCCGTCCATATGCTCACATTCAGAGAACAGATTGAAGCGCGGTCCAGATGGCAAGTTCTCTGATGATGACCTAGCTAACATTCTACATTCCGCCACTTCAAACCCTGCGGGAACTTTCAGAGCTCGTGGCACTCCCCCCGTTCTGCGATTAGTCGAGATCATGGGCATGGAGCAGGCCCGCCGGTGGGGTGTTTGCACGATGAACGAGTTCAGGAAGTTCCTGGGACTAAAGCGTACGTGGCTAAGTGTGATCTCTGGCCGCCAAGCTCACTAGGTCACTAGAATTCGAGTCCTTTGAGGAGTGGAATCCCGATCCAGAAATTGCTGTGCGTGCATCTCTGGCCAATGTGGTCTAACGTGAGCTGAAATCGAACGGCTCTCACAGGATGCTGCTCGTCGCTTGTACGGCCATATCGACAACCTTGAGCTCTATGTAAGACCTCACTTTATACCTTTGCGAGTAGCGTCTTACCCATATGCAGCCCGGCCTTCAAGCAGAGCCGACGATACCTGTTGTGGACGGCATGAGATTTGTGAGTTTACCTATCAGTCGACCTCATCTTCTTACTGAGTTCTCTTAGGCATGCGGGTATACGGTACGCCTATACGTTTCATCTTAGAGGGAATTCTGTCTTATTCCTTCTTAGACTACCAGGGCCGTTCTTGGTGACGCGATTGCGCTCGTCCGCGGTGATAGGTTCTACACTACCGACTTCACCCGTACGTCTTCAAATTGTTCATCTGCATCTTAAGCGATGCTGAAGTTTCTGCAGCCTACAATCTTACCACTTGGGGTTTCCATGATTGCCAACGCCACCTTGACAATGGAGGCGGAGGAGGTCAAAGTTAGTAACCCTCGTCTTCTTCACTGATCACCTGCTAATGAAAGCATGTAGTGCCGAAGCTCTTGATGCGTAACTTGCCTCGTCACTACCCATGGGTAAGTAATAATGTTCGCCTTGTGGAATACTTGTCTTATGGCTTTCGTCAGAATTCCACGTACTCGCTATGGCCATTCTTCACCCCGGACCACATGAATCAATCGCTTACGAGGCAAGGAATCTCTGAGAAATACACCTTCGACAGACCCATTGCCCAGCCTGTCCCCGTCGTCTTGAAGACCTTCGCGGCGATCAAAGCCGTCTGGAACGACCCTTCGCGATTCAAGGTTATCTACGAAAAGAAAGGCTACGGATGTATGTATCCCTTGCACCGAGTTCAGCGGAATAACCCACTCACGTAAATCTAGCAATGCTGTTCTTCGATGACGCCAAGCAGCACGACGCTGACAGAGCCTTGGTATGGACATCACCGCTTCCTAGATTCGCCATGCTTATTCCTATTCCCGCCGCAGGTCCTCCACGCGCTGTTCCCCACCCAGGATTCCATCAATCAATATGCTGCTTGGTGCCGTGCCGAGACTGTGAAGCTAATCCAAGAGCGTTCGTGGAAGTACGTACCCCTTCTGATCCAATCGCAATGACGCTGACTCGCTTGTGCAGTTATGATGGTGCACCAGGAACCTACGTCGATATTGTCAATGGTGTCGTCAACAATGTTGCTATTCATTTCGCGGCTGAAAAGATTGTGGGTGTTCTTTTGTTTTGTCCATCGCTCTGTCTGAGGCGACGTGCCGTAGCTCGGAATAGAGTTGAAGACGAAATCTAATCCCCGTGGTCTCCACACGGAGCGAGAACTGTACGCGATGTTGGCTATGCTAGTGAGTGAACTGATCATTCTGCCTGCTCGGATATATCTGACTTCTTTATAGTTCCAGTGAGTTGTGAACATACTCGGGCAGGGCCCTACCTAATGTCCTTGTTTAGAATTACCTTCCTCGCATTTGACGAGCCTGAGTCGAAGTTTGCTTTGAATGAGGCGGCGTCAAGCGCGGGTGGTATCATCGGGCTCTTGGCTACCAAGGCTGTCACCGAAGTGGCTCCTTCGACTGTGCCCGTAAGTGATGTTGACGTGCCTTTACATGTTTCTGACCTTTTGGTTGGTAGAACGCAGTTGGAAGACTCCTCGCCGGGGCCAAGTCATACATTTGGCCCGAATCTGATAAGCCCTGGTATCCATTCCTTTCGGATCTCGCCTCTACCGGCCGTTCATTGGATGCTCTTGTTGGAAATATCATCGGTCTCGCTGTCGGTTCCTCTGTGAACTTCGCCCAAGGTACATTCATACATTTGGCTTCCTTCGGCCGCACGCCTAAACATCCTGATACTAGGGGCCGTTCATGTCGTTGATTTCTACCTTGATGATGCTCGAGCAAAGGAACGCAACGAGATCATCCGATTGGCGCAGAAGGACGACGCTCAGAGCACCGAGCTTCTGCAAGGCTATGTCCGGGAGGCTATGAGTGGGTCTTCCGTTGGCATTTCTTGGACAGACGCTTAGTTACAATATTAGGATTCAACCCGCAATTCACTGGCCTCTGGCGTGACGTCGCCGTCGACGCTACCATCCCACAAGGCGGAAATCTCCCTCCCATCAAGGTCAAGGCTGGCGACCGCATCTGGGGTAGCTTCAGGACTGCCCATCTCAATGTGCGCCATTCGAATCGGATGTTTTCATTTGCATTCTCACGTATTTCTTTTGGATAGCCCGATGACTTCCCCAATCCCCAAGTCGTTGACCCACGCCGACCAAAGGCTTCCTACAACCTGAACGGTACAGGCTTCCACAACTGTCCGGGCACCACCTACGCGCAAGTAGCTATCACTGAGATGATCAAACCGATATTCAGTCTGAAGAACTTGCGCCGAGCTGCTGGAGATGCCGGAGTGCTTGCTGGATACCACGATATCATCCGTGAAACTGAGACTAACATCTATGTCAACCGCGATGGCACGACTGGTCCATGGCCGGGCTCCCTTTACGTGCAGGTGCGTCTATTATTATTTATCTTGGTTCGATGTCGATGCTTAGACCATCTCTTTTCGCAGTACGACGCTTGAACGTTTTTATGTAGTTAACAGTATTTACGGATCACTATTGTTTCGCTGAATGACTTAATACATCCTTTATGCTTCCTAATCATCGATATATATGTGTGTGTTTGGTGGCCAAAAGACATGAGCACTGCTCAATTGAGATTATTCAGTTCCCTTCCATACGATTCGGAAGAGCATGCACGAGTTACCCTCAGACTTCAGTTACTTTGCTGGCATTGGCGAATTTCTTGACCCTTGCTTAATGCATAACGCACAGCTAGGCAGGTTCAAGTTCTCTCAAGTACTGGATGTTGAAATAAGCCGGTGAAATCGCGCGAGTTCCGAGTGAGCAAGTGGATATATTGCGTTTGGCTGGGACTCCAGCAAACGCATAAAGAAAATAATACATGAGCGCGACACTATATTACAGTAGTCACGTGCATCCCCTATACCCCTGTACCGCCAAGATTGCTGAAATCCAACACTGGACGGCCATCAGAATGCACTTGTATATACCATTGTTAATTATTTGGGGTGTCAGAAGCACAAAGATTCGCTAGAGCCAGCGGAGGCGAGGAGGAAAGCTTGAATGTCTGAGAGATCAAAGGGTCGGCGCCTAAATTATGGAAGGTCACAAGAATCGGGCGCTTTTCTATCTTCCGTTCCGTTCTATGGTGAAATGCTCGTCGGTCTGCAAAGGCCACGAGTGATCGCTCCTTCGTCAAAAGCCCTCAAATCTGTGAGATGGTACTCATCGACCAACGAGGCCTTCAAAATCCTTTTCCTCGGAAGAAGTGAATTCTCCTGCTTGGTCCTCGAAGAATTGTGGAAAGCAACTGGTGAGTCTGCTCTATGTCGGACGCGTCGTAGAACGCGACTGAGGCTACCACGAGCTTGACGACTGGCCACATAGATGTCTGGAGTCGAATTCACGTTGCTACCCATCCAGACGAGTGGAAAGGAAGGAACCGCGCGCAGTTGTCCATCTGTGAGTTCTCGTCCGAACTTTGGTGTCCCCCGAGACCGAAAGCGCTGTGCAGCACCTTTGAAGATACTAGCGACCGAACGCGATATACCCGTCTCTGAGATACCACACATGAAGCCGGCTTTCAAGTCATGGAAGGTTCGTTCATTAATTCACTTGCAAAGCACCTTCCAAACACATTATCGTAGCCCCCGCATCCATTCGATCTCCCAACAGGAAGTCCTTTGCCGCTGGATCACGTCGTTATAACGGCATCATTTGGGAGAATACTACCTGCCGCGCTGTTGCGTCGTTTCGATGCTTCACGACGATTGAACGTCCACCCGTCGCTCCTACCACTGTACCGAGGACCTGCGCCCATTCAACATGCACTGATGAATGGCCGTTCAGAGACCGGGGTTTGTGTTATTGAAATGATGGAGCGTTCAAAAGGCATAGATGCTGGCCCTATCTGGGGCTCCTCTAAAATAGTTGCGTTATCTATCGTTCGTCTCCAGCTATGCCCGCTAACTAGTTTCCCTTACAGCCAATACCACAAAGCGCCGACTTTACTTCGTTGCGAGACGCTCTAGCTATAGAGGGAGGCAAAGTATTGGTTTCCGTGTTGCGGGATATGCTGAATAATACGGTACGGTTATCCAAGAGTGGCCGACATTGTACCTCATATTTCCCCTCTCTGTAGGCAGTTGCGACACCGCAAGACGTTCTGTCGGACGATGACCTTCCTCGTGCATCGGCTATTACTTTCGAAGATTCCCTTGTGGACTTCGACAAAATGTCTGCTGAAGTCATATGTTGGCGATATCGCGCAATCTCAGCACAGGTTTGTGGTCTATTTCTACACATCTCGTATGTTCTTAACCGCCGATATCGTATAGCGACCTCTCATCACGTTCTACGGTCCTGGTGTTAAGCTTCAGCTCCACTCTCCATCCGTTCTCACTCCCCTCGCCGAATTACCTACCAAAATAGATGATGCACCGGCCGGCACCGCCGTGTTCGACCCTCACTTTCGTAGCGGGGGATTGTTGATCCGCTGCGCCGAAGGTTCCCTCCTCCATGTTCCTCGAGTAAAACAAGAGAATAAGTCATTGCTTCCTGCGAGGGAATGGTGGAACGGCGTTAAAGGACTAGGCTTGGTGGTTAATGAGCAGATCAAGTTCGTCCCTCGAATATAATTTCTTTGTGCGACTTGTGCTATTCTTACTATCCATGGTGGAGCTGAGTCCCAACCAAATCCCAACTGAGCTCGTGGTGAAATCGCAAGATTGGGGTTGGCTGCGGGCGTTTACACGAGACCTGCAAAACGTCACCATTTCCCCAAGCGCAATGTGTATGGAGCAGAACGCCCAAGCACTGCAGCCAGGTCCAGGTCCTCCCAGTACAACGGTAAAAGCCCGGCTATTCTTGCGTGGCTTCGAGACTCCTTCAGTGGTTGTCGCTCCTCGAGTCGTCATCAGGGGTACAGGGGACCTCAGGGTATCCCTCCACTCCACCTTCATAGGTACGTCAATAGCACCACTACACAAGTGTATATAAACCCCAGCCTCCCCAAGTTCATCTTACACTTCACTACCAACTAAAAATTCACAGAACACTCATATACAATGCCTCTCTTCGGAAAATCTCATAATGATGTAGGTTGGCCCTAACCACAGAAGTGCCTTTTCTAAATGTTGTCTTATATAGACGACGACACACGGTCGCCACCATGATCAGGCCGCGCACACCGGTGGTGCCACTGGCTTCGCCGGTCCTGGTACCGCTGCCACTGGCTATGTGTCTGCGCCCGGCACTGGTGCTGGACCACTTAGCTCAGGGCTGCACGACAACGCCTACAACAACAATGTTTGTCCGCTACCACCAGAAGAAGTGTCCGAAACTAATGACTTCATTCAGAATACGCCGAATCACCACCACGGAGGTGTTGGCGCTGGCCAAGGTGTTAACGATCCCTATTCATCTGGGACAGGGACGGGTGCTGGATATGGATCATCCAATATTCCTCCCGCGAATGTCTTGAGCCACGGCCATAACGAAAGACACCAAGATGGCGCTGGTAAGCGGATGTCGGGCAAGGTTGAACACGCTGTTGGATCCGTGATAGGCAGCAGCGCTCTGAAGGCCAAAGGCTTGCAGAAGGAGCAGTGAGTTTAATTGTTTCCAGAATCCGATCTTGATGCTCAAATAACCCATTGTAGGGAAGCTAATTCCATGAAATTACAAAGCCAGGAGCTGGCTGAAGCTGAGCGCTTGGAGGCTGAAGCTCGCACACGAAGGGAGAGAGCAGTCGCTCATGGTACGTATTCGACACATCCGCCCTGAAATTAAGGCTCAATCGCTACAGGTGCCTCGCCGGAACATCAACACCTTGGTGGTGCAACACGTTATTAATATTAACCAGCTACGATGCTAAAGAAGATATTACAATCTTAATCGTTTAAAGTAACGAATCTGTATAACTAGTCAACCGCAATTCCGAATAACATCTACTTCATTGACCGCACTTCCACGCACTTCCAAGATGTTAAAATAAACTTCCATTGGCGCAGTATCGAAGCCATTTGAAACAGTATACAGTCACAGGGTGAATTTCAGGGGCAGGGGTCCTCATTGACTACTTCAAAATGAAGATCTTGTGCAACGCGCCGTCCTCTCATTTTGAAGGTAATGCCCGGTGCTAGTGTGCTGCTTAAAGGGCCATTCATCGATCCTCTCCATCATCTACGATCAACAAGTCTGCTTGCAATTTGCATATTCTGCTCCATGGTTACGACAACGCTTATCGTTACCTTTCATTCACCTGTCTAAAATTCGACTTCTCGAGCCTCTCAAGCCTCATCCTGCCCGAGGAAAAATTGAGATCGTGATGACTCCCACTGTGCTATTTCGTGGGAATTGAGGCTGTATTTTGTGCCACTTTTCGTCATCTTGCGAAGACGCCTTGATTTGTAGAACTCGTTCCGACTTCAAGCTGACAGATTCATGTCGAATGGATCCCATGGCCTCGATTTCGAGTGGGTATACATTCAAGCATGCTGATTGGCTCAGCCAAATTTTCATATTCAGATTATCCAGGCTCGTCAGTCTCATTGAGGAACAGAATTCAATTCTGCGTGAAATGAATAGCTGGGGCCAGCGGTCAGATAATAGGGCACCTGGAGTTAACGGTAGGTAATCGTATTTCCGTAGTAATGCATTTTTCTAATATACGGTGACTGAGATCAGAAATCGCATCACTGCCGAGTGTACCCTCACGGAGCACCAGCGCGTGGAAGCCTTTGCTCCGTTCCTTTGCTGGCAATGCTCGGCCACTTATAGATCGCTGGCGTCGTAACTTGGACACCACGCTCATTTTTGTATGTCTCCCCACCCTAACTCTGTTTTCCATGTCATGATGGTTGAGCCTCGTCTAGGTCGGCTTGTTCTCAGCTATCATTACTGCATTTTTCGTGGAGTCGCTCAACGCGTTACCTCCAGACGAAGCCTCGCGAACAAACGCTTTGATAGCCAACCTAACAGAGATTGTAATCATCTTGAGTAGAAATGGCGCCACTGGGTTACCCGTTTTTGAGCCAGCCCCTCCTTTCACGCCCAATCCCGACGAAGTCCGTTTCAGCTTTTATTGCGCTCTCGCTCTTATCCTCAGTGTACGCGCAGTAGAACTCCGGTAGAGGGGATTTAGCTCATCCCTTTGCTACACAGATATCTACAGCTGCTGCCGCCGTCGCAGGCCACTCGTTTATATCTTCTCTGACCCATTCGCATGGCGACTCCGTTGCGCAGCTGACGGATCGGTACCACCGGTGGTCTGGCGCCAAATCCCTGCTTGGACCTGTCGTCGAGACTATCCCTCAACTGCTGATTATTCCGGTCGTAGTATTTGCTCTCGGATTACTGGACAAGCTCTTCTCGAGCGCCATCCAACTACCCAAGGTTTCCTCAGGTCTACTAGCCGCAGCGATAATATCGTGTACTTGCGTCACTCTCCTAGGCCTCGCGATGCTTGCTGCCTTTTGCCACGCTCTCCTGCACCCTCTTACATCTCCCTTCCAGTCCACCTTCCTGATATTCTTGAAATCCAAATTAACAAACATATTCAGACCGATACAAGCCGAGGGAGAACAGTCCCCCGATCACGATTTGTCGCTTGTCAATTGCGAGGTCTTTCACAAGGTCATCCAGGAGACCCACGATGATCAGTACTTGAATGGTGCCGCCACCGCAGTCTCGAACATGATGGTAGATTCTTTCCGGCTGAGAAGCAGGTTCCTCAGTTACACGCCCCTACCTGAGCTGGAGCTGCAGACTTTGCTCCACTTGCTCTCCCCAGAAGCTAGTATACAAAGCAATCTGGCTGCTGCGTCAATCATTGGGGAGTCAGGCGTCCTGTACTACTGTAAGATTGACCGCACGCTGGTACGAGCACTGCTGATTCCCTGTATAGATTGGGATACTTCGCACAACCGGATGGGTGTTGATCCTAACCAGAGGGCGGCCCTTCTCAGAGCGCTGGTGCGCGCTACGAACCATGGGAATGTCGGTCAACGGGACTTGTCTACGAATTCGCCGTTCATCAAAGCCATGTCGTTCTTGGTCAACTACCCAAGCCCCGATGCATGGCCCCATCCCTTGTTGAGCCTGCTAAGCGCCAATTACTTCGAGCCGAATGAACCACCCTCCGTAACGCTCGTCGATGCTCACAAAGAAACGTCGATGCACGCCTTCAAGCTACTGGTCACCGAATTAACCGACAGAGCAAAGCTTCAGGTCAAACTGACCTTATTGCCGAGCGCTGTAGTCGATGGTGCTATCCATCAAATTTTCGGACGCTCGACGTTGGATCCCCACCAGGCTATAGCACTGATCAAATCCCTCATCGACAAACCTAGTGGAGGCAAGGATCTCTTACTCAGATATACGCATAAACAAGAATCGTACGGGGATCATCAGGTGGCACTCTCGAGGTTGGTCCGTTGGATTTCATCCAGCAAAGGAATATTGCAAGCTATCTCAGATATGATTGCAGAGCTACCTCCATCGTTCTTTTCACGCGGGTCCCGGCGGACTCGAAACCTAATGCTGGTCCTTCTTAGCGTGGTCAAGCCTGCTTGCACGGATGGCTTGGGCCTCTGCGTCAAGTTTCTTCGCAAGGCTTGTGCGTCGCGGAATTGGGGAGATGCCGACGAGGATTTGGCCCTCAGTATCGTCTCGAGGTACTTGCATCTGTTGATAACCCTCATAGACGTTTGGATGGAGGACAAGGAGAAAGTGCTCGAGTACTCTGAAACGCTCTGCAAGGTCCGGAAATGGATAGATGATAACGTGGCTTTGGTAGAAGTTTATCAGGACATACATATTCGTGTTTGGCAGACGGAATGGGTAGAGGACAGTCAAGAAAGTATTCAGCAAAAGATAGAGTCTGCATATCGATTGATTCACGGTGCGCTCACTCGATCTCGACCGGCCGTCGCTTGCGACTCACCTCTACCTATTTAGAGCGACTAGAGCAACCATTTTTGTCCTAGAAACAAATATGAACTAGCCATCTACGTGACACGGGATTCTGGATGTAGAGGGCTAGGCAGAGGCTTAGCCATAGTTTGAGCGATCCCGTCAGACCTACCAAGATATATTCGACCGGACCAGGCAACGCCGCACTTTGATGAAGCGGGCGAGATAATGTTCGGAGCACGCTGTCGAACGATGTTAGGGACGATCAGAGAAGCTAGGGAATACGGACCCGCTAGTTTGGCTGGATGGCGCAACGACCACACGAGTTGTGCGACGATCAGGTAGGTACGAAGGCCCTAATTGCGGAAGCATAACTCCCCGGGAACCAGCTGCATCGAAATTCGCGGGGAGTCCATCTAATCCGACGAATTTCGTAGCCATTTGTGTCGTGGTGACTACCTACGCAATAAGCCATCAGGGTAGCGATACATCGAGAGATACGTACGGTCAGATTGTGTGCAGCACACGCTTTTGTCAGTGCCTGTTTGATTCGATCAAGGAGAGAATTTCTAGTTTGCCTAGAAAGCGAAGAGGCGGAATGGAAGGGAAAGGATATTGAATTTATGACAAGAAGCGAAGGCTGGGGGACGTATATGAGAGCACTGAGGACACTAGGCATTGCATATCAAACCTTTGATTGGGTGTTCAGATGGACGTCTAAAGCATGTAGGAAGATCATCAGCTCTGTTATAGTGTGTATGCGGATGTATTGGATTAAGTCCGTGGCGCCGTTTGCTAGATTTTTGTATATCTTCGCAGGACTTGTCATGTTTTGACAATCTTACCATAAATATATCAGCTAGGCGGTATTTCCCAGCAATGGTTTACCTACCAACGAAGATGGTACGCTCGTTGAGGTCGCTGAATGCCTTGACTATTCCAATGGCCATATCTTCCTTCACTGTCCCAGGCGGGCCTGAGAGTTCTAGAACATGGGCGCGAGAGATTCCTCCGCCCAGGATATGGTCCAGCGGCGCGCATGTCGTAGAAACCACCCGTCCCGTCGCTTTCGAAGCAAGCACGGACACGGGCTGACTCAACGGAACGCGTTCGTTTCTTTTCTCAACCAATGCAAAGATCTTCTGAGCTGTGTCGTTAGGTACATGTAACTCTTCCCCCGACCTCAGTATGTGTATTTATTAGAAGTTAGATACGAACCTTTAGCTAGGTCTTCTACCGTGCTGGACAGCAAGTCATCTACCGTTTCATATCCGGCTTTCGCAAGGGAAGAGAGCGTCGCCGGTGGGAGGGGCAGCGACACCAATGGCTGGGAGTCTAACGACATTATACGCTTCTTCGTTCAATATCGTAGAGGAAAATGTGGCGACGGGTCGGAATAATGCAGTCCTATTATGCCAGATTATAGCCGCCGTCGAGGTCGCGCTCACCTCGCAGAAAGCTGCAGATGGGGTAGCGTGATCCTTTGATTGCGATCACATGATCTAGAGATACTCCCACGCTCCTGGTATAATAACCTCCAACCTCGTCAAAGCCGATGGGCTTGTTGTCCTCCAACTTCCTGCTTGCTCGTCGTTCTATCCTGCAGGCAAGTCAATTCTATTGCTTATCCTTGGCCATCACTGAGAACTAATCGCGCTGCACTCAGATCATGGCCTCGGGAGTTGTAACTCCTGGTCACCCGCCAATACGAAAATCCAATACGGCGTTGAGCATTCGAGTTGCAAATCTTGCGGATAACGGTACTTCTTCCACTTTATGAGTCCTCTGCTCTCTACATCTGACGCGAACCAGTCTCCAGTCAGCAGGTTGTCTCGTTGTTCTCATCCCAGATTGGTAGACTGCATGGTTTCAATCTCTACCAACATCATTTAACGCGTTAGACAGGCCCCATACGAGAATTTTGCGAGTCTGACAGCAACGACTGTCGATCGTTGGAACTGTGCTTCTACTCGCGGGATGCATCCAGGTATCTAGCATATACATGTTCGGGATCTTCACCGTATTTCTCATGGGTAACTTCAACAGGAGAGCCCTCTGCTTAGCCGGATATATGCTTGGTGGAAATCAAATGTGCGTATATGAACTGTGAGCTCTGACATACGCTGCTATATATGCCGCACTTAGTTCAGTGACATCGCTTCAATCCCAAAGCAACGGCGAAAGGCGACTTGATCAAAAGCGTAACCTATATGTCCTTGGGCTCCCTTTCGATCTGACCAAGTAAGGTTATGTCTTCTCCCGACATGATGCTCGTTATTTGACGCTGCCCACCAGAAATGAGCTAGCTGAAGCTTTTAGCACATGTGGGAAGGTATCTCATTGTGTTATCCTGGCAACAGTTGACAATGCATCTCGCCGTCGGGGCTTCGTCGTAATGTCTACTCACGAAGAAGCAAAGCTCGCTATAAGTAAGCTCTCACAGACTCAGCTGAAGTACGTACTAGCTTGTGCTCTCACTTCATCTCTTACTAACTCGCTGCAGAGGGCATACGCTCGATATTTCATGGGCTGTGGTTCAACGTTCCCAAGGTCAATATACATTACTCTTTTTTCGCTTTGTCACTCATTCTCACCGCAGGCTTTCTTGACGGCGGTGATCGCAATGTCGGCCTAGATGCCAGCATTTCGGACGGTTCATTAGGTTCTGACGCTCCTATTCCCGAAGCTCCCATGACTGCTGCGTCCACGCTCGGCGGACTACCCGATGCTCACTGCCTCTCCGTAGCTTTGTTTCCAACCAACATCCTTCTCGTGAAAAATCTCCCGACCTTCCTATTCTCGCAGATTTCCGATTTGAAGCCGCTTTTCTATCCCTTTGGTCCAATCAAGCAGCTCAAACTACTATCAGCCTCGGGAAACGGGCCGCTAAACAGCTCGGATACTCTTCGGCCTTCTACGGACATGCTCCCTGATTCTGTGGATACTGCCTCTGCTATCGTCGAATTTACATCTCTTTCTAATGCTGAGGACGCCAAATTGTCTCTCCACGGTCAGATTTACGCCAATCTCGTCGTCGCTGTATATTTCCTGGGCCGACCTGTACCCGCGAACGACCATTTTGCGACTACTGAAACATATCACGGATTGCCAGGCTATTTTTTGGATCCGAGCCCTCCCTTTGTTTATGGATCTCCTCACTACGCCCATCGGCCTGTATTTTATGGATCTCACGTCAGTGGACTGCCCTACTATGCCACTCCTGCGCCTTATAGCCTGGCTTTTGTCCCGCCTATCTGTACTGGACATTCCTCTGGCCATTACGCCAACCCTCCCTACGCGATACATAACCCCTATGCCCGACCTTCTGGCTGGCCTCGCTTAGATTCCCGGACAAGCTCATTGGACTCTCGGTATGTTTATCGCCCGACGGTGATTTCTACTCTATAATCGTCCTGGATTAGGCTCAGTCTGGACTCCCACTACTCGCCCTCTGGCCACGTCTTTGATGTATCCAACCATCTCTCCGCGCCACCCTCTTTCAATCCTTTCTAAAACTCTTCGTGCTACCCAGTGAATTCGTTCCGAAACCAAAACCAAAATGACGGATGTTGGGCTCGACCTTCGAGACCCCCGTCTTCGTGCTCTGCTCCTCCTGTCTTTCGTGCTGCAATGCCCATTTTGCCTCTCTACATCGCGATCGTCTTTGGTCGATTCTCATTCTCTAGTGCCTCGGCGCGTCCACGCAGAGTTGTCTTGAATAGCATCATTAACATAGGTTGGATCCCTCGCCCATTATTCATTGTACATTATGCATTCGGTTCATTGGGACAATATAACTCGGATTTGTAACCTAGCAGTTCCTAGGTTCAAACGTTCAACTAGCCAAGGCGATTGATTGTATGTTAAACGTCTCCCGGCTGAATCCAGAGCGTAGTTCACGCTTTATCCAGACAGGTTCAATTGACAGACATTCCCGAGGCATGTCGTGCCCTCCAGAAGTGGGTTCATACCGCAATGGAAGGTGTGTACGCCGTCCCGTTGGAGTCAGTTGCGGGCACGGAATGCATCGGGTGCGATCTTGAAAGCAGGTATATAATCCCCAGTGACGCAGGTCGTTCGTTTCACCCAATGTTCTATCTCCGGTGGACGAAACCGGCCGCAGGGCCATGCTCTCACCCATCGGGACTCTCTCGTATATTCGTGGACACCGAAAATGGGAGACTTGAACTCATAGCTGCCGAACCTCCAGCGTCATACGTTGGACCCCGCAGACGCTCAGCATGGTGGGATGGGAGTCTGGATCGAATGGATGTCCTACCTTTCGCAGGTGCACAACATTCCGTGTTACGCGCTGTCTCTTCGCGGGCATGGATTGAGCTGGTACCCCAGCTTAATATCGATGGTGTGGTTTACCACGAAGCGGGCACGAGCAAACCATCTCGCGGCGGGCATCGAATACGTCGAGGAAAAGGAGAAGACCGAAGTTGTCCTTGTTGGTCACTCCAGTGGGGGAGGTCTATCCCAAATCCTTGACGCGGGAGATGTGATTGTCGCAGGGCTCGTTATGGCTGCCTCGAATCCTTGCTACGGCTCGTGAGCCTCCTTCCTTGGTTCACTCTTCGAATGTGGAAACACTTCTTACACCCACAGTCGCCATTATCCAACACCTATTGGGTCAAACGCGCCTTCTTCTGCGACACTAAGCCGGATAGCGAATTCGATGCGTTCGCTAAGAACATGTCGCACTATGAAAGCCTTCAACCAGATATACGCCTGACTACATTCCGCACGTCGACCAGCCTTCCAGCATCATCCCAAGCGGCCGATGGAAGCCGTGTAGCTGCAGGATTATGATTTTGGCGGCTGAGAAGGGTAGGGTAATGTCTATCAAGCAACTGAGAGGTGCTGCTGAGCATTATCGTGGTAGCGTTGTGGATCTGATCAAGGCAAAGAAGTTGGATTCAGAATCGAGTGGTCTCTTGGGGGACGATGTGAGTGGGGTTAGGTTCTGGATGGTGGCAGGTGCTGGACATCACCTTCAGAATGATCTTCAGTGGGATGACGGTGTCCGTGAGGCCGTAGAATTCTACGAGCAACTTTAAAACTACAGATGTGAACTAGCTGTATAAACAAATCCAGAAAGTAGGATTTACCGCCGGCATTAAGGATAGAGAATTGAACCACCTTAAAGTGACTGGATCATTAAAAAGCTGCAGCTCTTCACATATTGAACGATGCACGCGAAGATTAGACGGCCCGCTTTGCCAACTCCGAGTTGATAGAGGTTCTTTGGCCCGCCGCCGACCGTAAGAGATGCTATGCACTGTCGATGGGGAACACCTAGCCGCCAACTTCAACCTAAGCTAAGCCCGGATGCGCTACTAGCATGTGGAGTAACCCCCAAGTGTTCATTCTTTTATATAAATGGCTTGTCATGAGATAGCATCCTGAACATTCACTCCAGCGGGTCGGTCTTGTCGTTTCAAACGATCAAAAATGTAGTGAAAGACCGTCACGTCGTCACATCGTCACGCCTCATCTCATCGTCAGCTACGCCCACAAACTAGATTTCCATGGCTATGGCCCGTCGAAGAATGTCCAGGGGGGAAATGCAAAGTCCCACATCCCCCGTCTTCCCAGTGGCACCTTTCCCGCCTCTTCCTTCGCCAGCACATCACAGTCGAGCACCGGAATTCTATGGATTCGTTGCATGGACGTCTACATTGCTTCTATTCATCGTATTTATATTGTGGGCAGTTCTCCCAGATGAATGGATTGTCTGGCTTGGAATCGAGTGGTATCCGAACCGGTACGCAGCGTATTGTGCACAAACGATACCACCTCTCTGATTAACACAACGATAGGGAATGGACGCTGCTACTTCCGTCTTACACCGTCCTCCTCGTTCTACTAACGTATTTCACGTATTTTGCGCTCGCAATCCGCGCGACGCCATCGTTCTCTGAAATGAGTTCAATCACTGGTCAGACTTCTATTTTCTGTGAGAGAATGGGCACTGCTCACGCGCTTCCAATAGATTCATACACGCATTTCTTTCCTACCGCTGATACGGACATACACGAAGGATATGCGTCGGCTAGCGCACTCCCAGAATTATATGATATGCCCATAGGAGTGGTTAATCGCTTGTTGTACTCTCAGAAGAAGGATCATCCATCCTTCGGCGGAGGTATACGACGCTAAGGCCGGACTTCGATATGTAGCGGCCTGAAGCATTAAAGGTCCGCGCCTCGACCGATCCTACAAGTAATACATGTCGACAAGATACAGAAGAATTACGTCGTCGCCCGCCTGGCTACTTTAATACACGCCTAGATCAACACTCTGATCCACGGCTACAATGTCTACCCTTCGGGCTGCATGATCACCAACCTCTCAATACACGGCAGCTTGGAGCATTGGAGGCGCAGGGCCAGGTAATCCCCTAAACTGCAGACGGTGGACAACGAAGACTACTAAGCGAGGGTTCCTCTGCTGTATCCGCTGGGGGACGCACCTGTGTCGGATGATAGGGATGTGAGCCGGCAGGCAAATATGAATCTCGCTCCTCAAAGAACTCGTCGTGAGGGCCAACAGGCATCGTCGGCACAACCGTTCGCAGAGGCATGGGTAAAGCAGGGGCGAACGATCCCACCCCATTCTGACGGTCGAAGCACTCGCCACCGTCATCTGACTCCGAATCGACTTCGGAACAAGTCCTGAGGGATTTGACGTTTGTTCGAGTGGCGAGGCTGGGTGGCACCCAGTGCAGTTTGGTGGGGCCTTTCAGCGATTGCGATTGCGGCGAATACGACGGCGGCAAGACTACCGGATCGTTGAAATCGACAATATATGGCGTAGGCTCTGGGTCATTCGTGGGAGGGGATGGGATGATGCCATGTGTACGTAGATGACGCTTGGCATTGGAACGAACAGCAAAACGCTTGTTACATCCCTGGACGGTACACGGAAACGCTAGATGGTATCACGCTATTAGATCCATCATCGTACATGCCCCAAACACGTACGTTTAGAGTCAGTGTGAGTGTTCATATGTGTCTGCAGCCCACTTGGCCTTGGGAAGAGTTTGTGGCAAATCTCGCACTCGTGCATCTTCGACTTTTTCTTGGGACGGTGTGAGACGGGGGTCGACATTGATCTTTCTCTCGACAAGCGGCTACCTCGGGATGGGATGCTGAGATCACGCTCGGGACTCGGTAGAGACGGATGGGGCAGATATGTCACGCTGGTCTCTGTGTCCATGGTGTGCAGCGGGGGCGATGTGTTTCTCCGGCGGACGGAAGCGCCCGGGGGTCCGAGTGCAAAAATATCTGGATGAGGTAGACCTGTCATGGCCAAGTGAGGGCGGTTTTCGACATCCATCGGCCCTTCGGATGGAAGACATTCAGGGAAAAGTGAATTCCTTGATGTCACTGGCTGCGTCACCGGCTCAGAGAGTGGCGAAAGATATATGTCTTCCCCGACTGGTGGTTGCGTTTCGTCGTCTCCTAGCTGGCTTCTGTATGTCTCAGGCTCGAAGTCGAAGACAGACGGTCGTCTATGAACGAGGCGACCAGAAAGGTCGTGCACTTGGTCCCTCGACTCGGGGAGCGAAGGATATACGTCGCCGTATTCCTGCGCTGGGGGGAGGTAAAGACTGGGAAATGGGTGGTGTCCATATGTCCCCCTCCTTGCAGATCGCTCCAGTGAAGTCCCCACGAATTCATCAAAGTCATCCAGAGAGCTTCGCTGCGACGACTCGGGATAGCCCATCGAGGCCAGGTTACAAGGCTGTTGATACGGGGCAACCTCCATCGGTCGACAAAAATCCTTTCCGCCGCTGTTATACTCGATGGGAGCGACGGAACGTCCAGGTGGTAGTATCGAAGAAAAAGTTGGAGTCGATTCGTCTTGTGCCACCCATCGTGGTTGGTTGATATAGACTACAGGACATGTTTCCCACGTTCGTCGGTGGTCATCTGGATACATAATTGTGATGGCAGGCCACGTCTGTCGCGCGAAGCGTTCAAAAGAGGATACCGAAGTGCTTGATTGGGGAATTTAGGGTACTAATTTGCTTGAATGGTGGATCAAGAAAACGACCATGAGGCCTGTCTAGCAGCCGTTATCATGCGGTGGTTTCAACCTCTCGAGTCTTCCCTACGAGAATGCGATGTAAAAATCAATGTCTTTGCCTCCAATAGACGTACCTTTGATTAGGCTGAGCTCGGGCTTTAGTTTTGAGAGATGATGGTATCCAATACAGGGATATTTCACAAGTCCGTTGGCCCTTTGGTGCGCTATGAATACATTGCAGTCAGCCTTCGCAGCAACACCAGCACGAATGTGAGATTCTTGGGGCAGAGCGCTTACCATGTCGGCGAGTCGAGACCAATCAGTAGTAGTGCTCAAGGCCCATGGGCCCAGAGGAATGTTCGAAGACTGGGTCGTAGCGTCATCTGTGGAGATTCCAGGAAATTTAAATATAAAAACACGTCGTCGGTAGCTTTTTGGTGGGGCATGACATACACTCAGAGTCACAGGTGCATTTCGAACCCCGCGACAGTGGCTTACTTCCCCGAAAGGGATTATCGTGGTTCACCCAATTTACTATCATGGAAGCCTCAGCTCAAATAATCATATTATACAAAAGCCCACCACGTGCACAGATATCCTTGTGGTGAAGAGGGAGCGTGTCAATCATGTATCTGCCGGGAGTGTGGATGTCCGTCGGTATCGCTGCATTGATGCCTTCTAGTGCTCTTCGCCTTGCTTGACAAAAGTCAAACTTCTTCGCTGCCTCTGCTTTAATCCCAAGGCCGGAATAGGTTTTGCACTGGCAAGATGTCGCCCCAAACCTCCCTTCCTCCTGTCACTGCGATCCACCAGCGGAGTATGCCTTCCCATCGGCGTAACATTTGTTTCCGACCGCCGAAGACCGGCCTTCCCCGCAAATGACCATCGCTCTTTCCACCCCTGTGCTACCACCTCAACGCGTTCGCGCCGAGCTTTGGCCTCCAATGCATCTTCATCAAGATTGTCACAGATATCGTCTGCGCCAAGCACCAGTGAAACGTCCCTGACGCGAACATTTAAAACTACCTGAGAGGAATCGATTGGTGTTGGAGGGGAAGGGCTAGGCGGCGACGTCGAGCCAGAGGTGTCAGCTTCGCCTCCAAAACATTCAGACTCATCATCATCGTCGAACCCGTCTATCTCGCTGTCGTCGCCGCACAATGCACTCCTGAGGTCGGGACCCAGGAACACTTTGGGCATTCCAATACCATCGTTATCTCCATCATCCGTAGGCCGGGACACGCGTTTCAATCGTACCGCCGTTGGGGTCTCCACGTTTGGCCCGTAACTCCACGACCGACGCCTCGCCTTCTTCTGCTTGGGAGCCGATGGAGAGAACGGGCTCGAAACGGGGTCCACCCCAAAGTCAGCGCTGTCCTTCCGCTGGGATGTAGGACCCGCGGGAGAGGACAGGTCGGGGAAATCGTGCGAACGTGATGGCGAAGGGGAGATATAGCCATCCTCTTGTTCAACAGGGTCGTCTACCACTCCATTCGATACCGACATGTACATCTCTGCATCAACATGGCCCTTCGCCACAGTTGAGAAATCGCATTGAGAGTCAATCTCTTCGCAGTCTGAATCCTCGACCACTATGCATACGTTCTCCTTGTCTAGTAGGTTTCTCGATGGGCCAGCTTGCGGAGCGAAGAATTTGGAAAGGGTCATATCGTCAGTGTTATTGGCTTTCTTGGACTTGGGAACAGGTTCCCGTCGCGCACGCTTCGCCGAAAGGTCTTGGTCCATGACCTCGACCAATGTTCGTTTACCGCTTTGCCGACCAACAATCATTTTCTTAGGACTATGCTGGGTGGGCCGGAGTGAAGGCGTCTTGGTTACTTTTGCAGAAGGTGGTATGATTGCATTCGAACCTGCGTAATATTTAGCCAATGATTAGTGACTCTCAAACCAAGTGTTTCAATGTACCGAAGAAATTCAGAATCCCCCCCGACTTCGAGGGCGTCTTGGGCTTGCTCGTAGGTGTTTCAACGCGCCTCGCCTTGCCCTTCGCTTTTCTATTGACGTCTATCTGCTTCAGAACACGTGGGATGTAGGCGGGATTGATATCTTCCATCGATTCATGTGAAACGGGGTCAGCGTCGCCTTCAGCAATTCGTTGCGCTAGACCAGGTTCCATATCCCTACATCCAGAATGTTGAACGTTTTAGTTGACCAAAACCGTGATGATTACGCACTCCCCAACATATTCATCTGCCTCATCGTCCCAATCGTCCCCCACGTCCGTCAAATGCACCAATTTGCCCTGGAGTGGGTCATAGACTCTCTGATGCAGGAAGCACTTCTCAGCGAGCCGGAAGCGCTTCATATATCCAGTCGGTACCGTCTTCTTCCCTTCTAACCTCAGAACTTGAACCACCTTCTCAGCTGTCTTGTGTTTCTTCAACATCGACCACGCAGTCTTCAGCCCAACGCCTGGTATACTCGGTAGGTAATCGCACCCGCTCAATATCGCCATTGACCGGAATTGCGCGTCGGACCAGCCAATGAAGGAAACTCCGCCAGCGGGGTCAGATACTGAGGAAAAGTCGGCTCGGGAAATGGAGGTGATGACACTCGCGACGTCGTCTAGTTTGAACAATACATTGCGGCATCCAAACACGAGCAAGTCCGAGTCTTCCGTGATAATGCCATCAACCAGACCAATGCGTTCCAGATATGCGAGCTGGGCGTCGGCTTCGTAGGGTGCCACAACGTAGGATACAGACTCTGCCTTGAGGGCCTAAAGACACGCGTAGGTGGCTATCGCTCAACGGATGAAATGAAAGCGCACCTTTATGAGTTGATACGCCATCTGAGGTGTTACATCCACGCACTTGACGTAGTAGTCCCGCGCTTGAGAATGTTTACCTTGGGCGGCGAGCGCGTGTCCCCGAGCCAAGTTCTCCTCACGCCGCTGTTTCCTCTCACTTTCCGTTCCTCTCTTCGCAGGTAAAGGACCGCCGTCGAAGACAATGTAAGGTTCGATTCCATGGTGTCGCAAAAGGCGTACGCGGTGCATCGCATAGTCAACATACCTGCGTGCAACAGCTGTCAATCTCTCCTGTACTCGGGTGGCACCATACTCACTTGTGAGTTCGTTTGCCTGTTGCCAGCTCTGTTGCGCAAGAGTATACCCCACGATGCAGCCAAACATATGCGTCGACTGCTAGAGTTCGTCCGGAGAACTCGGATAGATGCTTGCTGACTTGAATAGATTTCAATAATGGTAGGAGGCCTGAGATCCCCATCACTCAAGCTAAAGACATAGAAAAAGTCAAAGGTAGTATAAGAAAGTAGGGGAATATGAAAGAATGGGAGGAGGAAGGAGGTGAGTGTGAGCGTGTTCTCGTCTACAGGCGTCTATTAGATTGGAAGGATCACCTGATCGCGTTTGTCAGGGGCCAATTGCGATCACACATTCTTCATTTGTGTACATACAAATACTGGCTGATACGGGAACATAATCTCGTTCCCAGATGTCTACAGAGAGGAGCCTTCGGGAAAGACCCGGGCGGACTTGAAAGTCGGAGTCAAAGTTTTTGAACAGAAGTCTCGTTGAGCTCTCTGTAGGACATCTGGTGTAACTTGGTAGAGAGGGGGGGGTGAGTCACATCGGTCACACTTATTTCTATATATGGAATCCATCAGCCTACCGCACACCGTTGCCTATCCTTATCATTATCGCACTATGGACTCTGTACTGAGTAATATCCTTGACGCCGAAGATACAGACTACGGCAGTAACAGATATCACGAAATCACCACACCAGCAGCCGATGATGATGACGACAATGAGCCAATTGGGAATGATGAAGACATGGAGGATGAAGAAGACGAAGGGCCGGACTCGGATAGGTGGAGACATCGCACGGCTATCCTACGAGCTCAATTGAAACCCGAACAACTACTTCCTATTGTTACGCAGACCCTTGATCTGTGGAAGTCGTTAGGAATTGACTTGCCTCTTTTCCTACTTGCACTAAGTTGGGGTGATCCTGCTTGTCGTGTTGATCATGATGTGTGTTACGCACGTACAGCATTGCTGAGAAGTGTGGAGCTCCCAATGATCCTCCGGAACTGGTATGCACCTCCACGAACGGCTAACACTGGGTGCAGGATCAGATATTATCTGCGGTATTATTTTGATTGCTATCTGAAGAATATCTCAGTTAAGCATGTCATACCCAGTTATCTCGAGTGTGACCAATATGTAATGAGTATGAGATAGCAACGGCAGTATTATCCTCAACTGACTTAAACCTCTCATTGTGAGTAAATATTTATCACATATCACACGGCTCTATATTGAAGGATTATTGCACATTTACTCCACATATTGGATATGTAATGTTAGCAACAATATGTTATCCTGCACGCTGTGTAAGAAGGGATCACGCGGGATGTCAGCCCTGCGCGGCCAGCTCTCTGCATCCAAATGGCCAAGGACTCAGGGACCATGAACTGGATTACCTGTACAATATTGGGAATATCGCATCCCTGGAAACTTCATCAGTATTGTGACGTGCCGGCTGTACTCAGAGAACTTACCATTCCTGCCGCCTCGGTGCTCAGCAGAATCCTGATTTTTCGTTCCGAAACCTCCTGAGTGTAAGGGGACACCCCTATTTTCCCCTTTTCCCCCTGTCCCATCCCCTTCCTCCTCGTCCCTTTCCTCTTTCTTTCATTCCCTTTCCTTTCCGCTTCCCTTCCGTTCACTCCCTTTGCATCCGAGCCTCGTCCGGTGACTCCGAAGTCTTCCCGCGCTTCGGACGCCTCGGACTCGCTCGGACTCGTAGATACACTCCGGGGCTCGTCCGGGCTACCTCTATCCTCCTTTCCCACTTCATTACTCCTTGTCCCCACTTCCCCAGGTCGCTGGCACGACTCCTGTACATTCCCCTTCCACTTCATTATCACATGCCCCCTCGTACCTTGTGATATTCGTTCGTACCTGTGGCTGGTGTACTGTACAGTTACCCTTCATTCCTCCCACGCTACTACAGTATATACTTCGCTTCCTAGCATGGAGAATCCCCATCCTGTTCTCTTTGGATTCTCCCTCTGCTAGGTGAGCAGCTCTCTCATGTATTGTAGTTAGTCTTATTCATCTCTTTGGATTCTCCCTCTGCTAGGCCTGCGCTGTCGGCCATCTTGAGGTTGCCCTTACACTGAGAAGCTTCTTCTTGGCTCGAGGACTCCTCCGTGAGTGGTACACCTGGATATACGGATGAGACACATGGCTTGACCTCTTTCTTAGGTGCTTCAATGCCTCAATTGCAACATTGATTTCGTCGAAGAACACAAGTGTCTGCGGAACATCGAGCACCGTCATGTTCTCTGCCAGCAGGAGTGAACCTAAGGACTCCAGGTCCTTCTTGCCGCCTTTCATTGTCCGTGTGAACCAGGCAATATTTGGGTGGTCGGTTCCTAAATGAACATGGTACGTGTACTCCTTCTCTAAGTGGACATTGTGGCGAACTTCTGATAGGATAGGCAAAGGCAGCGTTGCAGATGTGACCAAGAACGGGACTTGGACTGGGACAAAGGATCGCAGTGTACCCAGTTTAGCGTACTCCGGCCGAAAGTCCTTGCCCCACTGTGAAATGCAATGTGCTTCGTCAATGACAATGCTGCAAATCTTTGCTGCAAAATCCGGAGAACTCAGAAGCTCCCTGAATTTTGCATGCTGGAGGCACATCTCCGGGGATGTCACGATGACTTGAACTCGGCCCTTCTTCATCTCCTTAACATGATATTGACAGTGAGTTCATCGCTTCGAGAACGTGCCATGCTTACGACATGCATTTTATCATTATATGTTTCCCCATTAACTGCTAGTGCTTTGAGCCCCATCCCGCGGAATCACTCGGCCTACATATGTGAGTGGTTGCAGTCGCCAAACTTGTCTGCCACTGACCTGATCCTCTTCCAGCGCGTTAAGGGGTGATATGACCAGAACCACTTGTTGGGGTTGAACGAACAACGGCATGATGAACGGCATCGTTTTACCAGCACCGGTTCCCGCAATGACAGTGCAATCAAGTCCAAGCAAGATGGCTTCCGCGATGTTAATCTGCCAGGGATAGGGCGACTTGCCCGGATTTTTTCGTGTAAACTCTTCATGTATCTTGGCTCGCGTCAACGCCGAATCATATTTCCTTCTTCTCGTCGCAAGTAAAACAGCTTTGCATAATAGTCACGCTGATTGTTGTGTGTGTTCTTTGTGCTCTTCTTCTCGAGTTCGCATTAGGAGGCGGCGGCGTGGACGCGCTGTGGATATACAAGGCAATCGTGCCCCATTCTGTGGCTCAGGATGGTGACTAATCTACAAAATTTATCATATGTTTCTACAGCGTGACATCAACCCCCCCCTCCTCTACGAGTTGCACCAGACCTTGTAGAGCAAGAGTCAGTCGCGAATTTGAAACGCCGACGGTCTCGCGCGGACCACAAGGACTGGAGCCGAGACTAACGGGAACAATTTGCACAGGCGAATATAATATCTACAAAGCGACATGCTTAATCATTAACTTTATCATCAACTTCACCATGAACTTCACCATGAATTTCACCAACTTCACCTCTCCTTTCTTGCTCAAGAACTATTAATGTGTCTTGGATGGGGATCAGCTTGCCAACAGAGATATAGGCAACTTTGCTAGAAATGAGATTGAGAGTTTCCAGGACTGCCCCGTGAAATCCGTGAAAAGCAGTATTGGGAATGGGGAAAGATTTCTCGACAGTCGTATACATGTTGACCAACACAGCTGACAGATACTTAACGTGCTCGGAGATTTGAGCGGTCCCGATGAGCGAGATTTTAGTAGAGGTGTGCTTGAGGTTGATTGACTGGAGTGTGGACATGTGTTGCGCCTGTGTTCCAGGGAAGAGGGAGAGAAAAACTCCGAGCTGATCTCGAAGTGTGTTGTGGTGAAGAGGAGCAAGAGGAGCAGTTGACTTCGGATGGAAGCGAAGCAAGGTCCAGATCAGAAGCCACCAAACTGACTCTAGGTCATGGATTGGATTATGTAGGAAGGTAGGAGTTTCGTCGATATCGTCGTAAACCTCCGTAGAATGCAAGTTGGTATCAGACGTATCAGGAATATCCAATGTATCAGGCAAAACAGCCAAACACTGGTCTAGCAGTGCCGGAGAACTGGTTTGAGGATTAGATAAAGAAAACAAACGCCGGGCTAGCGTCATCAAAGGAGTTCGTGGTCACATTAGATAATAGCTGGTGGAGACCTTGCAAGCCATGAATTGGAGGGTGCCCTGGAATGTTGTGAATTGCAGCTAAGGAAGGAATGGAGAAGGCTTTAGGATTTTAATACTCAATGAGTGGCTGTTTCCCTTGGATACCGCATCGTCCGTGTAGAATGTAACAAACTCCAGATCGCCAAGGCGACCAGAGTTTGTCGTATCGTCGTAGTATACGTTCCCACTACTCAAGTCTCGATGAATGGCTTTCGAACCCTCCCACATGGCGTAAAGGGCTACAAAGCTTCAGGTATTATGCAAAAAGAAGATTATAACAGACGTACCGGTAATAGCATGCTGAAGTGAGAAGAGCATCTTTGTTAAGTCGTTTAGGTTTTCGTATGATGTGCAAACTTCCTTCCAAACAGTTCGGTCGTGTCGACGAGGTATGTATACGGGATGGTCTCCGCGGCATTGGCATTGAAGTTGATAGGCAGGATAATCATCAGGCATTCCAACGATACCCGAACGGCTGCTGTCTGAGTATACATGTTTTGACGATGCGGGAGAAAGAGTCGGGACCGGTTGCTGAAGGCCTCGGTGGAAGTTTGACAATGAATCACACCAAGTCACGTGTCAGGCCGCTCTCTTGAACACCCCCACGGACTCGCTTAAAGAGAATGTTCACGCCCTCCGAGTTCTCGAAGAACTATCTATAAACTTCTTGTGTGCCCTTTTGCTATGCCCTTTCTATGTTTCCAGCGGCCTGAAACCAGCTTGCCAACTTGCAGTCAACCCACAACGCGTCTTGTAGCATACTTCTTGCAACAATTTATAAATGCAGATTTACACAACAGTCACGGGGAAATAAAGGCACAATAAACATGAATATCGGGACGATAGCGGGTGGGAGTCCATCAAGTAAGGATAAACGGGCTGGAAGGTTGAGGGAGTGTAGGATCCGAGATCGCTTCCACAAGAATATCGTTCGAGTCCTCGAATTCTTCCATCAAATCCCTCATCTCCTGTGTAATAGCGTGCAAAGCATCCCTTGTCGACCACACTCTAACTTCCGACTCGTCAGGCTCGATGTCCTCGCCCCATTTACTTGTCCGGGGCATTGGGAGCAAGGTGTGACCATATCCCATAAATGTTTGCACAGCCCGTATTCGTCTGTACGTCTGTTGGATCAGCGGCAACGATTTGACGCGTACGCTCTTCAACGATAACCTCCCCGTCTCGCTAACTTCCCCGGGAGAAGAGAAGGGCCGGCGTGCGTTGACCTCCGCAGGCCCTAAATGAATGATGTGTGGAGCGAGTGTTGCTGGCGAAGGAGAGGCAGGTGGGGGAGTGATTATTTGAGGCGACCGCATTAAATGAGGAGAGGATGATACGGGGCTGAGCTTCGGGGATGATCCAGGTGATGGTAAGCCGGATAACCGTCGACGAGGTTTAGAGAACATCGTAGAAGATATCCGTTTGTTGCCTGGGCTAGATGGCATCGTGGCTTGCTGTGCCTGTAAATCGCGCTCCAGGCCAACCATCTTTTCCCGTAGGGACATACGCATCTGGAGTACGAGAGGGGTGCGGTAGAGGCAGATGAACTCCAACAAAGACCACGTAACATAATCGACCATTCGAGGGCGCTGGAAGGCTCTTGAATACAGGGACGGGCTCTTCATATGCAAATCGGTGACAATCGACAGATTGACGTTGTCAAATTGACCGCTCGACCTTGGCGAATGCATAGGGGAAGCATTCACGGAGGTATCTCCCCCCGCTAGTGCGAAACGTGCGCTCCCATCGTTAACTAAAGACCGCAGTAAGGTACCCAGCCGCATCCAGATGCTTGGGAGAGATGAATGGAGTTCGTCCTGCGCCCGCACTAGGGCAACCTTGATTATCTGGAGTCCAACAACGAGGGTGGTAAGTTGCGTTTCCGAGGCCGTTGGTTTTCCGCGTAACCTAGAAAGCAATGATTCCGAGCCTTTGGTTGCATTGGGAGGCCCTCGACAAGCTCCCATAGCATACGCAACCAGGCGCACCCACACGTTCTTCAAGGTTTGCCGGTGGTCGGTCTCCGACCATCTTCCCTCGGGCCCCACGTCGGAGCTGGTTTCTACAGTCAGGGCAAAGGGGAGAACGATGCTCACTAGAAACTCGTAGGATGGGTTAATCTTCTTTTCAAAAAGGGCCATTACATCTGCACCACGGATAGGCACGCAATGCGCGATAAGACGCGAGAGTTTTTCGGTGAAGGCTGATTTAGATTTCTTCTCGGTTTCACAGACGGCCAGTGCCGGTGCGCATACTTGAGTCAGAATGCAGCGCACGAAATTGATATCACTGCCGTAAGTCCCATCGGCCATCAACTCGATGATTACTTCCACGACAGAGGCCAGGTCGACAGAGCCAGCATGCAAAGCAATAACCGGCTGTAGACTTTGGAGGAAAGCGGTGGCGTGGTGAATGGGTACGGGAGGATCGCGGAGTAGGGCGGCGCGTGTGAAGTCAGATAGAAAGGTTGCAACGTACGACCGACTCGCCAGACTTGTGTCTTTCAACATTTGATCAACCATTCCAAAGACGAACGCCATCGAACGCCCAGGATCACCGCCGGAGCGACAGTAGGAAACGATCAATTGAAGGTAGTCTTGACGCATGGCAAAAACATCACTTGGTGATTTGGATTTATCAAACAACTCGTTTCGGAAGAATGACTCCGATGACAGTGAGTGGAGGGTCACATTGTCGGCACTATGATCCACATTAGCGGGATCAACGTTTTTTGATTTACTTTGCGCGCGTAAGAGGAGCATCGGGAGGGCCAATACGCCTTCGCTGAGGACATTTCTGGCTGAGGACGATGCATGATAAAAATGTCCAACGAGGAAGCGAAATAAATGGAGGAATAATTCTGCGCGCATAGTTGCTGGGTCGTGGGCAATGACCGTGAGCAATAACCGAACAAAGTTATCCACAGACATCGGCTTTGCTTCATATTCCTCCGGAAGGGCATCGTCTATCGAGGTACGCCCTTTGGAAGCGTCGGGGCGAAGAAATTTGAAGATAGCCTGTGGTTGTTCCTCCGCCGTCTTCATGAGAAGGGCTTCCCGTTCTTGCACCTTGTTGGCATCGTGTATGCCTGCTGCGTCGTTGAACGCAGCCGAGGATGCCCGCTTCAAGCTCGAGAACAGGGTAAAGATGCCTTGAGCGAACCATTCACAGTCAATTGTTGGCGATTTCATCAAATGTGCCGCAGCTTCCAAGCTTTGGAAAACAAAGGCTTCTTGATGAAGTGCATGGAATCGGTTGGTGGCGTATTCAATTGCGGATCGAATACCTTGGTGACCTTCGGCTTGGACATAGACCTTGATTACCGCTGGCATGAACAAGATATACCCTCCAGAAACGAACAAACGCCTGAATCGAGTACTAGCAACCATGAGGGCTGAGGAAGGTATCATTCAAGCCGCAGTATGAGGAGAATCCGAGTCCACCAGGAAAAAGGTGACTAACCAATCATCGCATGTCCAACTATACCTATATCATCGCCGTGCTTCAGTAGCACTCGGTTCAAACCATCAACAAGGACAGAGAGGTCACTTCGATCACTGAGGGTGCGAGGAAGCGAGCGGAATACTTGCGCTATCAGGAGGAGGTAACTACGGGATAACATGAGCGAGAGATTGGTCAGTAATGTTTTGGTGGCTGGAGGGACTTTGCGTCCGGGCGGGCGTTCCTTGGAAGGGAAATAGTCTTTGAGTTCAAGTGGAAACACATCAGGGTATTCGTCCATGGACGGTAGAGCTATTCGGGTAATGTTCTTTCGAATATGCTGGACATCTTGTGGGTTTTTCTTGAGCATCTCCAAGTACAGGAGGTTCTGCGAAACGCGGACCATTGTGATATAGACTAAGCCACCAACAGCTGAGGACAGTTTATCCTCGAAGGGATTTCTGGTTTCTCTTATGGAGCGAGGAAATAGTGTGGCTGAGGGAGCCGAGGGAGGGAACCACAAGTGGCCTGTCGGAACTAGTAGGGTCTCTACTTTGGCTCGACGAAAATCACGTATGGCGAGGCTATGGACCTGGGGCGCCAGAGTAGATATGACGGAAACCACGTAGGCGTAGTCATGCAGAGCATCCGGAGCATCCGCCGCTTGCCGCGAAACGAACTTTAGGAAACCGACCAAGTGGTTGAAGAGATGATGAGTTGCAGGGGGTGGGAGTATGTTGCGGAGATGAAGCAGTGCCTGCATGCAAGAGACGGCCGCTGAGGTATCTTTCTGATCTCCAGAGAGCATGTCGAGGATTGGTCGAATGAGAAGCCCTGGGTCATTTCGCATGAAGTCCATTAGAAGACCTCGGGCAGCGCTGACAACATTCAGATCGGGATCGTGGACTACAAGCGCAAGTCGGGGTATGAGCGACGCCAGGGCAGGTACGAAAACGGCTTTGCGCTTGACGCCATAAAGCGGACCCCCGGTGCTAGAATTCCGTCGAAGCAGCCCGCCTTCGTCCGACTTGTCAACAGGAGACAAGCCGGGAGAAGAACCTGGACTTAGGCTAGGCGATGAAGGGGACGCTGGCAATTGTTCCTGCATAACGTCAAGACGATCGATGTAGTGCGACGGCAGAATGGATAGCGGAGTCTTTATGAGCTGCATCCGTTGGTCAACCTCGTCGTCTTCGGAAGCCCAGCCAATTTCAGCTAGCTGTTTTCGCAACTCTAGCGGTAGCTTGTCCTTCAACTCGTTGGGATCTTCCTGCACCTCAAACTGGCTAGAGCCCATGTCGGTCCCGATGAAAGGAAGAGGACCACGCGCCAGCTTGAAAGGTCGATGGGCCCGGTCGGTATTGATCCGCTGCGACAGGAGCTGGAAGCGCCAGTGGGAAAGGATACTGAGTTTGCGTATGGCACCGAGCTTCGTATTTGGACTCGAGCTACAATCACAATGTACGTTAGCGGTGACCTCCAGGTGGATTCAACATACGAGCCTGCGAAGGTCCACTTCAACGGTAGCTGAGATTTCCAACGGTTCCTTTTCGGCGCATTGCATGATAAGAAAACAGGCCTGAGGAATAGTAATCGTTAGCTTCCGTAAACATTTAAAGAGAGCTTTGACTCACAGGTGCTATGGTCCGCTGATCGTCCTCCAGATGGCCGACCCATAGGATACGAGAGATACACCGAAGATCGTCTCCAGACAACAGAGCGGACACTGCTACGAGAAGCTTCAGCACCTTAGGGGTAAATCCCTTAGCCAATGACTCCAGCAAGGGTTTCTTCTTCTCCAATAGTGAAGCTATTCCCCCTTCCGCGGTAGTAGACACTCCACCAAATGTATCTTTGGTCGTGGGAGACAACAACAACGTGCTTCTGCGCTACGAATTGTTATAAAAGCATTGAATAGGATAGACAGATATTGGATAGATACCTGATTCCCTGACTGAGAGCTCTCCTGCGCAAGCTCGTAGACTACACTGACCTGATCAACACAAACATGGATCTCGTCATTGAAACGATCTCTTCCGGCGTTGTCTTCGTCACCGTGGGCGTCAACAAACCAAGTGATCGTTCGTGATAACCAAGGGGCACTGAAAGAAGGTCAACCCAGAGTCGTTGCGTGAGATGTTACTCACGGCTTCAGGGACTTCGTGAGTAGGCGTATTTCTCTGAAGAGGACGCAGTATAGCGATCGATGGAAGGCCGGAACCAACAGTGTTTGTTCCTAGATGGACTTACAGACAAAGAAACCTGACGGTGCCGAAGGAGACGTACCTTCACGTCTAGCCCGGCTGCCAACCGAGCCTCGAGCGACAAGGCGAACTTCACGGCGTCGACTAGCGCATGGTCGGCAGACTAATAGGATGATAATCAAATCGAAGTTATACTTTGCTGTGCAGTCTTACCGGAGCCCCTTCCTTTCGGTGTCTCACCGTTTGTAAACTAGAAATGATTTCCATGAGGATTACTGATTGGCCTAGCCGAGGAACGCCCCAAGCAGGAGTAGCTGTAGTCCCGTTATTGGCCTTCGCACCGGGATCGCTCAGTAACGCAACCGCTACCATCTCCGCATCACGCATCCAAAGGTCTGGGAGGAACTTGGAGATGGCCGTGAGTACACGCAGGTGGTTCAAAACCACCACGTCCTTGTTGGAAGCGGCGCAAGAGAAAAAGGGCTTGTAGAAGATGCGAGGGAATACGGAGGCCAATTGTTGCAGCAGAGTAGTTAGCACCAGGTTGGGCGAAGGCGGCGTGTTGTCCGCCAAATGCTGTCGGTTCGTGAGCAAAACTGTAAATCAAGTGGAGAACCGCGTCCTACCTCGTTGAAGGAGGGTATCATCGAGAGAAGGAACTTCTGGCAGACATCATGAGGTAGCACTTCAAGGAGACGCGAGAGCCAGCGAAGCACATCCCGCCATTCTTGCTCTACAGACTTGAATGCAAGTGAGCATCCTCGAGCGGGCGAGAGCAGGATATTCCGACTTACAACCCGCCTCAATAAGTTCTCGAAGCTCCCAACCATGTCCGACGATCCACGGTACCAGCGTGAGACAACACCCACACTCCATTGCGAAGTCTCTGAGGAATCCTCCAACATCATGACCTCTAGAATCAGGTGACAAACCGCCTCCTTCGCATAATGTGACCCTGGCCCGTCAAGAGCCTGAACCTCAGTGAGGACTCTCGTCCGCAGGATTTGGACGACAAGCCGGCTGTCTGATACGCGTATGGCGTGCTCGGCCGTCTTCTTCAACAAGGCAAGGGTTGCATGGCAGAATGAGCGGATGGCGCGTGCGCGGATAGAACCAGTCAGCGGCTGGAACTGGACATCCTCTTTGGAAGGTTCCCAATACTCCTGTTGCACCCTATTCAGAACGTGGACCGTCGAGGGCATTCTCTCCTACCTTGAATAAATGAACAAGGATCCATCTTTGGTTCGACGAACTACTGCGCTCAAGACACCTTGCGAGCGCCTCAACAACTAAAGCCTGCCCGATCTTCTCTTTCGAACTGGACAACGCCTTATACTCCTCTTCGACAGATTTTAAATCCAACTGTAGATTACTCGATAGCCCAAATACAATTTCTTGGAGCAATAGCGTGTCCTCCGCCGCAGGATCGGCGAACGGAGAAGCGTGATACGTCGGAAGGAGCGAGAATATAGCCTCGATAATGCAAACGAAGGCCTGCGCCGTTTTCGGCACATACGAAGGCTCGTGTGGTAACATCCGTCGCAACAGGCTTATGATTTGACGGCGACTGACGGAGGGTTGTAATGCAGCTTTGCAGCACCATAGACACCGTTCGAGGGCAGCAGACTAATGTAAAAGCTTGGTCAGTACAGCTACTAGCAGTTGCTCAATGCTGACTTGGTCAGAAGGGTCCCACCCCTTGAGAATCAGCTCGAAGACGTCGATAGCGACCTTGCGTTCTTCCAAGGTCCGGGAACTAGCCTCCTGCGCTAGAAACGGAGTCAGAAGCGCGGAAATCACCATGTTCTCGCGGGGCAGCGGATTTACGGGATTGACATGGACGAGCAGTTGGTGAAGCGGTTTAACAGAAGGAACGGCGCGACCGGCGGTAGATAGCGACTGTATTGACATGGGCCTGCGAAGTTCTTTTCCCTTGGTCAGATTGAGGTTGACGACGCTGGGGTTCGATGACGATGGCAGAGAGTGCGAGTAATTCATCATGAAGGGAAGATGGAGCGTAGAGCTTGCGGCAGAGAAGGGTTCGCGCTTGCTAGTCGCTTGGTCCCCATAGTGTGCGACCAAGCAAGCTTTCTGGATGTCCTGCGCGAGTCTGCGCGTGTCGTCCACCGCTACTTCTCTCGCCTGGTCGACCACCTGCCTGAATCCGAGGCGAGCGAACCGCGAAGGCTTCGGTGTTGCAGAGCGCGGGGGGACGACAGTAGACGTAGAGGATATGACGCTCGGTTGCGGTGACTGAGGGCGGCCCTCCGTTGGTGTCGTTTGAACAACATGGCGTCGCAGCGTCTCCCAACGAGCGACCGATGGGGAAGCAGGCAGATTCGCAGACTCTGGTGTTCCGGGTCGCAGTGGTAGAGATGGCAGCTTCCTTATCCTGGCCTTGCTTGCTGCCTTGGTTTCCGGCTTATTGAGTTGGGGTGTATCTTCGTCCTGGGGTGATTCCGTCAAACCCACGTTCGTCCACGTTGGTGGTACACTATCCACGGGAGGTCCAGCTGGGTTGGTGTCAAGGGTCCTCGCAGAGTCAAAGGATAAAAGTCGGCGCGGTATGCTCCTCTTCCCAGAGCGCTCCCCTTTAGACATCTAGAATCAGCGCAAGAAGTTGGTGTAGCAGACTTGTTCAGCGGGCACCGACTCTGGCGTTGGGCGAATATCATCATGTGACCTATATGAGACGCGTCCCCTGCAGAGGAGGTCGTTGGCCAACAACAGGACTCAGGACCCGGAGCGAGGCGCGTTCGGAAGGAAGTTATTTCACATAGAGGACTCTACATTAGATATTCCAACATGCTTGCCGTTATATTGTCTCACTTTCAAATCCCAACATTAGCATTGAACAACGACGGTACCAACTACGATGCAAGCGACGGTGACTTCAAAATACTTGTTGGACGGAAACGAAAACGAAACGACGACTACCGCAATGTCATACATCCCCCCGAGTAATAACACCGTCAGGCCCCACAATGTAATCCATTGCCCAATCATGTTCTCCCATTGGTACGATTTCTGATGCGAGGATCTGCTCGCGGAGGGCCAGGGCGACTGTGGATGGTCATGATATGTTACTTGAAGATCTAAGCATGCATACCTAGCACTGGTCGCTTCCGCCCCGACGCGACGTACGACGAGATAAACCGGTCATAGTAGCCTTTGCCGTGCCCCAGTCGAGACAGAGCATGATCGAAGGCAACACCTGGCAGGGGAAGGACATTTCATTATTGACACCGTCGCATGGTATGTGGACGTACCGGGAACCAAGATAACGTCCAGGTCGTCGCAATCGTCGTCAAGAACTAGGCCGCGCTTTGTGATGAGAAGCAGTACGCCGTGTATACTCTGTATGAAGAACGCACCACTTTGTCGAAGCTCGCCATTTCTGCTGACATCGGGCTCCCTGATCCCCCATGTACCCGGTGGTAGAGAGCTCAGGTCATCGGAATCGTAGACCCGCAGAATGTCCATCCTCCCCGGCGTCAGCTTGTCGATCTTCGGCACATATAGTGACTTCCCTATCGGATGCATAAATCAGAAATACGGAACGAGCGATTTGTACACGGCGACTCACCAGAGGCCAAGACGCTTGATACAATAAACGAAGTGTCGACCTCACCGGAAGGCATACTCAAGTAACAGCTGACAGCCCGGCACTGTCGGAAAGGGAGCAATGACTCGACGTTCTTGGCAATGGCTCTGGCTATGCTCGAGACATAGACATATTATGGGTTACTAAGACATAGCAGAGGAAGAAGGAAACAAGTACATTGGGATTGGATGTCATGCGGCGTGAGAGTCGTCAGGAGTGAAGACACGGTTCTTCTCAAACTTCTTTTCTGGCTCTTCAAGGCAGAAGTAATCATGATGGCCGTTTGGATATTTGGCGGTAGTGTCGCAGGAGTCGAGCGCTACCGTCCACGGACCAGAGTAATCGAGTCCGTTCAAACTGCACTGCCAGGGACCCTGTGCACAGTAAAGGGGCTAGTTCACTCCTCAACAATGAAGAGACTCCAAGGTCCCGTCAAATGTACCTACGATAAAAGTAGAAACCTCAGTGTTTCAGAGGGGTTGATACTCGCTACGGCTAAACCGCCCTAAGGGCGGTACGTCCAGGGTATTGCAGTGGGTTGCCATCGTATTGGCAATGTCCTCGGGTTGAATCTACTCAAGGGAGGATTTGAGACAAACTTGACTCAACCACAATTTTAATAGTCTTAGGGCGTGACAATACAAGCAAAAATATTATTTGTGCTAGAATCCAGCGATAATTCACGGCGCTGGCTCGATCGATCATGATCGAACCTCAGGCGCCCATAGATCCTCGAACAGCGGACAGAATTAAGAGAAACACCCGCCTCCAACATGTGAATTCACCCTAACACATCTCATAGACGCATGTATTACATATGTGGTATCTTACGATATAGTATTTATCGATATTACTCAACCGGCAATTGTAGGCTTGTGTGCTGCAAATCTGATCAACAGTCCAGCACAACACATTCGACGTTAAAGGATAGTGAGGGTCGCTAACAGGCTGACTGCTATCGCGAGAGCCACCCCAGCGTTAACAGTGGTACCAGCGGGCCCAACACTCAAGGCACCATTCAGCAAAGTGGTTTGGTTGCTAAACGCAACCGAGGGGGTGTCCTTTGTTGAGTTACCCCCGTAGACGTACGAGGTGATGTTCTTCCCTGCTTTCGTTGGGTCTGCGCATTTGATCGAGATGGACTTGACAAGCGTATAGAATTGCCCTGTGAAAATCCTCAGGATATACGACGGACAGGATGGGATGGGTATTTACCGGCGGCCTTGTAATCGGGATCGTCCCAGTTGATCATTCCTCCAGCCCACTCAACTGTACCGGGAGGGCTACTCTCGATGCCAGCGGGCCAGATGCTCAGTTGCACACGGGCGGGTGTGGTAGGATACTTCACAACACCCCCGTCTGTCGTGTCAGACGCACGAACCGTGCGCACAGTCTTGCCATCAATGCCAAATGTCAGAGCGTCTGGTTGCCAGTCGATCTAAGCACTCAAGTCAACATTTGTTGCGCGGCTAGAGGCTATGATGGACGTACAGTGTAATCATGATAGTTTGCAAAGGTGTCGGAGATTCCTTTATGGGTCTCGCCGTTGTTGTGGCCATCGGCTATGACCAGTCCAGCCTCAGTATGTACTATGATAAATGAAGGGGAGGGGACTCACGGATGACACCCTGCCAGAAGAAGTTACTTTGACCCTCGGTGACAGTCGAGCCAGGGAACTCCCAGTCTACCTCATCTTTAATCCCACTCATGGTAATGAACGCAGTCACCACACCACCCCAACGCCCTGTCTTAACTACAGGGTTCTACATGAGACGTATTCGAATGCGTGGCCAACGGGTGAAGACTCACGTCGGGCCGTGATGGTTCCGTAGTGAACATGTCGCGTTGAGGAGATGCGGGTACCACCGTTGTCTTTCGTAAGCAGTAACGCAAGTTCACCGCCGGAAGAATTGGTGTTCATGATCGTGCCCTTGTCGACCACAAAATCTGCGCATAGTTAGATGTCGAGAGCCACGAGGGACCGTGATGCCCTACTTACCATATGCCGACGCGTTGCCATCAAAGAAGGCTGCTTTGGTCAAAATGCGTGAGTTGTCGGCAAAGGTATGCTGCGCATCGTGATTTCTCAGCACTGGCAGATTTTGATGAAAGAGCGGCGTGGACTGACCGTAGCATCTTGGCACATGGGGGCGGGCATGCAGGAATCGAGAGATTTGGAAGCTAGGGGGTTGCAACCACCGAGGCAGAACTATTGAACCGTAAAAACTCAGTCCACGGACGGCTAATGGTATTCCTTACATCGTCCGATCCACAGAATCCAAACTCGCCTGATTGACGGTCAATTGCTAGTGGCCCAGTATTCTGGCTTCACTCACTGCAGCATGGCGCGGAAGCTGGACATGGGTTTGTTGAATTACTGTTTCCCGCCTGAGCATCCCGAGCATCTTCCAAAGATTGGTGTACTCACCAAGTTGTTGCGTTCACCGTCAACGCCAATGCGGCGACCATGCCAACGAGTATCGTATGATGACGATGCATGGAAGAAACCTAGAGATGACACCGTAGACTTGATGTAATGACAGCAAACTTGGAGATGGTACAAAGAGGAATTTCCGTGGTATCTGAGTCCAAGAGCTATAGAAAATGAGTGGTATATGCAACGAGTGTGGTGGTGGTAGGTTATAAAGGTGCCAGGGCACTTCGAATTCGAAGCACATGGTTACCGGTTCTAAATTTTGTGCCTTGCCTCCCGAAAAAATCTGCCGAGAGAAGGAGCTTTTCAAGGGGCAGAAACCAGGGGCCAGGAGTAATGTTGGATCAGGAAGAGAATGTGACTTCTTTGGACCTTCTGCAAGTAAGTTCGGAAGAGAGACAACGCGACGTTGGGTTTAGAGTGTCAGGAGGGGGGTCATAAATGGGGTCAACCGGGAGGTTCGATAGGAACCACTCTGAAGGGCCGTATATAAAGAGCAAGATGTCAACGTTACAGAGCAAGTATGAAAGCACTCAAAGCAATGTCTACGAACCCGCGGGGAGCGAAAGAAAAACCGAAGAAGCATGACATCTATTTGAAAAAGTTCTTCATCGTCGCCTTGATGCCGGCGAGAACCTCATGTTTTCGCACAGAGTCGGCCGGAAGCTCTGCCTTCCCAGTGGCGAGGCTAACAAGGTATGCGAAGTCTGCCTGAAGTGGGAGAGGTAGACGAGATGCAGCAGATCTATTCCGTTTATCCTCCAGTCTTTCCTTGAACTGCTGGGCAAACTGCTTGGACACCACATCGGCCCGCTCAACCACAGGCAGAGGGACGCCAGCAAGGTTGGCGACGTGGGTTCCGAATGACGACGTAGCAGCGCCTTCCACCAATTTGTACAGGAAAACAATCTACCAAGATTCAATACCAGAGCTGATTGAAGAGGGAGATAACCGCCTTACATCGCGCTTGTCGTTGTCGACGATGGTTGACATATGCATCTGACGAATGTTGGGATGCCACGCGTAGTCATCCGTCAATGAGCCATAATGGGTCGCAAAGAAAGACAATGGTAAGGTGTGAGTCGCGAGTTGGTGAAGAACCGCCTGGTTTACGACATGTCAGCGGTCTAGTTTGTGTTCGAAAATATGGGACAAACCCCTGCAATAGCCATGCCGTCCTATGGGAATATGTGAGTAGAATGATATCTGATAGATGATTCGTGCTCACATATGTTGAAGTCCCTCTTCCCAACTCTGACCATCGTTGAATTAGCAGGTATGAGCAAACTAGACAAGCCATCACTAACCATCAAGAATGACAAGAGATTTGGGCGTTGCATCACGAAGGATCTTGCAGCTAGTAGAAGTAGTAGGAGTAATCAATCTGTCCACTGAATCGGCGATACACTGACCATTCGTCTAGTTCCACCTTGAAGGTACTCGCATTGGAAAACATATTGTCATATGCTCCCATCCGTGTGAGGATACTATCCACGGGACATATCCTAGACAAGACCAACATAAAAGGCGTGATCTCTCATAATGGACAATACTCACCTGGCTCTGCTCGCCGGAACCATCATACCGAGTTGCGCCATGATCTAGACAAGATAAGGCTATAATACAACAAAGAAAGCGTACACTTAAACAACGTACAACACCAGTCGCCGTCATTCGCATTACCTATGAAGGCCATTCTTAGTACTGCATTCCACGGGGAACGAAGAACTGTACCGTCGATTTGCCACTACATTGAGCGCAGAAATTAATGAGCAGAGGCACACAAATTGGGAGGAGATTCTTACGCCATGTTTGGGCCTGATACAGATGTTCAGCGACGTGCAAAAGGACATGGGGCAATATCAACGCACCTGTTAGTAACGCAATTCTTCCGTAGTCTCCACCCAGCTTGATATCATTCGGTATGAAGTCCCGCACGTTTGCACTCATAGACAGCGTTGGATGCCTCAACTCCTCGAAGTCTACCAACCCCATATCCCCTTTCACAAATTCAGGCCTACATGATGGTTCATCTATCGCTAGCGACGACTTCGCAAGACTAATGAGACAATCTAATTCAGCGAAGACGCGAATGGCTCTGAGCCAAAGGGAGCGGTCGGTATCGAATTCTGCATAGACGCGGTTTCGGAAGGATTTAATGGTCGTATTTCGAGTTTCTCTGGCTTCTTTGAGGGCACGTACAGTTCCTTGGAGAGAAGGAACGACCCATCGTATTGCAGCCTATTGGTACCAAGTCAACGTTAGTAAACGGGTTCTGGATATATGCTAACTACCTTTGTTGATCCACTCTTTGTCCAGTCCTTCGGTATATTCTTCTGAGTAGGTTTGGTCTGCACTAGGTAGATCTCCTACGCATATGATAGTCACGGGTCAGTACATGAATCAATTGCTTCGCACACACCTTGTTTCCTTGCGCACTATGCCAGTAAGTCAAATTGCACCTATGGAGAAGTTAGTGCTCCGTTAGCGACGGGACGAAGACGATCAGCCTACCCAAGCTTTTTCTCCAGCTTCTTGAGCTCGTCATCTAGTCCACTTTCCAGCTCTTCGATCTCAGTCACAACGGCATCGTAATCCTCATCCTTCCCGCTTCTCGGTGTCAGCTCATCCGCATCTGGAACCCCAAACCGAGGCTAGCTAAAAATGTAATCCATCTTAATGACAAGCGTAACTCACCCTTGTCTGTGGGCATATACATGGACTCGACGTTCTTGATATTTGCTGTCAGATCTGGGGCCCCTCGAAGCAACCCCAAGATAGTCTTCGAGTTGAAAGAGGCTGTTGCCTCCGTCAGGCTACTGAACCCGTTGCTAAGTCTCTGGAAGGACTATTTCAAGCAACAAGATCAGCACTAGTTCATAGAAAATCATACTGCACGCACAGTCAACACCTTGAGAAAGTCCTTGACCTTGCAGCTCTTGGCATGTATACGGGATACTGCGCGTTCCAAGTCAGGTAAGCCTTTCGCAATCTTGAGAAAATCCTCCTCAAAGGCTGGATTCTCCATGAGATCTTGCACAGCGTCCAACCTAACCATATAGCCGTATTGAGAAGTCAAGATATATGGGAAAGAAGGGGCACTGACCTTGCATTGATATCGGAGATCTCGCGGAGAGGCATGCAAAGCCAGATACGAAACAATCTCTTGCCTAGACATTCGATTGAAGAGAGGAGACCAACCCAGTATAATCAACGAACGTACCAAAGGGTGTAGCACACCGATTCAACAATTTCAGCAGAGAACCTTCATCTGTGCCCTCATTGTTAAGTAAGATCTACGAAATAATGGGTTATTGACGTCTTGCAAAAAGGGACAAGAGTAACGGACCTCCAAATGCGCCAAAGTCTGGCCATCCAAAACGAGTCCCTGGCCCCTGGTCATTGGATCGTACACGTTGAAGTTCTTCATGGTCAGGATCTCCTTGTCGATGTTCAATGTTCGAAGGTACCTACCAATCACCTACATCATTGCAAGTGTATAAGGTATGAAATCGAACTAACCATATCATCGAACCGAGAGCCTCGATAGCCGTCTTGAAATCGACCATCTCACGTATCGACGGCGGAACGGTGCTGGGTAATCCATGGTTGGTGTCCTCTTCCATCGTGTCATCCTCTCCATCGGACTTATATATCTCCTTCAACTGTTCAATTGTTTCCTCATATGAGAACCCTTCGACTTTGCGGAGACTCGTCCATAGACATGCCGCGGGCAAAATCGACTTCAGAAGACGTGTCGTAGTGACTGACAATGTGCCCTAGGATTTCATCATCCGAAAGGGTATTGTCAGCATCGCCCGATTGCCCGCAAAAAATAGAGAAAACGCGCCACCTTGGTGAATATCATTTCCTTTGGTCTAAGCTGCCTCAGCAGTGTTTCTAACTTCGTCCGGCACACGTCATCCTCAAACGCACTCATATTGAACTCAGAAGTCGCGCAGTCCAGTACGCATACTCCAAACCTTGGCCGCTCTTCCGTGCCCTCACTGTCGACATCCTCCTTTATCGACACACAGTGCCCAGCCAGATCATCGTGCAAAAGCCCCGGATCGACAAGCGTACCGTTGGTATACACTTTATTCAGCTCGCGGCGAACAATTTTATCTTTCGCTTTCTCTTCCGTAGATTTGGCTTTGGATTTCGAGGAAGACTTCTTCTCGGCGGTCAATCGCATCTCCGCGCCAAGAGCGGTCTCAGCCTGGTCAACGCGACCAACCTTGTACCCTGAGGAAAGGCCATGCTATAGTTAGCAATAGATAGAAGACATGGGAAGACATGCCTTTGCCGAGGAATTTCGCGGCCCAGAAATTGAAGGACATTTCTGGCACCCCGACCATACACATTTTGACGCGCTGCGTGAGCTTGAGATCAAATTCCTGGTGTCCAATGCGAGCATCGTCCTCGTATAACTAGGGAACATGAGTGCCAGCAATTAGAGACATAATAACTACTAACCTCAAAGAATTTTCTAGCGTATTTGAGGTATAAGACGCTGAATACCAAAAGGGCATTCGAGTAACTCACCCTTTCTGGAAGAATAAGACCTACAAAGCAAGTTGATACTTATTACTAGTGATAGATCAGGTGACGCACTGTATCGTAGTGATTTTGCTTGATCTAGGGGAAGACTTTAAGCATGTGCAAGACAAACGGATCTATCCGTTATACATACCTCCCAAAACTGCATTCGACGGAGGATTAGTATAAAATCAGGCTTCAGATTAGCATGAGGAGTACCTGCTTCTCGAATGGTGTAAATTCTTTCCATGCATTTGGGGGGACATACAATGTTCTGGGGTCGTACCCAGGATCGCCAGGCTTATTCTTGTCTTTCTATTGTCGTTCATTGTTATTTAGAATGGTTAGCAAAAGCCAGGGCTACAACACATACGTCCATCACAGTCTGCAAGAAAGCATATGGCTCTTCAGCGGCCTTCTTCTCGTCTTTCTTACCGCGCTCTCGTTGCTCTGCGGCAGTCAGGAACGAACCACCGCCGGTCATACTTGGTGTGGAGGACGAGGTTTCCTTTGATGCGCCTTTCTTCGAAGCAGTTTTCTTTGGTGGCTTGCTCTTCTTCTTTGGTACACTATCCTCATCGTCCTCATCGTCAAAGTCATCTTCTGAAGAAATACCAGATCGTCTAGACAAACGCGATGACGAAGATTTGACAGATTGTCCGTCAGATTCAGAGTCAGAGGGGACGATAAAGTCGTCGTCATCTGATGCAGTAGATGATTTACGAATTATACGCTTCTTGGTTGATGTGAAGCGAGACGGGTCGAGAGTCTTCACAGCCACACTCTCTTCCTCGTCTGATGGTGGCTCAGATACGCGCTGCTTTTTGCGTTGGACTAGTCCACAGGTCAGTAGAACCAAGAGAGTTGTATATCTTACGATACTCACTACGTCCCCCAAGTGGTTCGCCGGGAGAAGAACTAGCGGGAGGCATGGCGCGAGGTGCATCCGAGTCCGAGTCTTCAACGATGACCTTGCGCTTCATACGAACCTAGCAAAGCCCGTTAGACTCTTTGACATAGACTTTTCGTAACCCAACTCACAGAGGTGCTGGGCTTCTCGGGTACCTCGATGTCGGACATCATGTCTACATCTATTGGAGGGTCGCTGGTGGGGGGAGACTCCTTCGTGCTTCCTCGGTGTGACGACAACGGTGAGCTCGACGATACCGGCGAAGACTGGATTTTCGCATCGGGCGTGCGTGGATGCTTTTCTAGCGACTTCTGGGAGTGCTTAGTACTCTCAGGGGGTAGTTTCGAGTCTCCCTTCGCAAAGAAAGACATAAGACTCTTTTGCTTCATGGAGTCCGACGATGCTTTGGCTTTGGGCGCCATGAGTAGGCGTTTGAGCTTCGGAAAATGAGAAGGCGATCAGAAAGACTCTGTTCCAGGAGCAGCGCGTAGCGCGTTGTTTGGTTGTGCTTGACCCCCTGTCTTTGAGGGTGGCAATGATTTCACACCGTTACTAAGATCTCCCGTTGAAGTGAACAGCTTTTATATGTGCACAATGTTACGGTAGATCAAGTAGGCAGTATTGTGTTTGACTTGTCTTCCAGCGAACGCATGAAGAAAAGAAACGCGGGTGCGCGTAGTCTAATGGAAGAGTCACGTGTCCCCTAAAGTTCCCTGTACGGACTAGATCATTGGGATTGAAGGACGAATGTCTAGGCTGCGTTTCAACCCAACAATATGATGCAAGGTAAAAAATATCAAAAAGTTACCGCTTCAGAGCCCACGGCAGGGCAATCCAGCACAGTCACTTGCGACATCTCGTCTTAAACAGTTTGACCAGCCAGTGACAAATCTACCGTGGGTTATATGTGGGTAGTGTGAGATCGCCTGGGATCCCGTGGTGGTTTATCTCCAAAACCAGTTATACCATGAATCAGCGCGAACTATATATTCCTCGTCAACATTTCTACTTGCTCTCACATCCAGCATGGCTGCACCCTCCACTGAACAGACTGTCAATGTCTCCAATGGTATCCCACCTCCATCGTTTGATTTACCGGTGTGTTTTGACAGTCCAAATCACGTCCGTACTGACTACGTCTTGCTGTAGTACCCCGAGACCCCTGAGACGATCACCGAGAACCTGCTCAAGCTGGGAGGAACCATACCAAACACGTATGTCGCCGCCGATCACACCGAATGGTACAGCATGACCTACTAGGTGTCGCAGTCGCCATAAATTCCTGTTCACGAAGCTGGTTGAGCACTTGCACCAGTACATCAAAGAAACGAGGCACGTAATTACTACCGATTGGGCTTTGTTCTTTATTCCAGTGCTGAAGGCTTATTATTCAGCATCACCACCGAGGAATGGATGAACTCGATCCAGTTCCTCACGCAAGTGGGGCAGACGTCCACGCCGATCCGCCAGGAATTCATCCTATTGTCCGACGTTCTAGGTGTATCCGCCTTGGTCGACTTGCTGAACACTCCTGCCATCCCAGGTGCGACCGCTAACAGCGTCCTCGGGCCGTTCCACACGGACGACGCTCCCCTAAGTAAGTGCTCTGAATATTGGCTGTCACGAGATCTTCTTCATCCACAATTATCCTCCAGTTGAGAACGGAGAGTCCATCGCATCTGAAGGCAGAGGCAAATACCTGTACATCGAGGGAAGGGTGCTGGACACCGACGGTAACCCCGTCCCAGACGCCTTGATAGAGACATGGCAGGCCGACGAGACCGGTTGGTATACGGGCAATTTATAGACGTTTGCTGTCTTGATGACTGGTTTTGGCAGGTCTTTACGATACGCAGTATGCCGATCGCGATGGTCCCGACCTTCGGGGGCTCTTAAAGACGGACAAGGACGGCAAGTACGGGTATCGGGCGGTCGTCCCAGAAGCGTACCCCATCCCGGGGGATGGGCCTGTCGGCGAGCTTCTTGTGACGCTAAACAGACATAAGTATGTTTACTCCCTCACTCTTCTCCAGCTACGAATCATCGTTACTTCTTACATGATCCTTATAACAATAACGAAAACACGAAACATTGAAATAGCATGCGCCCCGCCCATATTCACATCACCGTCGATGCCCCGGGGTACCGCAAGCTCACGACGGCTCTGTATCCAGAGGGGAACGTGTACCTCAGAAGCGACTGCGTGTTTGGCGTCAAGGAGTCTCTTGTTGTTGTTCGTGGTTTCTTTTTGTGAAGCGTGGCGCTGGTATACTGAGATACACTGATGATCATTGATATCTAGAAACTGGTTGAAGTTACGGACGAGAAGGAGACGAGGCGCAGGGGATTCCCGAAGGGCAATACGTTCAAGTTACTCACGTTTGATATCGTCTTGGTAAAGCAGTGATTATTGAATTCTATGAATAGGCTGTGTTCTATGGTTGTCCACATATGAGGATTCCGGTGTCAGCATGCAGCCATACAGGCAAACTATATGAAGCCGCGACTGCTAAGCATCAATCGAACGATACTCAAGAACTTCCCTACGGAATTGCTAGTCCTCTCAGCCCCAAATAATATTATATACGTAAGAAGTACATCGACGGTGGGTATGCTTCACTACAGTGTTCAATGTTCAAGTGTGTTACCAACTAACCTCCCGTATCGTCTAAAGGAAAAGGAATGTGGCTTGGCGTTTAACGTAACGCTCAATGCGAACTGAAAAGCCCGCGCTTCGCTTTGCAGCCCTGTATGCAGGCTTCGCGGGCGGAGTGCTCTGTCGTCGTCGATGTGGTCGCCACGTGGCCGACGGCGTTATTAATGGGTTCAACGGATGCGGTCGAGTTGACCTTCGGGAAGGGGAGCTCGGGGATGGGCTTGCCTGGGGGCCCGACTGAGATGCCAAGATCCCTGATCTCACCGTTCTCGATGTCGTAGACCAAGCCGTGGACGAAGACGTCGGAGAGGGGGCCCTCAACGGAGCGCCCCTTGATGCCCTCTGTGCCGTTACCTGCCAGCGCCGCGTAGTGCTGTAAAGGACAAAGTGAAGTGGTAAGTTGAAGGGGGATAGGGGATAGGGGTGTGAATGGACCTACGTTGGATAGAACGCTATCAGCTACCATGGCACGAACGCCGGCTTTGACGTTCTCCTCAACGAGCGCACGGAAACCGGCTGTAGGACACTGATTAGGCATCAAATGTCGAATGACTTAGTGAAACACATCGGACTCACGCTCTTGAGGCTCTGGTTCCTCAACCTCCTCCTGGCCTTTGATTCGCTCACGGAGTTCGACGATCTCTGGTCTGTAAAGAGCACGTAAGTCACCAAAGAAAAAGAATCTTAGCACAATTCTTACCGCGTCGAGGTAGCAAAGATTTCACGGATTGGGGCAATCCAGTTTTGTACGGCACCGTTAGCTGCATCAATGGGCGCCTTGGGAGGTGTTGCGATGGCCGCGGCGACACCACCACAGCCGTAGTGGCCCATTATTATGACGTGCTTGACTTTCAACTCGGCGATGGCATAGGAGTAGACCGAGTGGCTGCAAGTACAAGGTAAGCAACCTGTACCGACAATTCATATGATAGGTTGACCTACGTGTTAGCATCCGTGTGGTGGAACTGGTTCGCAATGTTGCGTTGACTGAACAGAGTTCCAGGCTTGGCGCTGAAGACCGTGCCTTCGCTGACTCTACTATCTGAGCACCCCAAGAACATAAACGGTGGCTCTGCGAAAGTAAATATGGTAAGTGAACTACCCAATTGAGACTTGTAACATTTTGAGTTACCTTGACCTTCATCCGTTAGTACCTTGAGCAGATTAGGCTGCTGTGATGACGCGATGGAGGTACGGAACTGCTGATTTCCGTCGAACAGCGCTTGGAATTCTGAAGCGATTTCGCGTGTCTGGATTCCAGGCACAGTATCGCGCGCCTGCTTATGGAACGCCAGCGGGTGGGCCAGAGCCACGGAGAGCGATACGATCAAGACGAGAAATTGCCGAGCAAACATGGTCGCAGACCGTTGAACGAATGAGGCGAAGGTGCGAAGGGTTGAAGTCGAAAGGGAAATTAGAAAGTAGGATCAACCTGAAGTGAAGCGTCGATGAAGGGCGGACTAGCGCCAAAAGAAAGAGAGGCAAGGAGAGGAAAGAGAAAGAGGATGAGGAGGTGAACGGTCTAGAAGGGCGGTCTGTAAGTTATATAGCATTCGTCTTGAATTACATCTGCTAAGCCCTGCCTTGGCAAAACTTGGCGGAGACAACACTCGTACGAAGCGATCGATATGGCTATATATTGATGGAGATCATTGGTGTCGGACGTGCTAAACAAGCTTCGTCCATACCCTCTCCTCCTCATTCTGGTACATGTCGAGAGCGTTAGGTTTCGAGTGCATATTTTGGGCGGCGAGCATGTCTATTACAAGCAAGCTGCAATGTCGCGGTGGTGTCGCAGCTGGCCGGCCGTGCAAATGTCGCATCGGAACTTCTTAGCGGTTAAATGTTTTGATTGGCACGGTAACGACCCGATACTTGGGAAAGAAATTAGAGGTGATGTACTGTGCCTAACCAATGGGACGCCGACCGCACGCACCTCCTGCGAGCCCGAATTGTTGATGCTTCCATCAGAGGCTCAATAGTTCAACACCCCGCTGCAACCGTCGCCCCAAAGCTGTCGCAAAGAGAATGCACTCACCGAACCAGCAGTTGAGCATTCTGACCCAACTCTGATGCGCATCAACGATCATGATACTCGTCAAAACGAGATCAAAACCAAAAATGAACCGCAGCTAAAACCGGGTTTAAAACAGGCTGTAGTCTCCAGGTACCGCCTTGCCTTTGGCTTACCGTACGCTCGGGTTGAGTTCTAGACCGCCCGCGAAACATTGATCTGCGAGGCAGACTTGGGGCGGAAGGATGCTTAAAAAGCAAGCTTAATTCTGCTTCGATGGTCGTTCTTAGAGGGAAGTGGTCCGCCAAGCAGCCACCCCCAGGTCAAGAAGTCTTGAGCAGCGCCGCGCTGCGGAGTACGCGACTGCCAGTTTATTTGGTATAGACGCCCCAACCAAACTACCGCCTGCCAAGCCTCTGTCACTGTCATTCTTGGTGTCGTCGGCGATCCCCTGACTAGGTAAGCAACCACAGCGCAATTCTTCTCCTCTGCTGCACGGAACAAGAGCTGTAACGCACTAAACTCACAGCCCACACCTGCTCGCTACGTCCGCTGAAATCCTGGTACGGGTTTCAAATTTCTCTCGTGTGCTACATCGAAGTTGACCCATGCTTGCGTCGTGAAAAGCGTTTTGCGGATTTTCTGCTCACAGGGTGCAATATCGTGTCGTTTCGCGAACAGAAACGCGAAGGGGTTCGCTAGCGGCTAAAGGCAGCATTCACCGATACAGCCGATACCCCCGAAGAATGGTCTTTGTTCCCGTGGTTGTTGCTGAGTGACCGTGTCAAGGTCAAATTCAAAAGCTTCTGAAAAACACAATCGCTGAAGCATGCCACCATCGGTTATTTCGAAGTCGTATCCCGAGTAGGTCCCTGTGCCCTTTCATCTTCCCAGAGGTGACCGCCGCACGCTTGGGCACTCCCCTGACTCGCAGACGCTTCCCGGAGTCGTGCAGCAGCCTAAAGTCTGACCTTGATGACTCCCCCCCCAGAAAGAGGTGACTACGCCGCTTCGCTTGCGCATATTATTCTTCAATCTGTATCCCTCATTTCAAGGCCTCAGTAGACGCTGCGAGTCCGTAATTGAGCCTCCAGGATAATGTCCGATAACGTCTCCTGATCATTCAGGGCGTACCTAGGAGCTGTTGGAATCATTTTGGTCGTCGACATTGGCCACTGCAATTCGGGTCTATTCCGCCTGGTAAGTATCGCAGTATAAATCCCAAAGAGTGCGTTCAACGCAGGTGATCGCTCAATCTTTTCTTGATGGGTGTCTCTGCTTGATTAAGCACATACATAATTTGAACGCATACGTCGGTATGTGATCAGCAATTCGCCCCCTCGCCTCTATGCGCTAACCACGCTTTTCGTTTTAGCCTGTGATAAAAGATCATGAAGTCTGATCCATCATCATCTCATCACCATCTTTTACTCGGAACGCTGAAGTCTAATGGACTCAATATACGGAGTTGGACAGCTTACATGGCCTCCTGCCGGCTCTGGATTCGAACGACACGACCCACCTTCTCTAGAACGCCAGATATATCGGGAACGCGAGACATACTCCTGTCCCCTATAGGCTTCCTCCTATTCATTTTAAGCATCATGGCGGGTTCAGCGTCGTTCATACGAATCATAGTTGTTCGCCGGCCCCCGGCTCAAGTCCGTATGGATATCACCCGGATGGACTGCTGGATTCATCGAACTGATTGCCCTTGGAAAGCTCCTCATCAACCAATGCCTCTGATGGACCGACGAACGCTCTCAATGTCAACGCGATCCGAGCCCAGTCCGCAGGCTCATCGACGTCGTCGAGCATGACGGCTGCTGCACCAGGTGAGACATCTTCGTCCCAGAATAACGTCGCGCTCTGCAGGGGACGCCACCGACTCGATACATAAATAGTTACTCTAAGTGATGTCTTCCATTCTTCCATAATTCTCTTGAGGGAAGTGATTGATATATTCTTCGTTTAGAGTGCCGCATGCCATGTACTTATAGGCTTTCTTTCCGGTCCATGCCCTCTTCGGAGACGGTGGAAACACCAACCTTCCCCGATATAGTTCTCTTCGAGCATGCCCTTCCAACGGGAGACCAGCACAGAGTGCACGCTGTATACTGCTATACGCTCTGGATCGCTTCCGTGTGTCTTCTAGCCTGGCTGTCAATGGACCCTCAGACAGCTGACATCCTATTGCAATTCTACTGCATTCAAATACCCAACGCCGTTAACTTCCCACGTACACGATCACCACCGAACGCCCAAGCGCAGGTTCACGCGTAATCTAAACTGAGGAGCTATCATCATCATCCCTAGTCTTCTACTGTACGATGATAATCCGGCCGTAGTTGTGCCTCGAGATGAGAAATCCATTCCAATTCGACGCCCAAAGTATCTCTGTGGACTTATGCTCAAGCTTTTCCTCCGGTCGTCCTAGCGCTGAAATATGCCCTGGATCCTTGGAGTGCGAGTATTTAGCGCAGCAATCTTCCCATGGTTGCAGTCATGCCTTAGCCTTAGGCGACCGCGACTAGTCGCACTGATGATGGTCACTACAAGTTCCATGCTGTTTCCTAGGGTTTGTCAAAGGAAGAGTCTATATGTTGCCCAGACGACATTATCCACAAAGCAATCCCCTTCTGTATCTTTATCTCTCAAGGTAGCTTATATCGAAGTACAGCAGGGTACAGCGAAATTGAACAAACAACATGGCATACTGGGACATCTACCCTCGTATCATGCTCACTCAAACAAATGGAGCAACAAGAACGTGTTGAGGATATTCATATCTCTTGCCCAGGCTGGGATCGAGCTGCGACCCGGAGCTTTCTCGTCCGCTCGAAAATTTCGTATGTTCGACGTGCGCGCAGACAGGCCTTCGCACACTATTTCGACCATGTACATATGATGCTCGCCGGAGGGAAGCTGAGAGACGCGGCATGTCGAATGATGAACAAACATCGACTGTTATAATGTAGAAAAGAAGCCCGCCATCGTGCATCAGAGCCTGCAATACCGGTGCTTACGCCTAAGCCCGGACCCACCGTGCGGCAATCTACGCTGAAAAGGCATTTAGACAGAAGGTCAGAAGAGGTCAGAAGGTACGGACAGACGGCCGTGATGTGTCTGGAAGATTGTTCTATGTCCGTTCCTGTTCGGGCGCCCACTGCTCAAGGACATCTCCACTTATTGCTTCTGACAAGATTGCACTTCCCTTGTGGATGGAAGGCGAACAAGGGCAAGCCTTACAGAGGCTAAAGCCCGAACGGCTCCGCACAATTTCTGGAATACAACATATCCAAAATCCAATAATCTATTGCAAGCGCGAAGGTATAAGGGCTGAATAGGCGCTACTAAAGTTACATAGAAAGAACACTTCTTCGGCGTTTTCTAATTTTATCTTCTCCTCCAACTGGCGAATGGTGCCCACAAGAAAGGGCATCAAACCCGGAGTGATCACAACTGCAAAGAAGCAAGCCCCTCGGCGCTCTCTGGCGAGAGGACCGGAGAAAGGCAATACCAAAGAAATCCACAATCCCAGAATCCACACACGCGTGCTCACACACCAAATCCACGTCAGACCGCATTTGGTTCACAAGAATCAAAGGCTGTTTCCGTGAAGCTGGTGCAAGAATACAGAGAAGTCACTGCGGAAGTTCCGAGAAAAACGAAGAAAGGAAGTCGAACGGAAAACGACGGTGTGAGAACCAGTGGAATGGCGCGTGTGGATGGGAAAGAATGTAGAGCAATAAGCGCAAACCGAGGAGTATGATACAGACGCGCAAAATTTCTATCGAGGACCATGGATCGAAAGGGGGTGAGAAGGAAGGTGAAAGCAAAGGGGGTGACGATATGCGATACGACGGTGGATGCTGGAGAACAATGCAATGCAATAAGAGTTGATGCGCAAATACTTTTGATCGAAGCGAGGGGACGACGACGGGGTGTTTAGTACGGAGGACGCTTGAACTCGTCACTGATGATTTGTGCTTCGGGGTCATAGACGTCGCCCTTGACGACTTTGCCGGCAGCGTCGTACTCAACGTATGTTGAGGGGCTTTCAAAAGTCTCCATCTGGACGTGGACACCTTCGTTGTTGGACTTGGAGGTGTCGACCTTAGGACGGTTCACGGATTGTGCGCCACTGCGGAATGCGAGAGTCGTCCCATGTGTGGTTGATCTGTGGAACCAGAGAGGTCAGCGAAGTGTTGGATTAAGTAGGACAACGACGGACTGGAAGACTTCTGGGCCAGTGTTGGTGTAGTTGGTCAGACGGCGCACAGCACGGCAGGCCACGATCTGGAAGGAGACAATGTCAGGAGCGGTGCATGTCGGGATGGAGGAGGAGCGTACTGTAGAGGCAATGGCAGCAGGAACGTTCGCAATGATCGACATGACTGGGTTGAGGTTCAACTTCATGAAGATCTAATTAACCTTTTAGTAGGTGGATTCCATGCACGATTCATGGCGGTGTCGCTTACCGTCGCAATCAAGTTGGACAGGAAGCTAGAAGGGGTGTCAACAAATGCAGCGCCCATTGCAAGGAGCAACATACGCAATGACAAAGTAAATCAGACCGTCGTTGAAGATCAAGTTGACGAGCCGCGACCGAGGTGCGACGTTACCCGGGAAGGCAAGCTTCCATCCAGTCAATATCAGGACGAGGAAGTCGAACGACATGGAATAAATGAACGTGATAGCAAGGAGGTTGCTATTCGTCTCGGTGATAACGCAACCCATGCCAGGGATCCATGCTGCCTTGAGCAATACACCTATACGAGATTCAGTACATTAGCAACATTCACGAGGGTAGAACGCACCGTGTAACAGGAGCGACCAATGTGCCAGAATAATCGCAACAAGAGGCAGTACAATGTACCATTTCTGCGACCACACCGCTATTCTGCAAAGACACTGAGCATACAACTACTCTGCTCATACGAGTGGTACCTACGTGCGTAGAGAAAGGTTGATACTAGCCAAACCGATGGCGGCGTTGCCGAAAAGCTGTGTTGCGAGTCAGATTCGATGGTTAGAGTGATCGAGATGCATATAACTTACTTGATTGAATGTATACAACGCCTGACAGTCGATCTCGCTGTTATTGCTCATGAACAACAGCTCCGAAGACGAGCCCATCGAAACAGTACCTTGTGACATTCAGCGCAATCGCTCTGTGGGTAAGGTGAGCTACCGTATAACGCGACGAAGCCAAACGCGACTCACATCCCAACCAAGGCAAACAGTAGAATGTATCGATTGGCGAAATAGAAGATCTTGGGGTCGCTGTTATATCAATCCACGCCGGGGAGGCCTCAACGATTCGTGCTCACCATCGGCCATCTGAACTTGCGCTTGCCAGTGATGAACTGCCAGTCAAAGTCCAGCGAGGTGAACCACTCCCAGCTGTGAGGTGGGGTGGTAAGTATGCCTGTCCATCGCGCGCAACGGAATATTTACATGTACAACCCCAGCAGACAATGCATGAATCTGCTGAACGACACTGCATGCAAGTCAACGCGGTGCCAGCATGGCAAAGTACCAGGGCACGTACCACCATTCTGTGCGATCGTCTCTGGTGCATTCCAGTCGACCATTTTGGTTGGTGGTGGGTGGGGAACGGGAAAGAGTGTGCGAGGGAGAGTGGGCCCGGGAGGGTGAAGGGAGTGGACGACCGGGAAAGGATCTTATATGGAAATGAGCCATCTGGCAGAGAAGTGGTACCTGGGAGAATTCTTGCTTCTCTTCAGTCCTCCTTCCCTTCTCGGCCACCACTGCAGAATCGACCCTTCATAGCTGCCCTTTCTCGAAGCACACCATTCACGACATCTTCGATCCTGATTTTGTGGCTTTTGAAGGATTTTTACTAGCTTTTGACTGCCTTTTCTAACAGCATTGGTCAATATCCCAGAATCTGAACGACCATTGACGCTGGGAAATTCTGTAATAACTGCTCGAAGCGATATTCATGACAGGAAACGAATGGAGGTGATTGTCAGAATGGTCCATATCAAGGGCGGCAGAGCCACTCTCGCCGTGAATCCGAAATGCGTGCCAGACTGCAAACGGAAGCTTTTCAGCTGGACAAGACATCGAATTCCCACCTGTCTCCGATTAATCGGGGCAAACAGACCACAAGGCACCACCATGCCTTCTCGATGTCATGGCTTTTCATGGATTCTCTGGTTTATTTAACCAGCACCGGTATGTATTTCTCTGGCAAGCTTTGCAGCGTTTGGACTTTCTGCATGTTAATTCAATTTGCATCCAGACCGAACTGGCAATCTTGAGCCTCGAGCGGACTCGGAGGAAACACTCAAGCACAGGGTCTTTCATTACAGCACGCCGAGCCTGCAAAGAGTGATGGCTATGTTTTGCAACCAAGCGCTGATGCGTGATGAGTCTGATGGAAAGTGGACACAAACAGCGTACACCCCATCTGTCCGTTAAAATTTCTGCTCCATTCCTCTGTGAGCCTTACTCACCCAACACTGTGCTTTGAGATCAAAAGTCGTTCTACCAGAATTTCAGGAAACAGTAGGCCATCAAAGAATGCCCACGATGTGACGATCTGGAGACGGTGAACTTCTTGACTGTGACCGCTTCTCCGCTTAACATGCAAACATGCGTTCCGTGTGGATTTAATGGAGCCTACATAGAAGCAACTTAAGTTTGTGTTCGTGTTGCCGGGTGATTTATAGAGAATCTCTCCAACCGGTGTTTTCTGTTTACGGACATCGAAATCGCCCACGGGGGCCAGCTTCACAACGACGGATGCCCTCCGAACATACTCGCTAGCGATGTCATACAATCGATCGACATGGCTGGCGACGCTCAACTACCGCCGCCGACTCTCCTGCTTACCGTCGGCTGCATGACAACTCTGAGAGCGACTGACCAAAGCCCTGTGGAGACACCAGCGCGGCCGCAACATCTGCGATCATTACGATGCAGAGACGCCAATACTCCTTTGGGAGACAAACGTACACCCACATCCTTACAAGCAGTCAATCATCCGGAGAGAAAATGATATACTGCCCGGAATTGTGGAGACGATTTGGGTACATCACGCCGGGGTTTGGGAATGATGCACGATGTCTCAAGATCTCTGTAACGTAACTCGTAAGTGTGCATTCGCAAGACGCTGAGAGTCCTACTCAAAATATCATAGTCTTGATTGCATATTGCATATTGAAGTTTGAAGCTTGCTTTGCAGGGCAAAGGATATTTTAAGCATTGCTTCTCCTCCACCCAGGCCCCTTCCGCTGCCTTTAACCTCTACAGAGAGTTCGTTCCCATCGACTTTCTTCTTGACGCGGCGAGTCGTAATCGTGTTCGGCCTAAGGAAACTTCCGAGGCGGGCGAGTAACGTCTCATTGCGACTGATACTTCATCCAAGTTATGGAACCTTAGGTACGTACATCGAGCGTTAAGCAGGTCGAAGGCAGAATGGTTGATATGAACGGAGGGCATTGATTCCGACAATTGTAGTCAGTGTAAAGACATCGTACGGATTATCTGATTGATACCACGGTCTTCATAAGGGGAAGCTTGAAGCCCTAGAATAGATAGGAGTGTAATGTTATCCGCAGAAATCCGCCCTTTCTGTCGGAGAACTAGCGCGAGTAGGATAGTAGTCCACGGTAGCATCACTATGAGACGAGAGGTTATCTGATCGATGGCTGGTTGAGGGGAAATGTCCTTCTGCCCGTGGTGTCCAAGGTATTGTCGTTCCGCTCAACCCCACCATTGGCCTGGTGCGGAGCTTACCACCGATGCTTCACACTTCTTGCACTCCGACGGACGAAGGCAGTCTCCGGCGGAGGGTGGGGGATCATGAGTCCACTGACTAGAATCACTGAGGCTGGCCCTCGTTGGAGGTGTGCAAATCTATGAAGATCTCATGTCTTCTGGGGTCGGATGCAGAAGGGAAGGTGACTAGAAGGCCGCGCATTACGCTGAGTTATGCTCAACGTGTAATGGTCGCACCTTCATATAAGAAGGTACCTTGCTTTCCTTAATATGTGACGATATGCTTTCAGAACAAAAGGACCTTGGGAGTTCACGCACGCTACGCTTCTTCGAATCGAGGACCACGAGTCGAGCGGAGGGGGAGTTTCGTATGTTGAAAGGTAGATAGGTGGATTTATGGGACAACAGCGCCCAGCTGCCTGCCAGCTGAGGTCTCCAATATAAGCAACAATGATGCGCCCACGAAGGCTCGACGACTTTGAGGTCTATTAGGAGGATGCACGAGGAATCAATTGTAGAGTGATTCAACTCGGTGTCAATGGTGAGCAAAACATACGCATGTGGTCGTCGCAAGCACATTAATGAATGAGTCATGGATTCAGAAGGGGCGCCACCTTTCACAAGTGGGAAGTATCTTCCGCTCCAAACAATTGGAACGCGGAATCATTGCTCATGCTTTCTAACATGTTTCTTGTACCTACTTTCCCAGTCGCCATCGCCAGACATGGCGTTATCCAGCCATCGCATTCGCCGAACGAACTTCTCCAGATCACGACCGCTGTAGTAATTGTGCCCGCCGCGGGGGTGGTCCAGAAGATAATTTTCTGCTGCGTCTTCTTGCTGCAAATCGAATAAAGTGTGCTCGGATTCCGACGGCGGTATATGATAAAGGTGTCCCCAAAGGAAATAGAGGGGGTTTGGTGTGAAGTGCCGATAGCCAATACTGTATGGAGGGAGAGAAGGCACCCCTACGGCATAAGGATTACGATGCAAATTAGTCAGTGGAGTCTGAAGGGATGCTAGGACACGTACCGTCGTTGTAACCTTTGACGAGGTATTCTTTGAAGGAATTCTCCCCATACTTTGAGTGACGCAAAGCTGTCAGTTCACGCCAATATTCCCCCATCTTGCTATCGCCGCATCTAGGCGGTCCAAAAGTTACGAGTTTCAACGGCACGGTGGGTCTATCAAAGACAGTGTCATCTCGTAAAATATCGAGCATCAACAGACATGACACGGCACCACCCATGCTATGGCCAGTGACTACGATCTCGTCGACGTCTTCTGATTCCAGAGCTTTGCGCACGGCCTCGATGGCAGAAGCCTTAATGCCCTTATACAGCCCCCAGAATCCGCTATGCACCGCTCCGCGACCACTTTTGTGTCGATGGGTAAGAGTACGCAAATCATGCAATGCATGCATGAAGCTTGACGTCCCCGAGAAAGCAAGGATTAGCTGTTTCGTTTCCGGGCGATAAGCAACGTAACCTGGTAGGTTGGCCACCTTCCCCTTAAAGGCAGAGAGGAGTTTGGAGTTCGCGACGGCGCTGTATCCCTCAAGGGGGAACAAGGGCTGTACCAATCTGTCCAGCATGGAGAAGATGACTTCGACTGGCACAGCGCTGTATACGATCTCAGCGAACTGACCTAAACACAGTTGAATCATGAATACAAGTAATACGATATATCACGAACCCAGTTCGGAGAGCTCAACGTGGAGCTCCGGAGACGCCAGATCCTTGGAAGAGAGGATGTAAGGCGACCGGGTAGCCATAATCTTTGAGATTCGCCTGAAGTTCATCATCTTCTCGGTAGCATACATGCGGCGCTGCTCAGGTGTGAGACCCAAAGCATTTGAAGACACCTTCATTATCGTCGACGGAGATGATTTCTCAGAGAACATGTTGGTGAGCAACATAGGTGAGCTGACACACTCTGAGTCACGCTAGTGACAAACGGTATTGGCGCCTGACAATGGCGGCACGGGGATGTACGACTGCTTCAACTTCACCCAATATACATACGAGCCGCAACTTCACCTTCAATTCGCTAAAGTAATAATCATCCGAAGATACAATACAGTTAAACTAAACCCACAACGAATGTGTCTATGACAATTGAATCTAATATGCTCCGGGGTATATTTCGGGTTCCTATAAGTGAGGGAGGATGTAATGATTGTATGTATAGTACCTCTAAGGTCTTGATCTCCATTTCTCCGCATTGCAATTCGTCTTCAATATTTTATAGGACGCCCTTGGCCTCAATGTCGATATCTGAATGCTTATCGCTTTCCAACACATCGGGCATGAAGATGACAGTTTGTCTCTTATTTCCTTCAACGTAGTCGCTCTTGTCACTAGGCTCGTCAGGGTGACGAGTAAAAGTCTCCATCTAGTTTGAGTTAGAAACATGCCTGATGATCGGTGGCAAATCTCATACCTGAACATGGACCCCTGACTTGGTGGGCATCGTGCCTCTTGGGATAGTTCCCTGTGGTGCTGCCCCACTTCGGAAGCCCAAGTTGGACCCTGTCTGCGCGGATGATGCACCATAGATCTCTGCACCGGGGTTGTTAAAGTTCGTGAGGCGACGAACGGCACGACATGCGACAATCTACATCGATGTCAACGCAAGAAGCCGTTAATGACGAAGGGAAGGCTTACAGTAGAAGCAACGGCTGCTGGGACATTGAAAACGACGCTCATAATCGGATTGAGATCGAGGATCATGAAGACGCTTGCAAGGGTATTGGCTACGAACGCGATGAAGAAGTAAATAAGACCGTCGGCGAAGATCATTTTCCCAAGTCTACTCGTAGTGGACATCGGAGCGGAGCGTGAAGAGCCGCTGTTGATTCGAGTCCCCAGACCCACGAGTTTGTAGCCGTTGAGCAACAAGACAATGAAGTCAAAAGCCATGGAATATATGAAGGTGGCAGCAAGAACTGTGTTGTTGGTCGAGAGGATAACGCAGGTTTTCATTTCGTCCGACCACATGGCGTCGAGAAGAACGCCTGTATCAAAGGAATGAGTCCCTCTCAAGGACGCTACGATAGTTGTGATATTTACCTTGTAGAATGAGTGACCAGTGACCGAGGATGATCAGGACTAATATAGCGATAATCCATTTATTTCGTGACCATACGGCAATTCTATAATCGAACGAATTCAGAAACCAAAATTGTACGGGCCATCATATTGTAGTTTACATACGTTCGGATAGATAAATTGATTGAGGCAAGTCCAACCGCTGCATCGCCTGCTAGTTGATTGAATGTATAAAGGGCTTGGCAGTTTATAGGTCTGTGTTGGATGGGGATTCAGATGCAGGACAGAGACTATAATAGAAATACGTACATCACGGTATCGAGAGCGATGAGGCTAATGTGCAATCAGTATTTCGATTATCCGCTGCGATTGCTGTAACACTGAAGTACGCACATTCCGATCAAGGCAAACAGGAGTAAGTACCGGCCCGTGAAGTAGAAAATCTGTAGGGAAGACATTAGTTGTAGATGAACACTCAAGAGGATCGCGATGCAAATTACCAGAGGCCAACGAAACTTCCTCTTGCCGCTAAGATATTGCCAATCGAAGTCCAATGTAAGGGCCCACTCCCACCTGCATGGATTTATCGGTAAGTATAGCATTCCACATAATAGATGTTCGAGAAGCACGAACACATAGACTCCGAATAGTGCGTGCATGAGCTGGGTGAAAGCTGCAGCATTCTGCGCCACGACTTCTGGTGACTTCCAATCCGGCATAATGTAGCGAACGTCTAAGTGGGGGACGAAGAATGGACGACAGGAAGGGAAGGTGAAGTCGAAAAAATGTTTCCCATCGTAAGGGTTAAATACAAAGTATTAACGGAAGAGACGCCGGTAGGGAAAATGCGAAGACAAGGGGCGTGGGCAGCCCTACTTAGGCTGCACGCAAGTACTCCGCCGTCGCCATGGGTTTATGGACTTGCAGAGTCCTCTTCCGTCGACCATGAGAACAGCCCTGACCCGGTGTTACTTACGAGTTTGGTAACATTAATGTACTATCGCTGATATAGACTTCATCATCAATGTATCCTGCACACTCCCCCCGGGCTAATGAGAATCCGTATGTTTCCAGAACAGTTGCACTAGCTATAGTAAAACCGTCTTATTTCAGTGTTGAGTGACTTGCCTTGGATGAAATATTTAGCCGGCAAGCAGATAGCGCTCATGGCGCTGACAATTTTCTGTGATGTTAGCCGATGCTCTTCTTCGAGCTTCATCGGCTAAAATTGTGATTGTACGAAAGAATGTAAGAAGAAGGACGGAATCATCAAAAGTGCGGAAAGTCTCAGCCTTGTCACAAACTCCAACGCGCGCTGCGAAGGTTTTTCTTGATTATCTCATTTTTTCTCACCACTTCTCTCAGTACCTTGATGGAAATGCCGGCACCCTCCTGCTAAGTTGGGCTACTTGGCCCTTCCGTGGGCCGCACATAGGGTCGACATACTTTATATAAGGGATGCAATCTGGACAGCAGTGTCAACAACTTTCACCGACACAAGTTAGGAAGCAGCCATCCCGATAATATTCGCGAGCGAATAACTACGCTCGTGGACCAAGCTTCGACGGCGTTCTACTTCAAATCCATTATCAGGCCTACCGCAATCGACGGTCATACCACGCTCTTTAAACCGACTATTTCTCTCTTCTGACACCGCATAGTTCGCGGGTTCACTTTCTTCATCTAATATGTCACTCAGCACATTTGTTCTCACCTTCCTGGTCGCATACGGTGTGCGTACTTATATTTGGCCCTTGCTAAAGCGCACAGACGTTCATCGTCTTCCTGGCCCGGTGAGTCGCAGCAGGCTAGAATAGATGGACAATGTTAATTAATTTGATATTGATAGTCGTCCAGTATTGCCAGTTGGATATGGGGTCATGAGCTCCTTGCATTCCAACATGAAGCAGAAGAAATGTATACGGCGTGGGCTCGCTCCTTTGGGCCCATGTTCCGAATCAAAGCAGCTCTCTTTCATTCTGATATTGTGGGTTGGAGTCGGAATGAGTGACATATCCTCTTTAACGTTCCCTCCATATGATATAGATTGTCGCGACAGATCACGCTGCTGTGCAGTACATCTTCGCAGATACAACAAACTATGTCAAGTCGCCAGCTTTCCGACCCCCAGCTGCGAACGTTTTGGGCAGAGGTCTCGTATGGGCAGAAGGCGAAGACCATGCCAAAATGAGAAAGATCCTAGCTCCCGCCTTCTCGTAAGTGGCGCTTTCGACATTTCCCAAGTTTGAGTTTATATGCTAAAATCGATGTTTTGCAGTCAGGAGTCCGTGAAGCAGATGGCCTCCGACATCTACGAATGTGCAGAGAAAATGGAAACTAAATTAACGAATTACATCTTATCTCACTCTGGAGATGAAGCTGGTTTGACGGTCAACATCGGTGACTGGACCAGTCCGTGCACGTAAGAGAGGTTCTCCTTTCTGCTGTCGGCATGTCTGATTGGTAGAAATTCACCTCATTCGTTACAACGATGACAACAGCCTAGATATCATCGGCCGCGTAGCTTTCGGATACGACTTCAAGGCCATCTCGACAACTGGCTACTCAGAGGCAGTTAGCGAACCCGTCACGGACGCCAGCCTTATCCGAGCATCTTGGACAAAGCACACTAACATGACACTGAGTCCCATCGCCTTCGTCGTGCCTCTCATCTTCCGCATGTTCCCTGCCGAATGGATCGCGAAGCTTCCTCTTCCTCCTGGTGTCGTCCGTGGCGTCGTACGTCGACTCGCGGGTCGAATCTTAGAACGCGAGGAAGAAGCTGGTGCTCTTAACGCTGGCGAATCTGTTCATATCGGCAAGAGCAAGGACATCATGAGTTTGCTGCTCAATGCTCGACGGACGGCAAGGCGAGAGCACTCTTTAACGGACGACCAAATTTTAGATAACGTGAGTCTTCTTACTCCGGTTGACATGCGGGGTATACTGACCGGCCGCTTAAGATCAGTACCTTCACGTACGTACCATTTGCTACCCTCAGTCGTCGAGTGGGAGTCTGACGTTATGTGATGCGCCCACAGCATGGTGGGGCACGAGACCACGGCTGGATCCCTCAACTTCACACTTCTCGCCCTTGCTAGACACCCCCACATCCAGGTATGCAAACTGTCCCATGTGAAAATAAGTCACTAATGAGTTGTTCCTTCCCTGTTATTTACAGACAAGACTACGCGAAGAAATCCTTGCACATGGTCGTGATTCGAGTTACGATGACTTGCAGAAACTCACATACTTGGATGCCGTTGTCAAGGAAGGGTGAGTCGTTCCTTTCCCAGCATCCCGTCGCATCGCTTGCTTCAGTTGGACGTGGCCTTTGTCGCCCCACAGTGTACACAAAGAAGCTTGATCGGGATCCCTGTGATGACTTCTCTTTCTCCGTTAATCTTTCTGCCCGTGGCGCTCTTCCGATTGGTGGAAGCTCCTACTTCTGAATCTCACGTCGTCGTGAGCCTGTCCATTTGGGTTTGCGGCCCCAAGGTTGTGTCGAATTCGTTCTGTTCCTTGTCTTTCAAGTTTACCCTGCAACGTGGGGAAACCTGTATGCAGCACCCATTCGTTACTTGTCTCAACCATCAATTTGTTGGTAACCTAAGCTGACCTTTCGAACCTACAGTCTGCGTCTGTATCCTGCTTCGCCGCAGACTGAACGTGTCGCCCTCAAAGACGATGTGATCCCGCTCACTAAACCAATTCGAGGCAAGGACGGTAGAATGATTCGCGCCCTCAAAGTATCAAAAGGCCAGGTGAGGTGCTTTTCCCTGAGAGCTAGAACGTACTAACGATTCGTCCTCCACAAATTGATATCCCTTACAAATAATTTATGTCAATGCTTGACTAGGTCTTGCATATTCCGTTCACAGTTATGCAGACCAATCCACAAGTTTGGGGCCCAGATGCAGGCAGCTTCAACCCGTCCCGATGGATCGAGAAGGACGGGCTACCTGCGCCTAACGAACTTCCTCACGGATGGAGCGGCTTGGTCACATTCTGCGACGGACCAAGGAATTGCATTGGGTGGAGACTTGGTGAGTTCATGGTCATTGTTGCAGGAGATCAAGGCTCGTGCTTACTACGTGTTTTAGCGGTGTTTGAGTTCAAAGTGATCCTGGCTTCACTGATTCGCTCCTTTGAGTTCCATGATACCTCCGCCGTCATCCATCAAAAGATTGCGCCAACACTCCAGCCAGTTACTGACGGGAAGGGGGGCCTACTTCCCTTGCATGTTACCCTTGCTTAATGCTCAGTTAAACTGGCCAATCCGTATCCAGCTCCGTTAAGTAGAGAAATTGATCAACTTGGACGATCTTCCAATTCCATGTATTTATTCACATGTATCCATACTCATTAAATGCGCCGACTTCACTGGCCCTTACCTGCCCTTACCGACAATAATCTTCTTCAGGCCTTAGGCCACGAGGCGGACGTTACTCGTATGGGTATTTAAGTGTGCATAGGCCTAGCCCCTAAGACTCGTGAGAAGCGCCAACTACCTGTCCAGGAGCTGCCTTTAGCGATTAGCCGCTCGCACTTGATCAGAAACTCTCATGATCGGTCGACGGTCGCGAGGAGGGCCAACTCATAGACTTCATCAAGCGTCGGAACGCGGGTAGAGGCCATCAGACTGAGTAAATGCCTCAGTGGATGGTTGCTATGTATACCCGGCCCAGCAAACCAAATTGGTAAACTCCATCCTTATTCTTGATCTCGACATTAACTTTGTAACCGCAGCAGGAAGGGTTACTTTTCTTAGCATTCCCGTATCAAAATGAATTCAGACATTGATTCCCTCTGATTCATCTGAGGCCATGATACTGCATCCTAAGAATCGGGGATTCGACTGTATATTGACGATTCATCCAACGAACGATCATAGCCGAACGATCATAGCCTGCTCATGGTCAACCGGCGACAACCAATCACACCCGGAGTCGCACGTTCCTATATCTGTTCAGGTCCTGTTGAACAAATTCGATGGACGGACGAACAACAGGCTGTTTCCAAGGCAGTGGCCAATTGGTGCGAATATCTATGCCACGCGGGATACAATGCAGCCCTGTAACGGGGCCGACAATTGATTTGTATAAAGGCTGACTGCCATGCGAGTCTTTCTTTCAAGCTTGCAGCCTTCAACGCAGCGCGATAAACACTTTTCTTCTAGGACTGGGTCCTTGTTCAACACTCTTTCTAACCTTCCCTCGACATTTATTCCACTTCATCTTCACTCCTTCTATCGCTTATCCTCTCAATCTACTCGGCTTAAATATGTTCTCTACTAAGTCTGTCTTCGGTGCCATCCTGGCTTTGGCCTTTTCTGTCCAAGTTTCAGCTCATGCAGGCGCCACACCCGCCCTCGGAGTAGCCGGACAGATCACTCGAGGGGATGTTGAACGGCCTTCCACTGCCAACCCATGTGGAGAGGTCAACATTGCGCAGAACTTGAATACAGCGACACCGATTGTTGCGGCCGCTGACGGAACTTTCACCGCCACTGTCCAAAACTTCAATGGGTAAATGAACAGCGTCTTATGTTCCATCCTGGCGAAGTTTAACGGTCTATTCTTATTGTAGTGGAAGAGATGGCTCTCGCCAATTTACGGTGGCAATCGACGCTGCAGCTGCGGGAACGAATTTCGTACCAGCTACCGTTACAAAAAATGGTGACCCCGTTAGTCTCTCCTCAACCAATTGGCACTCTAGACCAAACTTACATGCTACACAGGCACCGGCCGCGGTTGGTACTGAGCAATTGGTCGGACAACTACCTGCTGGAACTACTTGCACTGGTGGTCAGGCAGGCAACCTCTGCCTCGCTCAATTCAAGTCTTCTGCCGGCTTTGGTAACTGCGCTGTGGTATGTCGTCCTTGTCCTTTATTTTGTTTTGTAGAATAACTGTAACAATCATCTTCACAGATTCAACAAGGCGCTGCTGCTGCTGCTGGTAACGCTGCTGCTACCGCTGGTAACGCTGCGGCCGGTAACGCTGTTGCTGGAGCCATTGGTGCTGGAGCTGCTGGGGGTGCCGCTGCTGCTGCTGCTGCATCTGCAGCTGGAACCGGACGCGGAAGACGTCCTCAAGGCGGACGTGGGCGAGGCCGTAATGCCGCCGCCGCCGCCGTGAGTTATTTGTCTGACACATGAACGTAACCATTCTCACCCAGTCTTTGTATTACAGGGCACTCGGGCTCCTCGTGCGCTCCTCCATGCACTTAGAACAGCCGAGGAGAAGTTGTAGAGAGTTAGGATGTGTGATGTCTGGGTTGTGCGAAGAGTTCTGATTGCACATTGAAAGCGTTTGTCTCGTTAGGCTGATTGGATCATGCTTGTATGATAGTATCCCTTCAAATCATTTCAAAGAACTTGATAGCATCGACGTAAGTAAGGAGGGAGCGCTCCTTACTCCCGTCGCACGACGAACAACACTCAGACTAGTAATACCTGTAGACAGTGGCCTAGCCTTAATTCCTTCTGCGATTCCCTTGCCGTACAACTTACTCAAAAGGTTGCGTTATGAAATCACACTGCTACCCGGGACTGGGCTAATCCCAGAAGTCAGCAGTGTTCTACTCCATACCTATGGGGAAGTGCCTGCGAGCAATGTGCTGTATATCTCGAACATGGCGCATGCAAAATATTTGAACATACTCGCAGTTTCCTTCTATGGGAGGACGGTAGAGTTTTCCCAAGAGGCAGACACGTCTGACGACGAGCTAGCTTGATACACCAAGAGATGATGGGAATCTCCAGTGCATGCTGAAATGATAGAACAATGATGAATTAGAGATCATACGTTAAACAATTAATGAAAGTTATAATCAACTACTACGTAAATGAATGACCAAGTTCGTGCCCTTCCTACGGTTACAGGCAAGTGACCAGTTAATCCTAAGAGGTGGTATCGTTCAAGCCCACATCCAACTCAACAAAGAGCGGCGGACAACTTCGACGGCCTCTTCGACGGCCTCTTCGACATCTGCTTCAGCACGGGAAGCAAGTTTGGCATCATCATCATCAATATCGACATAGCTGTCATCCTCATCTTCTGAGAGGGAGCGCGGCTGGTTAGGGACATCCGCGACTTCCTCACCACAATCCTCGCCATCGTCTTCAGCGAGGGCGCGGGGTTGGTTGGGGACGTCAGCAACTTCCTCGCCGCAGTCGTCATCGTCGTCCTCAGGAAGGGAGCGGGGTTGCGCAGGGACGGCGGCGATGTCTTCGCCGCAATCCTCGAGGCCTAGATTCTCAGCGCGGGCAAGGAGGGTGTTTTCTTGGTCATCAACATCAACCCATTCTTCAGAGCCATCCTCGGTAACATCGCGGGTGACAGAATCAACCTCCTCAAGCAAAGCGCGAGGGGCACGAGCGCCCTGGTAATGCAATGAACATCAATAAATTCTGTGAGAGGGATAAAAATGCGTACATAGGATCGTCGGGCGCGACCGAAGCTCTTGACTGCGGCGACACGGTTGCCATTGTTATTAACGGCAGTCCTCAGCGTCGTGCGGCCACCTGCAGAGACGGCTGAAGACGAAGCGGAAACGAAGTTCGTGTTGCGGTTGCGGCCACCAGCATTGGCTGAGGCAGACGATTTAGCACTGGCTTGAGCAGAAGCACCGGCGCGAGCTCTTGAGTTGGCGGCAGCATTGGCGGAGGCACGGGCGTTGGCGCTTGCTTGAGCAGAAGCTTTGGCGCGAGCATTGGCATTAGCGTTGGACTGAGCGGCGGATTTGGCGCGGGCATTGGCATTGGCCTGAGCAGTAGACTTAGCACGAGCGTTGGCGTTGGCTTGGGCGGTGGATTTGGCGCGGGCATTGGCCTGAGCATTGGCCTTGGCGCGAGCGTTTGCATTGGCTTGAGCGGTAGCTTTAGCACGGGCATTCGCATTCGCTTGGGCGTGGGCGTTGGCCTGGGCATTGGAAGAAGCCTTTGCGCGAGAGTTGGCATTGGCCTGAGCAGTAGCTTTGGCGCGAGCGTTGGCGTTGGCTTGAGCAGCGGATTTTGCTCTGGCATTTGCGCTAGCTTGGGCGGATGCTTTGGCGCGGGCGTTGGCGTTGGCCTGAGCACTAGCTTTTGCTCGGGCGTTGGCATTGGCCTGGGCGGTTGCCTTTGCTCGAGCATTCGCCTGGGCCTGGGCGTTGGCGTTGGCGTTGGCGTTGGCCTGAGCGTTGGCCCCAGCGTTGGCTTTGGCTTGAGCACTCGCGTTGGCGTTGGCGTTGGCATTGGCCTGAACCCTGGTTTTGGCGACGCGATTCTTGTTATTGGCCGTCCTATTGTTGGTGTTCGTCTTCGTTCGCTGTGCGGTGCCCATACGATTTGTCGCCGACTTGTTGCGGTTGTTGGTATTGACGGTAGCGACTCTAGCCGTAGCAGCAGCGTTGGCCTGGGCGTTGCTGTTTGCGGCGGCACCGCCTGCAGCAGCACCTGCAGAAGCGTTGGCGTTGGCATTTGCGTTGGCATTTGCGTTTGCGTTCGCATTGGCGCCCCCTTGTTGAAGCTACGAGAAGCTGTAAGCACAAGAAACTAGCTTTGTAGCAGATGGAAGAAACGTACCACGACACAATTACCAAATTTCTGACTTGCAGCGTTCAAGAATTGCGCGATACATTTGTTGCCTGTGGAACCGCCAGTGCATGTAGTACCGGCTGGGAGTTGAGCTTGAATAGTCTCCTTGGCCTGCCTCTCTTTAGTAACCTGTCCGTGAAGTCGTTAGTGAGAGTGATGACAAGGACGGGGGCGATACTCACTCTAACACCGTTCTTGGTAATGGTACCTTGAACGAAGTTGCTGCCGGTCGCTGTCGCGTCCACAGACATAGTGAACTGGCGAGACCCGTCAAGTCCTCTATCAATGACGTCAATTAGTAAGATTGCGAAGAGTATGAGTATGTCGATGAAGCAGCGTACGCGTTGTAATTTTCTACGACGACAGAGAAAGACCCATCGGCGTTGACAGGAATAGCGGGAGTTGTATCCAAATTTTGTGCGATGTTTACTCCTGCACCGCAAGGATTTTGGGCATTAGGGCGTCTGACATCCCTGCGCTGCATGGGTTCCTTGATTCCCAATGCGGGATGCGCAGCAGCATGGCCGTACGCGGAGGCGGACAGGCCTGCGATGACGATAGAGGTGGCGACGAATGAGGTGAAGTGCATGATTAGAAAGTCGTAGAAGGTGTCGATGTGAAGGTGTCGAAGAAGCACGAAGGGACGCAGCCACTTGAAGGAGAAATTAAAGGACCGAGGAAGGAGAAGGAACCGGTCCTTGAGAAAGGTAAATCAAGAAAAGAGGAACTCCGGTAGAAAGAGAAAATGAAAGAGGAGGTGAGGAACGATGGGAGGGTTCGTCCGCCTTTTTATAACATTTGCGTACTCTGTTCTGATTCTGTCAATGGCTCTTCATGGTCTCGAAGGGTTGCCGTTGCTCAGTTGTCAGTCGGTAACCTAAGGGCGCCAGTAATCATGGTATTTTATCTGAAGACACCCCTCGGTTTCCTAGTAGCTGACGACATGAACTGTCAATCAGCCAAGTTATATCTAGAACGTATTCAAAGCACGGTGTGCTTACTTGCAAGATGTCCCACTCGTCTTCATCCCTACCGCAAGACTGAGCGTTGGAAAAAGGCGCGAACTTTTAATTGCCCCACCGATGATTCCACAGAAACTTCCTGTTACATGACACTGTGGTCGCCATGCCTTTATTTGAAACGCGTGCGTCAAGAGTGTTCCTGCAACTATAGATGAAAAGATGACCTACAGGGAAGTGACGAACGTAACATCTGATATTAGATTTCGCACTGTTGCCTTGCTCGTTTGGCTGATCGGTTCCCATTCAACGCAAGCCTAACGCCATGAACCTCATCGTAATGATTTCAGATGCTGGTCGGCCTTTCGGCCTCAGCGTGCCGTCGTCCCAACAAGTCCCTTCCGGTCATCAACGTGTCCTGCACTTCAGATTATCAGATCTCAGAGGTCAGTTGGCAAAAGACTGGCTAGTGACGCCTTTCGCGGCGACGACGATAGCAAAAGTAGTATCATTGGCGGATACAGCCATAGATTTCGCACCGCGTACAGTTAAGATAGAATTTGTGGTCTAATCAGAGAGTTTGAAGGATATGTCGTCCTCTAACAGTCGCGAAGGGGATATGTTGGTTATGTAGTAGCCAAATCCGGAAATAGCAGTGATTGTCCTTGCTATATTCGGAGGCTGTCATAAATGGGATAGGGGTTGGTGTATTGAGTTAGGCTGCAGCTCCTTTTCGAGACAGCTTGAACCTCAACCACCATCATGCCTTTGAAGTACGTTTTACATTCTCATATTGAAGCATGAACTGATCAGCAGTAATGCAGTTTTCACGGTCCAAGAGTAACCTGTGAGTCGCGAGTCTCCTCACCCTTGAATCATTGGGGTTGATCCATTTGGAAATACAAGATACGCACAAGCGTCGTACGATTATTCCTGGGTTGGTTTCTACCATAAGCTCTAAACGGTCTTTCTAATGCGTCGGGATAGGTTTCTATATGTCACATTCCACGGCCTTCGGCCTCGCTTTCAAGTGCAACTCGGGAGGCACATTCGAGTCAACTGAACGCGTCAATGAGCATGCTACCTTTGCCGCGTCCCCCTTTCCACTGCACCACCCACGATACGGTGTATTCAATACAAGCGGATAGACTATACGGTTGTTGTAAGGATACACTTTGCGTTCATACGGCAAATCAATCTTGTTTGTACACAACATTTCCTCTGAGCCCTTATACCATTTCAGGACGCTCAACGCCTCTGCCCCTTTCCTCGTTCAACGTCCATGAATGACTATTCAAGCGACCGACCTCTCAGATTGGACACAGCAAGAACCATCGCCTCCAAGCTTAGCGAATTGCACTTGTTTTCTACGGTAATTTACCCTCACGCCAACAGTGATAGACATCACCATTACATACGGTCAGCGGACAGGATGAGGAGAGTAAGGCATGATAGGACGAAAGGAAGAACACTCAAGTGGAGAACACACGCAAGCAATTGGACAAGGGGGACAAGACCGAACTGCAAGCCGTTTGCAATTGTGCTTAGATTAACGACTGTTGCTTCGCAGCTTCGCAGCTTCGTCCCATCGTCCCCCCCCCTTTCCCCCATCAGCACCCTCCTCTATCACTTTGCCTTTCCCCCCAAGCCCATCTCCAGTAATATTTATGTTGAACCTTGCCGCCGCCAGTACGTATTTCTATGCCCTTGCGTTCTTGCTTACTGTGAGTAACTGATATCAACCACCACAATAACCCTGACGGGTTTCTTATAGATCCTGAGCATTCTGTGTGAACCGCTAGATCGCTGTTTAGGTATGTTTCTTATCCTCCGTGACGTTCCCTAGCCAGTCTTCGTTTCCTACTGCCAGCCACCAGCCCATTTTCGTCATGGCTCCTTTGGTGGCGAACCTGGCAAAATAGTGGACGGGCGGTGCGATGGTACCTGCTCAACACAACTGGGGCGTGCAGAGTACTGAATCTGGAACCCTACCCATGGATTACATCCGGTTTGATCAAGTTCACCGTGTATTGTGGTCCACACAGCAGCGAAGTCAGCCCGTTGCTGGGCATGTCAAATAACAATTAGTGTGTACATCGTTTACGAGCACCATGTGGATGTCTTGGCAAAGATTAGTATAGTAGAGGAGAACGGGTATAGTAGAGGGGAACGGGATGTCTCCGGCATTGGCAAGTGCGCAAGCCCAACGCCGAAGGATGTATACAAGCAGTCGGGCGCAAACGACCAAAGGTCGCGATCGTGAGCATGAGCTCAGCCCACGAAGAGTGAGACTACAAAGTCCATCTCCGCGATAATGCAGAGCAAACCAATGTGGCCTGCATATTAGGCTCGTGACCAGCTACCGCCTATGTGTTTGGGAGGACTCTCACGCAACTTGCCTTGACGGTAGCCGGGTATCCATGTTAGCGTCAGTACACCTGCCTTCTTGACCCCTGACTACGATGGCTGCGTTTCCGCCTGGGATATCATCGCGGATCGTGCAAACCGCTGAGCTCGACGTGCACATCCTAGAAGCTCTTCCACCAAACGGTGTTTCGCCGAAGCCGCCGCTGCTCCTCCTGCTTCACGGATTCCCTGAGCTCGCGTATTCCTGGCGGAAAGTCATACTCCCCCTCGCGGCAGCAGGGTACCATGTCGTCGCCCCAGATCAGAGGGGTTACGGTCGCACTACCCCCGCACGCACCGGAGACTCAGCCTCTCCATCGATAATCAAATATACAGATGACCTGTCTCCGTATCGCATGCTGAACCTTGTCAAGGACATCGTAGCTCTGATCCACGCGCTGGGGTACCCCTTCGCTTCTGCCGTCATAGGACACGACTTTGGGTCGAACGTGGCCGGGTTCTGTGCTATCATTCGCCCTGATCTGTTCAAATCAGCGGTGATGATGAGTGCACCGTGCACCGGAGCACCCCCTCTTATCACCAACCGTAGTCGCGCGTCATCAGAATCCGTACCGCAAATGGCTGATAGGCTGCTTTCCCGGTTGACGACCCCGAGAAAGCACTACACGATGTACTACTCATCGGCCGAGGCCAATGACGATATGATGAACGCTCCAGGGGGGCTGCACGCGTTCTTACGTGCGTATTATCATGTTAAGAGCGCCGATTGGGAGGGGAACAACCCGTATAAGTTGCCTGCCATGTCGGCGGAGGCTGTTGCTGTTATGCCCCATTACTACATCATGCCGTTGGACTCTACCATGCCTGAGTGCGTGGTGAAACACGCACCGCAGAACTCGAGCGAGAACACTTGGCTTCCGGATTCTGAACTCGCTTATTACACGGGCGAGTTCGCGAGGACGGGGTTCCAGGGGGGGTTGAATTGGTATCGGTGCATGACGGATGTGCGATGGATGGATGATCTGTTGGTCTTTTCTGGAAAGCAGATCGAGGTGCCGGCGATGTTCATATCGGGGAGGAAGGATTGGGGGACGTACCAAGTGCCTGGTGCGGTGGAAGCGATGAAGGAGAAGGTTTGCAGGCATATGGCAAACGAAGACTTTGTGCTCGTGGATGGGGCTGGTCATTGGGTTCAACAAGAACAACCGGAGGCTGTAATAGAAGAGGTGTTGAGGTTCTTGACGAAGGTCTTGTAAATATTATTGTACTTATCGATTCATATGTGCGAAATGATGTATTGATCGAAGGACATTTGATATTTACTATGTCTAACATGAAGAGATACTGTAAGTACGCACGAAGTTAGTACGAAGTAGATGGTAAGTAGGACGTAAACACCATGATGGTTGTAGACGAACCGCTTCCGCAAGAGTGGTTGGTATTTAGTAGCCTTTCCTCTTGACATACCTTCAGCATGAGCAAGCCAATTGATTTTCCCGGGTGACGAACTCGCGCATCAGTTACATAACACATAACATGAGGAGATAAGAAACGGAGAGCGCGTCGGCGGGCAACAGTGACCGACTCGGAAATGCTACCAGCGAGAAAATGTTTCTACATCCGAATGGATACGGAAAGAGAGCGATTCTGCACTCACATACGGGCTGCCCGGAGCCGCGCAAAGTCTTCTGGAGCACGCACGTTTGAAACCAGCGCGAGCGCTGTGTACGACAAGGCAGAACAATCAACGTTGGCGTCAGGAACGACCCATATGTGGGCGGAGAGAAGATCGGGCCAACGATGTCGTGGTTTCCACGGGGCAGTGCTGATGCAGCATCATCACTCGGCAGGTTTGTGGCAAGTCCGAGCGCGAAGTTACATCTTGCTGCACTCCTGCGACGTACTCGGCGCAGTAGAGCCAGTCGGAGATCAGCTCTGCGCCAAGTTTGAAACACATCCACCTCCAGCCAAGCCCAAACGCGCGTCGTCGCGGTCGTGTTTCCTCAAGGCTTGTCGCGGTCTTGGTCGAGCAGTAAGGTGAACTGTTCCAAGGTCGGTCGATGCTGGCCGCGGACACCCACTGTGATACTTCTCGCCGAAATCAGGGGCGCGGCGACGGATAGCCATTGAGCATAACAGTGATCGCGTATATCAATATTCTTGACGGCGGAGGCTGTGACCAAGCGACACGAAATGTTAAGGGTGTTTGTTTTGACATGTTTTACACTGGTGTATCAGAAACTACTTAAAGACCATCGCGATTAACGAGGTTCCTCTCCCCCATTTCCCATCCCATCTTCACCGATAACCGTCATACCCAAGTACGTCGCCGTCGTGCTCGTCGCCGACCGCGATACCAAGCTCATTGTGACTGTCCTTAGACTTTTGATTAGATCATGTGTGGAATCTTCGGCTACTGTAGCTTCTTGAAGGAGAAGGTGAGTTGCTATTCATATACATCTTTGCAACGGCGCATTGTTGGGCACGCCGTCTGGCCGATGCGGCTGCTCGCGCAAGCGTTGCCTATATGCGTGTTGGATAATCAGTACATGTATGCTAACTCGGTCGCTATATAGAAACGCCAAGAGGTGCTGGACGTCCTCTGCAATGGTCTTCAGCGCGAAGAGTACCGTGGTTACGATTCGGCTGGTCTCGGTGTCGATGGCGACAAGCCCGGCGAGGTCCTTTTCTTCAAGGAAGTTGGCAAGGTTGCCGGCCTGCGCAAGAAGATCGCTTCATCGAGCGTTGACTTTGAGAAGACTTTCGTTTCGCAAGTTTCCATCGCCCATACTCGATGGGCTACCCATGGTCCTCCATCGGAGAGGAACTGTCACCCTGTTGCATCCGATCCCACGGCAGACTTCCTCCTCGTTCACAACGGCATCGTTACGAACGCCGGCGAGTTGAGGCTTGTGCTGCAAAAGCGCGGCTACACTTTCAGAACCGAGACCGACACTGAAGCTGCAGCCATCCTCACCAAGTACATTTATGACTCTCAACCTGACAAGCGCATCAACTTCACCGATCTCGTCAAGGCCGTCTTGAAAGAGCTCGAAGGCTCCTTCGCGTTCGTCTTCAAGTCGAGGCACTACCCCAATGAGGTCGTCACTGCTCGTCGTGGTTCACCCTTGCTCATTGGTGTCAAGACTGACAAGAAGCTCAAAGTGGACTTCGTGGATGTCGAGTTTGCTGGACAAACTGATGAGAATAAGGTCGAATCTCGTGAGTAACCCAGTTAATTTCCCCTCGTTGTCAGACTTGACCAAAGAATCGTTTAGTGCATCAACCCAACTCACCTACGGCCCTGCTCGCACCACCATCGGCCAACCCCAAGGTCCTTCGCACCCAATCCCGCGCATTCATGTCTGAGGATGGCCTCCCCCAACCCATCGAATTCTTCATCGCTTCCGATGCTGCCGCCATCGTTGAGCACACGAAGCGCGTCCTTTACCTCGAAGACGATGACATCGCACACATTACCGATGGTCAACTCCACATCCACCGTCTCCGCCGTAAGGAGGAGGGTCACCAAACGCCCAGCCAAATTGCTACCACCCGTACCATCGAAACTCTCGAACTGGAAATCGCGGCCATTATGAAGGGCAAGTTCGATACTTTCATGCAGAAGGAAATCTATGAGCAGCCCGAGTCCGTCGTCAACACCATGCGTGGTCGTGTCAACTTCGATACTAGTCGGATCACCTTGGGTGGTCTCCGTGCTTACCTTCCTATCATGCGTCGCTGCAGGCGCATGGTGTTCATCGCATGTGGTACCAGCTACCACTCGTGCATCGCGACTAGAGCCATCTTCGAGGAACTCACTGAGATTCCGGTCAGCATCGAACTCGCTAGCGATTTCTTGGATCGCAAGACACCTATCTTCCGAGATGACGTTTGCGTCTTCTTGAGCCAGAGCGGTGAGACTGCTGACACTATCTTGGCCTTGAGGTACTGTCTGGAGCGTGGCGCTCTTTGCGTTGGTGTTGTCAACACTGTCGGCTCCACCATCTCCAGAGAGACCCACTGCGGTGTTCACATCAATGCCGGACCTGAAGTCGGTGTTGCTTCTACCAAGGTAAGAGTCACGGTTGAAGCAATTAAGTAGTCATTACTAAACTCCGATTACAGGCATACACTTCTCAGTATATCGCCCTCCTCATGATGGCTCTTCAGCTCTCCGAAGATCGTATCTCCTTCACAGAACGCCGCAACCAAATCATCGCTGGTCTTCACGAGCTCCCTGGCCAGATCAAGGTCGTCCTTGAGCAAGATCGCGCTCTCCAGCAGTTGGCTACCACCGTCTTGGCCAACTCTAAGAGTCTGTTGATCATGGGTAGAGGTTACCAGTGAGTTGTTTCTACTCGGCCCGTTGTGTTGCCTGTCTAAGTCCTCGATTAGATACGCGACTTGCTTAGAAGGTGCCCTCAAGATCAAGGAAATCAGTTACATGCACTCGGAAGGTATCCTTGCTGGTGAACTGAAGCACGGCCCTCTCGCTTTGGTCGACGAAAACATGCCGGTTATCATCATCATGACCCAAGACTCGCTCTACCCCAAAGTGCAATCTGCATTCGCCCAGATCACTGCACGCAAGGCCCAGCCCATCGTCATGTGCTGCGAAAACGATGAGAGCATCCCCCAGGGAGCGAAGACCGTCCGCGTACCCAAGACTGTCGATTGTCTCCAAGGCTTGCTGAACGTTATTCCCCTTCAATTGCTCAGCTACCATTTGGCCGTCAAGAACGGCTACGACGTCGACTTCCCGAGGAACTTGTGAGTGCTCTTATTGATTTGGTTCGTGGGGGTAATGAGCTGACTGCTTGTTTGTATACTTCAGGGCCAAGTCTGTGACTGTCGAGTAGATGAGGTTCGCTGGAGATTCATACCCACCCACATGGACGTTTCGCTTTCACTGCTATTTTGAACGGACAATAAAATGAGAAAATTAGTGTATAATGCTAGCTTCGTACTGGATAGATTCAATTGATTGAAATGGCTGTGGTTGGATTGGAGTGCACAATGCTTCGACTCTTTGGTGAAAGGTGAAACTGGCCGCGCACCTGGAATCCACTTGTTGCTTGACGTCTTGACAGCGAAGGACGGATGCCAACCATGACCACAGTATGTGTGGGCCTTCCGGCGTGCAAACTTGGCTATCGCTTTCTCGCTACATGCCTCTCTTCGTCCATGACTGAACAGGCCAATGGCCACAATGGTATCATCATTCCAAAAGGTGCGGGGCTGATCTATATACGAGACAGGGATGCAAGACTCTCAAAGTGTACGGTGACTAGATCTCAAGTTGAAGGGGCTGTCAGGGGGCTGTCAGGGAGTAGAAATTGGTGTCCTTCGAGTCGACGACGCAGAGACTGTCTTGTTTGCGAATCATATCACATAGTCCAATAATATGATGATACCACGGACGCATAATATCCATAAGAAATATCACAGCAATAGATGCTACGCCTCCTCGCTCTTTCTAGTCGCATAGGAGGGGATGTCAATGATCAAACAAAAGCTACCGTAGATGAAATTCAACTGGGCTTCGTTCCCAAAGGAAGCAAATGGAACCTCCGCGCAAGCGTGTGTCGGCTCACTGAGCCACCAAACTTCCGGCTTCTTTCGTCCGCAGGTTTGCAGTGTCGCCGTCTCCTCGCCAGATTCGTCGTCCGAGTCGTCGTCCGAAGCATTTGCTTCGTGCGGCTGCGCGGGTTCATTGGCTCGCAGCACCTCATAGCGGCCATACGCTGAGCGGAGGTAGTAGTAGATGCTTTCGTCTCCAATGGAATCTAAACTCGGGATGGAACGCATCAGCAATCCTAGACCGTCGACCCAAGTTTCATCATCAAATTCCTGTTCTGAATATTCATCCTCCCACATTTCCCTCAAGTCGATGTAGACTTTGATCACGGCCTTGAGACCGAGGGATGTGCTGATCCGGGCCACCAGAGCGTCTTCTCCTTTGAGGTTCTCGGAGACAGACTGTACGGCTTCCCGTTTGGCAGTAGTACTCACCGGGTACTCGTACTTGAGCCCCCAGCCGACTAATCCACCGTCGGTCAGGAAGTCAGGGTCTTTCAAGAGACTGGACAATGTAGCCTCGAAGGGATGCACAACGGACGTTGCAGTCTGAACCACGGGGGCTGGCTCTTGAGCGAAGAAGAGGTTGTACGTGAGGGTGATCCGGTGGCCAGATTCAACGGGCAAGACCTCATGCTCAATGTCGCCAAAGAAGGCAATGTAGCCGATAGATGGCTCATTTTGAAGAGCCAAGGTGGCGGCGGAATCGTATGTCCATATCTCGTCCTTGGTGCGGAGAACCAGTTGGCCTCCTTTATGAGAAATTGGGAGCACAACGACAAGTGATCCAAGCATTGATTCACTGCGTGGGGTGTCTTTGTGAGCCTTGAAGAATGATCCAGGACCTAACAGAATCATCAATTCCAGTGATAGCGATGCCCCTTTCCGATGTGCGTACCGTAAACATTTGGTTTATAGAGCTCCCATCTGAACGGTCGCCCGTCCACGAGTAACTCTGAGCTAATCTTGTCGGGAATTTGCAGTTGCCCGAGTGTTGGGTTCTGACAATCTAGGCGGTACAGGGGTTACAGGGGTTCACGTGACTACATAGATAGTTCGCGCGTGCATGTATACTTTTTCTTCATGCGTTTGCTGGAGTCCCAGCCAAACGCAATACATAGCTGCTTGCTCACTCGGAATTCGCGCGACCTCACCAGCTTATTTCAACACCGAGATCAATGTTCATGGCAAAATTCTCTATGTCCATCTTCCCAGCTTTGCGGTAAGTTTCGTCGAGCAAATCTTCCTGGTTTCGGCCAAATGTTGCGGGTTCGCATAGCTTTGCAAGCAGTTGCACCTGAGTATCTTCAGGAGTGCGAAGATCTAGTTGCCTGTGTGCCTCTGAATCAGCTATAAAGTGTGTAGAATTATAAGGGAGAAATACCCTGTAGTTCCACCACGGCTGAAGAACAGTGTTGTCGACTGGGGCGGCAGGAGGGCGACCCCTGAGATGTCTGGGACTCTATTTGCCACAGTGCCTTGGAGCTGTTCTAGTTGTTTCGTGGTTACGGACATGTTTACGCTCTCGCCTTATACTGGTCTGAGCTCGAGTCGAGTCACCCCTAGTCACCCTAACCCCTATTCTTGTGCAGGAGTGAGCACATGCGGGCCGCGGGCGACGACCCTGCAGGTCCACCAAATTCACCCAGTTTCGACGGTAAGTGTCTTTGTGAGAGCACCAGAGTACTCTCATGTGATCCCTTCAAAAGGGCTCACTGAATTACCAAATGTCTGCAGTTCACCACCAGATGTCCTCTCAGCCGACAGCCAGCACGAGTAGCAGTGCCCAACCAAACGCTCATAGTTATTATCGACCCAAAGGACACAACCAGTCTCAGGACGCGAACCAAGGATCATCAATGGTCCCATCGTGGTCATCCAGCACGGCGCAGATATGATCTTGCAACTAATCGAATCCGAAAAAGCTGCAGTCGCGAAGAACTACGAATGCGAACTATCCTCACTTCGCTATACAAACGAGCAACTTCTCCTACACTGCAGAAGCAATTTCATGAGTACCGCGTCAGTACAGCGAAGGAGCTGAATGCAGCCGTCACGGCGGCTAAAACGGGTTCGGGAGATGTTCTGAAGGGCATTTCGAAACGCTTGGGAGAGAAGGAGGCGCAGATGAACGTGTTAAACATGGCTCTGGATCGCGCTGGGCTTTGTCAAGAACACCAGGGGTTACTGCGATTCTCTGGTGAATGGCAGACCTTCGTCGAAGGGCTCCTCAGAATGCCAGATGGGCAAACCACGGTTCCCCTGGAGCAATACCCTCTAGACCCGTGCTCCCTGCTCCGATTCCTGCAAAACACGCACAAAACGTATCTCAGCACTGTTCGACATCTGCAGGAGAAGTGCACTGCAGCTGAGAAGGAGCGCGACGAGTTGCGCGTGTTGTTGGCAAATTCCCAAATGTTTTTCCAGCTCCTGATGGCAAGCTTTTCCTTTATTGATTACATCTCCATTCCGATACACGAATACGTCCCGGGGGAGTCCCTGCTCCTTGTTGTGAGTCGTTTCATTCTGAAAGAGTCCCATAGTTGAGAGGATTTCAGGCAATACTATGTAGCGCCGTTGTACGGTACATAATCCCAGTATACCATCATGGTGGCTCTGGCTTACCCAGCACGAACCAACTGAAGTGAAGTAACCAGCGCTATGGTAGTGCTCGCCGCTGATGCCTAGAGGTCGGTGAATCCGTGTCTCCTTCCATCTCCGCCAGTCCCCCGAAAACTACTTGTCCAACGTACAGACGTCCAAGGGGCACTTTGACAATTCCTGTCAGTGTGTCAACTCTCGATCGCTTCGATCACAGATTACTTCTTCCTTCCCAGACACCCAAAGCACGGCTATTTCTCAATTTCACGAAAGAGCGACCCAACCGGGGTATACAAATGGCCACTCGATCAATCATACAATACAAACCAACCAGACGTATACGACTATGAGTGAGAAGATCGAAACGGAGAGAGAGGAGAAGAGGACCTGCTTTTCTATGCTACATGAGATAACTGGATGATATACTACACGTCGTCGCAGAAAGGAATTTGGATACGCAGAACAAGTAATCATAATCACTTGGGGAAAGGAAGATTGGGGCTCCATGAGTTCCGGTTTTCACACAGCTTTCTCTTCCTTTTCGCTACTTGCGAAACTGCTCGGAAGATTGCGCCCGTGTCGCTGACATAGGGAAGGGGTGCATTGCTTCCACAGCTAGACGGCGGCCGGTTATTTGTTGAGGAGACGTCCGATTGCGGTGAGAAGAGGAAGCTCGATGCAACAGACTCCGTAGGTGACGAAGGCCCTGAGGGCACCATATCACTATGCTTGGAGTCTGACGAAGAACTAGAGCACGCGCTGCGGTTAGGATTCGTATAGGTCGTCCAAACTGGGGTCGGTAACGTAAGTGGGAAGGCGTTAGAGAAATCCCGCGGGAGCTTAGGAGAATGAGGTGGGTATATGGCGGGCGTCTGGGTATTCTCGAGATCACGCGCTCGTGCTTGCCATCTGTTCAGGTTATCCTGGCATTGGTCGGCGTAGCATCGCATCTCTGCAGAAGATCAGCAAATGCGAGCGGCGTTGATGGTAGAAACCAATTCACCAGGGATGGCTTTCGCCGTTAGATCAAGTAATGGTTTCGCAAATTTGGTGATAAAAAAGATTTGACCCTTCGCCTCGCTTAGACGGCTTGCAACAGGTAAGATGGTGCATGGGAGTTCGTAATGCTTTTCAAGAATCGTCTGAGATAGCCACTCTTGCGCTAGCGCAGAAGCCCAGTGTTGAGATACATCATACGGCCGGCTCTGTCGGAGGATAAGAAGGCCGTCAGATCAAGACAGATCATGTCACTCACAGGGTTGCTGATGTCTGCGCACTTCAGCAAGGCCTGACAGGTTATGGTTTGCCTGTTGCATATCGGGCCAACCTCTCCTGCAGCCATCGCCTCCATCCGACGCATAAAATCATCGTGGACACCCATATCTGTTGCAAGAACGGTCTCACAAAGCAGTTTCTTCGCACGGTTACCATGAGTGGTGTTGTCGAAAAGTACGCCGAGACCATGATGGCGCATTACACGTAATAGAAGTTGGTAGTGTAGCTGCTCTAGAGCTGACTTGTCGTCGAATACCAAGGACAAAGGGGTTCGAGCGTTCTTCTGCCGTTCATCCCGTGCATTAGCATTAGATAAAGCGAGGCTGAGAAGCACGCACCATGAACAAATTCGTGAATCCAGGATGTCCGACGTCATGGCCGATAGCGGCGATGTAAACAACAAATAGCTCAACGGGGCCTAAGGACGTGACGATAGGCCCGCTGTCCCACGTTTTGTCTGGCCTCCAGATGCGATCGTCGCCGTTCAATATAGATACCGGCGGCACTACGCCTGCTGAGCGTAAATAGCAGTGAACTGCTTGCAGAACATCTAGAGCATGTTGGAAGTTGTGATACGTGTTCTCCAACCGGTATATTCGTCTAAGATGGAACACGAAGGAGGATATTTGGTCTGATACGGATCATGTGATAAATGGGGTGATGTGAATGCTATACAGAATGGAGGACACGCACTGAGAGAGATGGCGATGGTTTCTTGCATGCCCTGTATGCGGTACAATGTCTCGAATATTATCATCGTGCACGCAATGGCCTCTTCGTCGGGGAGTTTGTGAGGCTCAAAGTGCCAATCGTCCAGAGCATCAATAAGTCGTCGTCTGGTAGTCTTCGTTATAGTCGTAGGAACACTGCTAAACAGTCAAGACCTGCACGAAAATCAGCAAAAATGGGGATAAGGGACGTACAAATCAAGGTCGTTTTCGTTAACAGCGTTGCTCGTCTGCTCGAACATTTCACTCAGCAATTCTGCATATCGGGTCCTAGCAAGAAGATGAACTCTTCGCTGAAGATAGAAGATAAGGCCTATATGAAGCTCACGATTGATATTCGTCGTCCTGCCCGTACCCCAACCAGCCTTTGCCTTGCCCAGGATTGCCTGTCGCAAGGAGGAGGCCCCCTAGATCAGCACTCCTTCGCCTGCCGTATATTCCCTCGCTGAAGTCTCCAGGCATTCTCTCGAGACACGGCATGCGAAAATTGTCGGACACTGGGGCTTGATTCGAGGTCGACGACGGATTGAGAGTATTGAGATATGAGACGGATGAAAGTTCCTCGATCGCGTGGCTGACCCCTCCTTACTTGCCTCGTGGGACTTTAATAGGCCCCGGCAGCATCAGCCGATGGGACCCCGAATCACAACATCACGCAAAACGGCCCCTAAGCTGTCCATTTATAGACAATATTTCCGGGGTCTTACTACGAGTCCCGCAAAACAAGCTAAGCACCGGATGTAGCACTGCAAAGCCATTTGTCGTGTACAATGGCCCGTTCGTTGCTTGAATGAACCTTACAGAATGCTGCGATACTTTATTGTATGGCCATTCTCGCCTCAGCCGCACTCCCGGATATCTCTGCAGTACTTTGTCGGCGACTCAGGGTACCGGGCGCCATCCTCGTGGGCAATGCGGGAAATCGTGGCACTCACGCGGCAAGCTGCAAAGATGAGCGGTGGCGCCGCCTGGTAAGATTTCTTGAAGTTCGTATTTTGTGTGCCCGTTTGCTTACAGCTACCAGCTAGTTATATCCGAACCATTGCACCTTGGTTAGCGACTTTATGCCTGCTCTTACGGTGGAAAGACGGATGGCTTGGATAGAGTCCATGCTGCACTGATAGAACCCGATGCACTCGTGGCCAATCGTTATTCATAGCTAATCAGCCCACTGGTGAGAAATCGACACCTCAGTATGGGGGTGCCACCCATGAATTCGGCGTGGCCGGCTCCGCCCAAGCGAACCTGGCTAACTGGCAAACACGCAGGAACCATGTCACATCATGCAAGTACTCTGAGCACCCTCACCATGTGGGGATAACCATGTCGACTTCTTGACCGAGTGTTGGGAACATGGCCTCGTTCACGTTGGACTTTACACTCATTCCCGGGCAGTGCGGAAGAATTGCCCGGCGATTTACCTTCCTTACCTTACAGCGTGAGTGCAATCAATGATTTCGAAGCACTGATAATGTCAGGGCGCTTCATCTTCTTGGCTGACTCGATTATACATCATTAGGCGAGCCATGATTTGTTGGCGACATGAGAATTGTGAACGTGTTGCGGGAGAAGACACCGTACCCTGGTGATCTGCGCCCATGTCATCACGCGCGCCCGACGCTGTCGACTACGGAGGTGATTTTTGGACTATGGATCATCCGACGGCCTAGGTACTGCGATAGAAGTGATGATTATACCACAGCAACATCAAGATGTTTAGGCATATCTTGAAAAAAACACGATGTGATGCTTCTGTAAGGTACGTCGGTTCCCCCGGCATGTGCTGAAGATTGTGATACGCAGCACAGAAGGTCCCAAGTCCAAACAGTCCGGCACACATTGGCGCTGATTTCTCCTCCCCGGCCATAGGGGCTGGAATAGTCGCGGCGGTGATCTTCAAGAGGGTTAGCAGGGTCCACTCATCATCTGCTCCATCGATGCACCCAGCACCCAGGAAATGAACAACTCCCAGACGTTCTCGCCTCCTTTAAGGTTCCTCCACTGGTGCAGACTGCGTGCCAACGTGATCAGAGTCAGCACCACGCGCAACGACTCGGCATAATCATTCAGGGGCTTCTGACAAGAATTTCCAATTACCTCCTGGTTCGTCGTCCTTCGATGATCAGCCGTTGCATTATAAACCTCTCGCGGCTGAAGGGTTCTGATCACGAGAAGCACGCCCATGTCGACGACGTGTACACGCCAGCGTTGCATTCTCCATGTTTCCATCCTTCATCACGGGCAAATTGTACAGACGTCCGGCTGAGACGTTCGAGGCTTGTTCTGCATTGCAACAAGAGCAAGAGCTGATCGCTGTGGAAGCAACACCCGCCACACCGGTGGCACCGTCGCCAGCGTTCCTCCGGGCTGACCTTCCCCAATGGAGTCTCGCTTCTGCCCACTCTGCCCCTATGTTCCTGCTCATGGAACGTCCGAGCTTTCGTGACACTCAGCCTCGATATTAATCTCATATCACGCTATTCCCCGGGCGACAGTCCTCGCGTAGTACGTGCATCAACATTAACCTTTGGGCCCAACAACTCACGTTCCTGTAGTCCTGATCTTCTGCCCGGTGCTAGTTCGCTAGAAGTCAAAATGGACGATTGCTCACGGTTTGTTGGCATCAGATGACCAACTCCCTGGCAGGCCCTGGCAGGCCCCCACTAGCCATCGCAGTCAAGTCACACCACGCGTGGAACCATTCACCATCGTATCATCGATACATCGATTATATATTAATATGAATCTTGATCCCTATTTTTCGATCCGATTTAAATGGACCGGCGGATAACGCTGCGGTCATTTCTACCGTCCGTCCGATATGCTGGATCGAACGCTTGCCCAGTAGTATGCAGAAGTGTCTGATTATATATTATTCCGAGGCTTTCCATACACTTGGGGCGTCGGAACTACTGGCGTGTCCTATTGCGCTGGCAGAGTTGTTTCGTATCTATCGGATCCATGCAATGGAGCAAAGAAGCATAGCTGCGCCGCGCCGCGACCGTAACCATGTGCGAGCTTAACTTGCATATGACTCTCAGGCCTTCCGGCAGACGTTTGATATTAATATATTTTCCGGAAGCAGTATCCCGCGCAGTCTGATCACAATATAACTTTCCGCGTCGAGATATGTATACACAATATTTGAGCGGTGGTACAGTTTAGTGGTTGGTATAAACCTTTCGGCGGAGATGGATGATCATTGATAACGGACACAACACAGCGACTTTGAAACCCTTTGCAACCAAACGCGCGATCAAACGACAGTGAAAATATGAGTAGTACCTAATGAAGCTCTCGCGGGAGAGGCTTTGTCGTAATGGAAAAGATAATTATTAAGACATCATACCTATATTGTAATGTGTATTTGTATTGGGGAACGATGCATGCCCACCGAATCTTGGTGGATTCGGGGAGAATCCGTGCGTCCACTGGGGAGGTTGAATAGCCGCGGACGATGGCATCCTGGTCTGACGTATGTATGGTTCATTAGCGTGGATGTAAGGTCCGAAGGTTGGTGTGATATGCGGGTATTGGGGTTGGGGGTGGGAGTGGGAGTGTAATTGGGATTGGGATTGATGTGGATACGGCGAACGTGTCCTCGTCGAGTTGAAGTGGTGGTTGTACGGGGCATCGTTCTGCGGAGTGTAGCTAGGCGCAACTACGCGCGGAGAGTATACATGATACGGGGTCTGGAGAATAGGAGGTTGCGGTTGCGCGACTGGAAGAACAATGAAGTCGGGCAATTATTGTGACAAGAAATGACTCACCATGCTGTGTTGGAATTGCGAGTGAGGAAGCAGAAGAAGAACTTCTGCGGTCGTATTGAGAGCGATTCGTGCCCCAGGACGAAGTGGGGGATGAAGGTACGGGGGGGTTCGGTGTCGCACTCGAGGTGACCACATCGGAAGCCCAACGGCCCGCCTCCTCATCCTCTTCAATCTCAAAATCGGGGGAAAACGCTCTCAACTCCGGGTCGTCTGGCATCTCCAAAGTGTTATGCTCCTCCTCGTCACCCCCCGACCCAGTGTCGATTTGAAACTGGAAGACACGAGGCTCTTCTTCAAGAGGTCCCGGATCCGGCATCCACGGCGGGATGACGCCGCGGTCGACACCGTTGTGGATGGCGAACGAATTTATTCGCAAGGTGATCATGAGTTTCTTCATTTCTTTCGGAAAGTTGCCTCGAGTGGGGACGATAGTGACTTGAGAGAAATCCTCCGGGGTGAAGGAAGCGGGGCATGTTGTGGGTGTCGCATCCATTCCTGAAGCTTCACCAATGCAGTCGAGTTCCATGATGAACGGGTCGGCACCCCCATCCGCCTCTTCCTTCACCGGCGACGAGGCAGGAGGATCGACGTCTTCGCTGGATGCTTCCGGAGACTTGTCGTGGCGAATCCAGTCCTTCGATGCCATCGGCGGCGACGGTGTTGGCTGATGTATGGAACCAGTATCCTGCACGCTCGAGGCCGTCTCATAATATGATGTCTGCGAGCTAGATAAGTAGTCCCTCGAAAGCGCAGGAATTTGTCTTGCCCTCGAGTCGTTCTGGAGGCGGGTGTCCCATGGAATTGTATGGCTTTGCAGAGGCCACTCATTGTGTCGGTGATGGTACGTACGCGAGGGCACGCCGTCCCAGTTCGCGGCCGAAGTTGAGAAGTACGCTCGCTCCTCGCTGGCGCTGGGTGGAAGCCGCGTCTCCGAAACGGGAACGAAGTGAGCCATGGTGAAAGCCAAAGCGCCGTGTCCCCGAGGCTTTAACCGGCAACCATACGAATAAAAGTCAGAATCGCTGTATAAACTCGGACAGGGAAATGGCCAACCTTGTGTCGTGTATGTAACTTGAAGGCGGTGGCGAGAAAAGAGCACTTTGGGCGAGCAGACGGAGATCGACCGTTTATGAGGCGGGCAGGTCTTTCACTTGAACTGGGGGCTATCAACTGAAAACCGAGGATCATTGGGGCCTTCTGATGAAAAATATAGCGGGCGATTTTATCATGGCCCCGAAGTGGATTCATTTCCCGGTGGGATCCACCAGTGCACTGTTTCCAGTGCATCTTCTGGCGAGAAGGTTCCTCGACGCCTGATATGTACCAGTGGTCCGTTACCCCGTCAAATTGATGGCATTGCTGCTATACTCATCTGGGATCGCCCAGTAAGTGCGAAATTGCCATTAATGATGCCAGACCGACCATGTGGGCTGTAACTATCTGAAGTCCTTGCCAGGATAAATGACTTATTGTAAGTTGAATCTCCGAAGGGTTGAGTACGCTGACTTTGAACCTCCGCGCGTATGTATTTAGGTCCCGACACCAACCTACGACACGGTAATTAACATGTTCTGTAGAACAAAGCGAGAACAAGGAGAACATTATGGCATCTCTGGGAGAGTTGGAATCCGATAGAACCGTTAGTGAGCTCGCAGGCATCAGATCGAAAACATGGCCCTCCGCGTTCAGTTTCGGAGCAGCAAAGTAGCTCTAAGCTCATAGGGGAGGCGTCGTGCGGCGGGTGATCGCCACGTTGACGTACGAAGGGGGCGTTCCGAATACAATCATGTTTATGAGGCCTAGATGTAAGCTGGCAAGGGTCATCATCTTGGAGGGAGAATCGATGGAGATCCTCCAAATATGGGCTGTGGGGCTCGATTTACGATTAGGCCAGGGGTAGGTGGCCATGCTGCGTATGTTGCATATTTACAGATAACTTCGCGATAGCTAATGTTCTTGATTGCAAAAATATCGGTGTGAAAGGGGTGCAATACTGTGCGACAACAGCAGAACTCTGAATCCATGGGGAGCGCCCGTCTCCAGAGAGGCTCCAGAGAAAACCGTGAATGCAGCGATGGCGTGTCGAACCTCTCTCCATCGCGGGCTGGTGTCGTAGAAATGTTTGTGGAGACACAGATGCGTCCCTACGCCGGCACGGCGTCTTGGCGCGCCATCCTACCCAATGTGGAAATAGAGGCGGTGTCGCCTGTCCTCCTCCTGATACACAATGTAACTGTTCTCTTCTTTATGTGTGAGTAGAGGAACTCAAAAAAGGAGATAAACTTTTATTGAGTTTGTATTTATGAAAACTGAATTTTACGAGGCATGTCAGCGAAATTCCGATGTTTAAGAGGAGTCTAGCTAAATTTCGGTGAAATGGCCGTTCAAAAATACATACCATTATTCAATGTGTTCTGCTTTGACAACGATGAGCGCTCGGTCGGGGAGTCGTGCGCCTTCTGGCCTTGGCATGGGTTGGTAATTAGCCATAAACCCCATACTACGTTCAACTTGGCTTTCATGTCACGTAGATTCTCCAGAGATTTTCTGGAGACAAATGGATTAGGACTCCGGAACAGGCTCAGAACTGAGAAGCCCCTAGGCAATGTCTCTGAGACTGCGATGTAATATTAGACGCTCGCTTGAAGCAGCTTGAGACCGTCTAGACGCCCGTCACTTCGTCTTCGGACTCTGCCATGTTCGCGAATTCCATACAGCCTAGCACCGTTTCCATCTTTTCTGCGAGTGGTTCAAACCCGCTGCAGCTCTTCTCCTCGTCGGTTGACCACGATTTACCCACTGATTCCTTCGTGCACCTTCTCCACGATTCAACTTCTTCGCCACTACCTCCCGAACCTTTGATAATGATACGGCCTTTGCGGCTTACCCAGCAAGAAGCTATGCTTCCTGAATGCGGGCACGAGCTCCAGCAGACCGTTCTGCACATCCAATCGCCCAACATACCCAAGACTTTCATTCGCTGTCCACCGGAGACTTCAGCGGCAACAGAACTTGGGTTGAAACATCCGTGGATGCACATTCAAGCCAGAAATCTTGGTCGTGAATGGTCTTTTGAAGTCGGATTGGTTGATCGTGCTTCAAAGATGCTCCGAGTGCGGTGCTCGACGTTCCAGGTGTGACCTGTGCGCATTCTGAGGTGAGCACTAGAAATGCTCAAATATTTGTTTCGTCCGTTAGAGACAGCCAAAGATCACACAAACGCAAACGACGCCCTTGCTTCACCTGCCATTGTCGTTTCCAGCAACCACGGACCACACCCTGACAACATGGTCAACGATATCTCTTCATCTCGCATCTTTGCTATCTAAGGCGACGATCCTTGCAGCGGCGACAAATGCCGCTGCAGATGATGCTGCAGAGGACGACACTCATGAACAGCAAGATCCAGCCTACGATTTGCCGTCTTCCGCATACTCCCATATCTCGTATATCAAGATATATGCGACCTGTCGACTGCGGCGAATCTGGTTCAGTGAGGCCGCTTTAGGCCAAAGGATTCCCTGGGAGTTTGAATTGTATTCCGCGACATCCAATCTATGATATACCTACGCACAACATATCTCGCGGATGCATGTAGGCTATACATCTTCGCAGATAGGAAATTGAACATTTACCAAAGTTCACCGTCACTGATACGGGTGCGCACGGCTCAAGGGCTCGAGCGTGTGTCTTCATCTCACCCAAGCCACGCTACAACCGGCATTGACCAGCTGCCAATCACGGTAGGACGATATTTACGAGCACATATGTTGGGCTTAACTCGAAGCGCTCATCCAACGGCTCTCTTCCCACTCATTATACAGAAGTACTGCCAACGAAGTATTCGCGATACAGTGTGGGGTTCATGGTGAGTAAGGAAATTATCGTTGAATGTAGTTGTTGATAATACACGCTTGGCTTGTACTAATATACTTTGGCGGAGACCGCAGTACGCCCTCAGACGCGCAAATAGTGCTGGGTGAATATAGTAATACAACATGGATGAAACTCCAAGGTCCCTATCGGAAAGAAGAACGAAGGTGTCCGAAGGAATCGAAAACAGGTGTTATAATGATAATGCATCCTGGAACGTTCTGGTGAGTTATTTGTTACCGAGGAAAAGAGAACTGAGGGCTTACATTGTCATAGGTGGTCATAGAATCGAACGTATGGTATGCTCCCCGCTAAGGGTGTTTAGGCAACGACGCAGTATGCGCCTCCACCGTTTCCGCTACCCTCCTCGTTGGTAGGAGGCTGCTCCATTGTGGTGTCCTCAGCCTTCGCTGCGATTGTCGAGAAGAAGGTGATGATAGCAGTGAAGGAGTCCATTGATGATAGAGGATGTGATAAGAGGATGTCTTTGCAAGAGGAGGAGTGCGAGTACGGTGAGGTAGGTGTTAAAGCCTGGGGACTTCCCCATGACTTTTACCCGATATTTATACCTTTTGCTGGCACGCAGGCAATGCCCGGTGGGCCGTGACGATTTCAAATTTTCTTGTCTGCGATATGGCTGGATTATCGCGGCTTGATCCCATTCCTCCGGAATATCGAATGGGCTGTGGGCTTGTTGATTATCCAGGGTGTGGATGCCTTATAACAATAAGAACAGGGGGACCAGATGGATGGGCGCCAATAATTGGAACAATAAGGTCAATCTTCGATCCCTGAACGAAAGGCTAAACGTGCCTTCCTTAAGCTTCCTTACAGCGAATATTCAGCTTATTCAGGGTATATACTCCGGTGACTTTCCTCGTACCCGGAATGAGGTCACGTCTTGGGGTTGTTCTGTTCAGCGCACCCTGCATTTCGGGGATGCGCTGTGCGCTCGTGCAGGTTGCTTATTGTTGCGAGCTTCGTTGGCAGTATAGATGATGATGCGCCACCGGTACGTTTAGCCGTTTTCAACGGTCAAATGCAAACTATCCACCAAGGCAGCCATCTAGCAGATGCTGCCTCTTAGTGGTGTTCCTACAGAATCTATAGGCGCCCGGCGGAGAGTGTGAGCTCAAAGTTCTAATGAACTCGATGTTGAGCACTCTTCGGCCCTCCAAACATTAACCCGGAGGACAACATCGATAGACCGACGCCAAAATATTTTGCCGATATCTGGCTCAACGAATCGGGATCTAAATCACCCCAAGTCCGGGCGAAAGTGGTATATGCTCCGAGCGATGATGCGCGCAAGGCGCGAGGCTACACGTCTCCATTTTAACCGCGATGACTGTCACACCCAATTGTGTTCCCTCCTTCTATGACACGAGTTCCTGGCACATTTTTTCTTCGGTTTGATCCATGAGTGAGGTGATTACCACAATACAGATATCTTGTCTGCTCGTCGGATTTGACCCCCAAGTCCGGACGGCATGTGCATAGAGGTGCATACATTCTCATCGGGTGGATCTCGTATCATTAACGTTCAATTTACTGCGTTCTGCTCACAGTCGCACTCGGTGTTCGACCTCTCTTATTCTTTCAACGGAGTCTATCCTTCTGCTGAAAGCTTTGGTTCGCTGGGATGCAACAATCATCAGCGTATGCCTGAAAACGGGACGGTAATTTCTACTGCAACACGTCTCCACGGCACAAGTTTGAGATTAGAAGGATTTGGATTCTGTTGCCTCTCAGAGACTTCCGGGTGAGCATGCTTGAGTTTTTATATTCAAGTGCCATCTCGACTAAATCGGAATCCTCTCCCAAATGTAACAGGATGTCGTACTCCCGCATGAGTGTGTCGATTCCTGTCAATGGGGGGAACTCAGTTTCCAAACGAGACGGCTCATTCCGTTCCTATAGGAAAGAAAGGAAATCTGGCCCATGGCGTCGGCAGCCACCCAGAAAGTATTGCAAGAATGGTCGAAACACTCTATCCCGTACCATATGTCACCCTCCTCGATGGCAGCAAAAGAAGCCTCCTCGCCGCACGCAGTAAACTCCCCAATGACCTTTCCGCCAGGTTATAAGGTAGAGCGGCCCAAGAGATACGGGCATCTCTCCTGAGAAAAAACTGGTAATTGGATGGGGAGCGGCCTCGACGGTAACAGAAGGGCTATGATAACTCAGAGGCATCATGACGGACTTCTATCTCTTAGTATACTGGTATTGTGTGATGTATTGTACAGTCCGTGGCGCTACATACTATTGCCTGAAATTCTCTCAACGACGGGACTCTGCCAGAATGAAACGACTCACTACAAGGAGGGGAACTCGCCCGGGATGTATTCGAATATCGGAACGGAGATGTCAACAAGAGGATGCTTAATTTTCACTATCACTTGGATGGGCCTTGACTAGGGCCAAAGCATTGCCATCAGGAACTGGTGGAACATTAGCGGGCTGGGGAGGAACAGCAGCGATTCGCACGTACCTTCTAAACTCTGCATACGCATTGCCGGATCTACTTGGGAATTTGCCAACAACACGCGCAACTCGTCGCGCTCCTTCTCAGCTGCAGTGCACTTCTCCTGCATATGTCGAATAGTGCTGAGATACGTTTTGTGCGTGTTTTGCAGGAATCGGAGCAGGGAGCACGGGTCTAGAGGGTATTGCTCCGGGGGGACCGTGGTTTGCCCATCTGGCATTCTGAGGAGCCCTTCGACGAAGCTCTGCCATTCACCAGAGAATCGCAGTAACCCCTGGTGGTCTTGACAAAGCCCAGCACGATCCAGAGCCATGTTCAACGCGTTCATCTGCGCCTCCTTCTCTCCCAAGCGTTTCGAGATGCCCTTCAGAACATCTCCCGAATCCGTTTTAGCCGCCGTGACGGCTGCATTCAGCTCCTTCGCTGTACTGACGCGGTACTCATCAAATTGCTTCTGTAGTAGGTGCAGCCTCGTTTCCAGCTCAACAGAGGAGACAACTTCTGGCTTGACGTCCGTTTTTACCTTCGTGTACTGTAGGAGAAGTTGCTCGTTTGTATAGCGAAGTGAGGATAGTTCGCGTTCGTAGTTCTTCGCGATGGCAGCTTTTTCGGATTCGATCAGTTGCAAGATCACATCTGCGCCGTGCTGGATAGCCGGCGATGGGACCATTGATGATCCCTGGTTCGCGTCCTGAGACTGGTTGTGTCCTTTGGGTCGATAATAACTCTGAGCGTTTGGTTGGGCACTGCTACTCGTGCTGGCTATCGGCTGAGAGGACATCTAGTGGTGAACCGCAGACATTTGGTAATCCAGTGAGCTCTTTTGAAGGGATCACATAAGATTACTCTGGAAGGACACTTACCGTCGAAACTGGGTGAATTTGGTGGACCAGTGCCGAATGCAGGGTCGTCGCCCGCGGCCCGCATGTACTCATCCCTGTACTGGAATAGGGGTTAGGGTGACTAGGGGTGACTCGACTGCTCTCAGGCCACTCCAGCCCAGAGGAAGAAAGAAACCTCAGGTAAACATGTCCATCACCACGAAAAAATTAGAACAGCTCAAAGGCGCTGTGGCAAACAGAGTCCCATACATCTCAGGGGTCGTCCCCCTGCCTCCCCAGTCGACAACACTGTTCTTCGGTCGTGGTGGAACTACAGGGTATTTTTCCCTTATCGTTCTACACACTTTCTAGCTGATTCAGAGACACAGGCAACTGGATCTTCGTAATCCTGAAGATGCTCAGGTGCAACTGCTTGTAAAGCTATGCGAGCCCGCAACATTTGGCCGAAACCAGGAAGATTTGCTCGACGAAACTTACCGTAAAGCTGGCAAGATGGACATCGAGAATTTTGCCATGAACATTGATTTCGGGCAACTGCACATTTCCGACAAGATTAGCTCAGAGTTACTCGTGGACGGGCGACCGTTCAGGTAGGAGCTCTATAAACTAAATGTTTACGGTACACACATCGGAAAGGGGCATCGCTATCACTGGAGTTGATGATTCTGGTAGGTCCTGGATCATTCTTCAAGGCTCACAAAGACACCCCACGAAGTGAAGCAATGTTTGGATCACTTGTCGTTGTGCTTCCAATTTCTCATAAAGGGGGCCAACTGGTTCTCCGCACCAAAGACGAGATATGGACATACGATTCCTGTAAGGGCAACCTCAAGATGGCCGACAGCGCAGGCCTAGCAGAGGGAGAATCCAAAGAAATGAATAAGACTAACTGCAATACATGAGAGAGCTGCTCACCTAGCAGAGGGAGAATCCAAAGAGAACAGGATGGGGATTCTCCATGCTAGGAAGCGAAGTATATACTGTAGTAGCGTGGGAGGAATGAAGGGTAACTGTACAGTACACCAGCCACAGGTACAAACAAATATCACAAGGTACGAGGGGGCATGTGATAATGAAGTGGAAGGGGAATGTACAGGAGTCGTGCCAGCGACCTGGGGAAGTGGGGACAAGGAGTAATGGAGTGGGAAAGGAGGACAGAGGTAGCCCGGACGAGCCCCGGAGTGTATCTACGAGTCCGAGTGAGTCCGAAGCGTCCGAGCGAGTCCGAGGCGAGTCCGAAGTGCGGGAAGACTTTGGAGTCACCGGACGGGGCTCGGATGCGAAGGGAGTGAACGGAAGGGAAGCGGAAAGGTAAGGGAACAAAGGAAAGGAAAGGGAATGAAGGAAAGGGAAAAGGAACGAGGAGGAAGGGGGCGGGACAGGGGGAATAGGAGAAAATAGGAGTGTCCCCTTACAATTCCGCTGCCACCTTGGCTCTTCAAAATGAGCCATCTATCGGCTACGTTGCCTTCTTTGGCGACATCGAACATGAAGTCTTGTCGGTTGAATCTGATCACCCTCACATACAACTTCTTCTTCTTCACACCCCGTGTATCAGACTGCAAAATCTGTGTATCCCTTCGAGGCTACATTGGCTAGCCTTCTAGAAGATCCGAACTTCTTGGTCGACGGTGGATTGGTGGGCTTGGGGCTCAAGTACGAATATGCGGTGAGTATGGCTACCAGACGAAAGCACGATGCTCTCAAATCCGTCTCCGAGAACCTCAAAGGAGAGGACGCTCTGGTGGCACAGATCAGCGCATCCCTCGGTCTAAAGGCCGACATCAAAGTCTACATCGACTTAAAGGAAATGTGGGAATGCGATTACACGGCAAGGGATTTTGATGATGAGACTTGGGGCTGTGGCCACTGCGGAGCATGGCATGTACGGGTCCCTGTTCTTGAACCCATATTCATCAATCATGTACTTATGAAAATGTGAGAAAGTTTACAAATATTACAAATATGAGAGAATGTTTTCACCCAGTAGCAAGACGTACTTTAGGTGATCTCACATATATGGCAGCTATTGCATTCATTGACCTACATGTTGAGAAGTCCTTATCTACATGCTGTGTATCATACTCCATGAAACCTTCATTGGACATGCCATCATAGATCCATGTGCGACCTTTAAGGTCAATGTACCTACCAATAAAATGTGATCTTCCATAATAAACAACACATTTCAAGAAGTAATGTATTGTACGATCATTAACAAGCAAACTTATTTTGTGATCCAAATACAAGGCCCTCTCAGAAAACTCAAATGCTAAGAAATAAGGAGGTATGTCATAGACATGTTTGTAAATAATAGGCTCAGAACATATCAAACACAAACGCCTTGTAGCTGTACCTTTGCTTGAGATCCATTCTTGAATAGATTCATAAGTATCTACGCCTAGTGAAATGACAAAACTACTTTTTGTACTTTGTGATCTAGAGCTTGAGTGGCCTGCACTACACTCAAATTGTAGTTTGACAACATTTTCTTTTGCAGCAAACAAAACATTTAAGATTGATGAGATTGAGGCATATCTGCCATATTCAAACTCATTGGGACACTGAATCTGCAGGCATTGACGCATATACTCCCTCAAGTCTGTAAGTCTTGCTTGACTATATTTTATATCTTCAAAGCATTTCACAAGAATTAGAAACAAAGGATCTGTCATTTCTAGAAACTCTTTCAAGGATGATGGTCTATCCAACCACATGTTATACAACAGACTGATAATGGTATCATATGCACAGCTGTTGTCACTCCACTGGCAACCAACAGGTAGGAACTGGTTGATGCCAGTGAGCTCACCTGTATTGTGTGAAGCAGTAAGTTTGCAACGTTTGCTAGCTCGCACTCTATTCTCAGTCTCATCAACAGCAAGTTCTCTTTTGTGGTTGTTATTGGAAGTTGACTGATTCCCATGGGCTAGGGGGTGTACATTTGGGTGTGTTATACTGCTTACAGAGTTTGTAGGAGCATTGGCTTTTATATCAGAAAACTGACCAACTTTCCATTGTTCAGTTTTTGCCTTCATTTCATCAATATAGTCTGTAGGCAAAAATCGGTTTACCTGCTGAGTAGGAATGACACTCCAGTCCATATCATTAACATCAGGCTCAATATAAGGCTGCTTCTTGTTCCACCGTATTGCAGCATGCATATGCTGGGGGGTGTAGGAGTCAGGCTTGTGCTTTCTGAAGGATTGTATTAATGTTCTTCGTGTGTCACCAAGAACAGTTACTGGCAGTTTTCCTTCAAACTGAAGTCGGGTAATGTCATCCAACAATTCTAAGTCTCTGAACTCTTGTCTCAAAGCTCCTGAACATTTGCGATCAGATATTATTGAAGCATTGAACCCTTGTAGAATCAAAGTACCTGCAGCAGAGGCACTTCTTGATAAAGCTGTATAATAACCCTGGTGAGTTGTTGTATCATTTAGATGCACTACATTATACAGTCGTGTTTTTCCTTGTGATGCAAAATCTGTCATTGCATAGTTCACATTGATCTCTACTTGATTACGTGAGACATGCAAGCGTTTACCAGAAGGCAGTTCACACCAAGTTGGTGTTATTGTTCTTGTGATTGGAACTACATTAATAGGAAGATCTTTGAAGTTTATATCATTTGGGGGATTGATCAACTTTACAAATAAAACTTCAAGTACTTGTTGCCCAAATGCCCCAACAGAGGCTATCCAGTCATATACAACACCTTCTTGGCCATTTGTCATACACAACTCTGTGGCACTATTGTTTCGAAGCATTACTGGGAGACCCTTGCACAAATTCAGCTTTGGTGGTATTTTCTTCTCAACAGAAGATGTTGGTTGCTCCCACAGAATATGTTGCAACCCTTCATCCAGTTTGACCTTTGCTGCCCGCTTCTTTCCTTTGACTTCTTCAGAATCCCCAAGTGGAGCAATAGAGTCTTCACAGTAAAAGGAAGTTAAATGCAAGCCATGCTCTGAAGCAAATCGTTGTTCTCCTAAATCATTAATGGCATCTTTATTGACATGTCTGGCAGTAATAATAGAGACATTTCTAAAGTTGGTATCACATACAGAATGCCTGCCTTGAATATTAGCAGAAATACGGCTGCGCAAGAACTGAATATCTTCCATTGTACAAGATTTGTATCTCATGTTTTCCAGAGCTGTGCGGAACTGGGCATCTTCTTTGGTTTGTTGTTTCTGCCGCATGTTTTGTCGTAAAATGACAACAGTCACAACTTGATGCCACAGAACTTTACCAAATGCCTCTTCTTGTTGCTTTAGCTTTCCAAGCGACCTACCAATGGTGTGGCTATATAAAGATACATGTTCACCACCAATAGGAGGTGGCAGTTGGGCAAAGTCACCAGCAAAAATCATGTTAATGCCACCAAAGGGTTGGCCAGGAGGAGCATTCAGTGCTAAACACATTCTAACACTAATATTATGCAAGTCACGAGCAGAACACATTGAAATCTCATCAAAGAAAACATAGGAGACACCCTCAAGTCTTTCCTTAGCTATTGTCAGGGAATTTTTGGAGACTGTAATGTTCATAGCAAAGGCTGAGTGATAGGTTACCCCTCCAGGTAATAAGCATGCTGCACTTGCTGTTGGTGCAACAATGAGGAGTTTTTGAGACTCATTGCGAGCTGCAAACAAGCGCACCAGTGCCTTGAGAACTTGTGACTTGCCTGTGCCACCCATACCTCCAATATACATTTTTAATTGGCCACTGTTTTCAGAGAGTGAATGGTTGGCAACAATTGAGAATGCTCTGTTTTGTTCTTTATTTAATGAGAATTCTAATGAACAGTCTATAACCAGCTGTTTATGTACTCTTGGAACATAGGCTGACTCCAGGTATGACTTATCAATGACTTTGACATCATCTTCACCATAAGGTGTTACCGATGTGGCTTGTGAACTCTCAGAAAAACCAATGTTTTTACGTGACTCAACAACTTGCTGTCGCAGTTCAAGAACAAGACGATGCCACTCCCGTGCACTTTTATAAGGTATTTCTGCTTGCAAAATAGGGGTAGAAGAGCTGTCATTGATTTGAAGAGGTTGTGACCAATTTGAATTTTGCATTAATGCTTTCATATCCTTAATGCCTTTTTGCCTTTTGAGTGCACCACTGCTCATTTTCTCAGACTCTAATGAAAGTACAATATCATCTGCATTTTGAAGTACTCCATCCAGGCTGTGACTTTGCTCCACTGGAGTGAAGTCATTGTTATTGTAAGATAACGGAATGTCTCCATCAGAGTTGGCTTTCATCTCTGACCTAAAATCATCTTTAGCATCAAGACACTCATAACGTAGATTAAAGTTGTTCATAACATGTAAATGCAGTGTACTAAAAGGATGTTTGACAAAGGCTTCATCCCATGTCTCCTCAGAGGTTTTCAAGTCTTTTCCAGATCGCCATGGTACAAATAAAGCAAGCATAACACTACAATAATATTCTCGGTCTCCTTGATCTCTTCTTGGGGGTATACCCATGAAATTCGGAACTATGTGTTTGAGCCTCTTATTACTTGGCAATAGCAATGAACATTTATGTGTAGAAGCAAGTGGATGGTCAGATACATAGTCCAGCAAAACATGCTTTGCTTTTTTGGATGCAGCCAAGAAAGTACCAGTTTCTTCATCCTCACTTTCCTCCATGTTATCATCCTCAATGACATGATCACCATAATCATCACCTTCATCTTCGTGGGTTTTCTTTGAATGTGCCTGTTTCACACGTTTACAACGAGTAATCCAGTCATATAGACACATGGCATTCAAAGTTTCTGGACGATAAACATAATCAAAAACAGGGGATAGTGCAAGTAGTCTACCGTTTCTTTTAATGAGAGTAACCTTCTCAGTAGTTTTGTAGGCATCATCTGGATGCCAATAGCTACGTGCCTCCGAGACATACACTGACCAGTAGAAGGTTACAAACTCATGACTTGTGTAGTGGTCACTATACCCTAGCAAATATGTACATATCATGGGAGACCCAAGCTCGAGTTTTGCACCCATCAGATTGACAACTTTTGTCATTATTTGGCGTGCTTTTGTAGATGCCTCAACTCCAGTGTTGTTCAATATCTCTGGATTTCGACTTAGCACTGCCTGAATGCATTCAAAGACAACATGAGTTTTTAAACCACATTTTGTTATATAATCTGAGACGTAAGCCACTACTGCTTTGACAGCAGTTCCTGACAGCATTGATGTTACATCTGTGTTTGATCTGATTATATATGAGATTACTGGGGTGAAGGTGTTTATCCATGACTCTGACTTCTTCAAAGAAATTGAACCAGTTTCTTTGTCTACTATTGTTTCATTCACTATGGGACGAGGAAACCGAGCCTTACACTTGCCCCATTTGTTATCTTTGCATCCTTTGTAAACATGAGATTTATTCTGAGTACCATCTTTTTTAAGATATCGCTCACAATCATGCACATTTGAGTGTAGTACAATATCATCGGTGATTTTGGAGAATTGAGTCCACCATTTGTCTAAGTCAATGCATGATGAACAAGTTCCATCAGAACACAGACATTCTGGAATACAAGGAGGCACTTCAGGTACACACAGAGTGGGATCAACATACTCATTATTTTCCTTTTGTTGATGAGCAGATACAGCTACATCCTGCTGTGAACCAGTCAAAAAATCTCCAGTATGGCACCCCTCCAACCATTCAATCAATCTTTCTTTCCAACTACTATCTGGATCCAGAATTTTGTCTCTAATTTCCTGAGGAGACAGAGAGCCTTTGATCCATACCATTGCATGAAGATGCAAAGTCAATCTACCTTGTTGTTCAACAGTGCCATAATATCCTTCAACATCACCATATATTCCCTCACACTGCTCATTTTCAAAACCTAATATATCTGATATAAACATGTCTACCATGAATTTGAAAAATCTAGCACATGCCACAGGGTTGGAGGTGACAACACGCATTCGCTGATCTGCTGGCATGATGGGCTCAAATACTTCCCCAGTTCCAGCATAGTAGATGCAAATTGGATGTTTTGTATCAACTGGTGACAATGTGATGTACCACAGTGGACTTCCAATTCGGTAGATTAATGACCATATTTCATTTCGTTGATACTTCTTTGATGTTGATGAACCATTGACACCAGCAGCAACATGATCAAGATCCTTAACAATGTCAAAACAGTTCTTCTCCTCTGTAGTTTCAGGCTTTATCTGCTCACCATTAGCCATTCTTGTTGCTATTGAGGCAAGGACATCTTCATCCAAGTTCATGATACGCTCTGTGATAGCTGCAAACTTTGACTTCTCTGTCAATAGCAAAGCACGAGTTGAACTTCTCATTATTTGTTCATGACTAAAAGCAATGAATGAAAAGGCAGCATCAGTTTGAAACCGCTTGTCATGGTACATGAGAAGCCATTTCTTGTGAGCAGTTGGTGACATCCGGTAAACAGAACCAATCCCACCCAAGCCATATGGAAACAACCAGGGAAACATTGAAGGGTATAGCTGGGGGTTATTCCATATGGACTCAAATTTAGATGCCTGACCAATTCCAAGCACTTTGCCAGATTGGTTGAAATACTGCAGTGCTAGTGTTTTCAAAGCACTATTAGACATTTCCTCCATTTGTGTGCCAGTTAGACCATGCATAATAAATGGACATTCTCCTTCTTCTGTGCCATCCTCTTCTTCCATATTGTTAACAGCAGGTGTTCCACTCGTTTTTGCAGACAAGGTCTCCTTGTACTGGATTGTTACTGGTATATCATCATCGTCATATTCTGCCAAATTTTCCTCACTCACTGTCACCTGTGCATAGTCAGAGTGATTCAAAATTAACCAGTCAAGTGCATCCTTGATGTTCTTTTTGCGGATTAAAAATGGTGTACGTTTCAAGTCATCTTTTACTGGCTGTTTTGGACCTGTAAACAATACAACCAAGACCTCATCAAGTTCAGCTTTAGAGATTGGTAGGAAATTGTAAATTTTCGGAACAGGTGATTCAAAAGATAATGCATTTGCTGTCATTTTTCTAAAGCCACTAGACACACGAACAAAGCAGTTGCTATATCGCACACGTGCAATGACAAGTTTTTCAACAAATCTTAAATCTTGCAAGACAGTAGGCACTGTACCAAGCCAAAGACCTCGAGCAAGTGCATTTTTAGGTACTTTCTCTTTTCGCAAATAAGTACGGCAGGTTTGGCATATCATTCCCACAGAATGATCAATGACCGGACCAGGAATACACTTGATAGGATCACTAATCTTCTTTCTTGGCGCACGAGTCACTCCAGGTGCTTCTAGAATATGTAGAAGATTTTTCACTGCTTTCAGTCTTGACAGGTCACTTTTTACAACAAGTTGACCACATACTGCGCATCCACCTTCTTCTAATGTAGATGATTCCATTTTTCTTGCACAAGTAGTTACAATTTTTTTGATAGCGAGTTGTGATAATGGCTTCGGTGGAAAAGAAGCACGGTCGGCATCTATATCATTGCTACAAGTGCTAATAATATTTGGACTGTCTGTATTGTTGTTTTTAGCTTCCGAGACTTGTTTTATTTTGTCTACAAATTTACGCGTAGGCTTGACCGTAAAGATATATGTCAGTGAATAGCAAATAGCACATGAATGACCCTGAGCCATATCAATTACAATACTCTTTGTACACTTACTACCACAAACAATGCCATGCTTACCAGCAACAGAGATACACTGGCGGCCGGTTAGTAAAGGAAGAATACTTGTCACATCAATCAGCCTTGACATGAATGTATGTGCTGGAAGGGAAGCGAAGAACCTCAATGTCAGAGTACACACCCTCAAAGACAAGTCCCACATTATTGGGTTTCAGCACTGCAGGCCCATCAACGATGAAGTTCTCAAGTTCTTGATAATGCAGTATGGATGCCATATGTCCACCATAAAGACCATGCACACTCTGCCTTGGTTCCTTTCGATAACTTAACAATTCAGACATGAGTATGTATGTGATAACAACACAACATATAAGACAAAGACATAAGAGAACCCCAACAGGGAATCTCATTATTGACATTGAACAAGTATAACAATGTTCATAGTAACATGGGTCAAATAGTGGGAAAACAAGAAAGAACCAACGGCACAAATATTCTGTGAGCCACATGTGAGATAACATAAGGTATAAGGAACAGGAACACTCACGAGCATCACCAGAAACAAATTCATTATAGATAGATGACTTGTCTATGGAGGGAAACATAGTATCTTGATAACGAGTACGATAACACAACGACGATGCGGGAGTAGGGTGCGTCGACGATGCGTGAGTAGGGTGCGTCGACGATGTGGGAGTAGGGCGCGTCGACGATGCGGGAGTAGGGCGCATCGACGATGCGGGAGTAGGGTGCGTCAACGATGTGGGAGTAGGGCGCGTCGACGATGCGGGAGTAGGGTGCGTCAACGATGCGGGAGTAGGGCAAACGGACACAATAGCGGCAGTTGACAATAAATAAATGTTGCGGGACAGGAAGTAATAACGATGTGGGAGTAGGGCGTGGCACAATGAATAGCAGGGGCGTATGATAGAGTAGTACAATGAAGAATTGTCAGTAATGACCCAACGATGTACACAAGTGCACTCACCCATCATGACAGCCGGACATTGGTTTGGAACGAATAACGAGGGGTGCGAGAAGAATACAGAGTCGTCTTTGGGAAGTGGCTATGTCAGATGGATGTATACCGTTGCATGTGAACTCACCAAAGGGACTCTTATTCCACGTCGTAGACATGGGTAGCTCTTCTGCTGATTGCGCAAGTACAACCACGGAGGACACTGTTTGAATGAGAGAAGGACTCAGAACATGAAAAAGGGTTGAGAAAACAATACTCACGGAAAGCTGAAGGCAACAGAATGAAAGCAAGACTCGAGGGGGTGTGCGCGTTGAAGAGTTTGAGCATGAATGGTGGTGACTGCGCAAGAAAAACTCGAACCAGATTTGAGTGACATGGCAACGAACTGACGTGGCAAGTTCCACAGTCACATGGTGTAAAGTAGGCGCGCAAGTTCACGCGCAAGTCGACAGCAAGGTTCGCAGACCTAAGGACAATAATAAGACGTAACATTGAACACGACACTCATATTTCAAAGTACGTAAAACATGCGAGTAACAAAAAAAGAAGCTGCGCGGGACTAGACACTATTTCGGACTTGATCAATGTACTCCTTCGTGACTTTGCGAGGTTTCTCAAGTGACTTGAATGCACCAAGAACTACAGAGAACTGAATATTGAACGAAGCAACGGTGGAGGTAGGATTTTGTTTAGGATTGAATGTGGTCATGGTGAACCCAACGAGCGCGACGACGAATTTGTGAGGTTTGCTGGCAGGCAAGTCCTGCGCAAGGCTGTTATCGGGAGCCTCGTCAGAAGCGGGCATTGGTACGCCATAGCGTATCATTGAGGGCAGCTGATCCCAGTCACGATCAGTGAAACAAAAGTTGCCGCGGTTGAGTCGCCCATCGTAGATTGGAACTATGTGCAAGATAAACGAAGAGAATATGCGTGCAAGAGGAAAAAACTTACCAGTATCAGTTGAGGCGACCGAAGATGGATAGCGTCTTGTCATGGCCGTCGACGGTGCCGTTTGGCGAGCGCGATTCTGGGCGCTACCCGCGGGCTTGAAGGCCATGGATGCCATGGATGTACGCTGGGGTGTGTTCGGAGCAGAAAGAGCAGAGCGGGCATCTAAAGATTGTACGTCAACTTACACGCAAATGGGGCAGAAAAAAGGCATACCATCTGCCTTAGCAAGACGAGAGCTAAATTGAAGGCAGAAACCGTTCATGTAGGCGTAAACAGTGTCCAATTTGAGAAGACTCCCAACAAAAGAAGAAAAGAGGCTGAAGACTTCATCGAAGAGCCATCCTGTAAGCCGAAGATGCTGGTCATATGGGTTGACAGAGGCCAGTTCTAGCAAAGAACAGCTCTGCACGACAATCGGCATAACGAAGACGGCAGGCGAGCGGCTTTCGGAAGCGAACATAACTGTCTTGTTGACGACTCGGAAGTTACGGGGGTTTGCAATTAGTGGGTTGGCATATACACCCCGTCCTTGGAAGTGAAGCGCGTCATAAATAGCACTGCAAGTCGGTGTATCAGTAAACCGCGAATACAAAAGATAAAATGATGCGGATTACTTACACTGCTGCATATTCGTCAGTCATACACCCCATGACATGAAGTACGGCGGGGTTTTGCACGTCGTCCGAAGTTTGGGGTGTATACTTCGGTAGTAGCTCACTATGTCTGAATTTGGTTGTTAGTAGAAGTCGAAAGAAGTCGCACTCAACGACGAACCTCAAATGTGGCAAGATTTTCAATGATTCCAACGCCGAAATGATACCATTAAGGACGGGGGGGATCTCAGGGAAAGAGAGGGGAGGGCCATCATTATTCGTTCCATGCTTGGGAGTGGCCTCGTCGTCAGAGCTGTCCGGCAGAATGGGGTCGTCGCTATTTATATTTGAGCAAACAGAGGGATAAGGAGACAAGAAGCGTACCAGCGTCCGCTCCGATTCGGAGAGCCCTTGGCTTTCATGTTCTTGCTCTTCGCCAAAAGAGTGTTGACCCGTGTAACGAGAGACTCCGCTTCCTCTTCCACCTTCTTGACATCACCACGGCGAGACGCTTCCGATTTCGATGGCGTCGTCAGCTGTGGCGAAGGAGATCGAGAGCCCCACGCAATCTTAGTCAAGTTCTCTGCCTCTACGGTGTTGTCTTCTTCAGCCTCATCGTTGAAAAATGACAGCTCAAGCTTGGGAATGGGTGGTGTCGGGGTACCCTCAGATGAAGTCCTGAAAGCAGGGGGTACGGGTGAATCTGCACGGCCTACAATTGGGGCGGTACTGGCCTCTTCATCATCCGAGTCAAAGCGAGTGATGGGCCGGATGCTAATAAGAATGTCAGATGAAAAATGAATGATAATATAGTGCCGAGTACTTACCGTTTTGCTGGGTTCGCCTGCCGCGCAGCTCTGAGTTCGTCGGGAGATGCCAGTATGGGCTTCTTGGCACCCCGGACGAGAGGTCTAATAGCCGTTAGTCCAGTGGAACGAGCAAAGCAAACATGTATGTACTGACTTTGCTGGAGGCGACGGAGAGACTGTGGAGCGGGCGCGTTTTCGTTTCCCCTGCGGCGTAGGCGAGGCATTTGCTGCAGGCGAGGGAGAGACAGTGGAGACGGCACGTCTAAAGTCAAGGAATGATTCACGGCATGATTGGATCTAGGTTAATGACTCACTTTCGTTTCCCTTTTGGCGTAGGTGTGGCCTTGCTATCTTCAGGTTGTGTAGTTAACTCTGCCACCGCTTCGGCGGACACTTTGACTGGAGCCGTTGAGTCCAGTACTACTCCATCGGCGAGAGCCGTTTGCGCTTCAGACTCCGTGTTCGTCTGAGAAGAGCTAGACGTGTCGACTTCGCCATCGATTGCAGTCCCGAACGACAAACGGTGGGAGATGGGAGGAGCATGAATTGAATCACTGTTAAGTAATCAGGTCAGCTACAGGATGTAGACCAAGGTGGCCAGCATACCTCATCTGAACAGCTGGAGTGTCGAGAGGAACATCGCGTTTCCTCGGGGAAATTCTCTTGGGTCGAGGCGTGGCCGGCATGGAGACACTTTAAATATATGAGGGTAAAGTTCAAAAGCGAAAAGGTGCGACGTACGCAGGAGAAGTTGGGGGAGTGGCTGGATCATCAGCAATCTTGCTCGAACGAGGAGTAGCACGACTGCGACTAACAGACAAGTATTAGCGGAGGAAGAGTGAGCAATCCGTGGGACATACGTTGATTTGCGAGCCATCGAGAGACGAAGTGAGATGTTGATCAGAAATAAGGACTTTAACTAGTACGGGGTAGAGGGTCAGTCAGAGCTGAGACATTCGATATAAATACTCAAAGGCATGACGAACCAAGGTGAGTAACGCGACACGTATGCACGAACTGATGCCCAAAGAAGGAACGGAGCGCGCTGGAGATCGATTCCAGAAGACAGCAGGATGGGGGGCGATGTATTCGGAAACCAACAACATGGGCCGAGCGAATGCTCTATACAAACTGAGAGAGAAGAGCACGATTGAATACATGGACTAAACGGAGGAACGGAAGTGACTCAACATACCTCGAGTGCAGGCACAGAGGCATCCTGGAAACCCGTTCCAACAAAGATCCGGCGAGAGACGAACGTTAAAAGAAGATGAATGATGAAGCGGGCATATAGACGATGAAGAGCACTCCCGAGATGAATGTCAAGGTAGGCGGGAAGAAGGAAAGAAGAGGGAGAATGTGACACAGAAACAACACATGTGTTCTTATGTCACAGATGTGACTTACCACCAAACAGATGGCGCCCAAGGATGTCACTATGTCCTGCCAGAAGCCTATAAAGAGAGTGCAAGGTGAGCATGGAGAACAATCACCATGGACGCATTCTACAACAAGGCCGAAGCTGGTGAGTACCTACAGCATTACTTGTTTCCCTTCGTTACCCTCACTCATCCAGTACGAGTACTCGACGAGATCATCACGGAACGCATAGATGCGGCGCCAGGGCTGCAGATGTACGGGATGGACTCGGTGAGTTACTACATTACAAGGAGGATGAACTTCAAACTAACAGAGAGTAAATTTACAGGAAGCAGTGGAAAAATTCGGTTTAACTATTGTCAAAGAAGAGACCAATGCGGCTTCAAAATTAATTCAAGTGAACGAACTTACCGGCGAAGCGGAAGAAGCATTGATAGCCATTCAAGGAATTGTTACGGGCTGTCTGTTACCGCCCTTTGAGCCGAAATCAAGGTGCGTAATTGTATTCATGTTGAATTCCAGCCGTAACCAAGTTTATACGAAACAGCCGACCCGATGAGACGAGACGATTGGCCCATGCGAGGCAGAGCGTAACGATCGCTGGACTTGGTTCAAAGTCATTCAACACCATCGTACAAAACTCCCGCCACATGTACACGATGTTTAGCCGTTACACACCGAATGCAAAACTACAGCCAGTCCCCGAGTTCATTGGCAAATATCGGGGTACTGGCGACAGCAGCACCGTCGAGTCTTCCACCATCACGGCCAGCTCCCGCTTCTTCACGCCAGTTAAGCAAGCATCGGGGCTCGATATCGTCGATATAAATGCTGAACTCGATCCGCGCGGGGTTCTCAGTAAGGTAGACGCGTCGAAGTGGGTGCACACGGAGGATAATGAAGTAGGGTATTACATCCAAACGCCTCATGCAGACGAAAACAGGCAAGTCGATACGTCACGAAACTTAAAGATATCACTAAACTGAAGAAGCAGATATAAACCGACCACACCCATTGTTTTCCAGATCGGCGATATAGTAGAAATCCAGGCTTCCATGTTAAGCCTCCCAAGCAAAGGTAATTACACAGTCAAGCTCATTCTGCGAAGCATTGTATTGCTAGACGGCCATCTTACGTCGGTACGTATGCCACAAATACAAAATGACAAAGCTAAAATCTCTATAGGCAGCCACAACGGCCCGAACGCTTGCTGCGGACACAATTGTCTTACCTCCGCCACGTCGACTCAAGCGGCAGAACCCCTACGGTGGTTACATCGTTCAACAGGGTCAGATTCCGCGAAATACCAAGGCTATCGAGGCCGAAGCAGCTCAGTATCAGGCAGGGGAGGAATTGGAGGAGTCTGATTGGCACAACGTTACAATGGAGTAAAAATGACAATTATATTCATTGTTACTAGACTACGAAAATCTATAGGCTACTGAGTTCACCAGAAGTCCTCAGCTCGAAGGAATTGGCGGATGTGTTCTAAGGAATCATGAGTAAGGGCAACGAAGACGTAGAAAGAGATGTACCAAGTGCAAGACCCAGAATAGTGTAGCGGATGCTAGTCGATTCCAAAGCCGCGTGTAGATGATGCTGTGCAAACAGTGAGCAGGATGAAACAGTATACGGGTGAGGGAACTCACCAGAACCAACCATCGGAGCTGAGATATGGCCATGCGCCCTTGACAAGTGTCGAGATGGTTTGCCGGCCAGTCGAGGTAATACTCGACTCGCCTGCGAAGGAGTTCGTCGTTCATCGAGCTGTATACCGATAAAGTTAGCTGAGATATGACAAAAGGGCAGCGGAGCACGTACGGGAGCATTCCAGCGGCGTATGCATCCACTAGTACGTTTGCGGCCGTGTGTTGCACTTGACGCAACTGGTAGGGAGTCAAAAGAGGCTCGGCGGTTGCACGACGAGCTTCGGCGGTTGCACGACGAGCTTTGGCGTTTGCACGACGAGCTTCGGCGGTTGCAAGACGAGCTTCGGGGGTTGCAAGACGAGCGTCGGGGATTGCATGAGTGTCGGGGGCTGCTTGAGCATAGGGACTCGCTCGCGCACTGGCCATTGGACCAATGATGGAGTTTTGTTGTCCTGACGGCTGCATGAGACAAAGCGAATTCAATTTGAATGAGGTGGTTGATCGAGGAAGCTGGGGGGAGGGAGGACACGAACCCAATCCCTTTATAGAGCTCTTTCCCGCTGTAAAATGTATACAATATGGAAATAAATGGGAGCCCTACCATGTAGCAACGGGGGTGCGGAAAGACGGGTTGCAGAAGGCATCCAAGATTGAAAGCTTCCAAGATTCAAAGCTTAAAGGAAAGGTCGACGAACAACAACGACTATTAGAAGGGAAGAAGACGGGTACATTAGCGCCGACAAGTGACAGACTTTCACTGGTGATGGCTTAGATAAGATCCCGATTCCCCGATCACCGGCAGCCGGCTATCTCAATAGCCACCCTCTTTCCGTAGCGCCCAAGCATCCCAACTAAAGTAAAGAACGGATCCTTACATTTCATTTCAGGACCCGTAACTTGGGTCGATGGCCTAGGGTTGTTGATGAATTACCTTCCGAGCTTGGCTTCCATCGGAGGCAGTCGTGTTTACTACCACCTCCGGGGTAACTACCGCCATGACGAGGCGCTCAGAGCTAATAAAGCCGACACCGACTCTGATGACAAGACAGTGAGACTAAAAACTGTAGGACAAAAGACGCCGGAAGTTTGGTGGCTCAGTGAGCCGACGCATACTTGCACGGAGGTTCCATTTGCTTCCTTTGGGAACGAAGCCCATTTGAACTTCATCTACGGTAAATTCTGTTTGATCATCGACATTCCCCCCTATGCGACTAGGAAGAGCGGGGAGGCGTGGCATCTATTGCTGTGATATTTCTTATAAGTCGTATGTGTCCGCGGTATCAAGTTATCGGATTTTATGATATGATTCGCAAACAAGACATTCTCTGCGTCGTCGAGGACACCAATCCCTACTTGCCCCTGACAGCCCCTTCAACCTGAGATCGGGTCTTTTCGACTCCCTTGGGAAAATCTCTTCGATTATCGCAGGGTGTAATTTACTCTCGTACTCGTGTCAAGAATGGAGTTTACATAGGCATTTCAATACTATAAAATATAGTTGATGATACACGCTTGGTTTGGTACTAGGATACTTTGGCGGATGACCACAGTACGCTTTCAGACGCGCAAATGATGTCGGGAGAATATAATGATACATCAACGATGAGATTCCACTTGCCCCATCGGCGGCAAGAAGGACATAAACATCCAGAGAATATCGAAAGCAGGTGTTATAATGATAATGCGATCCTAGGGCAGGTGAGCTTGTTTATTATGACAGCTTCTGAGCGAACGGCTTACATTGTCATGGGTGGTCATACAGTCGAAGGCGTGGTCCCTGAGAAGGGTGTTTAGGCGACGACGCAGTACGCGCCTCCACCGTTTCCGCTACCCTCCTCGTTGGTTGGCGGCTGCTCCATTGTGGTGTCCTCAGCCTGCGCTGCGACGGTAGAGAAGAAGGTGGCGATGACAGCGAAAGAGTCCATTGATGATAGAGGATAGGTAGAGGATGACCTTGTTGAGAGGAGGAGTGCGGGTGCGATGAGGTAGGTGTTTAAGCCTGGGGACTTGCCGATAGATGTTGCTTGCTATTTATACGCGAATTCAAGTAGAACGGGCCGTGTCGACCAAATTTTCACGATTGCAATGTGGTTGGTCTACATCATGGCTTGACTCCATTCTCCAGCTCAACCGAACGAGCTATTTGCCGGTGATATTCTAGGGTACAACCTGGATACGACAATAAGAATCGCTCGGCAATGTGTGAACACTGTGAATACTGTGGAAAGTGAAACAATAAGATGTTCTTCGATCACTGCACGAAAGCTTAACCGTACCTTTCCGGTAGAATTATGGCTTGAGTTACTGCTTGACTAGATCGAGGGGGCGCTGCAGGCGAATGTCCAAAGCACCGCCGATGGGACTAACGGAAAAGGTCCTTCGACGCTGTACAGGTGTTTATTGTTGAGAGGTGGTTTAATTAGCGGAGATGAGCGCACGCCACCGGTTTGCCACCGGGCATGGTTTTTTTTTACTGGATAGTATTGGAGATGTGCGGCGAGCGAGAGCTATCCATACCTCTCTAAGACCAACTGCCCGCCGACGCCGCTGCTCCAAAACTATTCACATCCAAGCGCTCTGTGGTCGGGACTCGGGAAGTGAATTTCAGTCATCGCTGAGATTGAAATAACTTGTGAATGAATCACCAAACTGGTCGTGCGCCACATGACTGGCAGGTCACGCTGCGACCACGACGATCATAATGTACGCCCATGCAGCGAATACTTACAGTCCTATCCCCCAACCTCCTCACAGCGCCGGTCAGGCTTTCAAGGGTCTCAGAACACACATTGACCCTAGCCAAATTCCATCGCCAATCGAGAATCAGGAGATCGACAGGCAAGAATGGGAGAATAAGACCTACTTGACGCTGCCGGGAAAGCATGTCCCACTAGCGACGACGGATTATGTTGCCATTGATCAAGGTATGTCGACTGGGTCCCTTCGCCGTCTTATGCTGCAACGGCAAACAACTCCAGGCAATTCCACGCCCAAATTCATTCGCGTAACCACATGGAACGTTCCAAGCACTTCCAAGCTCGCGTCGGAATGCCAGATCCCCCTCGCGGCTGTATTTCAGCCATTTGCTCAACAGGATCCGAGGGAAGAACCAGTTCCGTTAATTGATGCAGGCCCAAATGGTCCGGAACGGTGTAGCAAGTGTAGAGGTTACATCAACCCGTGGTGTACATGGGTTGGTGGCGGTAGCAAGTGGAAGTGCAATCTATGCCAAAATGAGACGGCAGGTGAGTGATACCTGCCTAGACGATCTTTCGCGACTGACCTCGCTTCTAGTCTCCCCAGAATACTTCTGTAACTTAGGCGCGAACCTAATGAGGTTGGATCACGAACAGCGCCCAGAACTCAACAAGGGGACAGTGGATTTCGCCGTGAACGAGGAGTACTGGGCATCGCAACCGTTGGAGACCCTCAGTAAACCATACGTCGCTGTTGAACCTGCACCGACGGGACCACGCCAGCCCGCTCCAATGGATTACATCTTCGCCCTAGACATCTCGTTCGAATCTATACAGTCAGGATTTGCCCATTCCGCATGCTCTTCCATACGAAAGATCCTCTATGGTGGATTGGACGATGATGGTCGTCCAATTGATGCCGTCTTTCCCCTTAACAGTAAGGTGGCGTTCATAACATATGATCGTGCACTACACTTTTACGACCTATCAGTAAGTTCCCAATCAAGCCACGAGCGCGTCTCTGGTACAATTGATTCATCGCTAGGCTGTCGATGGCCAAGCTCCCATGTTGGTCGTTTCAGATATTGACGAAGTCTTTATTCCTTTAAGAGCTGGTGTTTTTGTACCCCCACAAGAAAATAGGTTGGTCCGCGATAAATTGTCCGTTAGACTGAAATGAAAAATTCATTCATAGGGCTAAGATAGAGCAGCTTCTTGAGGCACTGCCTACTCGACATCAAGAGACAGCTATCCGCGAAGCGGTCATGGGATCTGCTGTCTTAGCTTCTTTGGCAGCGCTGGTACGATATCCTCTCACTAGAACCGTATGCATTAGACTCGATTTAACGGTTTGCTACGTTGGGGCAGGCAGGCAGAGGTGGTCAAGTCATCATGTTTCAGAGCTGTATGCCCACAGTCGGCCCGGGCGCTTTGAAAGGCACGCCAGACGAACAGAAGCTCTACGACTCAGATAAGGAGAAGACTTTGTTTACACCGCGTGACAAGTGGTGGCTGGATTTGGGGGAGAGTTGTGTGGATGAAGGCGTTGCGATCAGCATGTTTCTCGGCATGAGCAGGTACATCGACGTCGGTTCCATAGGTTCGTGCGACTCCTCTCTATGATCTCTTATGGCTCAAACCTACCTTTGCCTGTAGGCGCGGTCGCGTCGCTGTCGGGCGGGGAAATATATTATCATCCGAGATTTGAGCCTCTTCGTGCGGGCCCACTATTGGATGCTCAACTGCAACGCCTGTTCCGGAGAATGGTTGGCTACAATTGCGCCGTGAAAATTCGCTGTTCTAATGGTAAAGTTCCCTACAAACTCGTTGCGGGTGTTACTAACTTATCTTGATAGGTCTCCGAATCACCCAATATCGGGGTAACATGTTCCAACGTTCCCCAATTGAGGTCGAATGTAGCGTCCTGGATGCAGACAAAAGTATCACTGTCACCCTTGAACACACGCACTCTCTCAATGCGAGAGAATACGTCTACTTGCAATCTGCTGTACTGTACACGACAGTTGATGGGCAACGGCGCGTTCGGACATGTAACTTGGCGTTAGAAGTTGTTGAGCTCGCCGGCAATGTCTTCCAGTTTGCCGACATGGAGACTGTTATAGCGCACTTAGCAAAAGATGGTGAGTCTCGAGACTTCTTGCTTGCTCGCTCTGACACGAACCCAACCCCGTTCAAGCTATATCATACGTGACCTCTTCAAAATTGTCAACTATCAGGGAAGATTTGACAGAGCAGTGCTCAGCCGTGCTCCTGGGCTACCGAGTAAACTGCGCATCTGCCACCAGATCGACTCAGGTACTAATTCGGCCACTCCTCTAAATACTTGCGGGCCATCTGACCCTTCCTAGTTGGTCATCCCAGAGGTTTTCAAAGGTTTCCCAGCACTCACGCTTGCAATCCTCAAATGCAAACCACTAAAAGGTGAACCGATCCTTCTTCCCAGGTTGATATATTTACTCAACTCTTTCAAAATAGGAATTGCTAGCGTCTCCTCCGACGTGAGGAATTATTACGCTCATCGCATGCGTAGCATGGGCGTACGCGAGCTGGTGCAATATTTGTACCCTCGCATGATGGCTCTCCATGACTTGGATGATACCATCGCACTTCCGAACCCCAACACCGGCGAAATTTGCTGGCCATCTATGATGCGAAATAGTCATCTATTTATGCAAGCTAACGGAATATATCTAATCGGTACGTTATATTCTGCGAAGCAGCAAACGCTCGTTAATACCTTGTGATATCAGATAATGAGGAAGCTATGATACTATGGATCGGTGCCAGCGTCTCTCCGCAGTTACTCCTTGACCTATTCGGTGTGGACGATATCTACAAAGTGGATCCTCAGACAGTAAGCAGAGCGTTACCTCGGTTACCCACCTCACCCACAAATTCATTACAGACTAAGCTGCCAGTTCGAGATTCACTTCTCTCAACGCAGGCCAGAAACATTCTCGCAAATCGACGCCTACACAGAGGACGGGATATTAATTTCTACATTGCCCGCCAAAACATGGATGGAACGGAAATAGAGTTCAGTGATATGTTGGTGGAAGATCAAAATAACGGCACTTCATCCTACGCTGACTGTCAGTTGCTCACTTTCCTTGCTGATGACCTCGTATTGATAAGTCCGTCAGTCTTAACTGTTGTCCACAAACAAATAGGCCAAGTTGTAAGTATTCATACCATGTCTATACGTCTATGCTGACGATATCTATCTTAGCTCTTAGATGGAGGTTCTCTGGGAGGTGGAGCAACACTGCGAGGTTCACCATGGTAACACCGGTAAATGTATATATGATCTATTCCAACAACTTTCAATTCAAAGGAGCGATGGTATTGCGTATTGAAACAAACGGTAGATGAGAGAGAGAAAGCGGAACTTGAACAATGCACAACGAGAAAAGAATAAAAGAAGGATAGTAAGTGGGCTTAGAGAAAGAGTCATTATAGGCGGAGGTTACTTTGAGCATATACAATACGATAGCGTGAGATGCCAAAAAACCGGTGGAGATGCGTTATGAATCGTGCGTAGGTACAGTCTTCGACCGTCGAGAGCCGAATCGCAATTTGCCGTCTTCGCCTCGACCCCAAGAAAAGATGCCTCCACCTCCCTCATGTGAATTAGTACTTCCCGCCCTTGAGCGGAACGACCAGGCCGGAGAGGCAGGCCGGGCGGGTTCTCTGGGGGCAACGTCGAGATGCTGGTTCTCTGGTCTGGGTGCTTCGATGGGGTGACTGTGGTGATGGTGATGATGCTTGCCCGAGTGTCCTACGGTATGTCTGCCATCGCAGCACGCGCGAACATTTTCCAGACCCTCGAACCCATCGTCAGAACGAGAATCACCGTGCAACTCGAAGTCCAACTCTTCATCATCCTGCGCACCGATATGCTCGAAAGATTTTGTAGGGCTGTAAGGACTTTCGGGGCCGTTCCAGCGGAGGTATTCGGCAGCTGGCGTGCCAGATCGCTTTCCAATAGAACCACCGACAGATAGTTGAGATCGACTACGTTTACCGCGAGGAGTAGTGTTCCAGGTCTCACCAGGGCGCATACTCCGTGAGCTTCTTTGGCTTCGCGGACTGGAGGTAATTGGGAGGCGATCATCGTCTGTAAAATCGACTGACTTAGGGCTTTGCGGGACCATTGTCATGTTTGCGGGTGAGGTTATATTTGCGTCGGCAGGCCGGGAGAGGAGATACTTGAGAGCCTGCGGTGCTGTTAGGCTAAATTCCAGATGGGAAAAAGGATACTTACATTGAGCCAGATTTCGTGCCGTTCCTTCGTGGGGGCAGTAATCTTCATCTCTCTATGGGGGGTGGACACAACCACGCTGTACTGGTACAACCCAGGTGGCATTGGATTAGGATCAAGCACTGCACGGACTCCCTCGATGTACGCTAAAAATGTCGTCAGATCTACATAAGGAGCAACAATGCGGGGAATAGCTTACCGCTTTTAGCGCTAGACTCAGAGACATTCCATGAGCCAGGATCGGCAGAGCTCCAATACAAAGTCTTCGTGTAAGGATGTACCCAGAAAAAGCGACGATGTCTTGTTTGCCCATATCCCTTGCCGATCGCCTTGCGCGTATATTTGTACATGAACTCGCCAATCATGGTCTGAGTGATGGCATGGATGATGGTAGGGTCTGTGGAGGCACCACCAACTGCTCTTGGTGTTCTCGCCGATAGATCAGCCGTTCTGTTAGGTGTTACAGGTGCATTCGATCCTTGCGACTGGTTGGCGAACATATGATCGGATGAGATGGAAGATCTGGGCGAGGCGGAGATGAGAGACGTTTGAGAAAACTCTCTTCGCTCGCGGTCCTTGATAGCGGAGGCGTTCATGAGACCCATACTAGCAGCAACGTTCTGAGCTGCATGAGACGCAGCGTTCGCAGCTGACCGGAAACTGCTCGTGGATGGTGGCTGCCGGAGGCCGTCTTGGGGAGGAGGCATTGAGCCATGTTGCCGCAAAATCTGTTTAGGACGCCCAGGAACATTCAAGACTGAACCAAAGGTAGGTGTGGTAGCACGTTGTATGAGCTCGGGAGGTGGAGGTGATGATGGTCGAGGAGGCGGCACGTCGTATGAGCCGGTGGATGTTGTTGCCTGCCGCCTCTCGGGGATGAATGATGGCGGGGCCATGGCGGTTGGTGGTGGGGGTAGTCTTGGAGGCGGAGGCAATGCCATCATAGGTGGCTTCGATTTATCTACGACCGTAAGCGCAGTTCCCGTTGACGGAACTCTGAAACGGGGGAGAGGCTCGTCTTTATCCATAAGGGAAGAAACGACAGAATCCATAGACTGTCGGCGGTCGGCGGTGGATGTACGGCTGTGTGTGGCAAACGGCACAGAAGATTCTCGCTGAAGGCTGGCTAAAACTGGTACAGGAGAGGAGATAAGGGATGGCGTCCCAGATCGTGAAGGAGCAGTGGAAGATGCAGAGCTGGGAGGAACGAACTGGAACTGTTGACCAGCCGATCCAACGCGATAGAGCGCAAAACTTGGTGAAGTAGGGATGGGGAGCGGCGCAGGAGGCGGTGGAGGTGGGGGTGCGGGGGGAACCCACTCGTCGGTCTGTATTGATATTTCCTTCACCTCTGGCTTCGGGGGCTCCTCGACCTTCACTTCTTCCACCACTGGCTCTGGCTCCGGTACTGGCACAACGACGGGCTCGTCCACGACCGTGACCTCCGGCTCTTCAATAACGTCCGTTTCGATGGCTTTCTCTTCGTATGTCACCGTTGGTTCGGGTGTCTGAGGAGGCTCGGGGGCTTCTGTGTAGAAGGATGCTCTACTTGGGGCCATCGACGACATGTCAGCAGGGGTACCCGCAGACGACCGTTCTCCCAGTCTTGACACCACAATGCTATCACCATCGTCGTCCGAGTCTGAAACGCCGTCGACATCGGTCATGGTCATCATGGAGTGGAAATCGTCCTGAGACACCGAGGGAGTGGACATTATAGCTGAATGATAGCCTTCTGGCTCGGTTTCGGTCTCAGCACCAGTCTCAGTCTCTTCACCTTCGTCGAGATCATCATAGCCCTCAGGTTGCGCAGCCAAGAACAAACGAGCAGTACGTCCCGTAAGAGTAGAGTCGCCGCTCAAGTCGCTTGCTTCATATGATGGAGAAGGGGAGAAATCTGCCTGGACGACCGTTGCGCGCCTCGCTGACTCGGGCTCTGCTGGTGGCATTGTTTGGATTTCCATGTCAGACATGGAAGCAGGAGGTGTTTGAGTCTCGGCGGGAACCAACACTGGAACGAAGGGTGTAGGCTCAGGCTCTGTATTGATACCCATGGAAGCGAGTATTGGCTTGACTTCAACAGGAGCGTCATGCTGTATGGCCATTTCTATACGCTGCACCTCGAGGACTGGGGGTTCCTCAGTTTGAATTTCTATCTCGTGGGTGACTGGTTGAACTGGGAGCACGGGTTCGGGAATTGGGGGGACCTCCTCGACCTCAGACTGGATCCCAATCTCGGCCATGGCCCTGACGGGTTCGACGACCTTCGGTTCTTCTACTTCAGGTTCTGTCTGGCACGCAAACTCGACCATCTCCTTAGCTGGCTCAGAATCTGATTCAGCCTCGACGTCAAATTCACCAAGCACTTCCTCTACAATGCTATTGTCCTTCAGCGGTGAAGCGCCCGTTGCAAGCGCCTGGAGCAGGTCCTCTGGTTGTCCAACCAGCGACTCTGGACGCGCCTCAGAGTACGCCTTGCCACCTCGTTGTCTGCGGCCAACTGTTCCACCGCGAACTGATCTAACGAGAGTGGAACGTCGTAGAGGGCTACCATTTGCTGGAATCGAGCTCGTAGATGGTGTACGCTTAAGCACATTGGCGAATTGGGGGTCCATACCGTCCACACTAGTGCGATTGGATGGAGGTTCGGGAGGAGACGGTGATCGTGGTCCTTCTTCGAATTCATTGTCCACATCGAATTCCTCTTCTCGGAATTCTGGATGATCATCGAATAGATCCTCAGTAGAGCCTTGGAAGTGACCAGGTATAGAGGGGACGGGAGGCGCAGGGGAGCCGGGCTCTGGGAGATCGCCGTAAGCCGACGCAGGGCTGTTCGCAGCGTATCGTAAACGCTCCGCAAGGGTTGTCCCTCTGCCCCGACCACGAATACCGCGACCACGTGCGGTTCCCCGACGATAGGGAGTGACGCGCCGGGTGGAGATATTGGCCCTGCCTTCAACAGTTTCCTCATCCTCGTAGTCTTCTTCGTCATCGTCGATGATGGCCATCCCTGGCGAATTTTCCATTAACTGACGCTTGAAGTCCATCTTGAGCTCTTTCTCCCTCTTCACTCGGTGCGTGAGACTGCTGATTTGCCTCTGAGCATGAGCGAGCTTCTGCTGTAGTTCTTCAACTTCGCGACTGGGACGAGGGCTGGGACGGAGGAAGGAGCGCGAAGGAGATGGATCAGGAGTATCCATCAATTCGTCGGTCATACCGAATTCGTCTACACCACCTTGATATATAGCAGAGTTGTCCATTCTTCTACGATTTGTGGATGCACCTCCGGTACTGAAAACATCGTCCTCGTCCAGTCCGCCAGGCGTTAAGAAGTCCGATCCCGCGGCGCCATTGGGAGTCAATGGTGAGCCAAACCTTGGCAGGCGACGCCCCGAACGCGCTGCCTCTGTCTTCATTTGGTCGACTGTCTGCTGTAGATCCGACTTGTCGCGTGCTAAGCTAGCTGCATGTTTACGAGCGTGAGCAATGTCGGTCTCGTGCTTGGCCTTCATCTCCTCAATAGTGTTGTTCAAGCGTTCGGCTTCATTCTTGTGCTGGTCACCAGCGTCTCGCGCCGTTGCAAGAAGCTTCGTCAGACGTTTGTGCTCGCCTTCTAGACGTTGAGCAGTGGCCTGGGAATCGGACAGCTGTACCCGCAGTTCCTGGAGCGTGACTTCAAGATTCCAGTTCTCTTCCTTGTATTTGTCTGGGAGGTCTTAGCTCACGTAGACGTATTCGCTTGTTAAGTCACGTACCTGCGCTCTGTTCCTGCTGCCTGAGAGCCGTCCTGAAGCTCTCCAAGGTCTTGTCTAGGTCATCCTTCTCCTCTTTCATGTCCTGAATGGCCTTATCGCGCTCCCCGAGGAGACTTTGCAGCCGTCGAACCTCAGTCAGGAGTCCACTGCCAATCTCGAGCGCGAATTCAACATTGTCGGCTCTATGCGCTGCATTTTTGGCGCGCCTAGACTGAGCCGCAGAGGAGCCTGCCTTTGGCCGTTCGTGTTCTTCACGTGGTGGATCCAATGAAGGATCTTTGCCATTCACGAAGTGCTGTGTAGCATGTTAGATGATATGGAGACATGTGTTTTGCATGAAACATACGTTTCCAAACTGAGCATTCTGTGCGTCCCAAACTCTGATGGTCTCCGCCAGTTGTTCGTACCTAATTCGTGAATCTGGATCAACTTCATCGTCCTCCTCCTTCTGACCCTCCACTTCCTGCAACTGCCTGATGCGCTCGTGCAATTCCTTCTGCTGGTCAAGAATTTGCTGGCCAAAAAGAGCAGCTTGGTTCAGTTGCTCTTTCTTGGCCTCTAAAAGAGTCTGGAGCTGAAAGTTCAAGTCGCCAGCTGAGGTGAAAGGATTGGAAGGGCCCGAAAAGTCAGCGAAATGGTGGCCATCCGAGCTGGAGGCCATTGCTGGCCTCGTAGGTCGCCTGCACGCGTAGGAGGGCGGTGGAATTGATTTTGGAGAGAGCTCAGGTACGCCGCGTTGCTCAAGTTCAACCGAACAGGCTCATATTTCCACGGTCAATCTAGAAATACTCCCACGGTCAGTACCTTTAGTCGGTACACTAACTCACTAACTTACTTCCATTTGTCTTCAACGCTTCCATTCAAACCATGGGTAACGAACCGAAATAACGACAGCTTCTACACACCCTTGTGCGACAAAAGGATCCGTTATCGATGGGTATATAACATCTTCACTTTCTCAACTTTCCCCCTTGTCTAACGTCCTCGATGAGCTCCAACGCCACTAATGATGATCTCTGTCGCCCGTTCGGTCCTACCGTCTCGCCAATCTGGCGACCTACACTTCGTCAATACCCACGAATGCTCACCCCGCAATATATCCGCTCCCCCCCCCCCGATTGATTCGCCTCCAGCTCAACGTCTAAGTCGACACCGTCCTGCGAACTGGGGATTTAAACGATCCTGTCTTTTGGATCCGTTTCGAATCTCAAGTTTAGGCCCCAATGGCCCGAGGACTTGCTGTGGACACAAGGGGTGATAGTAGCATCCAGTGGGTGTCAGGCCCTCTGGTCAGTCTCGAGCTATATGGAATTGCCGAAGAAGAAGTTACTCATCCAACTATACCCCCTCTGCGAAGTCCCAACCGATGGGAATATCCCCTCAATATCCTTCGACTTCCCTCCTTCTCTGTCAGAGTGCTACGAAGTCCGTCCACGATAGATGACACTGCCATCGAAGTCGAGTCGAATTGACCTTACGTACGAACTACTCATATGAACCGACCAAATGTCTTGCTCACACGGGCTATCTCAGGGCCTCTACAGGAGCTGAATGTACGAGCGATCTTCCCGTATGAACCAGAACCACCATTGATGACTGAACTCAATCACACGCAGCCACTTAGATACCTGAACTCGAAGTTTGTGATATTGAGCAGCCAGAACGGTGTCCGCTACGTGTTCGGGTCGCTCTCGATCGCGGGGTTAGCGCTCTCCAGGAGCTAGTAGACTCGATCCCGTCGGTGTTGGTACGTAGTTTCTGTGGATGTCTAGTGTTCTTATAACTTGCCATAATTAAGTATATCATCCAACGTCCAAACCTTACAGGAACTCTGGAATCGAGCCTACTATTGGCGTTTTGGTCTACTCTGAAGCTGCGTATTGTTGAGCAAACTCACTCCTCCGTATTTAGCACCAATTCTGCGTGGTCGTAAAGCTGTACCTCTACGCGAAAACAGAGTTTCACTCAGCGAGAGCAAATCTTACGTGCTTCCTCCGAGCTATGGAATCCCGGTCTACCAGGCCACCGATAGGCCATCCCGTCACAGCACCATCCTCTACGCAAACATCGAACCTCTTCAAGCCAGCGAATTTCTGCTTGTCGAATCGATAAGATTCAGATGAACACTATCACCTTGACGTTGCTGAGTCTCATACTTCCACTACACAGACCACTGGCAGCGTTGAAATTCTTCGAGAACCTCGTATTCTCTCTCCACGAGCTCAGTATCGGCGCCCCTAAGCTGGATAATAGTCTGGTCAATTTCTTGAAGACACTACTAGACCTTGCGGGTCGACTGTTCTTCCGGACCATGGAGTCTATCGAGCCTCCCTTCCCTAGTTCATCCTTTCCCCGAAGCTTCGGGTGTTGACAGTCATCCATCCTCTTCTACGACGCTTGTTTAAATTACTTGCTTCCGTGACACATTTGCCACACGGTGCTCGACCGCCGGTATTTTCATCATGACTACCCTCCGACAACGACTTTCTCGAGAATGTACAAGTGTTTTCTCCCAGTTCATCCCCAACATGTATACTTTCATGCGCTCGATGACATTATTCCCGAATCTTGAATGGATAGAGCTTCGCGGCGCCGCAAATACCCGTATAGTCCTCGATCAACTATCCTCACTTATAGTAGCCATGCTGCGCCTTCGTAAACTTCGAGGCATTCGATTTGCATACGAGGCACCGCCTGGCTTCCAGACCTATCTGAAGGGCTCCCTCGGTGTTCTGGCTTCTCTCTAGCCTGTAGGAGTCTGCAGGGAAGTTGGGTGCTTCCAGCACTGGTGTCGTGGTTCGAACGCGCCTGTAGAAAAACGGTGGAAGAGCCCTGGAGGCGCTGAGTGTGGCTCTCCGATTGGATGAAAGATGTCGTTGAGATGGAAAGCGAAGAGCCGCTGCCAGAGCCGTTGTTCTAATCGGTGAGCATCTCTCAGATCGAGTGTTACGACCGATGCTAGATGCAAGTCGTACTCCAAGACTATTCTACTTATATACAGATTTCCACCGCCATGTTCATTTTTGTTGCCGTAACAAGGCGACCAAAATTCGTAGCCAGGCACATACGCTCTGTCAGTCTTCCACACCGTGCACTGATTCATATATTCATTAGTCTCAGCGTAAAATTATAGATCAGCGCACGGCGTGTTCTCAACTCTCCAGCAATCATTGATCGGCGATACCAGAAATCTGTGTGTTTCTTGTGGTGGCGGAGGAGAGCTATCACACTCTCATATGATGTTGCGAAGGGTAAACATGGGCAATGTCACTACTACCAGCTCCCTCGGATAAGGAAGGTGTGTAATCGTGACTCTGACAAACACTCAACACGAAATTGACAAGACTCAGGGATTCCGAATTCGTGCATCTACTCTGCAACGACGTTGAAGGCCCCTTCAGAGGGTACGTTGATGTAACGCTTCCCGAAATGAATCATCAGTGGTATGTGCGCCTTGTGTACACTTGATTGTTAATGCTATAGTGCTCTGATTGCTGTGCCCGCTCTAGCGTGTTTTCGTGGTTCGTTGGAAAGGTTGCTGTAGTAAATCCTGTCGATCGCGTTCCATAGCGATTGATGCCGCCCCGCCTTCAAATATACAAGTGTTCGCATGTCCCTAGGCCTACTGTAGCCACAAGTGTTCACCGAATTGTCGTCCCCAATGCTCAATTAGAAAGAGTGTCTGTTATGTATTGGCCGAGCCACATAGAATACAACCTTCAAGATGTAACTAAACTATTGTACAAAGGCCAAGATATTGATGATATTGACGGATAGAACTTCAGTGAATTTCATTCCACATCTTGTACCAGTTGCCTAGGCGCAAACCGAACGAGGACCCGCGGTAGCTTTTGAAACTGAAATTATCGTCAGGCCAGTCAAGGCGCAGAAGGTGGCGCGACCTATGCCAGATTCGGATCAGAGGAGCGACGCCGCAGGATGATACTAAGATGAACTCACCATTCCGCATTGCCATACTCGATAAGAGTCTCGGTGTGCCCCGACTGCTCCCAGCACAGCAGCGACTCAAAGAGCTCGCTGAGGAACAAATTATGGGTGACCAAGACGATATGGGGGATGCCCTCGACCAGCGAGCCGTCCCATGACTCCGGAGTCGGAGGTGTAGAAAGATGGACGCCATGATCGAAAATGATTTGGAGAAGCGCGAGCTGCGCACGCCGAGCGAGATCGTTTTGGGATTCTCCTCCCGGCGTTCGATATTCACGCCTGTCGTCGACGCGACGGGAGCCAGGTCGTGCCCCGTTGGTCTTCAGATTGCTGGCTGCTTCAATCTGGCCAGTGACAAGTAGGTGGGTGTACTCCGGGCCGAGATCTTGCTCAATTAGAAGTTCTCGCTCCTCTGTCTCTACATCTGCTCTTCCGTCCAGGAGTTTCTCTGTGGTCTGGCGTGTGCGTGCGGTGGGTGACAAGTACAGCTTGTCGATCCTTGTGCTTGACCACTCAGCACCAAGATCGGTGGCCTCCTTCCGCCCAAAATTCGTGAGTTGGGGATCTATGATCGAAACACTCCCGATGTTCGCTTGGCTCTGGAGTCTCCGTTATACCACCAACTGGTCAGGAAATGGGGTTAAACCGCTCACCTGTGCATGCCGAACGAACGAAACCGTGAGCCAGAGAGGCTCTGGGCGTGTCGTGCTGGCCGATGGATTGCCGCCCAAGCGATAGTGCTCGAATTTGCGGGCCAAGTCCTTGGCGGCCTCTGACCCAGCAGTTGATAGGGCCACAGGGAAATGGACTAGTAGAATAACATCAAGTCCTTGGGCCCAGACAGAAGGAGGCTTCAACATACAAAATAACGGTGTGCTCCACTCGGAGGACAGTAGAGCTAATGAACTTGATTAGAAACTACTTTTGAAACACTGGGACAAAACCCGATTCTTACGATGGACACGCATCGACGACCATTTGCCACTTCTGATGGCTTCGAAGAATAATTCATTGAACCCTTGGTCTTTGGTGCCAACGAAATCTGTGATGTGCAAGACCTGCGGAATAGCATCCCACGAACTGAAAGCCTGGCCTAGGAAGGCGAGGACAATCTTCTTGAATCCTCCCGGATCTCCGGCAACGGTGCTCCGCGACCCCCTCTTCAAGCCTGAGAGGGCGAGGACGATCTCTGGAAGTCCTATCGGATCTCCAGCAACGGTGCTTTCCGCGACCTCCTCTTTGAGCCTTTCGATGGTGGCGTCGAGGTCATCGCCAATGAAGGGCTGCATTACTTGTTGAAATGTGTCGTCAAGAATGCTGTGGTCCATAGTGACTCTGGACAGAAAGGAGATGAATTTGGTTGTGGTGAGCGCGTTATGAAACTTGCTGTGATGCCGACTCAGAGTCCTGACTCATGGAACAGTCTTGAGTCCCCTGATACAACTCCGCGCGTCGGCCATTATTCCGAGGGTCCGCTTTGGGTAATAGAGATCGGGAACGGCGCAGAACACCCTTTGGACTCCGAACACCATGTCGGTGCTGCAACCCGCACACATCGCGCTATTAATCTTCCTGGAATAATTGGAGTTGCAAACATTGGGCTGCTGAGAACCCACTTTACTTGTTTCGTTTGAGCTCGACACATTAGCAAAACATTCAGGTTATGACAATGACTCAGTATATTCCATACATCCTCCCAGAACAGCCCCGCTGTGTCCCCTTCATTAGGTAGGAGTGAATTTTGATTCTTTATTCTTTACCAGTCAAGGGGGCGCACCACCCCGCCGTTAACAAGGAGTATTCGAGGGCCGAGTCCCGCCATTTGCCCAATTTGGCATTAGGTGCCAGAGAAACTCGCATTACCCAATATCCGAGTTGTATCAGGGGACTACATACTCTCATGGAATTCTGAAGGTTAATATAGATCCGCGGGACGCTCGCTTCGAAGTGCTATGTAGGGTATGGGTGTTTGCAAGTTCATCAGTAAAATCACAAACTGTACTTCCGGCTACTTCGAGCTTCTTGAAGTCATTCAAGAATGCCCCAAGGCGTCGCGGCCTTAGGAAGGGCTCTCGAGCATAGGTGAGTACTCAGTCTTACGGAAGGACGCAGCGGAAGTAAAAGTGGTGGTAATAAGCATGCGGTAAGATAGGGACAGAATCGCAGTTGGATGCGGTAGAGAGTACATTGGACGAAGTTGCTGGTTGCGCAGCACAAGCATGGTGTATTCTGATTGTACATTGAGGTTTGACATATATGTTCGCTTTCAAGTGCGCCTGAAGACTATTGTGTAACCGTGGGACAAACCTGGAGAAGTATTCCAGTGAAGGCATGACCCAGTAGGGCAGGCTCCTAGAACCAGAGCGACTCGTATCGCTCGAATGAGCTCATTCGGTTTTTAATACGACTACACGTGGGAAAAGACAAACAAGGACAAAGAGTAGCTAAGAGCTCAAACTCGCGATAGAGCGGCTGGCAAGACTGTCATAGACGCCCGCCTTGGCCTCGCCTTGGCACACTTATCGCTCTCTCTTAGCTACTCTTATCAGTAGTGTTATTGCTTGTTGATTCCACTTAGAATATCTGTTTTCGGACATAAGCTGAAGTCTCGTGATTTAGTTAAGAGGTTATCTAGGGGCCGACTACAGGAGGTATTGGACTTCCAGTTGCTACAGCTGTTGAGATTTCGACTCCGAAATACTATTACTATGTGTATATGGTATATGGTGCTGTGCTCTGATGGTTTAAGGCTAGAATATAAAAGAACGAGCATGTCAGTACATTCACAGCATGGCTAACAGTGACAATACCTCAGACATCAGCAACGAACCTCTTGCGCAGCTCGACGAAGAGACAGCGATCACCCAGGTTGTTATCACCTATCTCCAGACGTTGTCACTGAACGACGATGGATGCCGCGTCCGCGAAGCTGTAGAGGCACTTCTGCATGCATTATCCAATCACTGTGTTTCTGAAAGTGCGACGCGACGGTGGGCTTGCAAGACAGCATCCCGCATATACGCCAGCAAGATCTTGGCATTATCGAAGAAGGAGTCGGGCCTGCACTTTGGCGTGTCATCGGCTAGAGCAGATCAGCTGAATGATTTCGACCTCAACGATCTTGCCACACAGTTTCAGGCCACCGCGCCGGACTTGTGGAGATGCTACAAACGTCTACTAGCAGCCGATCCTGCTACGACTCACTTGCGCGAAAGGAGACAGCAGCGCCGGATGGACACAAAAGCAGCAGCTCGCGAAGCCGTTAGATTGCGATACAATCTTCAGGAAAATGAGGTTGACGAAGATTTGGATAGTGACGATGAAGACGATCCGCTGCTTGACGATCGTGCAAGTAAAGCGAGAGAGTCAACGATGAACATTGTATGTGTTGTTACTGTTCAATAACCAGGTGCTGTTGAGCTAAATAGGTGGTTAGCGCAAGGTGGTTCTAACGAGTGTTATGCTTCAGAGCACGAACCAGTTCTGCAATGCGCTTCAAAGTGTTATGGGGGTGTTTCTGCACTCATGCAATGCACCGGAAGATATCATCGAGGTTCTCGCGCGAATGGGTGTATCGATATCGACGACATCAATCAATGATGCGATCTCAAGCTTGTCCAAGGAGTCCAGTAATGGATTGAAGGCCCTAGGGAGAACGTTAACGGCCTCGTTTGCATACGATAATGTCGATATAGAACTGAAGCACACCGTTCCGACTCTGGAGAAGCCCCATGAGACGCTGGTCCATCTCACGTCCGGCACATTAATTCCGCTGGAGCATGGGGTTGTTAGAGAAGATTTGAGCTGCTCAAAGGAGCTATGGGAGCGGTCAGCGATGAATCCGGCACGAACAGTAGCAGTCGAACCTACTGTCAGCGAAGACGAGCTTCTGAAACTTCACCAGGAAGCCAATTTTGATTCTTCAGGGCTTCTTCGGCAAGGGCGATTCAATGCCTGGGTGTTTAGGCGTGACTTGGTGAATCATGGACCAGTGTTCTTTCGTCGCTACATGAAGGACTTGGGCACACCAGAGGTTGTAGATCAGATTCCCGTCACGAAATCAGTTCAAGTCCCTGTGCGAATGATGGACATTAGTCCATCGACACCACAGGGAAACGGCGATGCTCTTGCAGACCTATTCCATCAAGCAAATATTGGCGATCCCACCGAGAAAGGCTGCGACGAAGTAGCAGATATTAAGAACTATGTCATGCTTGTCCATGGAGACTTACTCACTGGCGAACGGATCCAAAGCTTCCAGGCGTCGCGTCGTATCGAGAAGACCCCATGGCGGCGGAACCAGTTCCTAATCTACGTCATGGGGCTGTTCCACTTGAAGATGGCATGTGCCGATGCAATATGGCGAATCTGCATTTTCCCCAAGTCCGCACGAAACGATCCATCGAGTTTGATTAAATTCGTCGGCATTCTGCGTAAGAAGGAGACGGCCAAGATTGAAACCAAACCGGGATTTCGACGGATGCACGAAGTGATTGAACACGTCGGTATCGTGTCGCGCTTGAACTCTTGGAAAGCTGTGGTCTCAAAGCACTATCAATCGGTACTTACGCTCGAAGATTTTGCAAAGAAGGAACCTACCTGGGAAGACATCGAGGTCATGTCAATTGAGCTCGCGAAGCAATATGTTGCCGGCCCGTCATTCCATGAAATCCGGGAGGAGAGCTTGCTGGAAAGAGATAGAGTCAACGAAAACATGATCCTGCTGCAAGAGTACTTCTTGCTATATGAAGAACTCACCCTTTCAATGAACGAAGGTGACATTGGTCGCCTGGAGAGTGTATTTATGCCGTGGGTATACATCTTTCGAGGCTGCGGCAAGCATAAGTATGCCATGCAGTTGCTCAAGTACCTACGTGACGTTCATTTCAAATATCTGCCGTTCCCCGGCTTGCGGTGAGTTGCATCTGGTTCAGTTTCATCAGTTACTGATGTCAATAAAGGAATGCGATACGGAAGAACATACTTTGCAACCCCACAGGAACCCCTGGACATTTCCGCGGCATTGACTGGTGGGTCGAACACAACAATCTATACTTGAAACGGATCTACGGTGGGAAATATTCGAACCACACGAAGGCGCGAATCATCAAGGAGTCGCCGCTCATCGAAACATTCAAGAATGTTCGAATTCAAGTGGCGAAGATGTTCCACTTGGATCACCGTACCATTAAGCACTCACCTGCGAAGTTGCAGACCACGTTCAGAGCACTGGGCGCGTACTTGGACGAGATTAAAGCCAACGAGTTTGTTCCTGGTAGGGGGGTTAATCATAGCATCGAAGATAAAAAGAGCGAAGGTATTTTTCTGGGAATGACAAAGGATTTCAAAGGGATGCGGGGCGAAGATATGGAGATGGAAGGAGAAGAAGGAGAAGAGAACGAAGCATTGGGGGATGAAGAATTAGAAGTCGAGGGTGAAGACGGCGACTTGGATGTATAGTTCTATGCGTAGATAGCGAGTTCATCGAGACGATGGACCAGTGTGGGGAAAGTGCGGCGTATGTGGATTAGGGGTGTTCATGTACGCAAAATAAGATGGATAATAGTCTGGCAAGAACAAGCAAGTTAGACGGTGAAATAATACTTCTTACAACACGTACTCGCAGTTGGATAATGGGCTTGTGCTGTGATGGGCAGCGGGGGTCGGTTTTCATTGTTTGATGTCATGGTTGAATGGTTCGTCGAGGTTGAATGGTTCGTTGAGATTGCATCAAGCTTTGCCTTGCGGGCGGGGCAGTCCCGATTGGTTTCTGTACGAAGCGTTCAAGGAAACAAGCACACTACAACAAAACGAACGTACTGATGTGGCCCACTTGATGGCACTCGCTACACTGCCGTTGCTTTGGCAGTGCACGAGTTCGCTTGGCTGAGGCTTGCGCGAGGTCTGGATTAGTATGTTGTGGGTTGTTGAGCACGGGTGTCGTAGATATTGTTGACGTGGCAGAGGGCGCCGGCTCAGCAGTGAGGGAATGTTGTGAATGCTGTTGAATGATGGACAGGATTTCGACACCGTAATCTTTGATGCGCTCGAAAGTCCATCGTGTCTCCTTTGCGAGGTCTTCAATGGTTCGAATTCTGTCTATGTGAGCGCAATCGACGATGCGTTGAATGATCTTGTCGTGCATGAATACTTGTATGCTGTGCGTATGAACCATGGTAGAACCGAATTTGACATGTGCTGCTACCTTGCACCAGGACTTGAGTGCGGTCTTGAGATTTTGGTCCGCTAGTGTTGGTTCGTACGGCTTTATTGATGAACAAGATGCTGCCCGAGTTTGCGGAGGCACAGTGGCACCTTCAAAGAGTTCCAAGAGTGCGGGAACACATTCATCGCAGCAAGGTGATGTCTCACTGTTGCACACCTTCGGTCGGCACCTTGAGCAGCCGTCTGGTTGCGTATTGTCGCAGAGTAAGTGGTCCTCGTTTGCTAAAGTCATTGTAAGCGTGGTGAGAGACTTGGTGGGAAATAATGCGGTGATAACACTTACCACAACTGTCGTTCCCAAAGTAGATAGTAGGCGGCTGACGACGACAATTAAATCCACGTGTACGTGCATTCACCATGTTGTCTAGGGCAGGTTCGATTGAGTGATCCTTCTGATCGCTTGCAATTGAACGGTACTGGTTGCGACTCGAATGATAACTCTGCCGCTGTAACTCTACCGCAACACCTCGTTCCTGATCCCTCGCCGCAGCTTCAAAGTTGTTGATGTCCAGATTCCTGGAATTCAAGGTGGATGATCCCACTTGATTGTTGTTTGCTCCCGCACTTGGGGCTAACGCAGGTCGCTTAGCGGGTCGCTCATCGGTTACATTGCTGGGTGCCTTTCTCTTCTTCGTCGCTGCTTTAACGAGTCGCTGTGTTGCTTTCTCATCCTTCTTTTGTCGGTTAACATCAAGATACTTCTTCTCAACGAAGACAACAGCTTTCGCTGTGCTTCCATCCCCACGAGCGGCACGGCCAATCCTCTGCCAAATCGAGCAGAGACTTGCGGTGGTCTTCCACTGGATGACAACCTTTATGTTTGGTAAGTCAAGCCCCTTCAGATAATATTAGCTCTGACAGGAATTTATTAACGGTTGATCCTACCATTCCAAATGCATCTGTCACGCACAGGGCCCATATTTCCCCCTTTCTGAATGCTTCGTACTCATTGGCACAGTATGTAGACGTCATCGTAGCATGAAACCAACGGATCTTGCACCGACACTCCTTGGGCAATCGTGACTGCAAGAAGTGGGTGGCGTCCTCGGTCTCGCGTGTGCTGTCGAAGAAAACGACGAATTTCTCAGGTGCGGCATCGCCAGTCTTCCACCCGTCCTTGATAAGGAAAGCTAGATCTTGATAGCTCGTTACCGTGTACTTCATCTGCCGTACGATGAGCGCAATATTGGGACGATCATTCGAGCGGATGAAATGCTTCGTTCGCCCAGGGCGTAGTCGTAGTATCGCCGACACTTCTGTTAGGACAGGTGGTGGTAGCGTGGCCGATACAACGAAGAAAGGGATTGTATCGGGCAAAATGAACCGGAGAGTTCCCAGATGTAGGTAATCTCTCCGGAATGAACCCCACTGACTGACACAGTGGGCCTCGTCGAAGACGAAATTGAGGATTGTCGCGGTAAACTTTCTATTCTTCCATAATAAAGCGCAGGCGGGACTCATTAATATCTCAGGATTTATTATAACGGCTCTATATTCTCCGGATTCAATGGCCTATCAACGCAATCAACGTTAGAATTCACTACAAAGTCTAACAATCCCCACGTACCTTGAAAGTCTCTGGGCTGGCATTCTCCGCTGTCACCGAGATAGCGGGTAGGCCAACTTTATTCAGATCTTCGCAATTCTGCTGACCTAGGAGATTCAGCGGTGTTACGACGAAGACAACCTTCTTCTGCCCCTCTTCCAACGCCATCGCGAGTGGTGCGAAGAACGATAGTGTCTTGCCGGAACCCGTAGCCGCTACGCCGACAACATCATAACCTTCATACACCGCCTTAGCCATTTCCATTTGAAACCAACACGCCCGTTTGTGGAAGTATTTATTAATGACATCGCGGATCCGTTGATGGGTCCACTTCATTTTTGAGACGAATTATTAAGGCATTTGCTGAGGAAATATCGTAGTTGTTTAAAAACAGATATATTGAGTGTCCGAAAACAGATATTCTAAGTGGAATCAACAAGCAATAACACTACTGATAAGAGTAGCTAAGAGAGAGCGATAAGTGTGCCAAGGCGAGGCCAAGGCGGGCGTCTATGACAGTCTTGCCAGCCGCTCTATCGCGAGTTTGAGCTCTTAGCTACTCTTTGTCCTTGTTTGTCTTTTCCCACGTGTAGTCGTATTAAAAACCGAATGAGCTCATTCGAGCGATACGAGTCGCTCTGGTTCTAGGAGCCTGCCAGTAGGGCTTGAATGGTGTGCGAATAGGTGCGTCAATTCCCGTTGAACATCCGATGAAACTTGTCAGGGCGGGTGGATGGCGGTCGCGTCAGGGACAAAGATGAGGGGGAGTTTTTTGGAGACTCCTTCCATTCTTTTACCCAACGATCGAATGCATCAAGGTACTTCACCTGTTTACGAGCCGCGGCAAGCACGAGCATCAAAAAAGTCTCCAAGCCCCTCCGAAGACCATGTTATTTTACTGATGCGATGCATCAGGTCAAGGATTGCGGCTTCATACACAGCAATCTCTTTGTCGATGATATGCTGGGCCTCAGTAGCGTCCTTCGTATGTGCAAGCCTAGATATTGTATCAATGATACTGCCCAAAGCGCAAAATGTACACTCAACGTAAGGGATAGATGTGTAAAGTGTCTTGTAAGATGTGCGTGACTTGCGCAGACAGCCGACTTTCCTCTCTTCTCGACTGACTCAGTGTTTGAGCAATCTTCGACAATCCGGTTAGATGACATCCCTTTGTCATCATGATCCAAGCAATATCACTTCTCCCGTGGGGTGGAAGAAGGACAATTCACGAGTAGGGGTTCATTGAATTCAAGATTGTGTAATATGCTATGAGGGCATGCAGACCAAAAATGATGAAAAGAGAATAACTAACCGCGACCAAACGGCCGCTTTTCCTTCACCCACTACGCGACCCCGAGACGTGGCGCGTCCCTGCACCTCGTCGAAACACTCTAGCGTGCTAGTGTGAGTGCAGGCTCAGTCTACTCCTGTATCTTGGCGAGGATCTCCGAGTCCTTGAAGAGGTGGTATTCCTACATCACACCAGTTAGTCAGCAACGCGTAGTTATTATTAAGGAAGTGAAACTGACCTCGTCGCCAACCTTGATTGGGCTACCTCCCCAGCCGGGCAGCAAGACACGGTCGCCAGCCTTGACGGACGTCGGCACAAGCTTGCCATCCCTATCCAGGGCACCGGGGCCAACAGCAATGACAGTTGCCTCAGGAAGGGGGCTGTTCGTAGCAGACGTCGGTAAGAAGATACCAGTCGCGGTTTTCTATAGTAAGGGAGTCAGAGGGGATTCATCCTTGTCTCCGCAAACGCGTACCGTCTCTGCCTTGAACCGCTGAACAAGGACGCGGTCGAAAAGAGGGACCAAAGACTTGATGGATTTGAACGTCGCTTGGGCAGCCTGCGCGGTTTACTCAGTGAGAAGACCGTCGACTAACAAGGCATCGAACGCACCATTACGATAAATCAACAGAAAACAAACGAACAAGTGTGAGGAGGAAGGAGACAAACGAGAACAGGTGAGAGGAATCTTCCCGAACATTTTCGGTGAAAAGTAGTAAAGGATGTCACGTGCGTTCACACGCGTCGGAGCGATGTTGCTGGTTGTTTGTGTCGGAGGACTCAGCCCTTCTTCCGTCCGCGCACCGAGTGTCTGATGGCCGAAGACGAAGAGATCGGGGATTTGGGACTGGACTCTGTGTTTACTGTCAGTCTTCCAGTTCAAATCCACAAGGGAACTTGTGTGAAGATTCTACGAAGGAACCACCCAGGCCTCCTACTCCCGAACCCACCATCGCCGTCTATGATCGCGAGCAAGGCGGTCAGATAAAGATACGGCTCGTAGGATCGCATCCATTATGGGGACATTACTTGTGCGTTCATTCAAATACTACAGTAGATCGTACCAATTCTATATCTTGTTCTACATAGGTGGAACGCTTCACGGGCTTTTGCTTCCTATCTTGAGGCGAATCCTTCGTTGACGCAGAACAAATGCGTCCTTGAGCTCGGAGCAGGCGGCGGCCTTCCTAGTATCATCGCGATCCACAACGAAGCCAGAAAGGCGCGCCTGCGGTGTCTATCTCTGGCATTTGGATACCACTAACCACTGATTCAGGTCGTGGTGACGGACTATCCAGATGCAGAACTCGTTCAGAATATGAAGTACAATATAAAAAATAATACTACAGCCACCGATCAAGAGAGAGTCTCTGTGCAGGTGGGATAGGCTTTCTCTGCCACATACACTCATCTCTAGCTGATTCTCGTATTAGGGCTATATCTGGGGCCACCCCGTCAAACCCCTCCTTTCCTCGCTAACCCCCGAGCCGTCATCTAATGACAAGTTCGACTTGATAGTTTTATCAGATCTCATATTTAACCACTCGCAAGTACGTCAGATCTTGACCCGCTGAAGCAAACTGACATCCTGCCTGGGTGCAGCATGACGCGATGCTGAAGACATGTGAGGATGCGCTGAGACTCTCGTCGGATGCCCAAGAGAGTTCTACCCCAATGGTCTTGGTGTTCTACAGTCATCATAGACCTAAACTAGCTCACCGCGATATGGAGTTCTTCGAAAAAGCCAGAGTGCGCGGTTGGGTATGCACGAAAATACTCACGAAGACATATCCCGTACGTTAATTACCTCAACGGTCCCTCCAATCACCCAAACTCATAACTATGTGTTTAGCCTATGTTCCCTGATGACCCAGGTGAGGTGGATGTCCGCTCTACAGTCCACGGGTGGAGTTTGGTTCGAGCGAATTAGGAATTACATCAGCCCTTCCAACACTCTAGCAGGGATGAAGCAATCGTGAAATCTTTTGTACCCATCCGGTGCTCCGGATGGGTATTATAATGGAGTGATACAGTACAGTACAACGCTTCCTAAGTTCTACAAGTATCGAGGGGGTAATACAAACGGCGTGGTATAAATGTAAGGAAATAAAGATACATTGGTATTTTGCAGCAGAAGGATCAAGCAACGAAAGGTTGCATAACGTTGTCCAAAAACATCAAACAGATGTTGGCAGCGTAGGTTGGGGCTTCGAGCTTCTCTCTCCGTTTCTGAGGAAGCGATAAGGATGTATACGTGCGCCCTTGGCGATTCGTCGCTGAGGGTGACGTAGGTGATTGAGTGCGGGGCCGACAAGCAAGAGTGCTTGGCCGGGCTTATTCGAGGGTAGTGTAGGTGCGTCGGGCGGTGGTACTAAGACGACCGCTTCAGCGACGTCTAATGTGCAAGGCACAAGTCTGAATTTTCCCGGATGGACGGTGGGTCGGACACGGCGTGAAGGCGTGGAGGGTGATGCGACGACAAGGGAAGGGTGTGAAGGGATTGTGGGCAGTTTGATCTGCGACGTAGAGGGGTCGGAGGGGTCGGAGGGGGTCGGTGATGGCGTGCGTGAGGACGTGGACGAGAACGTAGAGGCCCGTCGTGAGTGTGTCATATTATTCGTAGATGACTAGAGAATCCAAATTAACTTGAAGATCGGGGAAGACTCATAATTGTGACTTACGGATGGGTCGTATAGATTGTAATTATAACGCGGGGTCGAGCCTCTGCGCGGCACAGAGGGGTTTAGCGTATTGAGTGGAGGAAGTGTCGGTCGCTCTCCCGAGAATAGCGAAGACCTGGGCATTGACATGGCGTATATGATGTCCGTGTGGGTGATGAAGTGAAGTCGAGTATGGGCAAGTAAAGTAGAAGGTGATACAAGTCGATTTAAAAATGAGATAGCCTTCTCCACCTGGGATACTGCGCTAGGGCCTGCCTGATCTTTTTCTGAAACGGAGGAAGGGTATAGAAGAAAGGAAAGAAACCAAACTGGGGTGATTGGGAATGAATAACAGAGGAGACGGGCGGCCTTGCTTTATACATGTGTCCCAAGCACTGTGTCTCCTTTGTTCATATGACTTCCTCTATGGCAGCAAAATGTCCCTATCCTGCAGAGGACGTGATGGTTCTCGTGCGCACCTCGTCCATTGTTGAGGACAAAGGAGGGACATTGGGATATTTACACCTGTTTGGTTGCCATTTTCTCGGAAATTTCCCTCCACATTGTCACCGCACAATGACTTACCTCCCATGGAGTCGAGAGGCTATCAGTCGAACTTTAGAGCCTGGATATAACAAAAAAGGCTCAGGATAATGGTAACCATGTCTCGCAGTAGCTGGTTTTTGCAGCCATTATAACGAGTTTGTTTGCCTCTGCTTGTTCCTCTTCGCTGAGATTTCAGACTCCGACCATCGTTAGTACGTTCAGCTCGAGTTCAGTACACTGCAAGACATTTGGCACGCTTTGACAATGGCGGATGCTGTACCTCCAAAAATCAGGATCGTGAGCAACATCCCTGTAGTTTGCAGTCACGACTCGAAACCCAACGCACCTGCCTCGTTTGTTTCTGTTTGTAGATGAAAGGAGCGGAGCCAGATTTGTCGGCGGCGACATACCAGATTTACGACGAGTCTCATACCATCGGGAATGCTCTCAGATGGATGTTGATGAAGAAGTGAATGCCTTCCCTTCCGCTGTAAAGCTATTCTGTGCTGACTGTCGCTCGATATATAGCCCGAAAGTCGAATTTTGCGGATATAGGTGAGTTGCGGCTGCGGATGCTACCTGGGGGCACGGCACAGGCGTACTCGCGATGACAGTACTATGGCTCGCACTTGCCATCATTGGCTATACTGCAGTAGGACTCGCACGCACATACTAGCACGCCCGAACCCGATATTACTTCCTCATGCAGGGACAGACCTTTGTACACGAGGTATGAAGCCAAACGCTACTGTCATCACCCTCGTCGTACCAAACGCTCAGGGCCGTCCTACCATTTTCCCCTCCACTGCCCTTTCACCCGTCCGCCGCTGACCACGTTGGCACTTCCAGTGTCCCCCATCCGTCAGAAAACACTATCCAAGTACGGATACAGATGTACGGTGAGTGTCATCACCACCATGTCGTGCGTCCCGACTGCGTACTCATAATCAAAATCACAAACTCAAAGACAACCTATCTTCGTTGGAAGCCCTCATTGCCGCGCTTTCCAACCTAGACGATCTATGCCTCACTATCGGAGAGGCATACGACAAAAGCCTGCAGGAGGACAAGTATACTCGGTGGGAGGAAAAGAGCTAATGACTATACTCAAAACGCTCGGGGGCGGCTCGATATGATCTAGCGGCGTATATGTGTTGTATAAGCGTAGCAGCATGTATGGAGGGACGTATGTACACTCCACGACGAAAGTAAACATCTATCTAACCTGGAGCATGTGAGTACATTGTTGTTGGAAGGAAGAAAGCGTCTAGGAGCACAAGCAAGACAGTGATTCGAGTATTCATCACAAAACAACCCAAGGAAACATGAGTCCAACACAATCTCATCCAACGATTTCGTCAACCTTCGAACGATGGATACAAAACCCCTGAAAACATTCATTTATATAGTCGGCTTCACGCATGCGCAAGGGAAGGAGAACTCACCGGCGTCACCCACTCATTACACCCACAACGCACTCCTGCCCAATCGTAGTTCCCCAGCTTCGCATTACATTTTTTATTCGGACACATGATCTTCCCCGCCAGCTGTCCGCTCTCTAACTGTGGTTCCATCCACTTCATCTGATATAGGGGGGGTCGTTAGTTATTATTGCCATCCCCACCATGGAATCATGAGAAAGGGTATGTAGAAGAACGCCGAAGGGATGGCAAAGAAACGCACCGGTTCAACAAAGTAGCCGGCACATTTCGGGTTCATCAATATCGGAGGGCTGATCGGTGTGGCAGGTGTTTTCCCGCTGAGAGGCGTCATAGCCATACCCAAAGATCCTCTCAGACCAGCCAAGGCGGGGTTGCCATTGAGCTGAGTCGCCATATCGGAAGAACTTGAGAAGTGGGTCTGAGGCATTGGCGGTCTCGTGGGTATGTCAGGTTTCTCCGTCCCGCCATTGGTCACAGTCGGCGATTCCAATGGAGATGGTGCCCCGGATACATCTATGATGGAATCCTGGGGCTCGCTGCCTGGTGGGCCATTGGGTTCTGACAATGTCGCCAGCACTGCATCAGACATCCGTCGTCCGAGTAAACTAGCGACGCCCAAAGATAGTTCTGAAGCTTTTGAAGCAGCTTCTGGAGGTTCGCCTTCGCTATCATCTTCCGTTTCCAGTGCAGACATAGAAAGCGAATCAAGAAGGCTTCGTGAAAGACCTGCAGCGAAGGGTCGCATGGCAGGTCGACGAGCCTCACCTGCACCACCGCCACCGCTGGAAGAGCGTCGCACTTTGCTGGCGTGTGGCGTATCGGGTGAGGGTGCAGGCTTAGCGGTAGCTTCGCCGTCTTCCGCCTCTGGACTTGCCACCAGCCCAGTCTGGGTTTCATCGGACGTTGTCGTCATCGTGGACATTGAGAGCGAGTCCCCAAACGAGAGGAGTGAAGGCCTCCGTGGACGCGTATCAGTCGAAGACCCCAGCCGAGATCGGGGCTGTGACGTGGAGGGTCTACGGAGTGGGCCCGGGTCATTGGTTGATGGGCGTCGAGATACTGCTGGTGTAGACGGCCCAAGTTGACCATGATCTAGCATGTGTTCCCGTGTAGCGAGCTCCTGCCGACACATTTTGCATCGGATACGTCTGCGAGGACCGCCGGGCGTGGCGGGAGTGGAATCCGATGGTGTACGGGGGAATTTGGCGAACATGTCTGTGTCTGGCATCGTCCCGTCGCCATCTGTACGAGTTTAGCGATCTAGCCTGTCTTATCATTGACGAAGGTATGCTCACTCATCACCTCTTCTACTGTGCGTTCTAAGTAGAACATGCGGGTCGTCTTGTCCCGCCGTGAGATCTGAAACTTGGCTTTGTGGAAGATCTCGAGCTGGGCCAGGAAGCCTTCGTTCGGGCTGACAATGGAAATTTCATTTTATTAGACTTCCTCGTGAGGTAAACTATGACCATTAGTTCTTACGAGATGTTAGGGTGAGATTTAATGATCAGCTCTAGGGCACCCTGCACGTCGGTGTTTTTGGTGTACATGAGATACGCTGCGACGATGGCGACGCTTCTACCTGGCGATCCCATTGCCGTTAGTTATCATCTGCCGTGGGGGATGGTGGACTCACTCATGCCGGCCTGGCAGTGCACCAACACACCTCGCCCCTTGTCGAGTTCATTTTGAATGAAGGAGATCGAGGGGAGGAAGTGGGTTAATATGTCGGCATCCTCTGTATCGTCGAGCAGGATTTGATGGCGAATGAATGTCTTTTGGAGGGCGTCAGGCGTCAGAACTGGCGCAAATTACGAATCAGTGGCTCACTTCATGGATGGTGACCCTGCCACGCATCGCCGAAAGGATACTGAATATGCCGTGCTCCTTGAGATTGTCGACATCGAGGGCGCTGGGTAGGTCCCCTATCCACAGTCCAGGTATGATTTCGTCCATTGTACAGATTTGATTTTGACGGTTCCGTGCAGTAAAAGCTTGGGGGGCGGATATATGGGAGTCGATTCGTGTCGCACTCACTCGTTTAGGATTAAGTTATAAATGACAACGTCGTGGAACCTTGAAAGCCGAGCGCCAGAGTTTGCATGCAAGTCGGTATTATGTATTGGAGTCGATCAGTGGCTATCAGTTGGCACGGCGGGAGCAAGATATTAAGCTAAAGAGTCGGCACATGACAACCCCTAACACGCGAACTCAGAATTTCGAGCATTCAGAACATTCAAGAACATGGGTGCATATTCGATGGATCATGTACAACATATAGTACTTTACAGAAAGGATTTAATGACCGAGGGCCATGCTACGAGCGGTAAAATCAATGTCAAGGCCAAGGTCATCACGTGGGGAGTGGAACGAACCGTTTGAGTCCAGCGCTGTCGCCGTTGAAGTAGTCCTGATCGCCTGGGACGGCGCCAGAGTCGGCGTACTGCCAGAAGGTAGTGAATCTTGGGGTTGCTGTATTTAAGCGATGACTATTCGGGACGGAAATAATCGATGACTTACGCCCATCCTGCGGGGAGGGTGCCGATGGCCGACGAATACCTCGCGATCCAGAGGGGGTTCGTCGAGGCGAATGCAGCACTATTTCCGGTGCAAGTCTTCCACCAGTCGGTGGTACTGTAGATGACTAGGGGAGCATCGTATATCAGGAACTATGACGTCCAGCCCAGTACAAGGTGACTGTCTTACTGGGATAACTATCGTAGCGCGAGAAGATTGTAAGAACGGCCATAATATCATTCGGTGATAGAGCACATACCGAGTGGTGGCAGCGTGGTAAGTGTTAGAGAAATCCCTAATCCAATTCACCATGGAGGCCGCGCTCAATCCGAAGCAGGTAGCACCGTATGGATTATCTGACAGCGCAATGGGTCGACGTACACTTACATAGTAAGGGAAACTTACATTCGATATCGAGCGCCCCGGGAAGAGTTCTGCCATCGGCGGACCATCCACCTAACGTCGAGAGGTAAGTACATCTGACAAGTCAGTGGGTGCGAGGACTCAAGTACCTCCGTGAGCGAGGAAGAAGTTTGCTTGAGTAGCACCTGACGAGACGTCGGGGCGTGCAAAGTGGTAGCCACCGCGAATAATGCCAATGTTGGTAGCCCCGACGTATTGGCTGGAGAACTCCGGATTGGTGTACGCTGGATAGCTTTCGCATCAGTATGAAGAACTGTAGCACAGTCGCACAATGACAACATACTCGTTCCTTCAGTTGCTTTGATATAAGCGAACTCGATGCCGTTGGCCTTGACGGTGTTCCAGTTGATACCAGGCTGCCATCCAGAGACGTCCATGCCCTTGGGAAGGGCCCGCTTTTGGAGATCCCGCGTTTCGGCGACGGGTGACGCTTGGACGCTAACTACGGCAGCGAGTGCTAGAGCAGAAAGCCACTTCATGTTGAACCTGATAGTAAAGCTGTGAGTAGCTGCACGAATCTCAGACTTTGTAGAGACAGCCTTTATAGCAGACAAAACGAATGGTCGGGTTATTCCATACCCACCAGACTCTCGTACCGCGGCCTCACTGGCAGGCCAGAAAGATGATTCGGGTCGAGATACTGCCGAGCCATGTGCTGCCAGTCCACGTTGCTTGGGGCCAGCAGGCAAGCAGTCCATCTTCAATTAGTCTTCAATTAGGTATTTCGCCGAATGCGGAGGACGAGTTTGATCGGTTGTTGCTTGTGACGACACAACATTGACATGTAACCATGAGGAGACCACAGTGTGCGATAAGGATATGAGCGTTTATATGCAGGTGTCATTTGAAAGAAGCTTGATGTGCAACAAGAAGCGTCGATGGTCATGTTGGATTCCCATCTCAGAGATGTCATTCTCGGAGATCCGATGAATGAGGACCTTCGCAACCGCATGAAACAGAGGTTTAGCGGTAACAGCGACAGGAGTTGCAGAAGATAGCAGCGAGAAGAACATGTATTGCGTGACGATGAAATGCCGAGAATGAAGGCAATAATTGTCTGGACTCTGCGCACATACGGTGCATACGCTACCTGCAAATGAACCACCTGTCTGAGGGAATGATGAATTCTCCGCCGGTGGAGAAATTCAGAGGCTTACAGATTTGGCTTTACACAGATAAAACCTTGCTATTTGTGCAATAGTTCAGTGAAGGTTGAATCCTACGACGGGTATACGAAAATTCGGCCGATAGATAATAGCACACTCACCTCCCCAATTCTTGAATCACGGAGGTATATCGATTTGAGCTTTGAAGAGAGTAGGGAAGAGTATATTCGATTCAATGCATGGGGGTTGCAGTAGGAACGTTATCCGGGTTTTTTTGGCGCAAACATCGGCTTGCTATGAAGCAGTGCGTTGACCCGCCGAAGGCACGAATGGAAATTGTAACTGGCAAATATCAATGCATCAGTGCCATCTATAGTAGAACGGTTAGCAGTATTCAGACCTGCCCAACGAACCAAGACTAAGAGGGAGTTGGAATGCGGCCAGTCGGGGAGTGAAGATACACACCAGGACCCAACCACGGTCATTATTCCGGTTTGACCAACGAGCTTGTCGCTCACAGAGACTCAAGTGTCGCCTCTGGACATATCGAACTCTCAAACTCCTTACCTCTGGTAGTCCATAGTTTTGTGAGCCCGGTATTCCAGGTTCGGTCGTTTGGCTGGCTGGATCGGTTTCTACCTCCGAGTCCACGGATCCCCCATGGTTACTGGCGTCTGGCTGTCATTTGCTAGACGCTCTCCACACGTAGAGCAATGAATCACGACTAGCAAGGCCCACATATCTTATTCATGATGCAAGCAAAGGAGTCTGTGGGACAGCGGGAGGGTTACGAGTACGAGGACGCTTGGAATCACGGTTAGCTAGATATGGAGCTGTGGACTCGGAGGATGAGAAATTTTGTTTTGATGCGCGGGCTTGGCACGATCTGAACCTCTGAGCCTAAAACACTTAGGCCCTCGAGCTCTAGAACACTAAGAGGACTTGGAAGTTGGAATGTGTGTATTGCTTCGACAAGGTCATACCGCACTATATGTTGGAAACACGACTTGAATTTGATGTTAGTAACGCTGTCATGTCAATGAACCATAACACGTTTACCGCTTAAAATAACCCATCTAGCAAAAGTTCTTCCCTGACAATCTGATCGACATCTTCCACCCAGTCAGAAAGCCACTCGTTGCCTGCCAGACACCTCCACCGGACTGGTACAGGTTCCACTGAATGGCGGTACCAGCGCTGAAACCCCCCAAGGTCCTCGTAAAACTCGACAAACTGAAGAGATTCTACGATATTAAAGTAGACCTCCCACAGGAGCCCGTGATGAGGAGGAACGACTTGATGAGCGAATCGGATACCGCGAAGCTTGGGAGCCGGCTCCAAGGCCGAGAAAAGTCCTTGTTCGACTATACAAAGATAGGGTCTCGATTCACGAATCTCTATCCATTCGAGATTCGGCAAGGATGCCACTAGTTCCATGAGGACTCTAGAATTGAAGGAGGAATGACACGAAAGCACGCGTATGTTTTCGAGAAAGCTGGTTTGTTTTGGAGGGCGTGGATGAGTGTGTTCTGGAATATCGAGGACGGCCAAGTGAGTTACACTAGCAGGGAGGTGAAAGAAGTGTGGGAGCGCGGAGTAGTCGATGGTCAGGAATTTGAGCTTGGGCCACGGTGAGGCGGAGAACGGGGATTTGCGGTGGAGGGAGGGACAATCGAGCCACAACGACTCAAGCTGCGGTTGCGCCTCCAAGAAACAGACCAGAGTGTGATCTAGGTCTGGAGAAGAGATGGTGATATGTCTGAGACCAGATGGAATGCCCTGAGTAAATTGCAGAGATGGCCTGAATGACATGGACGGCCAGACGAGGCGAAGCGACTGCAGGTTGACGATCTTCATGAGTATCTTGTCGATGAGATGGGTTGAAGGGGGTGGTCATTTGTGAAGAAGATGAGGTTGCGAGCAAGAAGTCCCCTGTGCGGCATCTCTATTGCGTCGAGGAAGCACTGAAGATTCGCGACCGTGGGGTGAAATGCCGCATTCGCGTACAAGTATAGTTCTGCAAGCTGGCAGAATTGCCGCGATGCGCGCGAGAAATTCAGAAGGGCCTCTGTTGTGTGTGTGCACTCGAGAATTGCGCAAAGAATCTCTGGGGGGAGAGCCGGCTGCATGTGGTACGAGGAGGAAGAGGGTGACTTCCGACTTGGGCGTGACCGTGACATGGGATGTCCCTTTGTGTCACGTACCTCCTCCATCGGACCCCAGCTTGCGAACGATTATCATTGAACGGCCATCGTAGGCTGCGATGGAACTCGACAGGGCGCCTCGCTAAGCCCTCACTAGACGAAGCGACTGAAAGGATCAAACGCCCGACTCGAGGAGGGCAGAATCTCAGTTTGCGGTTGGTCCTGACCAGTTAAAACATTTTATCTCGACTTTAACTATACTCTCATAGATATGCTAGGCTGGAACGGTCTCTGCGGGGAAAGGAATCCTTTCAGAAGGAACTGGACGAGCTCGCATGGGCGTCCGAGGTACAGACCCACCCGTCAGCATCAGCCAACACAACTGGCAAAGACGGAAGTCTTATGTTCCGAGGGTTCTTTGTTCCGGAGAAACCACGCCCTCCTGAAGCAGATGGCAAGCACGTTTACTTCTTCCTCTATGGTGCACATTGTCTGACCCGGATTAGAATGCTGTATGTCGGGATGCGCGGTGTGCGTGTATGATTTATACGAAGACTCTTTGTCGGCATACAAGGAATCCCTTGCCACGCTGCGCTCATCGCTGGAAGAGCGCGGAATCCCAGAGACAGAATGGCCCTCCTCTTTACGGGGAGCAGGGACTCCGGTGCCACCAAAAAACAACGTAGCGCTGAGTGCGTTCGAGGAATTTGAGCGGGCTTTGAAGGCGAAGAAACAGACGTCAGATGGGCAGGTTGTTCCACGTTGGTTTGTTCCCTTCTCGTCAGCACTTTCAAACTGACTGATTATTGCTTTGATATACGTAGAAAAGAGCAAGAGAAATCGGTTGTCAGACCTCCTAGACTTGAAATCATTGTATGAAGGCGTATGTTGGCTGATATTCAGCAATAGATAGCTTCCCCGAATACAGCAGCATAAGCTATAGCGCTAGCATCAAGCACGTACCCACCATGCTCACTTGGTATATTGTAGTCGACCCCATGATCAACCAGCTGGTCCGGACATTGTAACCAAATGTTGAGGGTCGCGCCAGGTAATTTCAACCTCCTACACGTCTTTACCCGTTCCAAAGAATCTCTCAAAGCAAACTAACCAGGAACAAACAGTAAGTCATGTAATAACTTTGCGACGCTGCTTTTGTCCAGTTCGGAACTTGTGTAGACGAGCATCCACATTTCTCCACCTACTTCATGACATAGCTACACCCTGCACTACCATGCATCGCGAACAGTTGCTTGGTCCAAATCACAGGCAAGACCCGCGGAGTGTTTCTCGTGATTCGAACCCGAGTCCAGATACAGGAAAGGCGTATACTGCGTATAGTCGTGCATATGGATCCCGTTACCCCACACGCAGAATCCGACCACATGCACAGTCGAAGCCGTGTGGGGTACACCGCCGCTTGTTCTGCAACGTGCGCGTGACGTGCGTATCCTGACTGAACCGTCTGCAACCACCCGACGCCCTTGTTCTACATAGACGACGAAACTAGGTATTTAACCCGCCGCTTCTCATCTCTAGGGAAACACTCACCAGCCATCCTTGCCCCCACAAAGCCCGCACACATCATGGTCTCTTTCGCCAAATTCGCTGTCCTCGCCTCGTGTGTAGCCTCTGGGCTGGCCGCATCCCCCTTCTTCACCAGACAGGGCACATACGAGGAGGTCTTAGTCGCCATGAAGGCTGTTGGTGGACAGGTTGGAACTCTTCACGCCGCCATCCAAGGTTTCCCTTCTCCAGGAACGCTTCCCGCTGGATTGGTACGTGCCTCATTCGTTTGTGACTCCTGATGAGCTAGCTAACCTTAGCGGTGCTGCAGCAAATCCATATGAATGCTACGGCTTTGGTCAAGGGGCTCGATACCTGGACGACTACCACCTCCGTGCGTAATCTCCGTTCGTGGCACTACCATGCATCGAGTGACTCAACCTGTTTGTGTGACAGACTTTGGGTCAGTTCGACGCCCCGCAATGTCGCGAGCAGTTGGATATCGTCAAGACGTTCAGGCCCGAGATCGAAGGCTCCTTGACCGGCATCGTTGAGAAGAAAGCAGCCATCGCTGCCCTCCCGATCGGTGGCATTGTCAACTTGATCAAACAGGATCTGGGACTCCTGAACGCCGCCACAGAAAAGTTTGGTAATACCATCATCACAGCTTGCCCGGTAAGTAGAGATTCTGCCGCTGCTTTCTGAGCTGGTCGCTAAGTGAATTTAAGGCTGATATGCAAGACGAGCCCAAGGAGACACAGGCCAAGATCGCTGAGGCATTCAAAGTAGCTATTGGCGCGTACAATGCTTGAGCTTGAGGTCCTGGAATGAGTATTTATATTCTGTTGACTTGAGCGCATGTAGTATGACAAGAAGTGAACGTGACCTCAGAATACTTCCCTTCTCGTTGTTCTGTCTTTGGTTTCATCTCGAGAGTGTAAATTTGCGACCAGTCGCGTTACGATGGGCCATTGCAGTTAGTGCGTTTAGTTGGGTAACGTATGGACCATTCGCCATTCGCTGGCGGTACACGTTCACTGATCTCGCCAAATTTCAGGTATATAATATCCGTTCTTCAAAGAGTTGAAGTATGGCGAAAGCAATTACAACGTCATCACGGAATTCCGCATGGACATGTAAGCTGCATTCGACACGTCGGCTCAGAGTTTTGAAGGACTTGGGGTCGCTTCCGGGTTGCTAGGGCCAGCATAATGCCTTCACTCAGTACTGAATTACGACGATGTCCGTCGCTTCGTAGAAGTGGAGATTTGGTGCTTTGGGAATATATAGTGAGCTAGTGGTCTTGACTTTGTCGTAGCATGATATGCTGACGTATTATTATGACTGGTCCTTTGAGAGTCGGCGTCATTTTAGGCAGCAGGGCCGCCAAACCATGGCATCACACCAACATCACACACGATTCGGTTGAGGCCAGGGGAAAGACTTTCGGATGATCTATCAATTGTAAGCAGTCAATAACATGGCTCACACATACCAGATCCATTATGTTGGACTTCTCCTCGACTGCGAAATCTTCTCGACATCACGACAAGATCACAGTCGTCGTCATGTTCAACTAAGTATTTCAAAGCTTTCGGCAAGAGATGAAGCGTGTGCGACGTGTAGACTGACGGAATTCAGCTGTAACTAGCGAAGTACACGTACTTTGGCTTCAGGTTGGGACGAAGTTGTGATCCGTTACCAGTAACTGTACCCCTATGACTGTTCTTTTATACCCAAATGGGGACAATGCCGTTGCCAGCAATTTCCCCATATAGGTGAGGCAATTTTGCAATGTCCAGCATCTCAGGGACATATGGATAGCTATGATGTGGTGATACGCGCTTGAGCATCGCATTCCTAGGTTTTCGACTGAGCATTGCAGACTGCAATGCCCTCATGCTCAGGCGGCGCTCTGGAGAGCACGAGGAGGTACGCATGCCTTGCATTCACACCGGCCCCTTTCATTACTGCTTGATCGATGTCTGACGTTTGTCTTCAGTGCTCTTGAAACAAGGAAAGTTCGGCGACATCGCTCTTAAGTATTGGCTGACCTCCGGGATAACCGACATGCGCCTCGCTGGGCTGGAATTGTGGAAATGTCTAAGCCATAGAATCGGTACGGCATATGTTCGACGCTCGTATAAAGAGTGGCCATTGAACTCCATGTCTCATCAGCTCGTTTTTTCCTTCCTTTCTCTTCAGCCTCTTCTATCTCCTGTCTATCCTCACACAAATGGCCGGCAAATTTGCCTTTACCCTCTCCCTGCTTCCCGCAGCGTTGGCCGTTACATACGACGTCTATGTCGGCGCCGGCGGCGAGCTAGCTTACACGCCCCCGTATGTCAACGCAGTCGATGGCGATGTGGTCAACTTCATCTTGTAAGTAAGCTACATTCCGTTCCGTCGAATGTCTTGCTCAATGATCTCCAGCCGTCCCAAAAACCACACGGTAACCCAGTCGTCCTTCGAAGCGCCGTGTGTCGCCCTCCCTGGAGGTGAAAGATCCGGCTTGTGCGTTGTCTCTCCTCTGAGGCACGTCCTTTGATGGTTGACCGTCACAAACTACAGCCGTCCCGTCCCAGACGACAACCCACCGTTCCCTAATTACCAGTTTCACGTTACAGACACCACACCCAAGTGGTTCTACTGTGGTCAGACCGGGCACTGCGGTCAAGGTGAATTTACTCGATGAGGTCGATGGATACTAGCTGACCTCAATTCGTAGGGATGGTCTTCGCGATCAACCCCGCACCTGAAGGCGAAGCCCGGTCGTTCAAGGCCTTCCGTGATCTCGCCATCGCTATCAACGGTACGGCGGCCGCCTCTTCTGCCTCTCCCGCGTCCTCGTCTGCAGACACATACGTCACGCCCCCGGCACCCAAATGGGCGACTGCCACCGCTACTATCACCCAGGGCCAGTCTGTCTGGACGACGACTTACAGCAGCTACGACGGCACACCCCCACCCACGCCTGCCCCGCAGCCAGCGGAGCATAAGATCACCGTCGGTGCTAATGGCGAGTTCACTTTCACGCCCAGCAATATCCAAGCCTCCGTCGGAGACAAGGTTATCTTCGAATTTCGGCCAAAGAACCATACCGTTACCCAGTCCAGCTTCAGTAACCCGTGCCAACCTCTCGCGGACGTTACTGGCGTACAAGGATTTCGTTCAGGATTGTGAGTACATCGAGTCATCCCCTAATCGATACTGATTGCCCTTGATCCAGCGTTCCGGTCGCAGCTGATGCAACGACGTTTCCTACGTTTGAGATAGTCATCAACGACGTGAGTTCTTTCCATTGACACCACAGTCATGCATTACTCACCGTTCAATTTACTGTCAGACTGCGCCAATTTGGGGCTATTGCGGCCAAGGCAACCACTGCGGTAGCGGCATGGTCTTCTCCATCAACGCTGTCGAATCAGGCCCTAATAACTTCGCCGCCTTCCAACAGCTGGCCCGCAGAATTAATGGGACCGAAGCCTCTGGTGCAGCCTCTGGGAACGGTACATCCACTGGCTCGGGCAACGGTGCTATTTCTGTTACTTCTTCGTTCGTTGGATTTGTCGGTAGCCTGGTCTTTAGCGCTGCTGTTGCGTTCCTTTAAAAGTTCAAGACGCCCGTAAGGTTGGGCTACTAGTAGTGTCGATGATACCTTGTGGATGATTTGAGTCATGTTATCATATTGATTTGTTACCTAATGCATTCAGTTTATATACCCACTGCATTGTCTATGTAGGTAGCTATGGAAGCGCCAATATCGGTATGTTGAAGGGTTGGTATCCTTTCGGCGTCTAATCCAAGTGACCGCAACGTGATTCCTAATTCTGCTTCTTCTACTACTGAACATCTTCGAAATAAGTAGCGTGTGCCTCGCCTCAATTGAAGCACAGGATTTCACCACACGCTATCGAGTATATAGCTGCCTCGTCCTTTGCCCAGTCTCTCCAAGCCCCGCCAATTTGATCAACTTCTATGCTGGACGCCAATCCCTGTCCCAGAACCTTCTCTCGCCACTCTCCTTGACTGTATCTTTTCGCAAAGCTGTCCCCCCACCAGCTCGCTGCAGGCTGACCAGCGTATGTCTGGCTTCCCATCGTGAACTTGATTTTCTCTGCCGCAAAGCCGGCTTTGAGCGCCCAGGTGATCAACATCCTACCCCCGTTCGGCTCGCTACCAGCATTGCGAAACACTTTCTCTGCTATCGCTTTCCATTGGTCGATGATGGGGCCTCCGGGATGCACGATTGTCGATTCCCAATCGCCTTCTCTGCATGCGACAATCCCACCAACTCGGCACACCCTTCGCATCTCGCCCAGCGCCCGCGTCGCGTCAGGGAGGTGCAACAGCACCTGGTGGGCGTGAACGACACCGAAGCTCCCATCGGGGAATGGTAATTTAAATACGTCGCCAACAGCAAAGCTGCAATTGCTGGGACGTTGCGCCTGCCCGTTTGCGATCTCCACTACCTCCTTTGATGAGTCGACCCCGATGACCTGGCCCTCCGGTACGTATGCCGCCAGAGATACTGTGATGCTGCCGGGACCACAGCCTACGTCGAGGATGCGATCTGTCGGCTTGAGATGGAGCAGCAGGTACGCACAGGAGTTTTGCGCGGTTCGAGAGGAGTGCGAAGCTAAGACTGCAGCAGAGAATCCTTGCGTGTAGTTGTTCGGAGACGACATCTTATGAACTCGTTCACTGCAGCACGCGATTATATCTTACCAGACACTTTCGGACTGACTCATTCTATCGGTCATGGGAGCCCGTGATGGAAGTAGAAGCATGATCGCGGCACAAAGTACATGATAAGTTAATAATACAACGCCAGAAAATCAGTGACCGAAAATGGAGAAGCTATAAAGATAGGCGTCCTAGATATGGGTGAGTTATTTTATCCGTGTTCGGAATCCAGCAATAGGCTCACATATGTTTCCTCGATTGTTAAACAGGGCCAATCAGCTTGTGGCCTAGGCAACGACGCAGTATGCGCCTCCGCCGTTGCCTTCTCCCTCTTCGTTGACTGGGAACTGCTCAGTGATAGCATCTTCGACGGAAGTCGAGAAGAAAGTGATGATGGCAGTGAAAGAGTCCATTGCAGGCAGAGGATGACTTTGCGAGAGAGGATTGGTAGTGCGCTGAGTGTCCAATAGGTGCTTTGAACCTGAGGACTTCGTACCAACTTCATGCTCATATTTATACCCCTTAGACAGAACGGGCCAATGTATACGACCTCTCATGTGCATGCTCCCGACTACCACCATCCATTCTTCACTAGGCTTGACATCCCGAACCCCGATATTCACATTCGGTGATTCAGGAAACTATACGCCATATACGATCTTATATCTCGTTTATTCGAGGCGCCGAAAAACGAACAATAAGGGCCATCGGGGAGATGTGAATGAATTACAATAAGGAGGATCGTCGATTTGTGCTTCACAATTGTTCCTCTCTGTGCTACCCAGGAAAAGGCTAATTTCGTGCCTTGGCGGCAAAGCGTCCATGGCACATCCAACTAGCCTGTCCCTGCGAGCACAAAGCATAAAGCAAAGGAACCAAGAGGAGCTGCATTTTGGCGGCCAACAGGATCTACCGCCGACGGGTCCGCGTTCGACAAACAATGCCAAGAGGGTAGTCTTATTGTTCGGACGGTTGATGTGCTCACCAGTGTGTTTGAGGGATTGTTACCAGTGTTCAATTCCGGCGAGCTATCCAGGCTTCGGGTCCCTATATACCAACTGATAGTTCCCGTCACCCAACGCCATGCCTCCGAGTCAACTTGTTGTCAATTCACTCTACAGTCGTGCACAATCTACAGTTAGCGACATATGGCAAGACTCTCTGTCTTCGCTCAAACCTCCATCATACCGACTTCCCGCATGCACGAATACTCTTCGGCCACATCGTTTTTACGATTTATGAACGAAACGTGCACATCGTCCACTGTTATCGAGTCTCACAATAATCCACACTTTACTCAGCATTTGGTGGATATTGAATGTAATGGTGCATGATATACAAGACTACAAAATTCGGCATACACAAGTACAGTCACAGCGAACGATCAATCTAGAGAACGAAAGGTGATGTTCGCAGAACTGTGGCATAGAGATGTCAGGATTGTATGCGAAGATTGCAGACACTACTTACTAGTGGCTATGATTTAGGCGACAACACAATATGCTCCTCCGCCATTTCCGCTGCCCTCCTCGTTTATGGGAGGAACGGCAACAGCGATGCTCTCGACTTTGGTGGTGGTGAAGGCGTCCATGTTCGATGATACGAGGATGTGGTTGTAGGGATATTCAAGGCTTTGTTTTAGCTGAAGAGTAGGTGAGTGACCTGGAATACATACCGCTATGACGGACCTCATTTTATACCTTCTGGCAGGCGGCGGTCATGCGGCTCCGCTCCATTGTTGACACTGTGGATGGGCTTGGGGGCTGCCACTTTGAAATACGTTCATGGCCAGGGCAATGGTGCACAGCGCAATTTCTTTGTCGGCGTGAGTTCCGAAAGTGGGTTTGCAAACGGTATTGCCGAGAACAATATCCTCCTGTCTCAGGCGACCTTGTCTTGTTGGGATTGTGGGATGCGTCGGCGTGCCATACTGCGGATATTGGCAGCTACCGTACCTGCCACGTTATCTCGCTTTGAAGCGACTGAAAGAGTTGATGATATTCACAAGTTGAACGTGATGAAGCTGGAGCGTCAGTTGAACGAATTAGTGGCCAACAAGGGAGTTCGCCCCTATCTACCTCAGCCGTTTGCCTCAGGTGAGGCTCAACTTCTACACCGATGCTCATATTTAATATAATCTATCTACTTGTTCGACGTTCGATCAATGGGATTGCGGGCTGGGGACGCATAGGCACTGTAAATTACCGAACAAGAACTAAGGGGTATTCCGCAGGCTTATTTCCGGTTCCTGTACCAGAGGACTGGGCGAGGGCGAGAGAACTGAGACATTCGTTGTTTCGTGGACAAGCATAACGTAGTCCTCAATGACCAACACGGAGGCCACAACCACTTACCTCAAGATATAAAAGGAGGACACTCATCGCTACCACCACTCAGGTTATTCACCTACTACATCACCCCTTGTGCTATTCTCACAACGCATCCTCACATCATCTCATCAGACATGGACGCTTTCACCACCACCAAAGTCGAGGCCATCACCGTCACCGTTCCCCCTGTTAACGAGGAAGGTAGTGGAAACGGTGGAGGGGCCTATTGCGTTGTTGTATGAGCATCGCATTTGATGGTGAGTAGCCTAAACCATGCTCAATCAGAATCAGAATCAATGAAGCTAACATTACTACCTCGTTAGCGCTACAACTACATTGTCCCCGTTCCCCATTTATGGGGTCCGTTGAAGTTAACATTATGCTTCTGAGTTCTTGTATTCATTACGATTGTATCAATTGACTGTATAACTGCGTAAATTGACGGAAGAGTCGAACTAGGAAGTAACATGCTTAAGCCAAACAGCGGCAAATTTACGAACTGTTGTTCAACACCGGTCCAACTAAACGGGGTTCTAATTCGCTGGCCGAGGGTGACTAGGAGAGAACAATTAGAAATCTACATTGAGCCTCGACCAATGAGAAATAAATTTCAATGAAGGAACCGAAAATGTTCATCGGCGTACTACTGAGTAGCAATTTACTAAACACTGGTACACACACTGTCTTCAGCCTCCGTTTGAAGTCGGATAAATTTTGAACAATTAAGACAACGTCGGCGGAGGATGCTACCCCTACATATATTCCGTTAGCGCGAAAACGAGAATGCTTTCGCTCATGGACCCCAGTTCCCCCAAAGTTGTAGGACTTCATGTTTAAAGCTCGAGGGTCCTGAAGGTTCAAGGGAAGGGCGTCATTGGTAAGGCACGGGATTAGCCTTTCCTGAGTAGCAACAATAGCGTAGGATGGATCCGCTGGTCGTCTTATTGTTATCCTCTATACTCTATTCACATCTCCCCGAAGCTCCTTATTGTTCTCCACGCCGCTGAACCCTGGATTTACAAGTTCGCCCATAGCAAGATCTTGTCGCAGAACAGAATCAGTAAAGGATGGTGCGGGTGTTCGCAAGGGCCTTGGAATACTGAGTACTCCACATCGGTGGCTGCCCAAATCCCCTCAGTCTGTGGAGTGACCAAAACGTATAAATATGAGAGAGGCATTGCACTCAATCCCCAGGTTGAAAGCACCTTCTGGACACTCAGCGCACTGCCAATCCTCTCTTGCAAAGTCATCCTCTACCATCAATGGACTCTTTCACCGCCATCACCAACTTCTTCTCCACCACAGTCAGCAAGGTCGAGGACGCTACCGCCGAGCTCCCGATCAACGAAGAGGGAGAAGGCAATGGTGGAGGTGCATACTGCGTAGTCGCTTAAGCAACTGCGACGCCCCATCTTCTGAATGACATCGTAAGCACCATCGTTCCGCGTATGGATGAATGACTTACACCGTCACCATAGGATATTCACTATCGTTGTGCCAAACTATTATTCTTGTTTTCGTTCTCGGGAGTGTTTGAGACTTCACTGTGTTGTATTGATAAACTTGTACTTTCGCCCGTCTTCTTGGCGTACTGCGATGTTATGTAGATGAAAGATGTGTCACATCAAATGACTTCATGTCAGTTTTTTTTGGACAGTTATAAGCTCGCAGTAAACTTTAGTCGAGGTTAGAGCGGTTGCCAGAACGAAATTTCTTGTCGCAGAGCACACGTATCAGGGATGTTGCTGTGCTGTTTCCCTCAACCGTTAATGATATTCTGCACCTGGGATAGACGAATACATATCACCCCGGGTCTGGAGTATTCAAGTTCGCCGCAACGGCCACGCACCTGGCATGATGTTAAACCGACCGTAAGCTTCAAGGCTCGTGTCATAGTTGGTGGTGATCGACAAGTGCGACAACCAGGGGACTTTCGAGGCGATGTAGGGGAGCGTTACAGTCACTTCCGCGGTTTTGGGTACACCTCACTCATCTATACCGCGGTGAACGAAAAATGGAAGTTCGTTTCGAAGGCTAAAGCTCTAAAGCTTTGAGAAACGCGCGCGTTTCTTGCGTTGTCCGCAATGGAGAGGAATGTATGACATTACTTATCGGGAAAATAACTTTCAGGGCACCGTGGAAATTCCTTCTTCGAATCACTGAGCAGAAGCGCCCGATGGCAAAGACCCGACCTGCACCGCGACTCGACATGCAGTAAACCGTGATTAATTGATTCCACACCCACCTAATATAATCCTCAAAAGTGAGGAACCTTATTATTTTGCGATAAATACTCTCAGCCGCTCGTTCTTTGTTGCGGTTCCGGGACTGAGTACATTACCCCCAGGCAAATATCTACCACGCACGGTGTCCACCATCCACAATGATACTACACGCTTGGTTAGTGCCGCTGTGTTGTAGACTTCAGTTTCGAACTCACTCGCTACCGGTACAGAAAGTCGAGGCATCACTCGCGAGCCACAGACAGACTCCCCTCAATTCTTCCGGTCGGCCCAGCCTGCCAAGCGGGTTTTGCGAACTCCACTCTCTCATCTTGTCGGTGGATTTTACGTATCCTTCCGTCAGCCTACGAGACGTGTCAGAATTGATGGCAACACATCAAGATGGTTCAGATACTCGCTTGGTGTATATGTACCCAGGGCTCACTGAATTCACTCGTATTCCCTTCGGCCCGAGCTCGCAAGCCATAGATCGAGCCATCTGGATCAACGCTGACTTGCTTGCAGTATACGCGATCAGTTTCTCGTTCTACGTCCGACACCATCAATCAAAAGTTGTCGGTTATCACTGCAACTCACTTGAAGGGCGATACTCCCGGCCATGCTTGCATTCAGGATGATGCTCCCCGGAACACCAAGTTTCTCCATCTGCCTCCCAGCGGCTTGAGCAGTATACAGGACACCATTCAAATTGACATTTATAATCTTGCGGCCATTCAGTAGATATTTTCCTCGATCTAGATGTGCTGCTTACCTTTGCGAAATCCTCCGCCGGATACTCAAGACAACCTACACCTCCTTGTGTAATACCAGCGTTCGCGAAGCAAATATCGAGCCTTCCTTCTTTGGCCACGATATCTTCAGCGACCTTCCACATCTGTTTCTGATCCGTCACGTCGCCGCTGATATACTCCATCCTTCCATTCTTCACGTCTTCTGCAAGCGGAGGCAGCTTCGCGATGAATTCCTGGACGGCGACAAAGTCGTTGTCGGGTTGCTTGGACAGGCTTAGACAATAAACGATCGCACCGGCCTCCGCGAAGGCCGCTGCTACTTCGAGGCCGATTCCACGCCCGCCCCCAGTGACCAAAGCCACCCTTTCGACGAGCGAGAATTGGGCGAATACTGTGCGCGTGGGGGGCTGTGATGCGAGGGCAGCGGCTATGCCTACGAGCGGAGGTCGAGATGGCATGGGTGAATGACTTGCGGGCATGAGTCAGGATTCTGTTGTAAATATACGTTGGTGTCGTTGGTTCTCGTGGGGAGTCCTTCTATTGTTCCCATAGATGATGGGTCTCTTCGCGACCTGTTTGTAGCAAGACTTCTGAGCTCGCCAGATTTTCCCATATCCCCAGCTTGATATATGTTGTAGGTGAGTTCCGTACTCTGCCAACCGTTGAAATAGGTATGTTGAATGATATGGAATGATGCCTGCGAGGGAGCAACGAGACACGAGACACGGATATCTATATCGGTCTGGACGGAAGACACTATGACGGCATTCGGGTGAGTGTATGCATGCATGCTCCCTTGTCAAACCACTGTTCGGTTGCATGATAAGGCACAGGTGACAGAATATCGTGGAGCAGCGGTAATATATAGCTGCATGATGACAAACTCTGTCCACGATTTTGCGGTTAGCGTAATCGCGAGCGCTCCGAGTATGTTCTCAAGTTGCTGATATCCAGCCTTACAGTGGGAGTTACAATATTCAGTTACCATGCGCGGTGCCCACCATCCACAATGATACTAGACATTCGGTTAGTTTTGCGATGCTAGCTTCCACGTTTGAACTCACTCGCTGCCAGTGCAGAAGGTCGAAGCATCGCTCGCAAGCCATAGACAGACTCCCCTCAGTTCATCCGGTCGGCCCAGCCTGCCAAGAGGGTTCTGGGAGCACCACTCTTCCATCAAGTCGGTGTGGCTATCCAGGAACGCTTTCGTCATCCTACGAGACACGTCGGAGTCAACAGTGGCTCATTAAGGTGGTTCAGACGTTTACTTGGTGTATATGTATCCTGGGCTCAGCGAATTCACTCGGATTCCCTTTGGCCCCAGCTCGCAAGCCATCGATCGAGCCATCTGGATCACAGCGGACTTGCTCGTCGTATACGCGACCCATTTTTGGTTCTACATCCATCATGAGTTGATAAACCGCAGTCTGTTGCCACGACCCACTTGATTAGAGATACTTCCGCTCATGCTTGCAGTCAAGATGATGCTCCCTTGAATCCCCAGTTTCTCCATCTGCCTTCCGGCTGCTTGTGCAGTGTATAGTACGCCATTCACATTGACATTTAGTATCTAACGCCTCATGTCTTCAGTATCAGCAGATAGGCTGTCTCAATACTCCGCTTGCCTTTGTAAAATCCTCTGCTGAATACTCGAGGCAATCTGCACCTGCAAGAATACCTGCATTTGCGAAACAAATATCGAGTCTCCCTTCTTTTGCCACGATATCTTCAGCGACCTTCCACATTTGCTTCTGATCCGTCACGTCGCCGCTGATATACTCGATTCGTCCGTTCTTCACGTTGTTTGCAAGCGGGGGCATCTGCGCAACGAACTTTTGCGCAGTAACGAAGTCATCGTCGGGTTGTTTCGATAGGTCCAGGCAATAAGCGGTAGCGCCTGCCTCTGCGAAGCCCGCCGCTACTTCGAGTCCGATCCCACGCCCGCCCCCAGTGACCAAAGCTACCTTACCGGTGAGTGAGAATTGTGAGAACACTGTACGTGTGGGGGGTTGTGATGCAAGTGCGGCGGCTACGCCTACGAGTGGACTTGGAGTCGACATAGGTGGGTGATATGGTGAGCCTTTCCATTGTGCAAATTGTCCGTGGGTTCTTATGCGAACTTGCGAAAGTGTGAGTACGAGACTACCGGTCTGGTATCGTCACATTGCAGTATAAAGGAACAGAACTCTCCCAAGAAAGGCCCAGGCTTGAACACGAGAGTCATCCTTTGATAGTTGCTCCGCCGGAATCTTGGAGTCGCATGTGTGGTTGTAGCTAGTGACCAGCCTATTGTGTCGATGCATGTGTATGTTATGTTCGAGTTACTGCTGCAGCGGGCCGGAGATACCGAGTAAGCGCCTGCTATCCTTTCGGGACCAATCATATGATTCGCGATTTCTTGCGCAATGCGCACCACCATGTTCCCAGATTTCGCTTTCTCGTCGAGACATCCACCTCCTCACCCGAATTCTGCGTAGCCAGTCAAAATGCGAGCGTACTACTTCGATAACCTCCCGGGCGACCAGCGCCTTCCTCACGACTACGTCCCCTCTCGTCCAGTGCCGCCAGCGCTCCTCGAATCCATCGGTGTCAAATACTGGGAGATCCCCGTCGAAGGATACGAAGCCAGAATTGATGCAGTCGCCAAGGAGCGAGACTACAAGAATCGGGATATGATTAACGTATCGAAAGAAGGCATGGGCGAAGTATACGAAGATAAGATCAAGGGATTCTTTCAGGAGTACGTCTAAAGATTCCAGGCTGAACGAAGCTAATCATTTACCGTGATACTATAGACATATGCACGAGGACGAGGAAATCCGATACATCCTTTCTGGAAGTGGCTTCTTCGATGTACGAGGTGAGCGCATGTCGATCTGTTGGTGGGGGCGCTGCAGGGATCTCATGATACAATCAGAGTCGCCCTCGGATGCCTGGATACGTATCGCCGTCGTGCCAGGCGACCTTATTGTCATCCCCGCTGGGATTTACCACCGCTTCACACTGGACGAAGCAAACAATATCAAGGCTCTCCGCCTGTTCAAAGTACGTTTCCTCATACACCCATTCTACCGTGTTTCGCTGATACAATCCACCGATCCTCACAGGATGAGCCAAAATGGATCCCACACAATCGGGGCCCAACCACAGACGTTAATCCATATCGGGTCGATTATTTGAAGAGCATCGGCGTTGGCGCCTGATCACCGACGTTAATCGATCAGCGCAGAGATTCCATATTATAATGTGTATGTACTATCTACCGGATCGACTCGTTGTCTATCTCGGAGGCCCGAAGGGTTCGATCCTATTGCACCTCTGAAATAACGTAACGGACTAGCGGAAATCCAGTTGCCTGCACTGGGGGTATTGACGTGACTGGTATCGGATCCATGACTTTAGAAAAGTCAGCTACAGCGGATACTATGCCTCGTCTTCATCAAGACATCTTACCTTTACTTCAAACGATGACACAATAAGCACCTCCGCCCGCCCCTTTCTTCTCCCCGTCGCATGGAGGAGTAGCGAGAGTTGTATCCTCAGCCCCGCTGAGTGTGATGGTGGTGAACGAATCCATCTCGTATTCGTAAGGGAGTGATGCCGTGAGGTGTTGTGGTAACGAGCGGATGACGCTGGCGAGAATATCAATGAGCAGAACGCGATGTCAAAGGGCGGGATGGTTACAAACGAGAGGTCGGGGAACTTTACTAGGCACTAGGGGGATTCTGCGCTTTTGAAGTGAGATATTTATACGTCGTTCACTATCTCTTGTCTCTGCGACATTGCGATTTTGTGCCTATTTTTATTGTCATGTCCTCCCGACAGAGAGATTTATTGTCTTGTCATCAACTCCGGCTAAGCACCCGCCAGAATTGTTGTCCTTACTATCACGTGTACTGTAGTGCAAACACACATAGATGTGCAAAACCAATTTTAAGTTGTTGTAGATTCCTATGCTCGGACATGAAGTATGTTTGAGAAATAGACTTCATTGAGCTACTGTAAAAATCTCAAGGCATTTGAGCAGTTGCAAGTCCATTTCCGCGGGCAAAATGTGACGTGCAAATAGTCATTTCAAATTTGACTTGAAGTAATAACAATCCTACAGACTTCTGATTTTTTTCTTAGCTAGTATAGTAGCGCTAGAGTCTGAACCTAGAGTCCCTTGCACTCGTACCTACTGGTTCATGCACAGGAAAACCAGCAACATTTTGCGTGACAAAGAAGCTCCTATTTGCCCCTTGTTTTGCAGGGCGGCACACGGCTGCGCTGCTGGGTCTGAATGACGCGTGACACACTGTGACGAAAAGTTTGCAAATCTATGTTTTTGGGTACTCGTCGTACCGGCATCGTCATTGCTCTACTACTCGGAAAGGGATTCACTCAAAAAGTTGATATGTATTTAACCAAGATGAGCGACAACCCCTCGTAGCATGCCGGGAGTTGTAGGGACATCCAATCTGGAGCACCAGGTCGAATTGTCCAAAATTTTGCAAATCTGTCTAAGTGATAGTATCGGACGCATTTGGCACGATATCCAAACACAGTCAAAGGTCACGCAAGACCACAGACGAATTGCTTCCAAACATGTATCCAAGTGTGAGTGTCTAACCACCGTGCCAAAGAAATACGAATAACTTGTAACCAAAACACCCCCTTTACACCCTCTTCTTCAGCTCAACCCTTGCACTCGTCGGCGTCAGTGTGATCCCCGTCGTACACCCCAACATGACTTTCTTCCTCTCTTCAAAGGACAGCGACTTCAAATCGCCTGGCACGAGGATCTCGTACTTCCGAACGAGGGATGCAAGGATGCACGCGCTCTCTGTAGTAGAGAAGCGCTGCCCGATGCAAGAGCGAGGGCCCGAAGAAAATGCTAGGACTATCCGCATTGTTAACAAGTCTAGTTAGACCCAAAGAAAGAGCACAAATACGCACACGCATCCCGTGGCCAACGATACGACTCAGTATCAATAAACCGATCAGGTCTAAATTCAGTGACGTCTGGGCCCCAATGCACCGCTACGCGGATGTGCGCGGTGAGAAAGAGAAACACCAGCTGGAGAGGAGTGGAGACGACGTACGGTTGAGATGCAAGCCGTATATATCGACGATGACGATGCTGCCCTTGGGTATAGGAACCACGAATTCCTCGACATTTGATACCTCTTGGAGGTCTGCGGATTTGGAGTGTTGTATGTTGGTTGTGAACCTTCTCGCCTTGAGCGTCGTATCGGCGTGGACCGGTTTACCTAGGCGTGATACGGGAGGGAAGTGTCGGAGAGTTTCATGGAAGGTAGCGATGGTGTATTCCTGTGACGACCAACCGTATAAATAAATGGAAAACGCATTGTGAGATTTCCACATACGAGCTTAGGCATCGAATCTTTGTACGCCTAGAAGGTCTGTAATTACACATGACGATGTTGAACTGGGTGAGGTACGCACGGAAAGATCGGCTATTTCTGGCACACCATCTGGCCATAATTTGATGGCCTCTTCGTAGATTTTGTCTTGGATTTCAGGATACAGGGCGAGGAATACGGCTGCGAAGCATAGAGTGTGAGCGGAGGTCTCTAGATACGACTATCAGTACAATGAGACCCCGCCAGAGTAGCGATGGACTCGCCATGACCAGCTAAAAGGAATGTCTACAACCGAGTCGGTTCAGCGACATCGACGTGGAAGTGATGATACGCACAAATGTATTGGATAGTAACTCGTCGTCCGTTAAGCCTCTGTAATCACTACCCTCAGCCAAGTTGGCTTCCACCAAATTCCTGAGTAATGCAGCATCCATTTTCCCGTCTTTGGGCCCGCCCTTGTTATCCAATATCCAGGCTCTCGCTGATGAAACAACTTCCAGCATGTGCATTCGAAGTGCCTCAAAGGAAGCTGTGGTTTCCCTGAGCACCGGAGATATGAAGGGGATATTGATTTTAGAACACAACGAATAGAGGAAATCAGGAGTTAAGATCTTGACAATGGTGTGATGGATAGCAGAGGCGACTGCTGGCTGGAACGCCATAGTGTGACCGGGTGGTGGGACGAGAGATGAGTCGTCGTTCCAGGAGACACGGCGGGAGAAACCAGCAGACGATATGATAAGCAGCGTCAGTTGTGTAAGATCCTTAAGCAGGTCTACTGGGACGTTCGAGACTTGGCTACTCGCTTGGGATTTGTCGATTTCGGTGAACCACTCGGTAATGAAACGCGTCGTTTCCGACCAGACGAACGCGTTATTGGCCTAATTTACGCATTCAAAGGGGTCGCTCAAGCTAGAGTTCAGAGAGAGAACGATTACCTCATTGAAGGCAGGATTTGCAATCCTTCTGTGGCGTTTCCAGTCTAAACCTTCCGTCCCAACAAGATTTGGGCCGTAGATGTTGAGAGTTTCATACTGCACATAAAATCAGGATGGTTCCTGATGATCGAACAAGTAGACGTACGGCTTCCACATCTTTTTGGAAAACAGTCCGATCTGTGCTAACGACCTTGATAGCGTCAGCATCAGACAACCAAAAGGTCGGTATGGCATTATAGAACACGATCGAGCTCAAGCAAGTGCTGCCGTACTTCTTGTACACTGATAAGAGCAGATCAGTAATACGCCGGGGAAGTTTCCTGGTGAACTTACCGTTGAACTTGCCGAAATACGTCCCAATCTGACCGGGGAATGGAAAGTGCGATCCTACAACCATCGACAACGTCCGGAATGGATGAAATAGCAGGATCTCTCCTCCCGGGCAGTCACTTTGTAGTTCGATTTGTTATTCGGGACTGGTGTATTTCGAGGGGACTCACCCTAAGCTCTTGCGAGCCTTGTTGATCGAGGCCATCGACTTCAACACCCACAGCCCTGCAGCAGCAGCAGCAATCCCCCAGAACATGGCGTAAAAACAAGATGATGGTTGAAATCAGGTCAACGTCAATAGCACGGTCAAATTTTCCGACCAAGGCTCGGGACAAGTGCCTGATGTGGCACATGGAAACTTCCATGGAAGTATCCTCGGGGTCGGTGCACAGAAATGGAAGGACCCTCGACGTGGGAACAACATACAGTGCACACCTTCAATCCCAACCATGTCCACTGATGAGGAAGTCGACCCGTACGAACTTATTGGCATCAAGCTAGAGGCTACGGACCAAGAAATCAAAACAGCATATCGTCAAAAGTCATTGAAAGTACATCCAGATCGTGTACGTTGTCGGTTTTCACCTTGTCAATTGTTCTTACCGTACGAATCACAGAATCCCAACAATCCCGATGCAGGCACGTCGTCGCTGTCGATAGACCCGAGTGCGTACCGCTAACATGCTTTCACGTCAAAAGCACGGAAGTTTCACGAATTGAATCAGGCGTATGAACTTCTGCTCGATCCCCTGCGACGGCTGGCGCTGGATGCGAAGTTGCGACTCAAGCTAGCACGGAAGGAGCGTTTCAAGGCGTATGACTCCAAGCGAAAGAATCTCGTCGAGGAGTTGGAGGAGCGAGAGCGTGCGTTCAAGAAGGCAAGAGTAGAAAAGCAACAGGAAGAGATCAAGGTGTGGCGCGAGACCGAGAAGATCAAGGAAGAGGGCCGCAAGATGAGGGAGGAGAGAGAGAGAGCTCTTCGACCTACACCCGTCGTCGCTAGCCCAGAGCCAGAGCCAGAGCCAGAGCCAGAACTCCCTACGCTAGGTTTGTGGCCATATTCCATCCATCCATCCTTTCAATCACGTATTGATATTGTCCAGGCGACTTCGATACTACCGTCCGGATCAAATTCAGCATCGCTGCCCGCCCGGACCTCACAACTACCGCTTCGCTCGTATCGCTTCTATCGCCATTCGGTGCCATCGATGATTCGTCCGTGGTTCTGTCCATCAAGCCGCCGAAGAAAGCTCCAACAAAACCACCCAAGTACGGTACAGCCCTGGTGCCGTTTAAACGGATTGGCGATGCTTTTGCTGCGGTGTGCGCCAGTGGGAAGGCGGAGAGGGGGTTGAAGGGGGTTGATATCCGGTGGGTGGATGAGAAGGAACCTCCGATACTGGTGTGGTTGAAGAAGATGGGAAAATTGGGTTCAGAACCGACATCTTCCTCAGGGGATGAAGTCAAAGCAACTTTGCCACAGCATCAGTCAAAGGCTGATCCATCAACGTTCGCTTCGTCGTTTCCTGATAGTTTGGTATGTCCCATAGTGCCAAAAGAAGTATACGACACTGAATGGCTGTTCTTCTGTAGCCTGATGTCGCAGCTCCCAAGCTACCATCTGTTTCTGGTTTAGGGTACGAAGAGATGACGTTGATGAGGCTCAGACAAGCGGAAAGGGACCGACTAGAGCGAGAGATTAGAGAACAGGAAGCGGCCGACTAGATACTTCGAGCCTCGCACTTGTGCCAAATGTAGTACTTGCATGTATCCGAATAGAGTAAATCTGTGAGTCCAAGAAGTAATCAGCAATAGCCGCTGACTGTGGGACTTTTTTGTACCCGGCACCTTGTACCCACAATCTTTTGTATTTCGAAATGTGCGTTGCTGCTAAGGCGACCATGCTCCCAGACGACCGACGCCATTTCTCTTGTCCATCCATTGTTAACACTTGCTGGTAGGTGCGCGACTGGGCGATGACTTTGCTCTTGATCGCTATTCAGATAATAACACTAGCGGTGGCTTGACTGATAATCTTGACGATGGCTCCTTGTTTTCTTGTCATTGCTTTGTTGGCTTCAATGCGCGGGACCCACTTTAAGGTCGTATATAATGTCAACGTCGTGAATCATGTTTCCGCAGCCAGCAAGCTGACCATTCACGAAATGTCCATCTATCAATCGAAGCCGGTCCTTCATCTTCAACCATCTTCTCACCACTTCGGGACCTCACTCTCGCACTGCCATTACGGTCACGGCCCTCAATCGGATCCCATAGAGGCAACGGTGCAACTACGGAACCGGCTCGCGAACGGCGCGCTGGAAAATATGCCCGCTGGCTTTCCGTTCCATTACTCGATGTCTGGATGTGGAACGCCTCTGCTTTCTTATGAATCGTACGAATTTCGGGAATTTCTCTCTCCTGCTGGACGCAGGCCTTCGACACGACCCCACGTTACAATATCCTTCCATAATCCAGGCAGTCAACTTCGTCACGGCTCGCCAAGATACCTTACCTGGAGTGTCCACACCACCCAATATTCATCAGCTCTTTCTCGGAAAGAATATTGTACGCTTCGTCCTCTACCCCGACATAAGCATGTCCTGACAGTCCGCAATTAGCTAAGACACCAGCGGCACTCGTGAAACTCGACCCAGCTTTACTAAACACGTCGTATGGGCGTTTCCTTCGGAAAACACCAACGGTCCTTCTTCGCGCCCTCAGCATTTCATTAGAGCTCGGCGTACCTATTACTATAACCTCTTTGGATAAGCCTGTTTTGCCACTGATGCCCTACGCGAGGACCCGGGATCGCTGGCAAATTGGTGACGTCGTATATATCGGCACGACCCCGGACGGGCGTCAAGAGGTCCTATATGTCACGCGTAATTCATGGTGTGTTGTCAATGTCATCTTCTCGTTGTCGCTACTAGATGCTCAATATCATATCAGACAATATGCTTATACTAATACTCACCTGGCATCGTTGACCAGCATCGCTGCTGAAAACAAGTCCTTCGCATTTCAACGACTGAAGCATACCCCCATTCCTTTCGGACTCTGGACAATACTGGACACTTTTTATTCGCATTCCCTAGACTCATGACACGATGCACGAACGTTGAACATTTGACGCACATTACGCATATTACGATTTGCCCATGTCTTGTATATTATTCGCTTGTATGACACAAGTAGCCGCACAAAATTAGCACTTGGTCACTTCTCCGAAATCCTCTGCTTTGCCATAGTTTCAATAGGCTTTTTTCGAACCTCGAAGAGGAATCTCCATTTGCTGTCCGTTGGTACCAGAGGCTCCTTACCCCACCGAGCATTTATCGTCGCGCCAAACCGCCAGTCGCGTCTAGCTTCTGCTGTTCAGACGCGAGAAGTAGATAATTGAGCTGGCTTGAACTTACTTCCTACTAGTGTATAGCCATCTCCTTCCAAGATGATTTTCTCCGGTAATGGAGCGAGGATATCGGCAAGTAAAATGCTTTCCACAGCTTTCTAGTCGCTAGATATATGCGGTGTTCATTGGGAGCAACATCGACAACGTACGGATATTTCGTGCTGAAAGATGAAGAACGTTGCCAACTCGTCGACGGTGGGTTCTTTACGGCTTCCAATGCGAGGATTCAATATGAGCTGTAGTCCCTCATAGAGTCATCTTCGAGACACCACTAACCTTGCCGACGTTGCGGTAGATATCATGACTTGACAGATACGCAAGCCTAGACCCTTTTGAGCAGCATCGTGAAAAGTAACTAAGGTAGCTGCGTTTAGAGGAAGAGTATAGTTGTGAAAATGGGATACCATAGTCGACGAGTTTACTTCTCAGATCTCGGTAACCTGGAATTGACCTGGGGCGCTTTTTTAATCGGAGTTATATTGCCGTTGCACCCCTACTCTCATGGACTCTGGTCGGCGGTGGCTCGGTTCACTTCGTTAACGAAGTGCTAGGCAAGTGCTAGAGCATATGTTCAATGTGCTATCCTTACGAATTTTGGTGAGCGTTATATATTTGCGGGATATTTACGAGCCTCAGAAATTGACAGATCAGATAGGATCAAAGACAGGAACAAGCTGAGCCAAATTCCAAACCTTTCAAGTGCGGCGGCGGATAACCATACATATAACGGACGGGTATCGAGCAGAAGAGAACTTCAGAGAACTGCGACACATCAACAGCCATCGAGTCCGCAATCTTCACCAAAAAGACAGCCATCCAAGGCGAAGATCTCACTAGATATGTCAATTTTTTGCCCAAACTAGGATCGCAGACAAACCTCACACTTCCTTCTTTTCCAAATAACAGAAAGAGGCTAGGTGGGCCAGAAATTTACACGACTGAGCCGCTTTGTTTGGTACTATTTGCACGGATCAATGGCCTTCGGGACAGACTTTGAGACGGATTGCTCGCCCTCACTGTACAGTGCTCACCGGGGCCTTGAACAAGCAACTGCGGGGCAGTTAGGCGAGGCACAACGCCGTCAGCATGGACGTATCTGATCTGGTCAGAAGCTTTTGTCTGCCCTTTGATGGCAAGCTGCCGATTGGCAACGCCATGAGTCGAGACCCTGGCCTGTTTGTTGTACGGACACCAAAATATCTACGTAGGCAACCCGCCTTGATCAAAGCGTCTGTTGTACGTTACCCTGCTATATCTACTGCTCTCATTTCAAGCTCATAACCATAGGTCACGGCGGGTCTGCCTTGGACACATTCGACTATTCTGCGAGCTGGGAAATACGATTATGATCAATGGCGACCTCTCCGTGCGCCACGTAGGCTTCGTGGACTACTGCTCGTATCTATCTCCCCGCCATGGTGTCCTTTCATTGAAAACAAGAGCGGGCCCTCCCAGGTTTCCCGGCTGCCAACAGGTCTGAACTATCAAGTGGCACTGGATCCCATCTCCCTACCATCGAACACACTACGCCAAGATGAAGAATGTGTCCTGAATTCTTTGAAATCCCCTAAATCGACCACTGAAACACGGAAGCTCTGTTCTAACCCAACAAGACCAGTCACCGATCACAAGAAGCCGCCAGCACGCCGGGCTCCGAAGCGCTTGCCTTCTGCCCGCAAACCAGCGCGAGAGCGAACCTATTCTGGACTTCCCAGTACCTCAGAGGCATGCAGACCGGCAGATTCACCTTCACCGGCATCGATTACAATGCATGCGCCATCTGCCCCGCTCGAAGAACATGCTTCGAACTCTTTGGCGCCTCTAAGAACACCAACTATGACACCCGAGCTCTGTTCTAGCCTAACAGTACTGAACACAAACGCACGGAAGAGGCCAAGACACTGCACACCTTCTGTACGCAAACCGGCGCAAGGGCGGGCCCCTCCAGAACCTCACAACGACTCAGTAATACCAACGGAGCCGCTCTCACCGCCATCTGTCACTGTGCACACAGCACCTCCCTTTCTGTTGCTGGACGCACCTGTTAGGCATGCGCGCCGCCGATTCGCGCCGCCATCGAAAGAAATGCTGCAGCTGCTTGTAGAGACAGAACTAGCCCTCCTGCCCACCGAGGTCTCATCAAAGCGTCCTAAGATCCAGCTCCAACCGCCAGCGTCAGTATCACAGACTACTCCCCCACGAACTGAGGATCGGACGAAGGAGGGCGAATCAAGACCCACCCCGACAATAACACAACGACATATCAACACGAACAGCTTATTCCTCGGGACTCACGATACAAGCCCCGCTTTGGTGACTCGTGCAGAAGCTGAGGCTGCATGTGCAAAGTCACCTTGTTCTCGCTTCGTCCACGATTACCGCCTAGAATATACCCATTTGCCGTCCATCCTACAGACAACAATAAGAATACCACCAAGCAGGGCGAAGGCTTCGACACCACTTCTTCCATCCCACTAGTTCCTTCCAGAATACCTTGCGCAACTACCCCTTATCTATTTTCTCCTCACTGCAGAGCGTCCGCATAGAATTGTGCCTATATCTCAACAACATAATAACATGAATCTAGTGGTCGGTTACGGTTTGTGCAGAAACCAATGTGGCATCTGTGCTTGCTTTCCGCCTCGTGGCCATGCATATTTATATGTGGGACAGTGTTCTGAGAAGGTTTAGTGAGTTTTGAATATCCCCGGTGACCTAGCAGTCGATAAGACAATAGAAAGGTAGATACATTTACTCGGTCATCTCTTATATGTTGCCCGAGAGAGGCACCAACAGCCCAGAACACTCGAGCACTGCAAGACCACTGACTAGCTTGCGACACTAGTAGTTTCGTCCCCTTTCGTTGCTTTGACGTCGCAAAAGGCACGCAAAGGGCGGCACCGCACTACATCGTTACTTCCTACCAGAAAGTCAAAACGATCGAAAGTGATCGAGATCGGGCTTATTGTCTTCCTCACAGAACACTAACCGCCTGGTAATCCGGTAACAATCAGAATGTGCAAGCCTATCAGCCCTTATTGTCTTTCGCTGAATACACCCCTGCGGCTCTCGCGTACGAGGGCACCACCACAGGAAATTTATATGCCCGAGACAAAAAGAAAAATCCGCTGGGTCACCGGAACACGAATTTGGTGGCGATTTTGGGTCCGGTGTCCGACAGCGCGCATGCGGTGCCGGGCTCCACTGGAGGTGTAGGACGGGCAGGGGACGTATATAAGACTTCGAAAAATAGGCCTGAGGCTTCAGGTTGATATTCAATCCTGCAGCCCTCAGCATCAGCGCCTGCCTTAAGAACTCGTCCTCCGCACCATCCTCACATCTGAAAGACATGGACGCGTTCACCACTATCGCAGCCTTCTTCACCACCGCTCCCAATGCTGCAGACGCATCACCAGCCGACATCCCGCCCGTCGACGCCGAAACCACTGGCTCGGGGGGAGGCGCATACTGTGTCGTTGCTTGATTGGGCTGCTACCATCATTTGGGATTGGACTTATAGATGCCTTTGGTGGGTGGATAACTTGCTTGCGGACTTTCTGCGGTGCTGACTGAAGCAATCCTGATTCGCTAGAATTGCATCGATATTATTATTATTATTCGACCTTCGCATGATCGTGTTCGATCGCTTGGAGTTGTAGGGGTGTTGTATAACAGGGTTGGGAACCGGGGAAACGCTATGGGTGGAACCATTGGGCTGTCATCATTTGTACGACTATCGAGGTTGGGAGAATCCATACCTTTCCGACATGAGGAAAGGGACGCCGAGGCACTATTCGAAGCATCAACAACTTAGTAGAGTGGGACGTTCAAGCAAAAGGTCATCCATTGAGTCGATGATTGGACAGGCACATGAACTACAACCAATTTAACCAGTCGCCATTCTGGTAGAATAGGGCTAGTCAGAAGCGCCCCGATGCAAGTGAGAACGTCGATGAATACCTTTTCAAACCAGCAGCGTCCCCGTTGAAGATATCCTGGTCGCCTGGGTTCGGTCCAGAGTCTGCATATTGCCAGAACGTCGCGAAGCTGAGAATCGGGAATCAGTCCCACTGCTGGACCATTTAGGTAAAACACACGCACCTCCAGCCCGCGGGTACCGCTCCGATGCTGCTGGCATACCGAGCGATCCACAACGGATTCTGTGAACCGAATCCTGCGTTGTTTCCGGTGCATGTCGTCCACCAGTCCGTCGTCGTGTAAATTACTGCACGGGGATGGCAGTCAGCGGGAAGCTACGCCTGAGGATATGATACCTGAAGTTTACTTGGGAAACGACCAGTGGCCGCGTGGTAAGTGTTTGAGAAATCGTGAATCCACGCGACCATAGCTGCAGCGCTCAGGCCGTAGCATTCGGCGCCGTTCGGATTATCTTTGTAGCGTAGTTAGTGTTGGACAAGTGCAATACTCCCTGTAATGTGCTTTACATTCGATATCAAGAGCCCCAGGAAGGGTGATCCCATCTGGACTCCAGCCACCTGGGGTACTCAGATGTTAGAGGACATCACAGATGATGATGGATAGTACTGACCGCCGTGGGCCAAGAAGAAATTGGCTTGAGCAGCGCCAGACGAGGAATCGGGGTGGGCGAAGTGATAGGCACCACGAATGAACCCGGCGTTGGTGGCGCCTACATACTGGCTCGAAAAGCTGGAGCTTATGAACGCTATCACAAGGATGTCAGTAAGCACAGATCAGCGTCAAGGATTTATCCGTACTGGTCCCCTCGGTGGCTTTGATGAATGCGAAAGACACGCCATTAGCCTTGACTGTGTTCCAGTTGACGGAAGGTTGAAATCCAGAGACATCGATGCCCTGCGGGGCGGCACGTTTCTCGAGAGAATGGGGGACTGCTGTAACGGACGCCGCGAAGACAGAAAGAGCTGCGAACGATTTCATCAGGAGCTGAATCATTGTGGAGGACATAGCGAGAGCAGCTACCGTCATTTTATTCTGTCCGCTCATCTGGAGGGTGCCCATCGTGCAACGAAGCTGTTTGAAACTCAAATGTCGAACGTGGGGCCGCTGTCGAAGGCACCATATGCTGGCTACTGGCTATAGTGGTTCAAACGTCAGATGATGGAAAGAGAAGCGATAGCGAGGGTATATTCGGGTTCGGTACCGTGTGGGCCGTTCTTCGGTGAACGCCACTACCATGGCGATCCTCATGCTTCTCAGATGCGAATACCATATCCCAAAGCCGTGATAGGCTGAAACCGCGTACTCGAACAAGGCCATTCGCACGAAGGGTTCTTGACGAATCCACATCAGCTAGCGTCATCCAGAAGACGATTGACAACTCACAAGTCCATTGTCACAGTGCTAGAATGCGATGACAAGGATTTATATACAAATCTGAGTGACAAACAAGAACAGGATGGTACGTAGATGTTTATATTTACGGCCAGAACGCCTTGCACCGAGACGGGAGCAGAAAACGGTGATGTGGCAGAAGACAAGCTTTTTTACAGATGGTTACAGGGAGATACGAAGACACAAAAAACAATGCGAAGCACAGAGACGAGAAGGACCACAATAGATAATGCGCGAGGAGAGGATAGTCATCACAATGTGTCCGTAAGTGCGGAGAGTTATCGACTATCATATCGTCGTGTAGCTCCCTGATAGCGCGGGGACGATCAGTACGCGTGCAAACTGACGTCGAAGAAGACGTACATATTCTTGCCTGCCAATCGCCACTGCCCGTGGCAAGGATACTTCCGGCAGGACTCAAATCGATCGAAATTACTAAAGGGGAAACATGAGTCGACGTACTGCGCACATCAATTGACGCTTAATGAACTTACCAGAGTTCTTATGACCTTGAAGCATGCATTGTACAATTGCTGTGCGTGAATCCCAAAATTGTACACCCCGATCTTTCGATCCAGAGACCACCCATTGCCCATCATGGGACACGGCCACGGACAAGACGTAGTCCTACAGCAGAGGAGCATGAGGCGCGACTGCAGTTGGCATGCAAGTGAACGTACCTTATGGCCGGTGAAATTCATTGTACAAGGGCTCGTCTTATCACCGTCCTTCCTGAATGCCGCGGGTCCATTGATGGGGCCACCATTGGCGCCCTCTTTCTTGCCCTTCAACCCAGATGGGACTAATTCACTGACGTCCCAGTATTTCAGCGTCTTGTCTAGACTGCCGCTGACCAAGCCTTTGCCATCAGGCGTGAACGCCACGCTGTACACACTGTCGCGGTGTCCCTTTAGACGCTCGACAAGCGCGCCTGAAGCCACATCCCATATGCGCACGACGGTGTCAAGACTGCCAGCAGCAACGAAGTGCCCGCTAGGGGACATGGCGACAGAGGTGACACCGGCATCGTTGTTGAGCGAATCAGGGTCGTTGATTGTGAGGACGACCGACGTCCCACGTTCCATGTCCCAGATTCGAGCTGTCTTGTCCCCGGAACCTGAGACGATCAATCGACCATCATGCGAGAAGTCGAGTGAGTAGATTTCTTGCTGATGTCCATCAAAGACCATGCAGATGCGTCGCTTGGCGATATCCCAGATCTGTCAAGGCCATATAAGAAGAAGGCTGGAGAAGGGAAGGCGAAGACGCACTCTAATCTGCTTATCTTCAGCCCCCGTGGCAAGATATTTACCATCCGGGCTGAAGCAGACACTCCTGATGTACAAGTCACCGGCCTTCCCCGCACCTTCGTCCGCGAGGACACTACATAAGCTGAGCGGGGTGCATAACACAAGACTCCGATAATTGAACGCACCAGGTCTTCATGCCAGTCTTGGTGTCAAAAATCTGGGCGGTGCGATTGCATCCAGTGGCAAGAAACTTGCCATCGGCGGAGAAGCGAACACAACACACGACACTGGGCAGTGAGCCGAATAGGTAAGACTGAACGACTCCATAATGATAGAAGATGCTGACCTTTCGTGCATTAATGTGTGTACAAGGTTAACATCCAGAACCCGTTTCACTTTTGGATTGAATACTGCGAACCAATCGGAGGCTTCTTTTTTGAATTCGGGGGGTACATTATGAGGGTCTAGATCATCGGGGAAGCTATTCGCAGCGCTTTGACCTAAAGGGACGAGAGCACCCGGAGGGTTGGAAGGATCAGGCAAAGGAGGACCAGGAGCGGTGCTTGGACCAGCATTGGGGTATGGACCGTGGACGGATGGAGGAGGCAAACCGGGACCTCCAGGAGCTGGTGGATGCTGAAGTTTGGGCGTTTGTCCATGACCAAGAGAGGGACTGTACGGGTCTACGGAGGGGTTTCTGTCATTGGAAACTATGCATACATAAAGGCTAGCCACTGACCTGGTCGATCGGATTTAATACGGTCAGCTTTGAGACGTTTGGGATCTCGCTGGTCCGCCAGCCGTTCACGGTCTCTCTCTCCTCGGTCTGCGCCTCCACGATCTCTGTCCCCCCTACTATCACGTTCTCTGTCACGTTCCACTCTGTCCCCACGCTCTCCACGCCCTCCCTCTAACCTCTCCCTCTCTCGGTCAGCAATCCTTTCGCGGTCACGCTCTCGGTAGTACGGATCGTTGTAGTTGGGCAACGCAGAGGCCGGTGCGCCGCTATGCATAACCGGCCCAGGCCCTGTGCCCCCAGGAATGCCGATCGAACCAGGACCAACTTGTGGCTGCGGAGGGATACCGCCAGGCATGCTTTGGCGGAGAACATGGAGTTCATTTCGAGCCCGATTGAGTTCATCTTCAAATTGCTGTCGAACCTTTGCGTGCTTGGTCTCTAGTTCAACGAGTTGCTGACGAAAAGTGCCCAGCTCATTAATTTGATTCGCCACTGGCCATATGAAAAGAGTGCGATGCAACCGGATTGGAAATTACAATCGCGAGGTAAGCATGAGACGAAAATTGCGGATAAGCTGCCCGACTCACGTTTGTTTTCGTAGTCATCCCTCTGAGCTCGTATCGTCCCCATTTCCTGCGCCAGAAGATCAAACTCTTGCCTAATGACATCAAAGGATTCGTTGAGTCTAGCTTGCGAGTGTGACTGGCTGGGTCCCGGTACGGGAGGGCCAGTGGGCTGAAGGCTCCTGTGCTGCGGCATATGAAAGTGGTATGAGCGAAACGATTCAAAGCGAATTCATGTGTGAAAATATGGAAGATTCCTGTGAGTTTACACGTGTGCGGAAGCTGTTCTTGTGACACGACAAAGGTCATATATGGGTTAAGCGAAAGTATGTCATTGCAGACCGGCTGTCCCTCCCACCGCACAAAACGACAGAACCCTCGCGCAACAGACTGCTGCCCCTTCGAAAAGGCACCACTTGTGGGCCACAAGAAGCAAGAGCTCACATTATAGATAGTACTGGAAGACATGGTCCTGGGGTGGCCCCGACGGTTCTAGGAGTTGGTTGACGGGGAAAATGGGGCAGGCCAGCTGGAACGCAGATGGTGGTGAGGAGAGAACAGCAGGGTCAGAGGGAAAGGAAGGAAACGCCGAGAAGGAGTTTGTTGATCAATCCCGTTCCCTTTTAACACCAACGACGCTCCTTACCGCCGGCTTCTCATAACTGGCTTTTCCCTGGATTACGTAATCCAAAGGTACATTTGCGTGGCAACCATTCCAATTTCGTCGGCGAGATCAAGATCCAGCGAGCTTGGGCCCAGCCACAAGATGCCACTCCAAGGGGATCTCTGACAGTCGAAGCCTGTGGAATCACACACTGATTCCAGCGCCGCACTCTTGGGTCGCTGCAAAAATAGCGATTCAGCATCACATTCACCCATGATGCGTCCTATTTCCAGCATGTGCAGCGAAGCGGTTGCCCGGCAATTCTTCTCGTCATTTCCGCGCTGAGAACCGCCCGACGAACGCCACACCTCGCAAACTGATCATCGGCTTGAATAAATGCACTGTCAAACAAGGGAGCCGTCAGGGAGTCAGTAAATCGAAATCTCCGACCTCGATTCCGGAAAGGATTCCTATATGTTCGGAGCAGCGCAAAGATGGTCAAAGCCAAAGGTGAAGGAACAAACACGTTTGTTCGCTGAACAGGAAAGTCAGCATTCATGCGAAACAATCAATTATCATCATCGAAGGGGTGCCTATTTGCCCTTGCTTGCCTGCGGCCTCTGATTAACTGCGTGATCTTACTAACCCCGCGACAGTGTACATATCCTAATGTTAGATTTGGGCAATCTAGGCGGTACAGGGGGTTTAAGGGGGCACGTGATTACGTAGATAGTTTCTGTGTGCTGCGTATCTTTTCCCTCATGCTTTTGCTGGAGTCCCAGTCAAACGCAATACACCTACTCGATTACTTGAATGTCACGCGACTCTCAGCAGCTTATTCTAACACCTAATTCTCTGGCGCCTTCGGCACAAAATCCATTAGGCCTTCAGTGTTCTGGCGCAAAGTGCTTAAATTAGTGTACGTAGTACCAACAGGTTAGTAGATTGACGCCTATAAATGCTCTTGCCACGATGTTTGGAACTTGGCACCGACTAAAATCGATGAAATTAGCGCCGTCCGTCCTTGCCACTTGCTACCCTATGTACCAATTCTTACACATTTAGCAGCTCAGATCAATCACAATAACTAGGTTTATCGAGCCCAGCCCTTTTCAAAAATTCCACTGTTGAGTTGCACGAGTTTGCCGTCACACAGGGATACGCGTATTTAGGCGACCTAGTAAACCTCGCCATTCTCGACACTATTTCGTCTCCGATGCACCGTTTACCATGTTCTGCGACAAACCGTAAGCAAATTGTCAAATCTACTTACTCAATGGTTACTTACTTGATAGACGATCTCTTCGAGCTGTTCCAACTGAACCTACTAAAATCTTCCATTCTTCGCGCTATCTGATTACGCGAGCGTTCGCTGGAGGGATCGACCTTCTATGGATCCCCGATCTTTTGACCAGTTCGAAAGCCGTCAGCGTAACAAGCACCACGGTCCCGAACGTCAGTGTACGCACCAGTGGATCATCCACACTCAGATAGTGCCCTTCACCACGACTTCGAACCTCGCCTGACACCTTGTCACTGTTCCGCGCCTGAGGCTATCTGTGTTGTCCGTAACTTAACCCGCAAGCGGGGCCGCGATCTTTTTGTGCCCTCTGCAGGGTTCGTCGCAGCTCTTGGGGGTCTGAGCTGAGTAATAGTATGTCGCCAACTTGTGGCAGCGACTCAAGACAGTGATGTGGTTCATTAAGGGTAGGTAAACATCTGTGTCCCCACATATATTCCCGTCTGCCATACCGCGATTCACCTACGCATCAGTCTCAAGCACCAGAACCTCACAAGTGTGTACGGGCGCGTTGCGACCGATAACACCCTCTGACGCAGACGCAGGGAGCTGAAAACGAGGACGCAGATCTGGCGAACTTGTTCAGGCTGCTACCCGGGGCGGCTCATACAAAGCTCATACAAAGGGTCTACACAGACATTGGCCTTTGGGTCAGGGAGCCAAAGTAGGCCAGCTTTTTTAGTCTTTCTTCGATTCCCTTTCTATATTACCTTTGTCTACGTCTACAGTCCTCGAGAAGCCACTTCAATACATACGATCAAGTTATGAACGCTGAGGTCCCTTCAACTTGGTGGTGCAATACTCACAAGCTACCGTTCGTCTTGGTGAGATTCGGATTTGAGATTCGAAAACAAGATTGACAATCGAATAAACGTAGCGTAGTACTGATTGAATCTTTCGAAGTAGAGGAGGGAATAAGAGGGGGGCCACAGAAGTAAATGAGTTGTTGTCCAGATCGTAGTGCCGTTGACATTATTCAGCCTAGGGGATCTCATTCATTTCGCAAGAATAGCAAAGAAAAAACACAGATAATGGAGGTCTAGTGATATGTGAAAGCAGTAGGTCCTTGAACTCTACTATTGCCTTCCCCAGGGCGTACTGCAAAATGGTATTGGGCTCTCGTTCATGGCGTACGTCGTGGCTCTGAGGCTCGGTGTTTGGGGGTTCCACTGCGTACTGCTGGGTCTTGCTCCTCTTGCAAATACCTTTGTGGGATTGATATAGATCAGCGTCTAGCAGAGCAGTTGTCCCAGGATCGTCTAGAGTCCCGTCTCAGGAATTTTGGCAGAATGTCCGTTTTCAGCCGAGTCGTAACGCTTGACAGTGTCCACTCCCACGGGGCGTTGTTGCGATTGTTCAGGGTCCTTCTCTGGCACGATTTCCTTGACGATCTCATGATCAGACCTCTTTATCGAGGATTAGGGGGACCACCTGCCCACAATATGAACAGGTTCGAGAAGCAACCGGTGCGTGCGTCCCTTCTCTGCTTCTCTGTCAGCATATTATGCAGCGTATCGAGATTCTGACTGGCTCTTGAAGTATGTACCATTGGATTGGTACGCAACTCCCCAGAATCCATCCACGGCGACAATTCACTAAGCTACCTCCATAGCACTCCGCTGTAGAACAATTCTCCGATCTCGGTTAGGCTTGGACAACATTGGCGCCCTCCCACAGCTTCGCACCAAATCGGTGGATATATCTGCTGACCACCCATTCCATACCCTCGGGCTCGAGCTGACTCTTGGGAGTTTGAACTATCTATATGTAGGCGGAGCACCCTATATCTACTTCTATTCACACACGCGCTTCCTCAGCGTTTCCTACGCTGACCTTACCGACCCGTGAGACGACCTATTTAGCTCACTCAGGCGTTGTAACCGTGCTGTTCCTGAACTGCGCACACCAAACATCCATGACCCGGGTTGTTCCATGTGCAGCATTGGCGCTGAAGATCAGAGTACATAGGCCCATGGTTATGCATTTCGAAGAGTCGTTGCAGGGACATGGACAGGTTTATCGAGTTCGATTGTAGATCAAATCTCCATACCCGAAGGACATCGGTGCTCGAGATTGCGACCCTTCTCTTCGATGGGAGTAGGCTTCGGCCGACTAGGTGCTTCGAATGCTCCCTCGTTGGCCGATGGTCTGTATCGCATCGATTCTCGTGGCGTTCACGGCGAACTTCATTATCAGTTTGAGCTTCAATGTCTGGAATGTACATACGCGCACCCAGACCCGGGTTATTCAATTACATAGCACAGTTACGAAACACCTCAGATGGCCGCGACACGCGGAACAAACGGGAATGTGTGTCGAAGGGCAACTCCATTCTGATAGTGATGGTTTGTGTCGTCCAATATGAACACGGGAAGACAGACAAGCTTGGTTAGTTTGATGACCAGGAATGCTTATCACTTACCATATTGCGTGGGCTTTAATATATGATTGACATGTTTCTGATCGGCGATTGTTCCCCAGCGCCATTCATCCATAGCATCACTGATTATTTCTGATCATCAGAAACAGAGTTGTGGGCGCTTTGTTGTTCGGTTTCGGAGAGTCAGCAGTAGAAGTCTGGGACTTGGAGAAAGGAGCGGTGAGTATTACGCAGGGTCACTCGGATCTGGTGCGCCCTGCTGGAGTGCCGTCAACAATGAGGATTTGAAGATACCGGGAAGTAACTTCAATGACTAAGCGCCCTCAGCGCCTACCATGCCGCTACGGGCTCCGATTGAAGTTTAAACTTCTGAAAAACTTTATCCCAACTTTATCCATGGATCGCTAGCAGTGACTCTAAATTGCGCTCTTGAGCTTTGGTCAATCCACTACTGACTACAACTATGCAGCCGACTCTTTCTGACGAGACTTTCTGCTTGATCCTCGAATACGTGCGGGGTAAAGAGGCTCTTTGGAACCTCCTCTTGTCTTCGCAAAAGCTCTGCGAGCTAACGAAGCCGTTCTTCTACGCCAATGCAGCATTTCATCCAACAATAGAAAACCTCAGGTGCTTCCTCAGAGCAATGGAACTCCAGCATAATGGACGACACACGGAGCTCTTTGTTCGCACCCTCATATTCTACGCCAATGATGAACCCCTTGAAGACACTCAGCTTCGACTTGTTAATAAGATTCTGATGAAGACGACCAACTTGACGTCGCTCAGTCTCGTACTCCCGTCACCCCGACCCTCTCTTCAATTTCTTGAGGATGCGACGTTCTCTCTCAGTGAGCTCAGTATCAGCGTCCCCGACATGGACGACAATCTGGTCCATTTTTTAGAGGCACAATCACAGCTCAAAGCCTTGCGGCTCGATTGTTCCTCTCAAAGCAAGTCTAGCGCATCTCATTTCCGCTCCCCATCCTTCCTAAACCTCCAGGTCTTGATCACTACATATTCCGTCTTCCACCAATTCTTCGAACTGCGTGCATGCGTGACGCACCTCACTGTGCTCGACCTTCCGTATTATACCCGCCCTGTAGGTCGAAACAGCTTTCTCGACAATATACGGGTGTTTTCGTGTCATTCTTACTTCGGCCCGACCGTGCTCTTGAAAGGGGTCTTATTCTTCCCCAACCTTCAATGGATGGAGATTCGCTCATCGGCCAGTATTCATGAAGTCTTCAAAGGACTATGCACCGTCTCCGAGCACATTCGAAACCTTCGAGGTGTACGATTCGCCTATCAGGAAGCCACACCCTTCCTAGTGAGTGAGGCGAAGAAATGCTTTGATGCCCTCGCCTCGCTTCAGTTTGTAGAATTCTGCGGGGAACTTGGATGCTGCCAACGCTGGCATCGGGATTCGGTTGCACCGACCGAAATCAGGTGGAAGAGCTTGGGAGGCAGCGAGTGGTTGTTTGATTGGGAGAAAGACGTCGTTGAGGTTGATGGCGACGAAATTCTGCCAGATTGGTTATTTTGAATGGTGAACGCTTCTACGGTTCATCTTAGACGTTGCTTACGCTCCTCTGAAGATGTACCTTAAACCGCATGAATCAAGTATGAACCTGTGCAACTTGAAGCAACCCAAATTATCAAGCACTCCATGCGCCCCTTGAGTACTTGCGTGTGTTAGGTTGGGGTCAGACAAGACCCCGCGTATCCAAACTTGTAATCACCATGCCTCATGCCCAGCATCTCCAAGTCTAGTTTCGTCATCAGGCACAACCCACCCTTCCCCGTGGACGTACACGGCGTTCGAATATGCTATCATCCAACACCAACTCCCTCATTTCACGCCAGGAGTGCCTAGGACGCTACAGGCAATGTCAGAGATCGTGTTCGTCACCGCTAGGCATACCCACAGTGCCGCTGTTCGCTGGTACAGTCATGCGGAGAGCGTGGAGGCCCACTGGAGGGAAGGCGTCAAGCAGGCGCCAATAACCATGAGAATTTAGAAAGCGGTGATACTACACACCGCAAATTACCGAACCTAAACTGCTGGGGTATTAAAGCTCGAGGATCTGCGAAAACCCATCACCCCGCCCGCATTACTAGCAATTAACCATGTCCGAAACTCAAGGACCGCTCGGAGCGCCGGGGACCCTAATCGAGCGCGAAGATCCAGGTATGACGTCCAAATCCTGACGAAGAGTGAGTCGGGCCTCTTAATGCTACCCTCTCTAGTCAACAACTTTAGTGATGCTGATGACTGGCGCAATCTCGGCATTTCTATGCAAGCTCCGACTTGGGAGGTTTTGTCGATTGCTCTGAGAAATCAAAGCAGTCGTAATTGGAAGGACTATGTTGTGTTTATACGCTATGGTTCTGCGGGTAAGCAGATTTCGTCAATCAGGTTATGGCGGGCAATTAATGATCCCTACTCAGAGAATCGTATTGAGCGTTGTCTGTCGTGGGATGAGAGACCGCTCGCGAAATTCATGAAGCTGAAGGATGCTGGAAAGGATCCGGTTTTCGTACTCAAAGGTGCCGAAAGCCTCCCATCACCCATCGCCATCGCCCGGCAGAAAATCGCCACACGTAGCGCAGGATCTCACGCAGACAACGATATCGATCACCCTCGTATCTCTCTTCTCAACGACACGTCTCTCGGATCGTCAGGCGAACGCACGATGGGTCAGGGGTCAAGCGTAAGCTCAACTACGACGGAAAATACACTGATCGTTGGTGCTGGGGACCAGTATGAATTCTGTCACAGCCATGGGTCGGCTTTCTCCACTAGCACTGCAGTAGAGATCCTCTCATACGCGGTGGCTGTATACCCCTACTCGGCAGAGCAGGGCGACGAGCTCAATGTCGCTGTGTACGTCCCCCTCACCTCTAGATATCTCCTCACCAACCCACTGATCGGGATTCTGATGTAGAGGAGATACTTTCGTCGTTTCGTCTCGAGATAGCGGCTGGCTTGTCGTCCAGCGCGATCCCACAGGGTCTGGAACTACGGCTGACTCCGAATTATCTGTGAAAGGGCGCATACCTAAGGGATGTGTACTCGAAACAAACATGCCGGTGGCGTCTGCAATAGCCGAAGCAACCGCGCCAGACCCGAATCGCCCACAGATATCAGCTAGCAATGGTCCTGCTTCCCCGCGAATTGCCGCGCCCATTCTCTCGCGGAGCATCCTCACGACTAGTGCTCAAGGTATCGCATCCATGGACTACCAGAGGAATGGTGACTGGGAGATAGATTTGTCCTCAGGCGATGCCCTGAGAGTCTTCAAGCGCCACGCCCATTGGTTGTATGTAGTCAAAACGGATGGTGGTGGCCGTGGCTGGGTGCCGGTGTGTCTCTTCACTCTACGACTATCCGCATTCTAATTTTTAACTACCTTTTAGTCGTGGGTCGTTGGGAAGGTCACTGCAGTTCCTCTCGATATCGCTACGTAGCCCAGCTGATGCCCGTCTTGCCATGTTGTTGCCCAACAACAATGATCTGCTAATGCATTCATCAACCCAGGGCGAAACAAAAGTACAGATCCCTCATCGCTTCTGTGGCTCAGTTGGCTAGAGCGTTGGTCTCATACGGTAGTATGATCACATCCTGATGTGAGCAATCCAAAGGTCGCAAGTTCGAGCCTTGCCAGGAGCAGTGAACCGTTAGAATAGTTTTTTTTTGCTCTAGAATTGTTATTAGAGCATCGACTGGCTTCTGAAGAGTGCCAACATGGCAGGTCTTTGCTAGCGAGGATTGAGAAGATCCGACCTTGAACCATTTTTGCAGACTCTCGTTGCAGAAGGTCAGGATGCGGCATGGTGTACGCAACTTGAAGGGAGTCCACATACGTGACTTGTGAATCCAATCAAACGGTAGGACTTATCATGATCTAGGCATATATGAATAGTGACATATGTAGGCCATTTGATCCTGAACATATCTGTCTTTTGGTTATTCAGGTCAAAAACCGGGTGGCCCCTTCGTCAGCCGGTGTGAAGCACCTTACCGCTCCTTTCATCACAGCTGATGGTGCTTCACCACGAAAAAAACCACCACATATTGCTCTGCTCATGGACCTCGGCACCACTTCAGCATTTGGCAACTCCACTAGCCCGCGCTTCATGATCGATTTTAAGGCCGAACCTCCACTAGTCAAGAAGGCCGCCATGAAGGACGCAAATACCTCTTCAGCGGCTTCCATCCGAGACCATTACTTCTCTTCGTCTTATCCTGAGCACGATCGATGGACAGTTCAAATTGGAGGGCATAGAATGGAGGAGTACCATATCGTGGCTAAGTATGCCCCGGATTTGCTTAAACAGTACATTTGGGATGAAGACACGGGACTGGTCTTGCAAGAGTACGAAACAAGGCTTGTGAAGGAAACTGATCCGTTGGGGAACATCGAGGATTAAAAACGGTCTCTTACCCGTCGTGCGGCCCTTGACCCAAGTGCTGACCTACGAAGCAGAAAACCCAAATATTTAGGATCGGTTTGAGTATGTAAGCTATATCTCCATTCGACTTTGTAGTTCGGTGCCCAATGTCAGTTCAGTCGGCAAGTACTGGAATATACGATACATATGTAGTCAAGCACACATTAGAATGAAGTTTACTTTTGGTTTGTGCGCTTGATCATCAAGGGACGATCAAGAGCGTATGCAGGAGTTATTTTGTCTGAGTGAAGATTCCACTTTCCGAACAGGAGACTAAAGCAGGTCAGCAAGTCTTCGTCGAAAAGCGCAGGAGCAACTGTTCTACTCACTCAAAGAGGGACATGATGGTCCATTTTCGGTTGTCAGCTTCAGGGAATACCAGCGACCTCGGGCCATAGAAGACCTATGCGTACGATGAAATTAGTGCATCCCTGACTGAATGTGCAGTGAAACCGAACCTCGTCGTCAACCTCGTGAGGCTTCCGCGGCAGGCAGTGCAGGAACTTCCAGTCGGGGTTAGCACCGCCGTCCTTGCAGAGTTGTTCCGTGACTTGATATCCTTGGAAATCCCTCAGCCTTTCCTCCTTCTCCGCCTCCTGGCCCATTGATATAAACGTATCCGTGACAACGACATCAGCGCCATGAACCGCTTCCTTGGGGTCAGCCCCCCACCAAATCTTCTTGTCACACTCCAGCTCCACTACACGGTCCCAAACAGCCTTCGGCGCACGGTACCGTTCATTCTCAGGGCTCGCGATGCGTAGCGAATGCCCGAATCGCGGATAGGTCACTAGCATGTCGTGCAACACATTTGCCGAGTCGCCTACGTACGCGACTGTGAGAGGGCGGAGCTCTGGGAGCGCGGTCCACCGCTTGTCGTCGATGGACTTGTATTCCGTGACATTGTTTGGGCTAAAAAGATGCGCGTGCTCGTGCAGTGTCAGTAGGTCTGCCAGTATCTGGGTTGGGTGCCACAAGGAGGACAGCGCGTTCAAAACGGGCACAGGCGAGTACTTGGCTAGTTCCTACCCAGAGACGGTATCAGTTCCAGAAACGAGGGAAAACGGGCTAAGGACGGACCTCAATCTCGCTGTGATCACCGACCCTCGCGAAGATACCCTGGCACATTCCCCCAATAACCCTTGCAGTATCCCTTGGGCTCTCGTTGACGCCCAGCTGGATGTCTTCCTTGCCTAAAAACAGAGCTTGTCCCCCGAGGAGTGTCGCGGCTGTTTCGGCACTGACGCGTGTCCGAGTGCTTCGCTTTGAGAACAGCAGAGCGACAGTCTTTTTGTCCAGTGACTGCGAGGGCTTTTGTTTCCACAGTTTGCCAGGCTGCAGCCACGGAAGTGAGATTTGCTTCAGGTAATGCGAATGAACAAGAATACGATGAATTTGAGGAGCGGAAAGGTCCGCAAGAGTCATCAAGTGGGGAACTGCGGCTGCCATGGTCGAGTCCTGGATATTTGAGTTGCTGGAACGTCGAAGTTACTGTCGAATGGGACAGAACTGAGAAAAGCAACAAGTGGTCAAATTAGCGCCGGTCCACTGTTGTCCGGCGTCCGCCCAATTGCCTCCAGTTCATTGAATATCCCATTCGCACATAACCGAGTCCTGCACCGTGCGTACTTTTCATTGCTGCTGGCAGACAGTTTATCGCGACCGCGGATAGTCGTGTGTGCAGTCGAGGCGCGGTCGAGCACATATTATCTCGCGAAACGAAGGAAAAGGTTCCGTAGGTCAGTTACCAGTCCATCCATCTCGTCCATTTATACTGTGATCCCTACTGCGATAGGAGGGAGAGCTACTTCCTAGAAATGCGTTCTACGTGATCAGCACAGGCTGGTTACTAGGTAAACTTAAGTATATCATGAGTGGGGGGGCCTTCCTTGAACTATTCTGTAGTGTCGCGGCTTTCACAGTGGCAGTCCAACCTTGTAGGTTGATCCTTTCCCAAGTGGCAATCCTTCCCTACGACTGCAGGCGAGCCTGATCCTTCCTTGACTAGCCTTTATGACATTACAAACTGTCATCACGCGACGTACGTCTAGGTACATGTACGTCGCCATACCTCCCTCACAGGATCACCTCTTAGTTTATGTCAACTCCCTATTGGCCAGGTTGGTTGTCTCCTCTCTTCTCTTGGCGCCCCTGAACCCAAGTACTCCCTAGTTTGAGCACCAGGGTGGATTTCGCCTGAACGGCGTTCTTTTCAACCATTACGCCGCTTTCGTCGTAGACACTGGGTTTGAGCGTCGTCCGGTGTCTCTAACTAACCCACTGACGTCCGATGGCATTCGGCCTCTCCAAGCAGTCAATTTTACAACGCAGAGGTTTCAAGCGATACCAACGGAGTCAAGCAAAACCCTGACGGTGTGCAGCGTCGTGCTGTAGATGCTGTAAGCTCCCATTGTGAGCGTTCCCTTGCTGAAAGTTTGTTCCTAGCGGCACAGTGGTATTGAACCATCATTTCTACATTTCGGCCGCGCCGACCGCCACGGTAGTCGCTAAATTACACTAGATCCGAAAACGAGTTGACTTCACAGCGATGTTCTCTGGTCACTTTAGTAAGAGTACTACCTCCACCAAGGCTTCGAAACATTTCACCTTTGGTTGAGTCATCCCCATCTGTAAGTACATTTCAACAGATAGACGCCTGAATATTGATGATTTACTTTGGATACGGCCTTGCTGGTGCTGGTAATGTACGTATGGCCGATCCGACCAACCAACAGCAGTTCATCAGTATGCAATGCCCACATGGTTTGTCTCGGGCTACCTATGAGGGGGAAATCAGTCCCGGCGGATGCATATTGAATCCGATCTTTTTGGAGAAGGCTTGCCGCCACTATGCGAGGTGCGTGTGGCAGAAAGAACAGCCATTGTTGGTAGCATCTCGTGGCCTACCATATGCTCTGAAGGAAGCAAAAAAAATTCGTGATACGTGCTTGGAACTCAGCGTTATAAGTTGGTTCCATGATTGTCCTCGACTTCACCACCTTCCTGATCGACTCCCCGTACGCCTGTCTATCTCTTGATATTCAACGGGAATGCTGACTATCAGAATGGTTGACTAGCTCGCTAAAGAACAGATGCCCCTTTCATCAAGCAGTCAATTCGCTCCCGGGCCTTGGGGGGCATACAAGGAAATCGCCTCGCAATTTCCCAACGCTACCGCAATTATCGATGACACCACAGGGCTTGTCTTGAGTTATGACGGGTTGACGGATGCTGCCATGAAGCTTGGCAAACGAATCACCGACACATTCGCCACAGTGCCCGGGGAGCCGGTTGGCATCATGATGGATAGATGCGTAGGGCAAATCATCTCACAGCTAGCGATTCTCTACATCAGCGGCTCCTGCGTTCCCATTGACCCCAGTCTTCATGTCCAAACCCGCGAAGCTATGTTAGATCGTCTGGGGATACGCTGTGTCCTCACCGTCGATGAAAAGAGCATGCAAGTAAACCTTCGAGAACCACCCACAATCTTCTCTGCCCAAGGGGCGCATTCTTCGACCGAAAATTGCTCCCATATCCTTCATACCTCTGGATCCACGGGTGCTCCCAAGGCTATTCGATTGCCAGGGAAGGGGGTACTTCGCCACGCGGGGAACAGCCTTTTCCCACTCAAGCCTGGCGACTTCATCGCTCACCTCTGCTCTCCATTTTTCGACATATCGATTCTCGAAGTTTGGAGTGCACTCCTTTCAGGCGCTACTGTCGTCGTGTTCTCCCCTGACAAAGTTCGCGACCCTCTTGGCATGGATTCGTCTTTCAAGTGCCGTAATATACACGTGTCCTTCATGCCTACGGCCCTATTCAACGCCATTGCCATTGCCAAACCTACAGCATTCAGCACCTTGCGGAAGATTGTCATAGGTGGTGAACCAGCTAACGCTGCCGCTATCGAACGTGTGCTCAGGGTTTCTCCCTCATCCTTCGCATTGTACAACGCATATGGCCCAACGGAATGCTCTGTACTTGTTTTGGTCCATAAAGTTAGCTTAGAGGAAGCTTTATCTGGCCGCATTGCTATAGGCACTCCATACGACCCTACAACTACTGTCCGGGTTATCAGCAGCCGCGGAGTTGACGTGAATGGTGTCGAGAAGGGGGAGCTTTACCTTGCGAGCAGCGGGTTAGCTATAGACTATTGGAAGATGGACGACCTCAATGCGGAGAAGTTTGTCTGGCAGGACGGTCGAAGATGGTACAAGACAGGAGATGAGGTGTGGTGGAGAGATGGGAAGGTCGGTGGAATTTTGGAATATGCTGGAAGGCAGGACAACCAAGTCAAACTTCGAGGCTATCGCTTCGAGCTAGAAGAGGTGGAGGTCGCCATTTTGGCGAGTGGATTGGCAGATGCCGCTGTGGCATTCGTTTTGCGACCAGTCGAAACTGCCCCCCTGCTAATCGCTTGCGTAGTTCCAAAATCCGGCATGCGTGCCACGTCAAAGCAAATTCAGCATCATTTAGGAACTCGACTGCCAGTATACATGGTGCCTCGTATCAGGTTATGCGATAGCCTCCCTCTCACACGAACTGGGAAGGTCGATAGGCGTGCGCTGGAAGCTACATATATGACCGCTGTTCACAAGTGTACTGCTTTGCACGAAGCGTCCGCAGCCGACCCCGTTGCCTTGATGAAGAGTATCTGGCAAGCCACCCTTGCGATTCCATTCGACATCGGTATCGATGATGATTTCTTCGACCTTGGTGGAAACTCCATCTCAGCCTCGAGTGTTCTACATCGTTATCGTCGTGCATCTGGAAACGAGATCCCCGTCCACGCCATCTACCAGCACCCCACTATCCGGGGTTTGGTATCAGCTGATCAAATCCGAAACATATCCATGACAGAAACCCTGCTGCGCGACTCGCGGCTCGCAGATGACATATGCCCTCAGGTTACAACAAATTATCGAACTGAGGCTAAGCATGTGTTCCTCACCGGCGCGACTGGTTTCTTGGGAGCCTACGTCCTTAATGATCTCCTCAAAATCCGGTCAGTTGACACAGTCATATGCCTGGTCAGGGCCCCAAGCGACGCCATAGCTCGTCTCCGAATCCAACATGCGCTGGAACGCTACGATCTCTGGAACGCGTGCTCGCCTGTCGCCTCTAAGATCTCCGCCTTCGCGGGTTCCTTGCAAGACGAACAGTTTGGTTTAAGCACCGAGGCCTACAACAAGGCACTCAACACGGATATCATATATCACCTAGGTGCGCAGGTGAAATACATAGAGCCGTATTCTGCGCATAGGCCAGCCAATGTTATTGGGACATTGAATGTCATTCGCCTTGCCGCCCTAGGCCGTTCAAAGACCCTTCATTACGTCTCGAGTATCTCTTCCTATGGGCCCGTCGGCATGACCCACCCCAACCTCTACCTACCGGAAGACGCTCCGCTTCTCCCACATGTCAGGGATTTGGACCACGATATTGGTTATGCCCAAAGTCAATGGGTGGCTGAGGAGATGGTTCGCCGAGCAATGGGCCGTGGTATTCCTGCTTCAGTTTATCGGCCTGGGCATATATTGGGCGACTACCATCGAGGAATTGGAAACAACGATGACTTTGTTGCTCGACTGGTCCACGGGTGCAAGATGATCGGGGCCTGCCCTCGGTTACCAGATCAAAGCAAATTTTTCATCCCCGTCGACCACTGCTCTGCAATGCTACTCCGCCTCTCGCACAACCCCGAGGCACTCGGCGGATGCTACAACCTAATTCCTCCTGCAGGGATGCAGCCCGACCAAGTAGATGTTGCCAAATTCTTCGCCATCTTACGGTCCCTCGGTCTCAAGATGGAAGAATTACCCTATAAAGAGTGGGTGGAGCGGTTGGAGAACTCTAGTGGGAATAACACGCTCCTCCCACTCCTCCCAGTACTGAAGGCACCAACCACCGAGGGGTCATCTTTCTGGGAATTGTACGAACACGTACCCACTTACGAAACGTTGAAAACCGAACGAGCGTTGCGTGGGGGCCCGGGACACCTGCTGTTCCCTGACTTGGATGAGGCGTACTTCGGAAGGTGCCTCAGAGTATGGGCCCAACTTTGGCGTTGAACAGAACTTTCTTGCTCACTACTAGATGCGCTGTATCATCCAAATTTTAAATTTCACTTTCAAATCCTAAGTATAAGATGTTTGTAAGGGGCGTGAGAATTGAGATGAGATGCTACACTGATGTTGCATGCACCCCTCAAGCGCAGCACCGACGTCCGTTACCACTCTACGGACACGACCTCCTCAACACAGAGGACAGAGAATTCCATCATGATAAACAACAGGAGCTTCAGGATATAGTAAAGAATGAGCTACGCAACGCCACCTTCGAGGCAAGTTGAGTCGTTTATCCTTACTTTATGAGTTATCTGACACTCTGTCACAGATCTGTCAGTACCTGATCATTCTGATTCCCTAATGAAAAAGAGTAATGAAGCTTGAAGGCTCAAGGCAGCAATGGATGAAGAATCATGTCAACACTGAAGGAATCACCAAACCGTGCGAAGTATTTACTTCCAGGTTTATCCATCTCCTTCATCGAAAAACGGAACCAATCAACGAAGACCCCGTGAATGAGCCAAAATACAAGGAATCGGAACCTCGTGAACTGTAACAAGAATACAAGGATCACCCATGCCGCCCGTAACAACGGCCCTTGTACGACACCTCTATAAATGAGGGCACTTCTCTAGAAACACCGAAGAACCATGACTGACGAGCAAGAGAAGGAGAATCTACCCAAAGCTTTCTCAGCGCTTGTGATCATCGTAAGTTCGAAGACGACTTTCTCTTGCCTCCGGATCGCGAGTACGCGATGCCATTACTGACGACGCGAAATCCCACAGTCCACATGCAATGCCGCAATTGTTATGGCCTACTTGTCCTTTATGCGTGATTACTTCGATTACACCGTCCACTCCGACCCCGAATCGAGTTATCCCCTCCACTTCGCTACGGTAACAGGTGTTGTATCCCTGATACTCAACTCCACAACAGCCTTCATCGCCGGGACAAGCGCAGCTCTGATGGCCTACCACCACGGCTCCGCAAGATGCAGTGTACCCTTCTTCCGTATGCGGCTCCTCGTCTGCCTAATAGCGCAAATTGGCGCAGCGCCGGCACTCATCGCATGCTTTACGGTTTTCCTTCTCAAGTGCAATATGGTGGCGGGGTTGTTATCGATGGTATTCCTTTGTGTTGCTCTTTGTTTCTCCTTGAGCGTGATGCATGTAGACGGTGGTTCGTTCTTATTGTTCCTGAGGGACCTGTACATGTCATCCGCATCTTCATAGCTCGTGTATAATTCATTCATATAGGCCAGATGTTAGTAACGGCTACATGCTTAGGCCATTTGCGCAGTTACCAGTCGACTTTCGCGATCTCGAACACACGCTCGCTACTTTTCCACCAAGTTATTTATCCTGTTTTGGGCATCGCATCTGAGTTCCGACTTGCCCGCCGGTTGGTCGAATCTTAAACGAGGGTTGGTCGTGATAATCACACAGACGCCCTTTGTTTGCTTTCGCGAGGGCTGTTGCTTGGGGTTCTGTATCGATCCTGATCGATGATCGACTCACGCATAGATCGGTGTTTGTGGCCTTGTTTGTGGCCTCCAAGCTTCAACGTTCAACTTCGCTTCAACTGCCCCCTCACACCCCCTCACACTTTCGACAAGCGACAAGCACACCGTCCTTCGGCAAATTTTACAGTCACATCCATACTGTCATAGCTACGGGGATGACTAGGCATGACTACGGGTGACCACAAGACACGTTGTTGTTAGCTCCAGACCCTGGAATCATCGTCATCCCAGTCAATGTCTGTTGACTCTTCGAGCTCCTCTGCGGTAATGGAGCACCATCAGTGGTTGTTCCGATGGGTATGCTGAGAGCTTTGCGTTCCTCGAGGAAGTCTTTGACAGCCTGAAGTGGTTTCGTGTTGCTGAGCTCGCATCCAGAGAGATAAAGTGTTTCAAGTAGGGGCAGAGGAAGCTCCGTGGATGATGATTTCATCAGAGGCCCTAAGTATCGGATGGATATGTTCCTCAAGTGAAGGGAGCGCACTTGCGTGAAGTGGTGGTATAGAGTGGTGAATTGTGCCTGCGACATGTTCTCAAAGCCTTCTATTATTTGCAAGAACATGTCGCTGAGCCATATGGAGGGCCCTGGTGTTCTTCGATGTCCAACATGAGGTCAAGGTGATGCTGCTGAATAGATAGTCATCTGGAATGCACCGTTATACCAGCTACCCAACTCGACTTTGTCAACCATGAGAGGACCTATTTGCAAAGCAACGGAACACCTTGAGGAAAGCTGGCAAATCTGGTTGTCCCAAGAATTCGTCGTCGTGAAGAAAACGAACACGAGCACTGAGTGGATATTCAATGTTGGTGATGATGGCGAAGCCTTCGAGCTTGTCGAAATCAATGGATATTCGATTGAGATTAGGAAGCAGGATGGGAATGCTTCGTTGCGTGGGGGAATCGACTATGACGAGGCCTTCGGATATCAAGGTCCTCTAACTTCGGAGTATGCTGGAGCGAAGAGAGGACAAGTGAACTTGGTTGGATTCCGTGGCACGATATAGACAGATGTGTTAGATGAGGCAATGGGGGGAGCTGTGAAGTTATTTGTATGTTGGTGAGGTCAAGCTGGCGAAGGGAGGGCATCCCTCGACCCAGAATATCAGGTGGCAGAGAAAGGCATTCCGCGGAGGGGTTTTCAATCCCTAGTCGAAGATCCTCGAGCATGGGTGAGCTCTTGCCCCCATTCAAGCGCAGAAAATGAAGTAGCTCGTTTGCGGGTAATAAGAGATAAAGTCTCTGAATCCGACCAACTTCTGCCATGACGGCCCCGGCGACGTGGAGGTGTGATTCCGTGTAATAGCGCAAATGCTCGCAACTTACTTGTAGAGGGACAGACTGGGAACGACCCAGCGACCTCAAAGCAGGATCGGTTCGGGAAAAGTCAATGGAACTCCACATACGAGGCGATGCAAGCAAGATTTGGCGCCATTGGCGGCACACCCTGATGATACTGGTGCTGCAAAATGATGAATATAGGTTTTCACCAATAGTGATCCTTCCGCGATAACCTGTGTTGCGCCACTTTGTGCAGAGCAATCTCTTTGTCGATGATACGCTGAGCCTCAGTCGCCTCCATCGTTTGTGTAAAACTTAGGGAGCATCAATGACATGAACATAACTTACTTAGGCTCGCAGTATGGATTAGCATCATTCCCACAATCAGGAGGATTTATTTCCACAATCAATGTCAGTCTAGGTTTACTTCAACATTTATGCCTTTATGAATGTTACTTATAGCAAATGTCTGCGCTGTTTTCCTCTAAGCGTACTGGTGGGTCATAAAATATTCTCAACAGCTTCATTCACCGCAAATTGACAAGCTCTTGCAAGTACACGCGTCGCGCGTAGTATAACTTAAACCAATTCCAAAATGGTCCACCCTTCGTGCGATCTTCAGCTTCAGAGACAAACTCTCGACGGACCGCTATATCTATTCTAGCCTGATGCTCATCTGATCGGCTCGTGCACCTGCTTTGGTTGTATGCATGGTCGGACCCCGAGCTCGATGGCTTCCCAACCTTTTCTTTTCTTGCAAAGACTAACGACTGTCTTGTTTCTGAGTATACTGCTGCCCCACTTCTCCTCGCTGCACCCGACGTTCATCAGACGCTGGCGGCACATATTCGGGAGAATCTCTTGAACATTCCAAAAGGACGTCCTAGTTCTTACGGCTTGGATCATGCGCCTCTCCATGCCTGCTTCTCGTTCATATGCCATGAGCTCACATTGTCTGCCGACTTGCTTCCCTAGCTCCACCCACACATATTTAAGACCTTCGCTGAAGGTCTCACCATCGATCCAACCTCTGGCTTTATGATGAACCGTTCTATACCAACATTGACATTCGTGCTTGCTGTATTTTTTCTTACACCAACGCTCGCTTTGCAAAACGGGGTTGGAAAGCTTCCTAGTACGTATTTGCTCCGTATGGGTCCATTTACAAGCTTACGTTTCAACGGTCCTCAGCATTGGGATATAACAGTAAGGCCTTCCCTGAGTCCTTGATCTGAACGACATTCATATACAGCTGCCAGCGTGGTATGCCTACCAGGTACTTACAGTATTCCTGTACACCGTCGCGAAGCTCAAACGGACGCTCAATTAGTGCAACATTGATGAAGACCTCATTCTCACCGACGCGAAATTGATAAAGTCTTTCGGGCTTCTGGTATTGTGCACCATCTCAGATCATATGGCACCACGGTAACAATGGATATCCAGGACGCCGGATACAATTATGTCAATCTTGATGATTGTTATGCAGAGCGAAACCGTAGCGCAAGTGGGGACATCATTGAAGGTAAAAATGCATTTCCAAAGCGATCGCGGAGATTATCCCTTACCAAAGGCCGCAGATCAAGTTCGGTTCAGAAGCGGGATGAAGAATTTGACCGATAATCTCCATGCTCTGGGATTGTAAGCGTTCTTCCGGTAACGAAGGATACCTTCGACTCACATTCCATCAATAGCAAAACAGGCATCGTGCGGTATCAATACATCTCGACTAACGTCCATACTAATCCCACTCACCAGTACAGCGACTCGGGTTGGTTTACTTGCGCTGGATACCCGGGATCGTTCCAGAACGAACTCCGTGATGCTCGCACATTCCAGGATTGGGGCTTCGACTATTTGAAGTACGTACTTTACGAGGATTCCCTGGTAGTTGTTGCTAATAGTTTGAACAAGGTACGATAACTGTGCAAGTTCGTTGTCTGCCCATCGTTGACCTGAAGTTCGAATGAAATAACCTAACTTCTCCCAATTCGGTTGTAGTTCCATATGACAGGATCATCCGAGAAGGCATCGTTGGAAGTAAGTTGTTGCCTCGACCCTTGTCCTCCGCGTGCTTATTGGTGACTCCTTTAGAGTATGAGCGAATGGCTGATGCCCTCGAGGAGTTGTCGGCGACCTCGGGACATCATCCTTTTACGTTCGCCCTGTGTCAGTGGGGTTGGGTTGAGTGTTTCTCTCACTTACACAGCTTGCTCAAGCTGATACCAGGGGCAATAGAACCAGGTGTGGCAGTAAGTGCACGTTCCGATTGCCTGAAAGGTGTTTGGATTGACCGCCTTGAAACACAGATGGGGAAAGCAGTTTGGTCACAGCTGGAGAGTAAGTTGATATCGCCTCCCGACATAACTGGTCACTGACCACACGAAGACAACGAATGATATCGCCCCGCATTGGGATGCCTTGGCAAATGTCATCAATTTGTGGGTGCCTCCTCCGTCCTTCGCGCAGTGTTTTATATGCCGCGCTTCTCACATAATATATAGCAACTCCTTCATCACACAAGCAACGGACTTCTACGGCCACAACGATCTAGACATAGTAAGTAACACATAGTATCTGCGGACCAGGCGTGTCAGCTGAATCATTATGTTACTAGCTCCAACTGTGGGTTTAAATAACGAGGTTTCAACATTTTACTCACACTTTGGGCGGCTCGCGCAGTGGAAATGGGGACCTCACGTTTGATGAGGCGAAATCACACTTCACGGCATGGGCGTTGATGAAATCTCCCTTATTAGTACGCCAGTGTTCCCTCATTATGCCCATTGCCATGCAGTTCACGCTTCTCTGTGCAGATCAGCGTCAATGTCAGTGCACAGATATCAGTCAGCATATGCGTTCTGACATATTCGGCCTAAATCTTAGATGTCCACCATCACCAACGAGACGCTGGAAATCCTGACGAACAGAGAAATCCTAGCCATAAACCAGGATCCGGTAGTGGGCACCAGCATCTCGCCCTTCAGATGGGGAATAAACGTACGGTCGCTTCGTTCGATCAATACGCGCACATGCTTACACTCGGAGAGTAGCCTGACTGGACGAGCAACAGCAGCTTCCCCGCGCAATACTGGAGTGGCCAGTCACAGAATGGCACGGTTTTCATGCTGGTTTGTCACTCCTTGAAACAGTTGTTCACTGATATCTCACCTAGACGCGTAGTTGAACACGCTGAACGAGCCATCGGACCTGACATTCAATCTTACTGAGTCGCCCTGGATTCGTGCAGGGCGCGCGTACTCTGTGAGGGTGAGCCTCGGTGTTTTTCTTCTAAACCGCGGAAACAAATGCGGCCCCATAGGACCTTTGGACCCACACCGACAACGGGACTGCAGTGCGGAATTTCACCGCTCACGCAGTTCCACCCCATGGCGTTGCCGCCCTCTTATTGAAGGATGTTGGTGACGAGCCCGCGGGGCTCTTCCCAGAGTGCAGTGTTTGGATTCAGTGCACAGACAAAAACGGTACTCGAGTTGGTGGGTAAGTTAGAGGTGACCGAAGCTTTGAGCAATGTGGCAAGTGTTCGCCTAGCAGGTAGCCTGTTCATGAATGTGTATCCAAGGAATCGTCCTTTTGACCCATAGTAAGAGGTGCTCTTCGTCTACATTGCTCTTCCAATCATGAGATTTGATGCGCACGAAGGGCCAAGAAAGAGTGGTCTGGCGGGTTAGTATGCACCGCTGGTGTCTGCGGGAAAGTGCCTCTGAAACAGCGAATATGATAGCTTGAAGCTTGAGCCACTGCACTGATTTTGTACCCATTGAATAAAGCCGAGGCCTCTTTGGCCTGCGGAACCGCCAAGTAGCATGTAGTTACGGACAGTACAACTTAGAGGACATGAACTACAACACAAACAAGACTAGTTTACTTCCAGCGACCGTTACCCTTGTCGTAAGGCAACTCACGAGCAGAACCGTACGCTGCCGTTGATCTGCTGACGCCCGCACCGGGGCCAAAGCGGCTCCTCCTACCGCCGCCGAGGACAGTAGCAGCTTTATCCCGTTCTTGGAGTTTTGCTGGAGGAGCAGTTGTCGTGAATTCAATACGCGATCGCTTGCCAGATGACTCTGCCTGCTGTTCTGACCGGGCCTTCTGGACCTCGGCTTGAGGAGTAGACGTTTGAAGCCGAAGGTGTTGTAGCAAAGGGTATAGACCCGTAAACGCATAAGATTGTTCGCGTAAGAGACGAAGACAGCCACAAATCAGGCCGTTCGGATGATTGAAGAGATTCCATGCATGAACAGGATTCGGCAAATAAGTGAGAACATGAACGTACCGATTTTGTCTGCAAACCATTCATCACGGACAGCTTCGGGGTCCCATATATCCTTTGGAAAGTTGGTAGTCCGTTCGTCTACGTCCACAAACTCGACAAGTTTTGCATACAAGTGAGGGTTGCGGAATGTTCGGTTTGACATCAGAGAATCATTGAAATGCTTCGGATTCTTTGAATCACGTTTTAAAGCATGAAATTGTGCAAGTTTGGCCTATAAAGGTGGGATCATTTAAGGACCAAATCGAACAGACTGGCAAGCAAGAGACTAACTTCAATAGTGGCATTACAGGGTTCCGTGGATGGCGGCGGAATGCCAAAGTCCTCAGAACCAGGAATGGGTGGCGGCTTCAAAAGTGCGCGAATCTGGCTCAGCTCGTCGGGGGCATCATCTGAGGGTGGATCACCCTGCGTAGGCAGGGGTGTGGAACTAGAACTATGGGGGATGTAATCTTCCAACTGATTTTGGTCATTTTCAACCTCCTCCTCTAGCGTTCGAGTTCTTGCATGAGCTTTGGATGAAGCAGGTGGTTTTCGAATTATTATTTGGGATTTTATGTTCCGCCGCGCTGCACTCTTTGGTTAGCAGGAGATTCGTGAGCTTTTCAAATACGATACGCACTATCTGAAGGAACAGTGAAGCTTCCCTTCAGCGACTTATCCTGTCCGAGACGGAACAACAGCCAGCACACAGGGAAACGGATGCAATTTGGAGAGAACAGCAATGGATCTCACATTTGGGGTGCTCCGAGAGGAAGAGGCTCTTGGCTCTTGTTCAGAGTCGCTTAAATCATCGTCGTACGCAACAAGGCCTTCAGACTGTAAGATCCCGTGGATATTTGACATTGAAAACGACTCACCTCGCATCGTTCTGTCGTGGTGGTGTGAAGTAAAAGAACGTGCTGGGCGTTAATGCTTGCGCTGACTGTGTGAAGATATTTGTTACCGTGAGACAAACATTCAATTGAATGAAGAGTATTTGACGTTCAGCTTAATCGAATTGAAACATCCTGAATCTGTGTGAGGGCGAGGCCATTTATATGGAGTTCGAGTAATTAAGTTAACAGCTTTGTGCGCCGTACGCTAGCACTGCTGGGAATATATAGCCCCTGGGGCTCCCTAGACCCCCTGAGAACCCGGTCTCGTGATGCAGCGCCTGACCGAATTTGGCGCCCGTATCACCTCGTCGCTACATTCAGTCTCGTCGTTTCATGCTCTTTGCAGCTCTCCTCTTCCTTCTTTGTTTCTTTGACTTGGCCTCGGGAATAAACGCGCACAATGTGTCGCAGGACGAGATATTGCAGAATTTCTACAGCCAAGGGAACAACCCGCAAGGCCACACAAATAACTGGGCTGTGCTCGTATGCGCTTCCCGTTATTGGTTCAACTACCGAGTGAGCAGCGCAAGTTCAAAGAAGTGTCCATTGATGCTGAACTTGAGTCCCAATAGCACATGGCGAATGCGTTAGGAATGTGAGCTCGAAGGAGTGGGAATTTCATGAGGTCGTCCTGATCAAGAATTCGCCAGGTACCGAACCGTCAAACGCCTGGGTATCCCGGACTCAAACATCATCCTCATGCTAGCAGACGATGCTGCCTGCAACCCGAGGAACAAATTTGCTGGTTGTGTCTATGCGAACAAGGGCCGTCATTTGGATCTGTATGGCGACAATATCGAAGTGGATTACCGGGGAAACGAGGTAACAGTTGAGAACTTTATTCGAGTCTTGACTGGTGCGTTCATACCCAATTATCAACCAATCTGCTCACTCTGTCCCCAGGTCGTGTCGCTCCTTCGATGCCGCGTTCGAAGCGTCTTCTTACCGATGCCAACTCGAATATATTCGTCTACATGACCGGCCACGGTGGCAATGAATTCCTGAAATTCCAAGACAACGAAGAGATCAGTGCCTTCGACATTGCCGACGCATTTGAACAGATGTATCAGAAGAAACGGTATAACGAGATATTCTTCATGATCGATACATGTCAAGCGAATACCATGTACTCCAAATTCTACTCGCCGAATGTCCTGGCAACAGGGTCATCGGTCTTGGGTGAGAACTCGTACTCCGTAAGCGCAGCCATCGTCTCTTGTCTGTACACACTGAAACACGTATGTTAGCACGAGAACGACTACGACATTGGTGTGGCCGTAATAGACAGATACACGCACTACGTCTTGAACTTTCTCGAAGGTGTGAACAAGACGAGCCAGACAACGATGCAAGACCTAGTAAGCACTCCCTAACTAGAATGGAATGTTCTAATCGAGTTATACACAGTTCAACTCGTATGACGTTGACAAGATTGGGTCACACCCGGGAGTCCGCAGCGATCTGTTCAAGCGGCGTGTGGACGAAGCGCTCATAACCGACTTCTTCGGAGGAGTGGCTCAGGTACAACTGGACGCCACAGATGACGCCTCGAGGAGGGCCTTTGTCCCTGCCGACAGTTCATTATCACCGTCGGACGAAAGAACTGCAATTAGGCCCGATCTACCAGCAGCGCCATATCAACTTATCGAGACACAACAGCCCGAAAGTCTTTTGCGTCGTGTACAAACATGGAGTGCCTTGTGTATTGTTGGTTTCCTTTGTATGATTTGCTTGAAGTCTTGATCTACATAAGAGCGTTTCATTTATGTATGTCTATGTGAGGTTGAGCAAACTCACAGCGAGTAGATGATGAAAAGGGAGCGTAGGGCGTCGGTAATGCGTCGGTGATAATATATATATATGCTGACCATAGCAAGATTGATGGATTATGGATTATGGAGATAAAGAAGAGGATGGCGGGTAGTGCTACATTGTCTATGTATATGCATGGGAAGAGAAGAACTAGAATGAATGATGGTGCGATATCGGTAATGAAGGGGGCAATGGGATAGGAGAAAGACTGATGCATTGAAAGTCGAGATTATGCTAAATGGAGAACGCGAGAAGCTTGATGCCAGCAGCGATGAATACTGCGCGAGCCATATCACTGATGCCACATTCTTCGCCTTCGTCTTCAGACATCTCCACATATATACGCTCCAAAGAAGATGATCCAGCGTCGCTGCGGGACGTGATAACGTCAGACAGCATGTCAAAGTCGACTCGCTCGAAGTCGATGGTGAGTTCTGCGAGTTCGGGACAGGGGATGCTAACGGCAGGTTCTGCCGAGAATTCGACTGTCTGCGGCTTCAGCGAGGAGAGAAGGGTGGACCCTTCTGCATTTGAAAGATGGAGTGATTGAAGGGACGCGCAGCAAGATAGGAAATATGTGACAGCTGTTCGGAGAGCCGAGATACCGTTGAATTGGAGAGTTTTGATGCGAGACAGTGGGAAGGGATGTTCAAGTATGTCGTCGTTGCTAGACAGCGCTTCTTCATGCGTAGATGGGGTATGTCCGAGCCACTCTATCAGTCGGGTGGCATCCTGCGCTGTCGAGGGATTTATGGTCCGTGACACATCTTCAATTGACAAGTTCTTTAGTCGGGGAAACGAAAACTGAGAGAGAAGGTCGATCGCGTAATCAAGGTCAACGAAGCCGAATGAGAAATGCGTAAGCTTGAGAAGCTGTATAGGAGGATAGTGAACCGCCACTGGTTCTTCTTCTTCTTCTTCTTCTCCTGGTACCCCGGCTGATGCTCGTGTTGGAAGAGGTGGCCGTGGCCCCCAGCCAAGCACCGAAAGCTTGACTAGATCCGGACAAGCTGCGAGGATACCCTTGAACTGGGTGAATGACGGCATGACATCGCTGGCGTGATACTTGACCTCCAGCTCCGTTAGCCCTTTTAGCGCCGAGACAGACCAATCGACGTGAACGCCAGCCAAAGATACCACGCGAAGATTGCCTGCCGTGGTGCCACCAAAGACAGGTATATGGGTCCTCAGTTCGACAGGGCTGAAGGTCTGTCCCTTCGCCGCGAAGTACGCATTGCACCTTGATAATTTGAGAGTGTGGAGGAGGGGGACGGATGCAACATCGCGAGTCCGTTCGAGGAAGATAAAGATAGGCAGCCATGTATCAGAAAGCAGTTCAAAATGCTGCCATCGATTTATATTTGGAATCAAGAGGTCGAGCACATGCTGCATGGCTTCCCCGGCGGACGACTGGGAGTCTTCATCCCAATTCCAAGCGGGGTCACGCAAGTCCAACAGCAGGTCAAGCGGTTGGGTTTTGGATCGGAAGAGCCATGCATCAATGCGTTGTCGTTGAGTAGTCGTATATGGGTACGTGACGGTGATGGCAGTCCATAGCAATGACGTAGAGAGCGCAATCCTGCGCCAGCGAGAGCAAACTTGGGAAACAATTAACGGAGATGCTAACGTATCGGAACGTTCGTGAGAGTCGTGAGTGGCGCATGCGAAGATAAGCGAAAGGACTTCCGCTGGAAGGCGCTGCGCAGTGGAAGGGCGGTGAAACAAGGCGAGCGACCTCGAGATTCGCCGGACACGCGCTAGCTGGCCGATGAAGAGGTACTCCAACAACCTTGCCGATATGGTGGTTGTATTGGACATGGAGCAGCCTGTCGACAGATCAGCAGCGAAAGCGATGCGCTTGCAGGAGGGCAGCATACCAACCACAGCAAATCACCAAGGGGTCTGGGGTCAGAAGGCGCATTAACTTCGTGCTTATATATATCCGATCACTTCAATTTCTATCGCGTTACCATCGAAGCCTACCGTGGGCGAGAGTGGGCGGCGGATAGCGCGGTGGATTCCGTGATTCTGAGGTGTCACATATACGGCCACAGACGAAGACGCAAATAGGGGCGTCAAAAGTACAAGGCCAGGTCGCCGGGTTTGGAAGGCGCCCGCCTCGTGTCTGTCACATCGTGAAGTGCCTGAAAGGCATATATGAGATCTTGCAGCTGGTGGGTCCAAGTTGAAAGCAAAAAATAAAGGGTTGCGCGTAGTTCAGGACTGCAGGAGCGACTATTTGCATTGTTTCGAAATTCGCCCCTTCGAGCTTTCAGAATCCGAAGGACGAAGTACTGCTGTACTGCTGCGATTAACCGTGAACTTGGCAACACTACTACCAAACGGCATCCAAGCCTGAAGCCTGTGCGGCATGCGCTGACATGCGTCAAGCTGACGGCGTCCCACAATCCACGGATGGTAAATTGGACCCACAAACTCGCAAGCTTAGTCGAAAGGGTCCTGCGGGGTTGAATTAAGCGTTCAGATCACTGGCTTGGTGGAATATACCTACAACAAACCCCTTAAACCCCGGCAGCGACACATACATGGACGTGCAACAGAAGCTAACGATAGGTCAGCGTTAACATATCGTTAGAAGTCTATGGGTATAATTATCTTTGATACCCACAGGACACGAGTTTGACTCGACCTTTCCAACACGAAACGTAGTCTACCTGTGGGAAGGATTCACAGGACGGTTCCCGAGGAAGAACACCTGTTCGGGAAATTGACTCGTGCCTGTGACAGCGCTTACGCACGCACCAATGGTGGAAGCAGAGGACCGAGTATCTGAACGTCATGGAGTCAAAGAGAAAGACGCCTGAGGCACCTTGTAATGCTTCGAGACATCATTCGTTTTGAAGTTTGAGCTGATTGATTGTGGGGCCAGGCATGATGAAGTTAGAAGACGAGGGACTTTGGACGGACTCTGACGACGGCACTCACGTCAGAGAGTTCGTTAATTGAAGTACAATGGTATGTAAGCATAACGAGCACCAATCGATAATTAATCATGAGGGCTGCGAAATGGCTACCTGCGGACCCGCAACAATCGTCCTATTGGGGTAGAATTGTGAATCAATCGCAGGGGAAAGGCATCTCGATATGTGGGCTCACTTGGTAACCAGCCCAGACCATATCAGAGTTCTCGTTCAATCAAGGTACCATTCTTGTCCATACACCAATCGGGTTGTGCGCAAGGTGGCTGCGTTCCCTCCGGCTCATCACCCGCGTCCCTCAAGAGAAGAGCCACAACGCCATGGGCTGGAACGCCATGGATAGTGACGTTACGTACCGCCGTACCATTGTCTGTATGCGTCCAAAGATCCTAGGTCACCCATTTATCATTCTATTTCCGATATCCAGGAGAGAACCGTCCAACTTACTCTCATAGCGTATTGCCTGCCCGCCCGGATCCAAGGTGATTCAGTTAGTGTAAAGAACATATCAGCGGGTTCATCAAGCACGTTGAGCTAGAACCCGGGTTGGCGCGCGCTGACAAGTAGATCATGTAGCTCACCAGCATAAACACCGTCCCATTCTCCGTCGTTCCGCTCCAATATTGGGCGGGATACCGGCCATCGAATGTCCAATCTGGCTGGAAGGAAATGGCAATGAGTGGGGGAAGGACGGGCACAATCGAGAGAAACATACGTTAACGCCCCATCTGAAGGGTGTTATCGCGGTGCCCACGACCTTGTCTTGATTAATTGCTATGATCTCCTTATTCGTCAGAATCTCGACGCTCTTTTTTGTGACGGCATTAAGCTGTGCCCCCATCAATAGTGTCAGCGCTTCTCAGCTGGATTTGAACGGAGGGAGGAATGAACGAACATCAGTTCCCTAAACAGAAAGAGCGTCCGGTCAGGCAAAACTAGCGATAATAAATCAAAATTGATGATCACAATGAGGAGGGGCGACTTCATCAAAGCCCATGCCGTGAAGTGAGACTTCGATTCTTCGTATGTGAGGTTTCCATTCCCGCTAGGAAGAGGAGTGAGCATTTCAGTGGGCGGATATGTCTAACAATAGCTACACTTCAAGCTAAGACAAGTCAGATGATTGTTGGAAGGCAAAGACAGTGAATTACTACCATATCCATGTCATTGTGTCCGTAGAAATCGGACGCCCATGATATGAAGGAGTTCCTGGGTGGTAGTCAGAGAATACCATAGCAGCTGATGATACAGAATAGGACGCACCGATTTATGATGCTGGCGATGGAATCCCACCGAGGTTCTTTGGAGAGCGGTGTGATGATCAATTAGCTAAGTATGTTTTGGGCACCACCAACCAATGTCGCCTGTTGTCTATGAAACACTGCAATCAGCCCACAAGAAGTGGCTTCACATGATAACCTATCCTTACGCGCCAGCTCTGCCCCATATCCCTTGCCCAGAGCCATGGTTGCGCCTAGAAGTTCAAACGCACATGGGAGCGTGACCGGAGAGCGACAACAGTCGTAACTGACCTTTCCCCATTCACAAAGCGAGAAAATGACGGGCGCCTTTCCTGTTTCCTGGGCAAGATCCTTAATAGCTTGAGCCATGCGGCCGTATTCTAGTGAAACGGGTCAGAAGCCATTGTCGCGACCTTGATCTACGCACTTCCCACAATACCCTCCCGCACAATTTCGTCGAAAGGAACTGGATAAAACATGGAAGCTTCAGCGGCATCCCCGGAGTGTTCGCCCTACCTGCGCAGTTGTCATATCTTGGCGGACGATCAGTAAGGCCCATATAAGGGTTTGACGAAAACGCACTTGAGAAACTCGAAGCCCCAGTCTTGAAAGAGTTTGATATCCCTGAGTAGAGATGCCAACACGCCCGACACAAAGCTGATAGGCCACGTACCTTCTTTCGTTCTGGAAAGAACCGGGGTAGCCTGCACAGGTGTACCACCCAGCATCGCTGTACTATGGACATCAATCGTAAGTTGTGTGCATGGTTGTCTGGGGAAGAAGTGTACTATGCCGGATTTCCTACGTGGCACGACCCAATGAACGGTAGTGGGAGATTGCAAGGGGCACTCCACTTACAGTCCGAGAGTGCGGATAAAATCTGTTAGATTCCTCATGCCTGAAGGAAACCGAACAGGGTCTGGAACACGCTCAGTATGAGTAGCTGTTACAGACCTGAGGATGATTCGCACCAGCAACTATGTCCCCATCTTTGTTCCGCTGCTTCTCTGAGTAGCAATCGTCGATATTGACGAATTCATATCCAAAATCCTTGCGTCGCAAAATCAAGGCAAACGGCTTCACATCCCTGTTGGATTGTACTTACGGTAAGACCAAGAGTCTTCATCCGTACAGCGGCTGCTGCGACAACCGTTTCGTTTATCTCGCACTAGCTTCCGTAAGCTTGGGATTGAATACATGATAGTGTTTCTTACATGGAACGCATTCCAAGCTACGCGTTGGGTTAAATTAGGCGACTATACGTCTCATGGGCACGTACTGTTGTAGCCCATATCTTGCGTGGAACGGGTGAGTGTCAGCGTGCAGGAACATGTGAAGGAATGGAGGACGGCAGACAAGGTAAACGGCCGACAGGGTTGATGCTATTCTTCATATGCGGTGATTCAAGGAACGATGGAGGATGGACAGTCAACCCCACAACGACCAAGGCCACGAATAAAACAAGACTGTTTGTGCGTAGGTGTACACCCTTTCTCTTGCCTACAAATTCGAGTTGATGAGTTCAGTGTGCGCGCCCAATATGCATGAAATGGTTTGCACCATGGCGTTGGTCGTAGAGCGCTGTCACCTTCATAATGCGACGCCAAGGATGAGAGTCGAAAGCCCTATATACGAGAATACAGCGGATCGAGAGCATCACGGGACTCGGGCCTCATCTGACAAGTCCCACGCTGGAACTTGGGTGTCACCATGATGCTCCCGCTCGAGCTGATCATCAACATAGTCACGTTTCTCGACGATCTCCCAGCACCCAAGGAGGAATGGGAGGATCATAGCTGGCCTGACACCAATTGTTGGCGTCGCATCTCGCCTTCGCTCTTCGCCTGCTCGCTCGTATGCAACACATGGAGCCACATCTGCCGGCCGCTCATTTTCCACTCCATTCGCATAGCGTGCACCAGGGATACAATGCCCGACGCCTTTCTCTTCCTCCATTCCACAGCACCTCACCTCTGCCCACTCATTCTCAATCTTCGTCTGTCCTTCCGCGCAGGGGCTGGAGAGGCAGTTCCAGAATGGATGGGCGCCTGCCTCAGCCGATTCACAAATCTGCGAGCTCTGGAACTGTGGTGCTGGTCCGACATGCCGCCGAAGGATACCACACCATTGACGCAGGCAATCGTCTCTCTACTTGCCTCCACAAGCCTTTCACGGCTCACCCTCATGGGCTGGGACCACGGTAACAATGTATCGGATCTCCGTCGCATACTGTCGGCTTGCTCAGTCTCCCTTGCTCACCTCACCATTGCCGGCTACAACCACCTCCCCCTCCACGCGGCATCGGCAGCCAGCGACCGCCCGGCCGTATCTTTGAAAGCCCTTCGCAAACTCGAGCTGTTCGACCTCTCAAGGTCTGCCACTCCATTCGGCCGATCAATACTCCTTGATTGTCCAAACCTCGAAACCTTCACTGTTTCGCAGGAGCTCTCAGATGGTGGCCCTTGGGGGCTGCCATCCTGGATTCCAGCGAGGATCACCACGCTCAATCTGCATGGTGCGCCCCGCTTTGATTCCCTACTTACCTCCTACTAATCGAGCTCCAGCCACGACGTCCGCTACCCTCCCGCAATTTACACGGCCTATATATCCGTCTCGCCTGACAGTCCAGAGAGAAGCATATGTTTTCGGTGACATATATGTACTCCAATGCATCAATCGGCTGCCGTTTATCGACCACCTGCAGCAGCTGACTATCAAGATGATCTACCGTGAACACGGGCTCCTCAGCATGTCCAGATCCATGCACTACAACGAGCTATCCGGCGTCCTACAGTCACTTCGACATCCTGCATTGTTGATACGACTTATTCTCAATTTCACAGCTGCAGCCAGTGACGAAAAGAATTTCGGGGCAGACGAGTTGGATAGGATCACCAGGGGGGAGATCGCAAAGCTGAAGGAGGCGTTTGCGCCGTTGTTGAGTACAGGCGGACTCTCAATCCTAGTTGCCATTGGGAGCCGAGCACCCATAGAGCTCTGTGGATAAACTGGGGAGACGAAGGGTGATGAATGTTAATCTCATCTTCGAGTACACATAGACATGTCATCGCATACTAATCCCCTTCAACCACCAACCCGGGTCCCATTCCTGTCAGTGCATTGCCACCAGACACTGCATTCCGGGAAGAGTCCCGCAGGCTCATCGCCCGCATCTCTCAACAGCAGCGCAACAACACCGTGGGGCGGAACCGCATGGGCGGTGAAGTTGCGCACCGCAGTCCCGTTGTCAGTGTGCGTCCACAAGTCCTATAAAGTCGCATTTGCTTCCGTGGGTTGGAGAAGATATCGAGGAGACTCACCCTCACGGAGTACGCGCGGCCGGCGCGGATCCAGGGCGGCTCGGTGAGATTGAACGTCAAGTCCGCCGGCGCGTTCAGCGTGTTCAACTAAGAGCCGCGTGAGACCCCGACTACCCGCTTCAAACTGACACCGACCAGCATGAACACAGTGCCATTCTGCGACTCTCCACTCCAGTACTGTGCGGGGAAGCTGCTGTTGCTCGTCCAGTCGGGCTGTACGCTATCCGTAAGAATGCGCGTGTGGTCAGGGGGACAGGCGCACATTTATTCCCCATCTGAAGGGGGAGATGCTCGCGCCGACCACTGGATCCTGGTTGATCGCGAGGATTTCTTTGTTGGTCAGGATCTCGAGTGTCTCATCGGTGATTGCGGACAGCTACAGTCGGCACCTGGTTTCAGTTTAAGCCATGGGCCTGAGGTTTTGTATGCTTACATTGGTGCCGATCTACACGATGGTACGCCAATTCACCATGATATCGCGGATTCACGAGGCGGAAACGCACCAACAAGGGGGATTTCATCAGTGCCCAGGCGGTGAAGTGGGACTTTGCCTCGTCGAACGTGAGGTTCCCATTTCCGCTTGGAAGCAGTCAGTTGAGCATCGCACGTTGGTGACAATACTCCGACACCCACAGTTGAAGCTGCAACATACAGTGGATTAGTTCGGCGGGTGCTACGCCACCTGCTTGCAGCTCACCATATCTAAATCATTCCGGCCAAAGAAGTCCGTCGCCTGCGTGATGAACGAGTTGCTGGGCGAGGATGGTGAAACATATCCCCTGCGAAAACACGAACACGAACAACCCACAAGTTGATGATATTCGCTAGAGAGTCCCAATTCGGCGCGATGTCTCCGGTGGTCTTGGGACAGCTAAGCAGAGGCTACGTCCTGGGCGATGTGACCAAGTGACTCACCCTCCAGCTCTGGCCGAACTGCTTTCCCCATCTGCGGATATGATGAGCAAGCTTTGAGATTTGCGGAACACTTACTGCCAAACTTGGCTCTGCGTCGCGTTCAGTTCAGTCAGAGCCTGTGGTTTGATGTACTCACCCAACCCCATTCACACAGCGCGAACGTCAATGGGCGCTTACCGGTGGTCCTTGACAAAGTATCTATGGCATCTGCCATTCGCTTGTATTCTGGGACAGCGTCATCAACGATGCATCTATAGGAGATCAGAGCGGCGGGACTCACTCCCGACGATGCCTTCCCGGATGATGCTGTCGTACGGGACTACGCGGGCAGCCGGTCAACCCTCTGTAGACACGAGCGTAACGGCCAAACGCACTAGCACAATTGTCGAACCTGGCGTTCGAATTCGCTTTCGCTTCAGCATCGGGATCACGCGAAGAGTCCGAACACCGAACACGCACTTCAGGTAGTCAAAGCCCCAATCCTGGAAAGTCCGAGCATCGCGAAGTTCGTTCTGGAACGAGCCCGGGTAGCCGGCACAAGTAAACCACCCGGAATCGCTATACTGTTCCGAGTATAAGGATATGCCTCTTCATGAATTGCGTGAATCATACAATTCCAGTTTTACTAACAATGGAAACAAGTTGATGAGGTCTGGGGCGAGAAACAAGACGCAAAAACGTACAACCCGAGAGCGTGGATCTTGTCAGTTAGGTGTTTCATCCCCCCTTTGAAGCGAACTTTGTCTGAGATTATTGAAGAATTGGAGAAGTAAGAAGTGACAGTGCGATTCATGTGGGAACAACTCGCCTGCAATGATATTCCCGTCTGAGCTACGGTTGCGTTCCGCATAGCAATCGTCGATATTGACATAATTGTAACCTGCGGCCTTGAGACACTTCGTCAGCCACAACACCGTGTTGGACTACAAGGGGAGCATACTTGAAGTCCCAGGGATTTCATCAATTGGGCCGTGGTGAGCATAAGGTCTTCATCAATGTTGCACTATTCCAGTAACAATGTTAGTCGTCTGTTATGAGCGTGCCACCGAGAAGAGCCGCACCTGGTAGGCATTCCACGCTGATTTGTTATGTCATCATGAAGCGTTCAACGTAGCTTCAGCCACAATGACTCACTGTTGTACCCCAAAGCTAAAGCACCAATCAGACATTGTACGTTCGCAAGTACGCAGCGTGAAGGACGTACTAGGAAGCCTCCCGACTCCATTTTGCAGAGCAAGCGTAGGGATAAACAAGCTTGAAGCAAGCGCAAACAACGAAGTTGTTTTCATCTTCGTCAGAGCCGAGATGCAGATTTAGTGGGGCCGTTGGTTACGCTTTATATATCTGAGAGTGGAGTTAAACAATGTCACGCTGAGCCCGTAGCATATGGGGTAGAAGCATAGATGCCAGTGGGCAGAAGCCCTGCGATCGGGCGCATGACTGCTGGCCGTAAGACCTGGACGTTGAAGGGGATCGCGCAACCCGCTCGGGACGTCGGACTGCGGGATTCTCCCGAGTATAAGCCGGGAATTTATCTCTCAGTATTTCACGATACCACCTATCCACATATACAAGAATAACGACGAATAAAGCCGAATATGAGGTACAAATATTCACTGTATAACGAGATGTCAGCGTGCTTCAAGAAGGTCGCGCGATGGAAAGGGGCTTACACTACTTCCGAAGGCTTCGATATGAAGAGTAACCGTTGGTCCTCCTTTTAAGATATCCATGAATCTGGGCTTCCGCAAGGCACCACGGACAACGTTGGCAAGTGTGTGCGTCCCACAAACTGGGACATTAAGTCAGTTGCCATCGCGGACAGAGTCTGGTCTAGGCAACTCACCGTTGACAGACATAGGGCCTGAGGCTCTAGCGATCTCAGCATCTAGCAAGGCCTTGAGGTTAGGCCGTCCGTTCTCCACAGTGACCACAGAGGACTGCAATAACTGTCCCCCCTTCACATCCACATCCCCTTGACCCTTACTTTCATGGTCGCTATGCGAGGAATCATCGTCCAACGACTGGGCCTGAGAGTCGTCGGCCAAACCAGTGACGTAGAACTTGATATCGACCACAAGGGTCGATGGTATGTCCTGCAGCGCAGGGACAAGCGCATCCGATATCCACTGCGTGTGCTCTTGTGATGGAAGCGGAGTTAAGTCAGCTTCAACGAAATGAGACGGCGTATCATTCACATACCAAGTTCCCTGATAGCCCAGATGAAAGTCACCCTACGGCATACGCCAACAGCATTTGCCTTTGCACGCCTTCGCAAATACGTTTAGCACGTAGTAGAGAACCATAGAAATTGCAGTACCGAATAGTGTCCAAAAGCATTGGCAAAGTGAACGCCACCCCTGAACCGCCAGCAATAAGCACCACGCTATCGAATCCACGAAGCCAAGGAGGCGAGCTGTAAGGCCCATCCACGAGAACCTTGACCGTATCTCCTTTCGTAGCCGCATCCAGAAGCTTTCCGGTAAGCCCGCGTCGAACTCTGATCAAGAAAGTCAACTCTTTCCCTGGGGCGACATTGTCCGGCAGATTGTCGCGTTTCTCGTCTGATCCGCTGGGACTAGGCGGGGTTACTTCTCCACTTGTCCTCGCCTTGTACGCGGCCGGTGTATCGATGGTTGAGATCGTGAAAGGGTGGGTCTCTAAGGGAAGTGTTGAAACTGTTGGGAGGGTAAGAAGGGCGCTTTGTCCAGGCCGCCAATGGAAGAAATTGGGTCTGTATAGCCTAAGTCTGAGGAAGTGAGGCGAGAGGACGTCGATCCTCGCGTCCAGTTCATGAGAGCGAGCCTTGAAGTACCCTGCATTGAGTATAAATGTGCGAAGGACCTGTATCAGCCGGTCCATGCCCCAGATCAAGAATGCGGGCCAGATGAAGTATCCGAGCCTAATTTGCACATGGGGATTAAACAAGGCCGATGCGACTAGAATCGTAGAACGTACTCGAATTCCTGAGCGTGGAAATATGCACTTAGAATGACAATACTAGCAGGGCGTGAGTGATTAAATCAGCACGCAAGCAAGACGAAAGACTCACAATACAAGCAGGAAATGGACGACAACAAAGACTTCGTATCCCGCTTCACGTAATGGGCGTACGGAGAAAATCGACAATACTGACAATGCGATCGAGGCAAGGAGACCGGCTTGCGTGAACGGATGGTCCCAACCCACGGCGCCGGTGATCCTAGGGATTGATGGAACGTCAGCAGTGCTTCGATTTGCTACAGTAAAGAGCCAGGACACGAACCCTAGCATCATCTAGGCGGAGATGTCAGCAACAACCCCATCCCGCCATTGCAGGATTCACTCACACGACCAGCACCATGCACCCATGTCAAGACACATACAGCGCGTGCAGACATCCGATGGAGATAATTAAGCTTCATAACTCAGTCCTTAAGTCACGGAAGATCGTGAGTTTGACATAGAAGGTTCTCACCTTGTCAAAACTAATACCGGTAATCCCTGGCATGCTGTAAGTTACGTGCTTTCGGCGGAGGCAGGGAGGAAAAATACCCACAGGAAATAATGTTGTTTCTAGTGCCCAGTGCAGCAACCACGGAAAGTTGGGTAGCTGCAACATTTCCTGCCGTGTTGCCCCAGTATTTGGGATCGTATAACATTCCCTTGGAGTTTGTAGCTGCGAACTTGATGTAAGAGAGGGATGCCCAGGAAAAATAATACCTACAGTGGACCAAAGACCATACGAAGATGATAGTGATATACGCGGCGGTCAGAAATACCTATTAGCTCAGAATAAGCATACGACCTTATGATAGTCTGTCAAGAACATGGTCGGACCTCGGCGAGGTTAAGGCTATGTGAACCTCCGATGGGGATCGTGCAGCGGTACGCAATAACGCGAAAGGTGTCGAGTAGAGCTGCAGGGATCCGTCTAAGAGAGGGCGAGCTCCGAGCACCTTCAGGCCTAGCGTGTCGCTGCGGAAAGAGGAGCGTAGAGAGGATAACCAATAAATGGCACAGGGCTACTAAAGCTGTAAAACCGGCCAGAGGCCACAAGGCTTCCCGAGGGTAGTCGTGAGCTTGTTGGATGCGCGGTAATCGATCGGGGTCAACTTTTTGTGTAGTAATGGTGACCCCGACGATTCCATCTGGACGAAGGCCTTGCACAGACGTCGCGAGCAAGGCAGAAGGTGAGGGCATTTCGTCCAGCTTCTTCATAAAGTCAATACACCCGCACTTTTATACAAAGAACCCCAGCACGTAATATTAGATCCATGGGGTAGGTCTAGTTGAAAAATTCATTCCGCAAACTCTGATGACAGGCTAGGTGTCCAAAGTATGGCCGATAACTAAGTTGTTATCAGATAATGGATCAACGTTAAAATTAGTACGCGTACCGCCGCTGCATCGTGCATATTCTTGCACATGGTGTGGCCAAGCGTGCGCTCAAATAGTATGTTGGGCTCACACGAGAAGGCGCGTGAGTGGGGACACGTAGGCAGGAGAAGCGAAAGAATGCTCCAGAAGGTCTGATGAGCTGTTGAAAGGGTAATCAGAGAAGAAGATAACGGGGTGAATTCGTTATCAGATACGCCATCTTACCTACTAGAACGTCCCACGGGGGCCCCATTGTCGCGGTGTAGCGTTCCGAGAATACTGAAGCACGGAGCCGTGGATCACGGGGGCCATGGATGGAAACGGAACCAGAATTTGAGCCGCCACGTCCGAGGCGCCCTCCGATGACCAGATATTACACTTGAAGCTCGAAAATGTGCTAGCTACACCTTGAGCGGGAATCTTGAGGTGTATCGTAGATGCTTTTCCCGGCGCGCAGTTGCACCCCGCGTTACTGCTTGTACTTCATCAACAACACGAACGTTCCTCCGGGTTATCGTAATTAGAAGCTGCTAAGATCATGAGGCCTGATGAGGTATGGTCGATGTAAATGCTCATGGGTGGTGGAAGCCAAAGTTGGTTGCGGGACCGAACTTCTGAATAAGCGCCTAACCTGCGTGATTTAGGAGTGCATGCCACTTTCTCTTCGACTGCATGATGCGAGCGAACTAACAGTCTTCCACCCTCCTCATTGCGAGTACGCCCTGTGCTCCTCGGCGAGCTGTCGAAAGTCGATAAGTATAGTCCAAGACGAAGGAGCGAAACTGTACATAAATCTCAGGACTTACCCAACTATGTTGCCAACTCTTTCTAACGGGTCTTTACTTGATCTTCCAATATGTACAGAGTAAAGAGGCTCTTTGAAACATTCCCTTGCCATCAAGCCTCCACGAACTCGTGAAGCCGTTCTTCTACGCCCATGCAGCATTTCACCCAACAGCAGCAGAACCGAAGTGCTTCCTCAGAGCTGTGGAACCCTTGCCATACTCTTGAAAGCGGTCTTATTCTTCCTGGACCCCAGCAAGTATTGATGAAGTCCTCTGCGGACTGTACACCATCCCAGCACACATTCGAGACCCTCGAGGCGTCAATTCACCTACCCGGAAGCCACAACCTGGCCAGTGAGGCGCAGAAATACTTTGATGCCGTCACTGAGCCTTTCGTAGAGTTCTGCGGTGGCATCGCGATTCAGTCACACACCGACCGAAATCAAATGGAAGAGCTCGGGAGGCACGAGTGATTGTCCGAATGGGGGATCAATGTCGTTGAGGTTGATGTCGATGAGATTCTCCCAGATTGGATATTTTGAACGGTGAGCACTACTGCAGTTCATCGTAGGCACAACTTACGCCGCTTCCAATATGTATTGGAATTGCGTGAACATGTGAATGCCACTACTCGTATTTACTACCACGCACGGTGCCCGCCGTCCACAATGATACTAGACGCTCGGTAAGTACTGTGTCACTGACTGTAGGCTTGGAACTCACTCGCTACCCGTGCAAAAGGTCGAGGCATCGCTTGCCAGCCACAAACAGACTCCCCTCGATTCGTCCGTTCGGCCTAGCCTACCAAGGGGGTTTTGCAAACACCACTCTTCCATCAAGTCGGGATGACTATCCAGGAATGCTTTCGTCATCCTACAAACGTGTCAGAGTCGCCGGATCATCAAGAGGGTTCCGATGCTTACTTGGTGTATATGTACCCTGGGCTCACCGAATTCACGCGGATTCCTTTCGACCCGAGCTCGCAAGCCATAGATCGAGCCATCTGAATTATGGCAGACTTGCTTGTGGTGTACGCGACCCATTTTTGATTCTACGCCTAGCGTCAATCGAAAGGTTGCCGGCCATTACCACAACTCACTCGAATACAGATACTCCCGGCCATGCTTGCATTCAGGATAATGCTCCCTGGAATTCCCAGTTTCTCCATCTGCCTTCCGGCGGCTTGCGCAGTGTACAGTACGCCATTCACATTCACATTTATTATCTAGCAGCTCACCCGTTCAGTATCAACAGATATTCTCCTAGATATTCTGCTTACCTTCGTGAAATCCTCTGCTGAATATTCAAGACAATCCGCGCCTGCGAGAATACCCGCGTTCGCGAAACAGATATCGAGTCTTCCTTCCCTCGCTACGATATCCTCAGCGATCTTCCACATCTGTTTCTGATCCGTCACGTCGCCGCTGATATATTCCATTTTTCCATTCTTCACGTTTTCCGCCAGTGGGGGCATCCGCGCAACGAATTCCTGGACAGTAACAAAGTCATTATGTGGCTGCTTTGATGGGCCCAGGCAATACACGATAGCGCCAGCCTCTGCGAAGGCTGCCGCTACTTCAAGACCGATTCCACGCCCGCCCCCAGTGACAAAAGCCACCTTCTCGACGAGCGAGAATTGTGCGAACACAGTGCGCGTGGGGGGCTGTGATGCGAGGGCGGCGGCTAGGCCTACGAGTGGAGGTTGGGTTGTCATCGGTGGATGATTTATGGTGTGCCTTTCCAAAATGTGCCGCAGGTATTTATGCAAAGTATCGTCCCTAGTGTAGACTCTAGGAAGCACCGTCACTTGAGGATACTAAGGTACCAAAATGTCAGAGTCTGCTGGTCATTAGGCTAGCTTAAACTTCTTCTCTTCTAGGAGCCCAGAATCCTGGTGTCCTACCTCCTCTCTCTCATCACGGTGAGGCTGGCCGTGCGCACGTTCAAGAAAGTGGCATGGAAGAACGCATCAGCCTCATACTCGCCGCCATGGTGTTAATGAGTGGGCGTAGACTATTCCCGTCTATCGATGTCCCTCGGGATGTTGATAGATAACATTCATAGACGTGGAATTGAAGCGCGGCCTGGTCCATCCGTGCGCCACATCCGAGTCTTTGCTCAACGCCTTTATGTAAGTAGAATCATGATGAACGACTTGCTGTTCTATCAACACAACCGAAAAGCAAGCTTCGTGCCTGCGGCCGCTGACGTCTTTGTGTTGAAACTGAACCGTATCCTCAGTGAGCGTAGGATGCAAACTGTATATATTGATATGTACCTGAACCGTATCCTGATAATAACGGTCAGTTACAGTAGACAAGGATTGACAACGTAACTTTACCTCAGTGAGCGTAGGATGCAAACTGAGGAAAGTGAGGGTGCGACCCATCCTGGGAAGTAACCCCAGGATGACTAATACGGCGCTAACGGAGATAACCAACACTCCCCCTCGACGGGTGCACCGTACAAAGGGTAGGAAAAAAAGGGTGATAGTAAATAAGAAGAGAGACAAAGAAGAAGAAGAAGGAAAAAAGAAGGTCGGAAAGAGTTGGAAAAAGAAACTGTAGGACACTCCCCCTCGCGGAGACTCCCCCTCAACACACACCAAGGCATTGTCTGAATTGCGTGAACGGTCCTTTGTCCAGAGGCTTCGTGAAGACGTCCGCCGTGTTTTCTTTTGTGTCGACACGCACACAGTCTATCTCTCCGGCCTCGACTTGCTCTCGAACGAAATGATAACGGACTTTGATATGCTTCGATCGCGCATGGAATACGGGGTCCTTTGTGAGCGCAAGGGCACCATTATTATCACCGTAGATTTGTGTCGCTCCCTGACAAGGCACGCCAAGTTGCTCCAGAAGGTCACGTAGCCACATCGCCTCCCTACATCCTTCATTGATGGCCACATACTCCGCGTCCGTTGAACTATTAGTGACCAGTTTTTGTCGCCTCGAAGACCAGGAGATCGCGCCAGATCCAAGCGTGAAGCAGTATCCCATTGTTGACCGACTGGTCTCTGGGCAGTCGCCCCAAGAAGAATCGGAGAAACCCCGCAACCGCACGGGAGCCTTACCGCCAAGCACCAGCTCCTGTGTCCTTGTCGCGATCAGGTACTTCGTGCAGTGTAGTGCCGCCAGCCAGTGTTCCATTCGGTAACAGTCAAGAAAGCGCGCGAGCATTGACACCGCAAACGCGACATCTGGCCTAGTTCCCATCGCCACGTACATCATTGTCCCAACGACCTGGCGGTAAGGCAGTTTGCTGAGTGCCAAAGCCTCAGCAACCGTCAGGGTGTCGTCTGGTGAAGGTCGCTTGAGCTTCAGTTTGGAATCCATAGGTGTCGATACCGGATTGACATGGAGCGACACCCCAGCGACTGAGGCCAATTTTTCGATGAGAGCCACCTGAGAGAGCATGATCGTCCTCGCCACACGGTCCCTACGAATGTTGATGCCCAGACAAAACCCAACCTCACCCAGGTCCGAGATGGTCCACGCAGTACGCATGTCCCGTTTGAGATCCTCGTTCGCAGTTTTTCTGTTTGCAATGTTGACGAAGTCATCGACATGGACTCCAGCCCATACAAAGTCATCTCCCTTCCTTCGTACATAGACGCAGGCATCAGCCGGCAGTCGCGAGAATCCCCACGAGACCATTTTGCGATTCATCTCCTTATTCCAAACACGTCCTGCCTGCTTCATGCCATAGAGTCCCCGCTGGAGGCGCCACACATACAAGTCGTTAGGGAAGGTTGCGTCATCGAGTCCTGGAATTTGCTCCATGTAGATCTCCTCGTTCTCAGCCAGCAAACCGTATAGGAAAGCCGTCTTGATATCGACTTGCTGAATATCGTAATCTTCAGCTGCGGCGACATGAAGCATTGTACGAAGGCTCTCCATTCTGACCGTCGGTGAGGTAGTATCTGAATAGTCCTTTCCAAAGACCTGTTCGAAGCCCTTCACGACGTACCGCGCCTTATGTCGTACGACTTCGCCCCGATCGTTTCGCTTTCGGTGGAGTACCAGCTTGCCACTGAGGACTCGCTTGCCTTGTGGAACCTCGGTTCTCAACACCGGCACATATACCTCCATATCTTTCAAGCTCCCCCCCTCTTCTGCAATAGCTTTCTTCCACTCCGGCCATTCATCGGATGCCATCGCTTGCTGAAGAGTAGGGTCGTTCTCGAAGACAGGTGGAGCATCAGCAACAGCGGCAAACGCAGTGCTCACCAACTCGATGTCGTTCGTCGACTCCGCATGTAGGCTGTTAAGAACACCGTCCCGATGTGAGGAGGCAATGTGTTGTGCCACGTCGCCAACGAACAGGGTGCTTGGATTGTCCAGCAGTGTATTGACTTCATCAATCATTGCTCTCTCTTTCTGTCGCGATTCCTCAGAGGCCTTGATCTCATCTACCGTACGTTGAAGATTCGTTACAAAAGGTACGCCGTTCGACATTGCTTGCCGTTCGGTGGGTCGTTTACGACGAGTCGAACAACGGACATGTTCCAGTGGCTCATGTTCCGGTGTCGGCGGCTCTTCAGGGTGGGGTGGTGAGCAGGTTGACGGCGAAGACTTGTCTGGTAATCCTTGAATGTCCTTCTCCTCAATGAACTTGACATGGAACGACTCCACAACTCGGCATAGCTTTGGATCATAGCATCTATAAGCCTTGGCGTTAGGGGAGTATCCAATGAGAATGCACTCAATAGAGCGTGCATATATCTTCGGCACATGCTTGTCTTGGATCAGCACAAACGCACGACACCCAATTTCGCGAAGATGGGACAAGTTTGGCTTTTCTCCATGCCAAGCTTCATAGGGAGTCATCCCCACTGAGCGACTATATGTGCGGCACGAGAGATAGCCAGCAGTCAGGCAGAATTCATCCCAACGATTTGGTGGAACGTTACTCTGGATCCTCATGGCCCTCGCTTTGGACATGATAGTGCGATGGAGTCGCTCGACCATGCCAATATGGGCTGACGTATATGGCGCCGTGTATTGATGAACAGCGCCGATGCTTGCACAGAACGCCGCCATTGCCGCAGACTTGAGTTCGCCATTGTCCGTCCGGAAGACACCTGTATTGTACCCAACCTCACGCGAGACCTGTAAGTGCCAGTTTTGGAGTTTGGGTAGCGCTTCCGATTTATTTCTAAGAGGTATTGTCCATGACATGTGGGAGAAATCATCTATGATGTTCATGAGGTAGAGGTTTCCGACGGCCGACACAACGTCTTCCGGGCCAGTGAGGTCCACATATACAATGTCCATCCTCCTCACCGCCTTCTTATGCGTGCGTTCATGGGGTACCGAGTTACATTCCTGTTTGGCAAGAATGCAGTTATCGCATGAGGACGGCTTGTTGGAGAAGGAGGTGGGTATACCTTCAGCCATGCCGTTCGCTGCCATCTTCTGGATTGCATCGTGGTTCGCATGACCAAGCCGTTTGTGCCAAGTCTCGATATCGGCCACGGCGGAGTAAAGGATTGCGTGTTCCGATGCCGTCTTCGTGCAATGGAGTTTGTATAGGTTTCGCGATGTGAGGGATCCAGATGCTATAAGCGCACCACTGTTGTTTTCTATGGCGACTGAGAAGTCAGCTTTGAATGTGATTTGGCATTGCAAGGAACGAGTAAGGCCTGAAATGGATAAGAGGCGGACAGAAGATGTCGGGATGAATAGGACGTCGTCCAAGATGAGAGAGCGACCTCGCCCGACGTAGAGCTTGATCTTTCCTATGCCCACAGCAAATATGGACGAGCCGCCAACACCCTGAACACTACGAGGTGCAATGGGATACAGCTCAAAGAAATCACTCCGCTCCGGGGAGATGTGGGTAGATGCGCCACTATCAAGCCACCACGGCGTTCGGTGAAGATCCATTTCCTGATGGCGAGTGGTGTGTTCAACTATGGCTGCAGTCATAGCATCTGCCGAAACCTGGCGCGACTGTAATGCCCAGTCGAGCGAAGTAGTTAGAGGTCCAGCTATTGCGATCCAGGCGTGATGGGGGGTAGGAGGTGGTATCGCGTATGCTTCATCCGGCTCGATTGCACATCCGGCGAAGTTGCTGTACATGTTTGCATTGAGGTTCTGAGCAGGCGCTGGTATTGGGCCAAGGGGCGCGGGCTGTGGTGTAGGTGAGCTGACAAGGAAGGCCTGCGATCCATGCACGACCCAGGTATGTCCTTGACTGACGCATACATTCGCTGCATTCGGCGTTGGCGTAGACGACGTCGGCGCAGGAGCAGAAGCCAGATTTGCTTGCGGGGGATCTACTTTCCTTTTTTTCTTCCCCATAGCGGCTTGCGCCTCGGCAATAGTCTTTCCTGCCATGCCACCACCTGTGGAAATACACGATTCCAGGACATGCCCCCGCTTTCCGCAGTTGGTGCAAGTAGCAATCTTCCGCTTAGAGCTACCGTTCGTGTTCGTTGTAGTGACAAGTGCAGTCGCGGAATTGCTTTTTGCGAGTTGCATCGTGAGGCGTATACACTCCGTGACTTGCTCTGCCGTAAAGCGATCACCATCTTTCTCAGCCGAAATGGCGTTACAGATGTAGTCACGCAAGACTGGTTGCGAACGTGTGAGGGAAAGCACGCCGACCATGAGGTGTGCCAGTGGGTCAATTTCGCCCATGGCATGGATCTGCTTGTGAAGGCGCTGCATCTCGATCCAGGAACCCAAGAGGTCTCCGTTCGGGTCTGTGTCCATGCGCATAGCCAGGAATTCGTCCTCGAGCAAGACACGGTGCATAGTTCCTCGCTTTATGTGGCGCTTTTTCAAGAACGCCCAGACTTCGCCTGCCGTCATCAGATCCTCGATGAGTTCTTGCTCTACCTCACTACACCTGAACTTCATGCAGGAAGCAATGGAGTAGCTATTCCGTTGAAGGTTGCGCACCGCGCACGGTTGCAGGAGCGGATCCAGCGTCTCCATCGTGTTCTCGAGATATTCTTCAACATGAGGGACAGACATCCCGAGCTCCATTTTCATGCGACGCTGCCATGCCATGTAGTTGCCTTTTGACAGGTCGAGGTAGTCGTCCTCATTCCAGTTACAGACTTTAATCGTGAGTGCAGCTATGACAGGATGACGAAGGTCGAGAGCGAGCGCTTCTTCGTGCTCCCCATCCTCTTGTTCCTCTCCTGTTGCTCTCGTTTTCGCTTTCGCGCGCGTAGTCCGCGACGGACCCGCGTCCCCATTGGGTGCAGCACTACCGGGCATGCTCGCGTGTAGTGTTTAATAAGATATATGCGTGTCTTTCGAAGTGAGTGTCAAGTAAGCTTCGAAATAGCAGGGTTTCTCTATGCGTTTTCTCGGACGTGTCGCAAGGCGAGGACGTGAGATAGCGAGATTAGGCGTTTCGCGAGGGAAGCAAGGTTTCCTGAGTGAGTAAGCGATTCCACGTTCGAGCGATAAGATGTTCAGGCAGGGCCCATAACCTGTTGAAACTGAACCGTATCCTCAGTGAGCGTAGGATGCAAACTGTATATATTGATATGTACCTGAACCGTATCCTGATAATAACGGTCAGTTACAGTAGACAAGGATTGACAACGTAACTTTACCTCAGTGAGCGTAGGATGCAAACTGAGGAAAGTGAGGGTGCGACCCATCCTGGGAAGTAACCCCAGGATGACTAATACGGCGCTAACGGAGATAACCAACACTTTGAAGCTTGTGACCTTGTGCAGGAGTTTGATAGACAGTGGCTTCATCTCAAGCAAGCGATGAGAGGTTAGAGCCACCACCAAGAGCCCATCGTACTTGTCGAATGCCCTACTTGTACGACCAAATTCCTGATACAGAATATAATTACATAAAAGAGGCAGGCATTCGGAAATTAACGCGTCTACATTCTTGAAGCTCTTCTTGCGTTTCTGTGACCCGGTCTACTCAATAATGTTTGTCTTTGGTTCAGAAAGCGCGAAGGTGAGGCTTCAACCATCTTTCACATTACTAGATGTCACGAATACTCACTGGGGAGCCCTCTCGCAGACTCACAAGACAGGGAAACGCTCTCCCTCGGCTCCTTCAACCTGGGCGCGTAAAAGAGTGCAACTCTCCCCAGAGTTGCTTCGGGGTGTTTTTGAACACTTCAACAACGCGGATAACGCGCGAAATGCACGCGTCTGCCGGAACTGGCGCGACGGCGCGTTGGCTTTGGTGTGGCGATGTGTTGACCTCGGAGACACGCTACGACTGTTGGCACCCTTGGTTAAGAATAAGAAGGGGGGCTTCTACGTGAGTATCGCTATGTGATTTCGTATAAAGCATGAGTCCATACTTAAACCCCGTCAGAAATTTTCTCGCAACGTTTCAGTCCAAGACTGGGAACGTTTCGATGTATACGCGAAGCGAGTGCAACAACTCACTGCCCATCCGAAGAAACAATACGACCTGTCCGTTGCTCGTGTCATAGGCTGCACCAGACAACGCTTAGAGATATTCCCCCGCCTCAAAGCCCTGGCGTTCGAAAGTAATTTCCACCTCGTTCCCCTCTTCCTTCACCATGGGATCAAGTAGCTATCCTTCGTCATTGAAACGCTCCCCGCCACCGAAGATTTGTCCGTGACCCTGCCGTACATTGCGCCCAGCGTCCCGACTCTGAGACACCTAACAGTCACCGCCCCTCAAGACCTCGCGGCATCGCTCGATGTCGCCATCGAGATGATCAAAAGCCTCGGCCATCTGCAATCCCTCCGGCTGCCCCTCCAGTGATTCGTGCCCGCAGTCATCAACGAGCTTGTCTACCATGATGAATTGTCGTATCTGGGGATCACAACACCGGCTGGGGAATGCTTCGAGATGCAGGGGCCCGAGAATGACATTTTCTCAATTACGATGCCCAAACAGGGGGGTATCCCTTCTCTTACCGAACTGAACCTTGCAGTAGGGATTTCCGGCGTTGCGAAGTCACCTGTATACGTCCTACGGATACATACTACACCTCAATAATAGTGGATTGGTGATACATCAGCGACCTCAGTCATACTAGAACAGATCGCATACTCAATCGGATGCCTGGCGCGCCCTCAGTACGGGCAGATCTAGTAGCTTAGATTTGGCAAATGAATGGACATTTTTGACATTGTATGCTCCTTAGCCACGCGAATGTGCCTCTATTGATGATTCCCCGGCCGAAAACCACCCCTTTCCCTGTCCTTACCAGCCCCTCAACCCCTTTCCAGGCGCGCTCGCATTGCGCGATGAGCGTAAACCTGGTTTGCTCCTGGCGCCACGCATAGGCTGTAGCGCCTCTGCTGATATCGAAGTTGGCACAAATCCGCCAAAGGTCGGCGTGGTATTGATGGAACGCAATTACCCGTCGCATCTCCTCAGCCAGGAGAATACATTCTTCCTGCCAGCGCTGGGCCCGTGCTCTGACTTTGCACCACTCAATTCGAAGTGCTAAAATATTTAAGCCTTATGTATGTAGGCTAAATGATAATAGCACGTACCTTCATTCATTCCTTCGGTGATCTCAGCGTCACTTGTTCTTTGAGTAGACCAAATCCATGATAATTGTCGGCGGCCTTCAGAGTTGGTGGCATCTTCTCCCTCTCGGAGACTGCGGATGTCCGTGTCTAGCAGTGGTTGCAGAGAATGCTCCCAACCACCTCTTCCAAAGGGACACTGAGCGCAGAAAGCGCTGACCGACATGCCCGGTATTTGTTCGCAATTTTTCAAGGATATCAAGTCACAGAACAACTCTGCAAGGACGGCGGCGCTAACCCCGACTGGAAGTTCCTGCACTGTCTGCCAGGGAAGCCTCATGAAGTTGACGACGAAGTTCGTTTTTCACTGCGCATTTGGTTTATGGATGCACTGATTTCTTCGTTCGCACAGGTTTTTTATGGCCCAAGGTCAGGAAGACTAGACCAATACTGTCAACAAGATCAGCTGCGAAGCGGCACAAGCACGAGGAACAAGATACTAGCCGGGCGCCCATACCACTTCAGATTTGTGAGCCTTAATGCGTCATTTGGATTTGGGAGGACCATTGAGCGGTCAAGAAGATCAAACCCGAAGTACGACCAAGGAGGAAGTAGTAGGTGCGCTGAGCGAAGACGTGCCGATTCTGCTTCTTCGACCGAGGGATGAAGTGCCGCCGTTGAGGAACTGGTATCAAGAAGCAAAAGCCAGACCGGGTGGCTTTCACACGTCTTCATCATTCGTTGAAGAGCAATCAAAGACATCTCCGATTGGGGGTTATAATTGGAGGGGTCGTGGCCAAAATCTTGAGGAAGGGCCTTTTCGTAATACGTAAATGTCGCCATGAATAGTGTGGCTATATCATCTGCTGATGCTTTGGCCTGCCGTGCTGATGAGAGGATCGTATTGACATTTGGATTATCTGAAAGCCATTTTCTGAGCTGCTGAAGGACTTGTTCATTTCTGGTAGAGGACTTGTCGATAGATATTCGAGATAGGTCGGATGTAAGTTGATCCATGGCCGACGGCGCTAATTCTATCCCAAATCCTTGAGTTTTGCTCACTTTCCACCAAATGCCGCCCGTTCGTTCTTTGCCCGCAGCGAAGAAGCGTAAGCTATCTCATGGAGACGAGATCAAAGCTCTGGAAACGCGCCTTGCATCTTGTATAGCCAATAACGACTCCTTGAACCCCTTGGCCGACCTCTTCGACCTCGCCCTAACGTTCTCAGAGCCCCAGGACACATCTAAAGCCATATACGCGCTCTATCGAATATATGTCCTAACGATCACAGGAGGAAAGCTCGAGGCAGGCGGAGACGACGATGCAAAGGTCGTGAAAGCATGGATATGGGAACGGCTCGACAGTTATGTGAGTTTCCTGGCCGGACTGCTGAAGGACAACGAAAAATCACTGCGGGTGAGTTATACGTTGTCCGTAAAAAAATTCTACTTGAACTATGGGCAGACGTCGTCCTTGCAAATACTCTTCTCCCTCCTCAAATACCTATCGACATCCTTGTCAAAATTGCATCCGACCCCACAATTCCATCTCACCCATTTCCGGAAGATCGTTGCGGCGCTCTTGCTCTGCCCACCTTCTTTACGCCCCTCGGCGCAAGCATCGGAGCCAGGCAAATTGGAGCCCGATGTGCGCGACCAGTTCATCGACACGTGGCTCAGCGTCAACGACGATGTGCGGTGGTTCTTCCTCCGCGAGTCTGCGTGCGTATCATACCGAGCATTCGTCGCAGCACAAGTCCCCTTCTGATGAGAGTTTGATCCTAGTACTTTGCTGGGCAAACACCCCACCGACGATCGGCCTGCTGAGAACTTGCTGGCGATCCTGTCTCGCCTCACCACCTTCCCGACGGATCCTTCCGAGCTCAACTCTTGGTGGGTATCTGAACTCGGCGCGAAACCGAAAATGCCGAAAAACAAAAAGAAACGCAAGGGCAAAAACTCCACCGTCAATAATGAGGATTCCGAGGACGACGACGTGCCTCCGAAACGGGAGGATGGAGAAGACGAAGAAGACGATGACTGGAGAAAGTTCTTCGACGAGCCCGCTGACGATGGTGAAGGCTCTGCGTCGAAGTCGAAGTCGGGCGGTGGGGCGCGAGTGTACAAGATGAATGTGCACCAGTCGCTGCATTCTCTCGCGTCGAATCGCGCGGTGTTTACGAGGGCGTGGTTGACGCTGTTGCCCCGTCTTTCCGAGCCTGGAGGCTCGAGCACGAAGGTTTTGGTAACGAGGGCTTTGAACGTGATGCATCGAGGCGTCCTGCCCCATCTTACCCGTGCCGTGCTTGTGATGGACTGGATATCAGCTTGCGTCGATTATGGTACGTTTCCTGTATCGGAAACACTGTCAATTCATGTATTGATGATCTACGTACGAAGGTGGAAGCGTTGGCCTGCTAGCGCTGAACGCGTTGTTTATCTTGATGAAGGATTATAACCTGTACGTCTCTCCATCCCCAGTATTGAATACTTTGGGCTTACAATGATGTATTCGCGCTGCGCATCAGAGACTACCCAGCGTTCTACACGCGATTATACACTTTCCTAGATCGAGAAGTCCTTCACCTCAAGTACCGCGCTCGGTTCTTCCGGATGCTGGAGTTATTTCTGAGCTCAACGTGAGTCGCAATCTTGATCGTGATGTACATTTCGCTGCTGACAGTGTCCGCCATAATGTGAAGACATCTACCCGCTACCCTCCTCGCTTCTTTCATCAAGCGGCTTGCAAGGCTGTCTCTGACAGCGCCGCCAGCTGGAATCATCATGATCATACCCTTCACTTACAATACCCTAAAAAAACATCCCGCGCTCATGGTCATGATCCATAGAACAGATTATGGCGATACCCCGGATGGTAAGCCATAACATCATATATAAATCGTCGTTACCCACCTCCCTGCGCTTCTTATCCGTCCTCTTACTCTCGCCTCCCCCCCATACAGGCAACGACCCTTACAACCCCATGGAACCCAACCCCCTGTTCTCAAACGCGCTCGCGTCGTCGTTGTGGGAGCTCAACACGCAGCGGGAGCATTATCACTCGGCGGTATCCACGCTCGCCAAAATTTTCTCGGAAGCATTCACGAAGCAGGCATACTCCACGGAAGACTTTCTAGACCACACCTACGCCACGGTGAGTCCCTCCGTCGCAACCTTTCGGAGTCATTCTCATCCCCCCCGCGCCGACGCTCATACACACCCCATGATCATGATCACGGTCACTGTAATCGCGATTCTAATTGTTGTAATTGTGGTGTGATCTAGCTGTTCGATACCGAGGCCGGACGTAAAATCAAGAAAGAGCCCGCTTTGGCGATGGAACTGGAGCTGGGGAAGGGCGCCGATTTGTTCCCCGACCCCTCACTCGCTGCTATCAGTAGTCGGGAAGGGGAAGAAGAAGACGCAGAGATGGGGCTGGCCCTTGGGGCTGGTGTTGGTGTTGGTGTAGACGTTGTTAGCCAACTGTGGTGCTTTGGTTGACGTTAAGGTACGCTGTTCAATGAGTCGATGTCCATCGTGATTGATCAACGGTAGTGCTCCGACAGCAGTAAATCCCTGTATAGGTTCATACTGGTTGAAGGGTCGAACATCTACAAAAAGTCCCTTTCGGACTAGGTCACTCCCTGCGCTTCGAAATAGAAACCTTGGTCTTTTCATCTGCTAATTTCCCCCTAAGGTTTCATGTATTGTGACAAAAGCAATTGATGCTTCGAAGCATCGAGCTTTTTGCATGTAAGTCCAGTTGTCGCGGTGACGGTTCCATCAACTTTTCAGGCAAATTCCCCAAGACGAGTGCATGTTGCTTGTGTTGGCCTAGTACTTACGACGACGGGAATACTGACCAAAGCATGTCTATGATTCTGCATCATGTGACAACTTCATGCTACGAATCTTTAAGCCGAACGGCAGACACTATTCAGGCCTTCAGGCCTTCAGGACTCAGCATGGCTCAACTCAAGAATGGGGTGTCAAAAATCCCGAAACTCTTGCAAGCGCGGAAATGGGTGATACAATGTTAAACGATCCCTTGCTTTGTCATGAGATTCATCATCATCGTCCACAGTGTTGCTAGATACGTTCGACCAAGGTGCGACATTCTATTTGTACAAGGGCCCTTATCGAACTCTGTTATTTGTTGCTAGAAATTAGCAGCAGCAAAGCCGATCATACTCTGGATCATATGTCACGTGCTACTTAAGGTTACAGAGATGCGCACTATCTACGCTAACGTTCAAGACTCAGAAGATACCACTTGGCTCGTATCTGATGCACACGCGTCCCCTTGGAATCACTCCGAGTCGGACGCCACAACTCAAAGCATTATCAAGACAATTGGTGACGAATACTCACCCTTGGAACATCTGTCAGCAGCGGTTTCGCTCAAAGAGTTCTTGGACCGCACTGTCGACGCCGCTCAGAGCGGAACTCCAGGGGTTTTAAGGAGTACGAGGGAATCATAAACCATTGTCTTCCAAAGGTGAGCACATGCTGGACCCACGATTGCTGGTTTGTGATAACCCGGACCCGCGTATAAAGCCTGAAGCACTCGCGCAGACGATTGTTACCCTCATGGCTTCTCTTCCAAACTTACCAGAAACGTTCAAAGCTGGTCTGTGTAACTCGATCAAGTCTCAGTTTGCTATGAAATGCTGATGCTATCCCCTTGGATTCACATGCCTCCAGTTCGCTGTTCCAAGCCAAATAATCCATGGGAGATCGTCGAAGTCCCTCTTCGCGCGCCGAAAGGCAATGAAGTGCTAATCAGAGTACACGCTTCCGGCGTATGTAACTCGGAACACTTTGTGAAAGAAGGTACTTGGCCAGGTTTGCAATACCCCCGCACCCCTGGGCATGAGGTCATCGGACGAGTCGCGGCTGTAGGGTCAGGTATTTTGGCGGCGCACGGGGGAACCGCGCGGTTTCAACTTGGCGCCTTGGTTGGTGCAGGTTGGAACGGGGGCTACTGCAATCGTTGCGATGTGTGTCGGAAGGGAGATTACTGGACTTGTCCAAATGGGGACTTTACTGGCTTTACTGTCGATGGAGGCCACGCTGAATACATGTACGCACCTGAGACAAGTGAGTGGTATGTTGTGCCAAATTTTGCGGGGGTTCTCATATAATTATAGTGGTGATTGGTATCGAGGAAGAAGCTCTTCAGAAGGCCAGCTACGCAGAGCTTGCACCTCTGTTTTGCGCAGGTGCTACTGTGTTTGACGCCATACGCACTACAAAATGGTCACCGGGCGATGTTTGTGTTGTTCAAGGGATTGGAGGTCTTGGCCATCTTGCGGTGCAGGTACGGACCAGTCGAACACACGCTACTTCAACGGGGATTGTCTAATGCTATCAATAGTTCGCCGCAAAAATGGGGTTGAAAGTGAGTAGATACCGAGGGACAGTTCTGCCGTTAACTAAAACACCACAGGTTTACGCTGTTTCCTCTGGACCTTCCAAGAAAGACCTGGCCATGTCTCTCGGTGCCCACGAACATATCGATTCGAGTAGCACAGATGTTGTCAAATACGTCCAATCCCTCGGTGGCGCACAGATTATCGTTTGCACAGCTCCATATGCCAAGCTCATATCCGACATCATCCCCGCTGTTGCGAAGAACGGCACAGTGACGCTTGTATCTGCTGCAACGGACAAGCCCATCGAAGTTTGGAATCTGACCATGAACATGAATAGGGCCACCATTCGTGGCTGGTGCTGCGGATGTGCGCAAGATATGGAAGAGTGCGTCAAATTCGCTACGCAGACAGGTGAGCTCCATACTCCGAGAATGTAGAAGATCAAGACTGACCATGACCTGTGGCTAGACATCAAAACGATGGTGCAGGAATACACACTGGATCAATTTGCTCACGCATACGACGCGACCATGCAGAACAAAGCTCGCTTCAGAAACGTCATCGTCTTCAAATAGAACTTACTAGACACAGCTCGGCGCTCTATCCATCTGTGCTCAATTTCTTAATTCGACGATGCGCCTTCGAGAATGAATGGTTGACGAGGCTATCTTCGGTATGCAAATAAGAACAAACATTGTGCCACTTAATGCCAAAAAAGGGTAACGTAGTTTAAAGCCACTCACCCCATAGTATCTCCTTCTCTTTATCCGCCACCACCATTAGTACTCAGCACCCAGTAGCTGCATGACTTTACTACTCCCTTTTTCTGCGGAACCAGTACCCTCCCTGCAAAAGAAACATGCATTGCGGATCAACACATTCCCCGCCGAGATAACGAACAACATTGCGTCACATCTAGATGACCCCCGAGATGTTCTCGCCTTCGCATCTTCTTGTTCCGAAATATACACCAATCTCATGCCTCACCAAATTCGAGCGCAAGTCATAGCCTGCGATATGCGTCGCAGCACTGTTTGGACGATGCTCGAGGAATCTTCAGAAGTGGCATTGAACTACAAGACGCTCAACGTATTCAGAGAATGGCCAGATTCCAATTACGTCCTGCCGTTAGATAACCTTGACACTGACTACAATGTCGCGGAAGAGATAGCCGGATATTGGAGCGGCGATGTTGAGACGCAGGTGGAATACGAAGAAACGATGCGAGAAGCACTGAAGAAGATGAAGAACCTGTCGAATATTCGATGGGAAATGCCTGAGCCACCCCAGCGTCGGCTCTTGAATGCCCTACGATTTAATTCTTGGAACCTCACAAGCTTGTCCTTTGAGCTATCGCATGCTTACAATGACAAAACGTATCTTGATGTGAGTGACATTGTGGCTAGATATTGAATCTCCTAATTTTTTCTCTAGTTCTTCCAATTCATAAGCCACTCTTGTAGAAATTTGAAGTCCTTTTCGATGAACCTTCGTTTGGGCGCTCAGGATGTACCAGTCTCCGCCTTCTTAACGAAAGCATACTGGCCCCGTCTAGAACGCCTGACTCTACGAACGCCCTCGTGTCCCGGGTTCGCTCTGGACCATTTCCTTCAAAGGCATCGTCACATCTTATACCTTGAATTAGAAAGGTTTCTCGATGTCTGCTACCCGATTGGACTCCAAGAGTTGTATGTTTGGGATTCCGTCGCTCTAGGTGTTCAGCCCGCAAAACGTCTCTACATCCTTGCCTTATACGTCCACTTATCAAGTTCTTTCGATATTGGACCACCTCCGTATGTTGAATACCTACAGTACGCTACCAGGTTGGAACGACTTGTCATCAACTCCGAAGTCGCGCTGCAAACGCTGATTCAGCTCACTGAATATACCCCCCATCTACTCAAGCTACACGCCATCATAAAGCTACATAACAACGTGGGCACTTTGAGAGAGGTGTGTCCTATCTGAACCAGCAATCCCCCTGGCTGATCTCAGCCAAACCCCCTTGATGCCTAGGTCAAACAACTGTGCACTAATCTTCCAAGGTTGACTCACCTAGGGTACATTACTCTAATAAATGAGGACCCCGAGGACGCAACGGACATTGTCGTGGATATAGCTGAAGCCTTCCAGAAGCTTATGTTTATCCGCGTAGCGCCGTCCCCACCTTGCGGAAACATGAGAACAGCGCAAAACGGCGACTGGTATACAGTTGTTCGTGATGTACGGGGGCATGTGAAGAGGTATTCTAAGACAGAAGATACCTTGTGTGGTGTTGCATGTAGACAATGGGGGAAAATTCCGTGGGGCGCTATGTAGTTCCCCTTGCCAATGCTTGCTGATAGAAGCGTACTATACGGTGTGGTGGGACATCGTTTTGTCATACTTCCAAAAAAGAAATTGGACTACCCAATGAAGTACTCGAGTAGTGCGTACCCCAACTCCGCAAGGATAAATGAATGTCGTCCTGTCTTCAAACATCAGATGTTTAATGGCCCAACATATATGGAACGCAAGGCCCAAGGCCGTGGTTCATGTATATCGAATGAATCCCAATGTAGAGTACTCAAAGTTTCAACGCGATTGTCCACATGCTTCTAGTATCATGGGGTTTACGTCTAAGAAACAGGCAGGGAAATGGATGACAAATAAAGGTCCATTGCGATGGTGACAGTATTGATGAGACTAGTTGCCGTCCATAGTGGACCTGGGCGTGGTCCGCCCTTGCGCGTGACTATTCAATAATGTCCTTATTAGTGACTTGAAACAAATCGACTCTAAATACTTTGCCAAGGGCCGTCGACTCGTGTACTATGGTGCCTGCGGTGTATCCAGGAGGTAGATAACTTCCAACAGTAAACTTATTTGGGGCTCAAGATAAGGACTTCGACTAGGTGTACGTGATGCGCCACGATGTCGAAGGGGCGATTCCAATGTGGCATAACTAGAGGTATGGAACTAATCCAATAAAAAGATGCCCCACCGATGATAGATTCTACAGGAGATCGTGAGGTACTATGAGAGTGAATGATTGGAGATATACCACACGCTGGGACCGATCCATTCGCCTCTGCGTCAGGTCTAACCCACTACCTAGCGTCAAGCTTGGCGTGGATAATCGTAGCAAGCAACAAAAGAAGCGGCGGAAATTCCCAGAATGATGGTGAAATTTCCGGGCTGTCGTTGAGGGCTTATTGAGGTGCACCGGCCCTGTCGCTATGTGCAGCATCTGCAGATACAAACGGCCTTGTAGACCATGGCGTAATAGTAGTGGTAAACATGCTACACGGGGTGAAAATCAACCGTTCAATGGAAATAGAGTGCGTACATTCAATACTAGTAGGACTTGCGAAAATGAATACGATGCCGTGGTGGGGTACCTACGCTCATGACGCATGGATTCGGCAGTTTCAGGCCGAGCACGACAATCCTGTCAGGTCTGCGTATGGGCCACAAGGTTACACTGGTGATTGTACAGCCCAAGGCGCCACAGGATGATGTGCCGATGTCAACAGCAAAGAAAAACTCCCTTAAAATACCATTGGTTTCCGGAAGAATGGGGTTGGCACTTGACAAGCAAACGAGGGAAGCTAGACGATGGGCTCAAGGGTCCCATACAATCCAGAAGGAAGAAATGTTAGGATGCTATATCGGCCAGCGGGAGCACGCTAAGGATGGATCTGATACTAAATTAACAACATCGCATGGACGTTCGTTATCGGTGCCCACACTATATGGACCCATGCGATTCGTAGATCTCACCCAGAAGGTCAGTGGATGCCACAAGCAACATAGTCTAATCCCACCATAACAATCAGAATTAACCTCGACTAGCGGATTAGTGTATTGGTGCTTCAGCCGAGTTAGGGACCATGTGAACTCCGTGGTACACGGTGGACCACATTACGATAGATCAGGAAGAATTGACTTGAAGGTCAATTGAAAAGTGTGATCGAATTGACATTGAATGACATGCCCCAAGACCCAGGGGTCTACCTCTCGGTGTCGTGGGAGACGGTGGAACAGTGATCTGAGATCGAGCAAACGTTCCTTGGCCTGGCCTGAGGCTAACCGGTAGGCACCTCCAGAAATTTCCGCCGGTCTCTTCGTGAGCTGGGGCGATAGCGCGTACTCAGTGAAGGCATCGTTCCTGTACCGGTCTAGTATGTCTGGCAACGGGGGTGATAATATGCCATGCTTCGCACCGTTCCCCGCGGTCGGGAAGCCGAGAAACTTCGTTCGAGGTTGAACTGAATGGGTAATACAGCGAAGAATCCACGAATTCGGGTCAATGTGAACTCAAATCTCTGCGTGTCGTGAATGTTGGTATTTTTGTTGTAGGCGGAATTACATGGCTTTTTGCGACATACCTCGATTCATCTGGCTCTATCCGAACCGTATGTATTCACATACGTGCGACACCAATTCAAATCATCCGAGGCAGATGCGAATACCACAACCGTTATCATTGTGCTGACGAGCAATCGGTTCCTTATGACGACGGCCGCGTTGGTACCGGCGATCTCAAAGCGGCGGATGAATGCATGTGTGTGTCGCTACAACCTCATTAACCAGAGGGGCTGTCATTAACCAGAGGGGCTGTCATCCGGCTCAGTCACTCACTATATTGTATCACATGCCATGCAATACCGCCTTCGATACACACAAACGTTTTGAGTACCTGTAATCGGGTGATTGAAGATATGCATCGACCGATAAGGTCGCGAATGGGGCGAAGGCCAACCAAGGGTCATAATACATTCACTGCCAGTTACGCTGCCCTAAATCGACTTGACAGGGCGAACCAAGGAAGGGGGATTGATTTTGGGGTGCGATGGTATCCTGTGTCCATCTATTGAATAGACAGCATGTGCTTGTATGTTTTCCAGTGGAAATACAGAGATAATTACGTGGAGGACATCAAGGGGAGCAATTCAATAGCGACGGGCCACATGAGGATGCTTCGAGAGAGAACCAGACAGCCAAAAGCGGGCACCAGTGATCGGCGAATAGAGGTCCAGGTCGGGATGAAGGAAGCGTATTTAATGTTTCATGCCTTGAAGGTGAGAAATAGAATAATCAAACCCGCATGTTGATGAGGAATGTCCTTGAATTAATGGAATAAGCGACGTTGGCGCTGTAGCGGCGCGTTTCCACCTAGGCAGCAGTGTAATCATGTTTCAAGGGACTTTGGGAGCGGAACGCCGCGTTGGGCTGCAACGATAACTTTTCGACTGTAGGCAAGTAGACAGAGGTCTCGGCCTGAATTGAATACCCGAGGGAAGTCAGCTGTAGTGAGTCGTGATTCCGGAATGTAACATAGTTCAGGGAGTCCAAGCGCAGGATATCGGTCATATACGGTTGACTGGATCTGATTCCGCGTTGATAGATGAAAGGGGTAATACTAACTTGACCGACTATAGCACTGCGCAATGTGTGGTTTGTGCGTTGCCCACTCTAGATCACGTTTCGCCGAGGTCAACCCTGAATGAAAGGGAACATACGCTGTTCCGTCGGCTTCATCCTATCCTTGTTCATAGGCTTATTTGATCTCAGCTTCGACTTCTTTTTTTGGTCCTTCTACGTTGCTTCTTCTCCTCTTCGCAGGATCATGTCCGGTACGGCGACCTCTCATGGGTGGCGTGCGTAAGGAGTGCAAGATCTGTGATAAATTAGTGACTTGTTTACTTGCAATACGCACACGTACTTGAATAATGATCAGCCAGAACAGGGTATAGCCCCTCCAGGATGTTAAGGTCGCATTCTCACACTGCCTCGGACTCGGCCGCCGGGCGGGTGAGCGATCAAGAGAGCGGTACGTTGGGAAGGAGATGGAAGAGGTCTCGAGTTCGTGCGGAGGAAGAACATTTCTCGCCATTAAGCAGCCGTATTCATCGCCTGTCCTCATTCCTTGCACACTTTGATGGGCTCGTGGTAGATGCGTAGATCGAGAATCCATCAAGGTTCGACCCGTCGTTATCATCCGTTGCGTTTTGGGGTCGTTTTCTGTCTGCTCTTGTGTCCTTTTGTGTACACTATGGTGAGTGCAATTGTCTGTGCAAGTTGTGTGTCGGTATAGAGACAATACTATTATGGCCGCCGTTTAGGCCTAGGGGCGGTCGTCAACGTAAAGTGAAGGAATGGAGTTAAAGAAGCGAGAGAGGATGTATGTCGGCGGATTTGAGGATTACACTTCATTATACACAGGCCAAGGAGTTGATCGCAAGTGGTTCTATGGGCCGAACGAGTCCGTCGCCATGTACGCGTCATTTCTTAGAGTGAGGGGGTGTTCAGGTACATCGCCATCCGAGCAGTCCGACCACAGGTGCGCAACAATCGCTTCCGCCAAAAGCAAGGCACGTTAAGGGACATGTTGGCAAGCAGATAGATGTCCTTTTGGCCTGCGTCCTCTGACAACGAGACATAGGTAGAAAACGAGAAGATCGCAGGATGTGCCTGGAAGTAACGCGCTGAGTATGAATTCGACGAATGACATAGCATAGTTCGGTGATAGACAAAGCGGTGGTTCGGAGAAGTTTAACCATGGAGTTGCACGTCCGGACCGATGAGGAAGTTGGATTGGAGAGGTCCTTGAAGACCAACGAAAGAATCTCTCGATCGTGTATGTTCGGGGCGTATAGCCAGGGGGATTTGAGCTCGGTACATTCTGGCGCATCGAATGACTCCGCGGGATGATAAACACGTGTACGAGGAACGACCAGAGGGAGCAACCGTAAAGCCATGCTTACGAGGAATCGTCGGTGCCGTTGCGAGGGCTACGTTCTAACCAGGCACAAGCGACCTTGGCGAGACCATTGGCAACAACGCATTGGCGCATACTGATGAAATGGGGTCGGCGCCGGTCGGGGCCTCTGGCTATACGTTATCGTTGAGAATACGTAGTGGTCGGCGATGCAGTATTGCCGTCTCCCAAAGGGGTCCCAAATGCTAGCCAACGACCTATTGTTGACTCAGCACCAATGGCGATGGTATGGGGGGTGCAGGTTGGCCGTAAGGATGAGCACAAATGTTAATTGTGGTCGGGGTCAACCTTGATGAGATTGTCAACGATCTGTCGGTCCCGTTTTCTGATGGCCCCTTCAACTTGCCTGATTCAGAGTTTCGGATGTTTTATGTAAGTGCGCACAATTGGCAGTCACAATTGACGGTAAGTAGGCCTCATAATTGTTGAAGCTGAAGTGAGTGGTTCCCGGAGAAGCACAACAGCTCGACAAAGGAGGACGAGTGCACATTAGAGTCCTGTTGCAGAAATGAGTGCCCTAGGACTTGAACAAGAAGTAAATTGAGCTACTGATCAAGATTGTACGTGGACTGTAACCAGGACAGTTGAGGGTCTGAGTTCTGTGAGATCAGAAGAGATTCTGCGTCATTTGTCGTTTAGACGTTGTCAAGCTGATAAGTAAATGAGCTGGCGGGAGTCAGTCGTTGGTCAGTTGCACAAATCGCCGAGGATTGAGGGCGGAGGAAGGCGGACCGACTCCTCCACGCGAGCCGGGATGGCCATGACAACGTGGCTGTAGCGTGGCTCGTTCCGTCGCCGAATGTCATGAACCATAATCCTCTCTGTCCTGCCCGATAACCCCACCTTAATTTTCGCAGACCCAATGGAGGAACATGGTTGTTGCGGGGTCTCCGTTGCCATACCCTCCCTATTCTATGCGACAGGCCCCAAGCGAGCAAAAGGTCCAAAATATTCGGAAATTTCAGTATTTTTCACTGTTGCCTTTTTCATACCGTTGATATTCCACACAAGGACATATCCATACCGCGTCGCTGGACAGGGCATACCTCCTCGAAGGTCATGTCATGCATGGCGTTTATCATTTTACCACGATAATATGTTATTCCAGGAACGAGTGGTTCTTCGTAGATGACGATAGAGTTGCGATATGGTTGAACCTCGTCCCTGAGGCCTGAGCCATGATGATCGATGAATCTCGTATCCATGTTATGTTATTTAATGCATAGGGCTCCGCTATCCTGGACATTCGAGAAACTCCCCATCTCGGACAGATTCGCTTCCCTCCTGGAGTAGTTTTTGGTAACGTACCTTGACAATCGCGGCTTACCTAGAAACCTCCCCCACGCGACCATGGGACTGGGTTTCTCCACAGGTCTCCCGATTACATTTGCTTCTTATGGTCGATTGTTTTCTTTCCCTAGAGGGACGCCGCCAAATTTCTGGCCTTGCCACACAAACAGTTAAAGGCAGCGCGATCTTTGCGTCTATCCGAACCAACGCCATCCCGACAGCCACCAATGGTCTACCGCCTTCCAACCCACCTCGAATCCTTTGTCCCCCCGCCTTCTGCTCAAGTTCTTCAGTCGAGGCCTTGGCGGGGTGCCCTTATCATCAGCGGCATGCGTGCCTCCGACAAGGGCAGTAGTCAAGAGATTCGCATCACTGCAGTGGAGACCGACGGCGATAAGTCAGTCATTTCGTTATTTTTGTTGTCCGATCAAGATTAGTAACTGAGCTTTCAAGCACTCGCAGTCGAATGGACCTGTGGCCTCAACAATTCTTCGCTCGCATCGTTCACGAACAAGTCATCTTGCAAGATGTCCAAGCCTGGGTCAGGCGCAATAACCCACCACTCTGCACATTCATGGCCGACCGATTACGTGACCCCAACGGGAATACCGTCAATCAAACCAACTTTCGTTCACTATCCCGGATCCTGTTTGACAGTCAAACCGTACGCACATCTGATATCTTCCTGTGCTTGGCCCAGCGCTAACCAATTCGGTTTAGGTTGCCATCGCATCTTGGAACACTGACAAGATCGAAGGGGCTGGCATGATCATCTATCCTTCGCAAAACTCCAGTGCCTTGCTCGTCGGCGCACTATTCTTATACGCTCCTTTCCCTGATTTCATTATGAATGCAGCACCATTATCGCCTGGTATAATTTCGCCGTCCCCGCGACACCAATATCCACAGCATGTCGCCTCATCCTCGGGCCCATATGCTTCTAGTTCACGCCATCACCAAACTAGCTCTCCCCAACGTCACGCTACGGGGCACCCAGCTAGCCAATCGGACCCTACCAACCCTGGTCTTAGGCATGATCAGTATCGGTACATCATGCCTCGCACAGTACCGTCCAACTATCCCGGCTCTTCCACCTCTGCCAGCGACCCAGCCTGGTCTAACGTCAAAAACGAGGACGACCCCGCATACCCGTCTAGTCATACCCATTACCCGTCCCAGTGATCGTAATATCATCCAACAACCGCAGAAATCAATCATAGACTGCACCCTGCTTTCGCTTTCGAAACTGTAGCAAATGTCTCAGCAACCCCCGGTGATACCCACTAGATACCCCACCACCGCCCAATGTATCAAAGTCGCTCCCTGCTCTTATTTATCCATTAGACAACTCCGTCGCTCGTCCATCCGAAATATCCCCTTGTAGCTAGCATAGTCTGAAATGCTCTCTCTGAATGTATCTCTAGTCTCGTAGTCCAATTCTGTGCATACTTTCCGCGATCAATATATACATGTTGATCTTCAGTTCCTACGAGGGGACTCCTGCAGGGCAACACTCTCTTCGCCTTCTAGTTTTCGGGAATTGTGTCTGGCTTCCCCTTCTTGCTTGTATTGGCGTGGCAGTAGAGCCAAGCCAAGCCCGTACAGGACCCAAAAGATCTACATTCATCGATGATTTCAGCAACCAGTCCCCAGAAGCATGCAGCTTGGCTTACGATGACAAGAGCCAACCATGCGTTCTTCGCTGACATCGGGACTTGGTGCAGGCCGCCAGTCAATAACCATTCGGTGTTCTGATTCGATTATCAACGCTGAGATCTTGGATACGCCATAAGGCTACTCACCAGTCCATAGTGCACCTTAGGTTGATGACGCATGGTGAGCGGTTGGGCGTGATCCTGACCGAGAGACATACCTGATATGCTGCCAGGGCCAAGATGACGAGCCCTAATATTGCATGGAAGTAGTTCTGAGGAGGACGAGACCCTTGGACCAGGACGGCTTGTAGAAGTGGATAATGAATCCAATGAGAATTTGGATGATGTATAGGATTAGCAAGGCAATTCCAACTTGCTACAATAGTCGAGGTCGGAAGTGACTTCTTCACTAGAGGACGAAGACTTGCCTTAGGGCCCGGTCTGCTCGTCGAGATGTCAGTCCCTCGGGCCTGGGGTTGGCGGAGATTGAACTTGACAAAACCTAGCGCTGGAGTCTGCTCAGGGCGCTTGGGAATCGTCACAAATAAGTCACAGACATCATGGTGGGAAAGCGGCAATAGATACAAAGTAAATACATGCAAACTTCTGCTTTCGGTATTTCTTGTATTTCTTGTCGGCGACCTGAAGTATCCCGGCTCAGTAGGTGATATACTAGTCCAAAAGAGTTTAACATGTGGTACGTTGGTTTAGCGGTTTGCGCGCTTGAGTACTACTTTTTAGCACGGAAAGGTTGCGGGTTCGAGCCACGGATTGTCCTTTTTTCACTTCTTCGTCCTGCTATCTCACCACTAACATTCATTAATAAATAAACACCACAAGCTGTAGTACTGTTTATTGGAGGGAATAGATAATGCAGTTGATACAAGGTGCCACCAGGTATATTAACGCTGACATAATAATGTGACAGGAAGGTCCTAACCCACCCGCAAACCCCCTGGTACAGCAGACCAAACTGTCGGTTTGGAGTAGGTTTGGGCCAGGTTTGGTCCAACCGTGGGAGCCAAATTTGGCAGGTAGGGACTAACATCTCGACGAGCAGACCGGGCCCTTATGGGGGTCATCTGGCAGGACACTGGCACTTCCTCCAAGCATATCGTAACTTCGGTGACCGTAAGCCCACCCAGCGAAGATGACAGGCCCCGTAACAACGAATTGCCAAGCTGTATGTACCCAAAACCACCTAATATAGAGTTTACTTGATGATTCGTGGGGTCTAGTGAAGGAAGAAAAGTACGTACTTGTTGGTGAACGTCCTGACGTACCGCACTCCCAGAGCACCCAAAGGCAACAAGATCAGGAAGCCTGTAGTACACAAAATGGCATGTGTGATGACCGTCCTCTCTAGCGGTACTAATGGGAAGGAACTCATGTCGCGATAAGTCTTATGGATGCAACGTTGGGAGGAGGATACTGAGAGACTTTAAGGACCAGTTGAGAACACCGCCCACCTACATAAGTTATGGGCGTGGGCCAACCGCAGTAATCAACTCCTTCTGAGTGGTGCCATTCTGTTCATCAGCATCCCGGAATAGCCATGGGAAACGGATTGACCATCGGCGAGGCAGTCCTCGACGAATTCTAAGAATGAACGAGGTCGATGATTGGCTGGGTGGTGACGATAGGCCTTGATCAATTCCCACCCACTCTAATGATTACCCAACGTGTGTCAAGATGTGGCTCACAAGCTAGTAAGAATGGAGTTCCAACCTCCGGGTACGTCGACAGTCCGGTCGCCTCACTGCGTAAGTGGTCGGAACATGGGAAATGGCCGCTTGCGATGGGTATCACAAACGCGCCAAAATGATCTAGTAGCACGGCGCCTAAGACGACGTGGGTATATATATAGGCGGCACTCCGCAACAAAAATACGAATAAGAATTACAATCGACATTCATTGATCACTGAGTTACGTAGCTGCGGTTAGCCCCCGTTCCCCCCTCTTCGTAGGAATTCGAGGCATGTCATCATCGTCGTCTTCGCTATCAACGACGACCACTGCGTTCTTTCGCCGTTCGCTCCGTCGAAGGCGCTTCGCCGGTGTCTTCTCTATTTCCATCGCCTCCCTATCTCTTTCATCATCGGCACTTCGTCCGCGCTTCGAATGCCTCTCGTCGTGCAACAGTTCTGTTTCGACATCCATCTCCTCCTCTTGGCACTTGAGCTGTTCCACCCGCCGGCGACGATGACGCCCTTCGTCTGTGGTCGCTTCTGGATGGTCCATCTCCATGGCTTGATCCGACGCGCCCTCAACTGATTCGTGCCGTTTCGACTTGGCCTTGGATCTACTTTTCTTCTTCGGCTTCGGCGATGGGATGAAAGGGCGGCTATTCTTCACAGCCCAATCAATTTCGATGATTCTGGGGTACCGGGGCGCGGAGCATGCCAGAGAAGGAGCAAGCAAAAAGGCAAAAAGTCAGAACATACGATTATTAAATATCCTGTGTTAATTTACACAGGAAGACATTAATGACGAAAAGTATCCACCTCTCTTTGAGCTTGATGTTATCGGGGACGAATGATTCCGCCTTGCGGTAGAGATCAAGCGCGGCTTGGAGATCACCTCTGATGGGCAGAAAGACACAGATTAATATCTCGATTCAGCATTGAGCAGGAAGAAACCGTACTTCTCGGAACAGGAACGAGCAGCTGCAACATATGCCCGACCCATCTTCTTCTTCGATACGGGCGAGAGAACATCGGGAGCGTCTTTCCCGCCACGATCGCTATGCATATATCAAACGAATCAACGACGCACCAGTCAGTTGCCTATATAGTCAAAGGCGACATGAGCAACTTACAACTTCTGCTCAAGTTCCTGTAGCTTCGACCTCACTTCCGAATCAAGTTCCTTGTGCCTCTTGAGCACCGGCGTAAGAATCCCAGCTGGTATGGAGAGAGATATCGACTCCTTCCGAGGTGACTTGGATTTCGACTTCGCTTGTCGATGGCGTCTGTTCTCCTTCTCACTAGCGACACTACCGCTCCGTTCCCTGTCGTCGCAGTCATCGCCATGGTCACTAAAGCTCGCCCGATTCACAGCCTCAGTTGCGCGGAGTGCAAGCTCTCGTTCCATTGACAACCGCGCTCTGGCCTCCTCAGCTTGACGTTGTCGCTCCAGCTCTTCCATCCGCCGGTTAACTTCAGCTTCAACAACTTTAGCGACCTATAATACAAGCAAAGGGTATGAACATGGAGAGTGGTCATGTCAGCCATGCTACCCACCTTCTGCTCGAACTCCACCTCAGTCAATGTCAACCCCATGGTACCAGGTGCTGGTTCTTGTTTCACTGGAGGCATGACCATAGGTTGGAACCCCTGTGCGCCTGTCGCCACAACCGAAACGGATGCACGAGCTTGCTTTCGTGGGACGGGGACGAGGGATTGGCGTGCAGCACCCGTACGAGGCAGGCCTGAAGGTCCTGCCGCGCCGAATCCAAACGCTGCAGAAGAAGGGATAGTTGGGAAAGGGGGTTTCGAGACTTGTCGATGATCTGTGCGTTTTGGTGTCAACTCAACAAGTCACATCGATAGGAGCCGAGGAGCACAAGATAGGGGTAAAGAGAGAGAGAGAGAGGGATACCTTGTTCGTTCACGACAGGCTTGTTCTCTATGTTCTTCGTGCGTACGGCGAAGCTGGGTTTGCGTTTGGTAAGTTGAACAAGACATGGGGCATGGGAGAGAACGTACTTCAAAGTGTTGAGAGTATCCTGCCTGAACTTTGCCCCGGGAGCGAGGTTACATATCAACAAACCTACCGACGAACCACCCAGCGCGTCTTGCAATATGCGCGTCAGTTTGGAGTTGCGGTATGGTATTCGGGTCTGACGTTTACAAACGTCAGCAATATCGACCAAAAATAATGTCAAGGATATTCACCTGATTCGAGTTCAAGGCATGTACCACTTGGCCCAACACGCTCAATGACTTGTTGATCGCAGCGGACTCAGCCATTCGAGAGGCGTCGTTACCCGTGAGTTTATTGTTCTCAGAGCCGGCAAGGTCGACGAGGTTGATTGTTCCTGTGAGTGCTATACAAGTATAGTTAGAGAGGAAAGAGAGCTGAGGAGCAAAATAAATACATCTGTTATGCGTGCGATCGAAAATGGTGGCGCGAATAGTAAGTATTGCGTGGGAGCGGGAAGATGCGTGGTTGAGGTTCGTGGAGCCCACTGAACGGTGTTTCGTGGCTCGTCTACAGCACGGACATATTCAGACATGGAGTGACGGACAAATGCGTTACCCACGTATAAATGGCTTCAAAATCAGAGAATGACGATATGGGTTCGTAGGTGAGGTTTGCGACAAATACTTTGCCGTGTTCGTTCTCGCGGACAGGGAGTTTCGGCGCCTGGGTCCGCATTGATGTGAGGGGAATACTTGGTGCTATGGTTGAAGGGAACATACATTCTCTCTCGTGACGAGGAGGTCATACACATCATCTTTATAAATCTCCATATACGACATATTGATTGAAATATCTTCTGGAACGAGAGTTGGTGTGGCATCCACAAGTCGACGTCTGTGAGCGAAAATTGCCTACCGTAGAAGGAATGAGATAACGAAGCCCAACCGGGAGGGAAGGATTACACGCACTTGGACAGTCCTTGGAATAACGCCCGGTGCTGACTTTGAGCCTTGCATAGTATGTGTCTTTCCCGAAGAAGTAACGCCGTATGCAAAGATTGTTACCGTCTGCGTAAAGAGTGAGTGACAGCCCATGAATGCAACAGAACACCGACCATGCCCTGATATACCAAATCCACCATGGGCTGCACGTCGTTCCCGAAAATCTCTTCCTGCGTAGACGCTTCATCATAGCAGTTTGAGAACCTAGAATGTTGTGAATGAACGGACGCAAAGGTGACACAAGAAAGGACGGACTGGAACTTGAAAACTTGAGAGGTGTCTCTGGGGTTCACGATGTTGATCGAGCTTGTTCCAGCATTGCTTCCGCTGGCAACGGCGTTGGAATTGCGTATGACCTGAACACAGCCATCATCGGGTTCAGTGCCTAACCGCGGCCGCAGGCGGGCGATGATGCGAATTTTCTGAGACATGCGGAAGATCTATGGGGCGAAGGCTGCAAAGTTCGATGGGTTGGGCGAGAATACGGGTAAAGACAGTGCGCAGAAGAGAAATGAGAGCGAGGAAGGGGCGATGGAAGCAACCGCAGAGGGCGAGTCCGTTCGCGGTAGAAACCTGACACCAGAGCTCGAGATGAAGAAGGCGGGATTCAAATTGAACCCTGGAGGTTCAAGTCGCGTGCATCATGTGATCGTGTGCCTAAACTCTCTCACCTCGCGATACTTTGAAACCTCTCTTCTCTTCCACCACATCCACCACACCCCTTCCTCTAGCGTAGAATTCCTCTCTGCGGACCCCTATGAAAATATCCCTTCACTCGCTGGACTCGTCTCCGCATTCAAGCTCTATGCACTCCTCCCATGTCTACACAACATCCGAACGCTCCATATCAGTGGCTTCTGCAAAGTCAGTAATCAAGATTGGATAGATCTATACACACGATGCCCAAATGTCCACCACTTGACCGTAACACTATCTGCGACGCATTTCCTGGGAATAACGAACCGTTTCATAGGTCCCCAGATCAGGAGATTAATGATATCGCTTTGCCCCAGCTCGAGAAGTTAACGCTGCGCCACTGCTCGTTCAAAATCACTTATCTGCCGTTAGGCTTCACCGCTGCACTTGCTGAGTTTCTCAAGGATCGTATCACCCGCGGGTGCTCCCTCGACACCTTAGAAATTACCGAATGCGATGTCACGGAAGATCATATTCCTACGCTGGAAGCCCTGACTCGCGCTAAAATGGGACGGTATCACATACAGGATGGTGTTCGAAGAGTACGAGGAGTCGCCGATGACGGCTGAAGAGTACTCCCAGTGAAAGGGCCATGTTAGGCCGGCTGAAATTAGCGTCGTCTCGAAGGATGTGATGAACATGTTTGCAGACTCCGAGTTAATGGGCGAATACTGGGGAGCCGTCTCATGGAAGGAAAAAAAGGAAGTAAAAATTACACGGTTTCAAAAGTCCAAAAGGACATTCGTGCTACAGATTAACATGGTCGACAGATGTTGATGCGATTCAGATCCGATAATAAGCGTTACACAGGCAATTCGTAGCGGTCTTTCGTTTCTGCGATGATGTCGAGCACCTCAGGTGCCCTAGGTTCGAAGTCACAAAGGAAAGGCTCAGGACGCCTGTAGTCAATACTTAAATCAGGAACGGCGTCTGTGGCAACGAGATTCAACACCTACACTCCAAGCCCTCTGTCTGTCACTACAGCGGGATCGGGGGTCTTTGAGTCCTTCGAGAGGCGAACGTTGTAAGCCCACAGTATGGTCGCGATTTGGATGAATAGGCTATTGTTGGCGACGTATCTGCCAGCGCATGCCCTTTAGAATGCCAAAGTAAAAGTAAGTGAGCAGTTAGTCATCCGTAAGACGAGAGCTAGATGAGTGTACAAACCTCTGCCCAAACCCGTAAGTAACATGTCCTTCTTCCTTGATTTCTCCAGAGCTATGCTTTAGGTTGCCATCCGCATCGAGGAATCGTTCGGGATTGAAACTCTCAACGTCAGGGCCATATATAGTCGAATCGAGGTTCAGACCCCTGGTCATAGAGTACAATCAGCAGTGCCATAACGTAGCAGATATAGACCTACCATATATTGGCCATGCATATCGTACCTTTGGGCAGAAAATATCCTTCGTACCAATCGTCTTGTACTAGTCGATGGGGAATTCCTAAACGTAGTCAACAGAAGAGTTATGTAAGTCGTCAGCCAATCACGACATCGCCTATGAAATCACCCACCGATAGGGCCTACAGGTCTCCATCTCAGCGTCTCCTTCACTATGGCCCTGATGTACGTTAGCGCGTCGAAATCCTTGAACGTCGGTGTCCTATCTCGCCCGACTACACGGTCGATCTCTTCCTGGGCCTTTCGCTGTACCTCGGGATACAGAGTCATCGCCAGGACGAACCACATCATCTGGCCGGATGTCTTATTGCGGATATCGCGGGCCTAGGATCAGTCATAGTGACTAGGAAGGAAGGAACGCACTCACGGTTTCCGCACTTCCTATACTATGATTACGGTGCGCTTCGGTCAGTCGCTCTGTTGACTGCTGAAAAGGGACGTCGTATATTCCTCACTAAAGCGTTGCGCACATCCAAGCTGCCTCTCGTACTCCAGAGAAGCTCTTCTTATCTTGTTCCTCCAAGAGCGTGGATGCGACGCACGGTGGCTGGGTGCCGTCTTCCTAATACATTCAGAAAATCAGTATCTGTGATCTGGGGCTTTGTAGCAACCGGATCCAATTTACCAGACGTTTGATCACGTCTGTGAAGAGACTTTCAAACCAAACAGAGTCGCGTTTGAACCAATCCTCTGCGTACTTCCTCCACGGCGACCTTGAGAGCGAAAGCGAGATCAGTGAGGGGCTACCCAGGCAAGAGATACGTACATCCATCGCGGCAAGTGCGACATCCAAGTAAAGTATTCAACGAGGTAGGTACCTGGCATGGCGGCCTTCAAAAATCTCTGCGTGAACTCGTCGACACGCACAATTCGTGCGTCATGAGAATCGGTGACGGTGGGGAGACCGTAGATTGTAGACAAGGCAAGCGATGCACCAGCACGGTCCAAGTGTTCTTCATAGAGAGCTGGCTGCTTGCGCAGTTGGTCGATCAACAACGTCGCCTCTCTTTCCTGAAACATGAAGTACTGTCGCGCGATCTGTGGGTTCAGCGCCCTGTCGAGAGGATTGGTTACGTTCCTACAAGCGAGATATGATGACTTACTCGTGGGATGAACGCCGCATGCGCTTCCAGATGTCGTTCTGCCGGCAGAAAGCGAACACAAGTCCACCTGTCAGTATTTCAAGGACAATCCAGCGTGGGCGATCCGAGTATATCGCTGCGCGTCGATCCAGGAGGTCTGCCGCCGTTTTGTGGTTTCCAAGTATGACTGTCGGCTGCCCAGCAACGTTCAAATACAAGATCGGACCTACAGTCATTCACGTTGTAAAGGTAAACATAGTTGAAGTGAGGATCACGAACCATACTGGTGGGTCCATTGCCTGAACGTCACCCACAGACTCTTGTTATCTAACTGATGGATGTTGCCGATGAGTGGAAGTCCCGGTGGTCCTGGAGGTAGTTTCTTGTTCGGCGAAGTAACATATACACGGGCGGCTACGAACAGAAAGACGAGTATCGCAAATGCGATCCACGACTCCATCGCTTGGTGTGAAGGGAAAGCTACCAACGCAGCAGCAGGCCCACCTAAGTCCTTTTATCCACGCCTGGCTGCCTGTGGTACACATCAAGCAATGACCCTAGAACATAAACGAGTTTAGTGAGGTACATTCGCGGCGGGTGCTTTAGTGATGGGAACGTTATCAACTCCATTATTCAGCGCTAACTACTTACTACCTTGCTCGGCTTGGGTGTCGGCCACCATTCTGTGGCATATAAGGGACCGAGCTTCAGCTGAGGATCATATTAAGCTCTATGGCCACCCAAATAGTTGTGCTTCGGGCATAAGATAAACTATATTGAACGAAATAAGATTAAACAGAGAAATTCCGGAAAAGGAAGGAAGAGAAGGCCCACCTGCATGAAGAATCCGTAGCGTACTGGGGCCACAGTATGGTGACAGAGACTCAAAAGCTCCCTTGCGGTCAAAAAGTGGTGTGTGAACCCTCTCAAAAATAAGATCAGACATTTGTATAAGCTTAGCTGACCTACACGATGTATAGGCACTACATCGCAAGATACAATCAGAACAGTCGAGCCCTTTCAACCCATGAACGGGAAAAAGGATATAAACTAATTTGCATGGATAGCGATTAACAAAAGTATGTAGTGACACCGAGAATTCTGATCAATTAGACAACAAATTGTTTGAAAGCTTCGTAGCATTGAAGAATGACCCGCCGGTTATCAAGAGGCTTCATGCCTTCACTAAACCTGCGATTGGGGCGGGGGAGGTCAGGAACATGCCCGGTAACGATTGTAGGAGAGAGGGGGTATTGTCCTTGTGCGACACACTGAGACAGTTGTTCGGTGACTGGAATCTTGAAGAAACTGGGAGCTGTCCCAACCATGATTATTCCCGGGATGATCTATACCAAAGAATGAGTTAACGATGCCCAGAATTGGGTAAACGTGCAGGCTTACCTTGCTGTCCAGTTTCTCAAGTCCCGCTGCCAGCCTCCGAACGTTGTTAGTTTGGAAGGCTGCAATAGCCTCTGCGATGAGTTGAGCGTGTGGGTCTGCGCCACTGTAGAACCTTTTATCCTCCTGGACGAGGAGGATAATATCGTTGGCTGATCGATCGATGATGCAGATGTCGGGTTTTGCATACTTTGTCTCCCCACAAACGAGGAGTTGCAATTCTTTGCGGGTGCGTAATGCTCGAGGGCGATGGATGTAGCCAAGGGAATGAAAGAGGAGTACAGCGAAATCGTCGACTGCGGACTCCTCAGGCTCGGAAGGGAGCATGGCAAGATCCAATTGGGTTAGGAGATTGTATACTCTTTCGTCAACTGCGTCGTCGGCGTCAAGGGCAGTGAGAATGTCCTGGCTGACGGCAGGAGGAGGCAAGGGGACCGTGCCGAAAAACGTCTGAGCGTCCTGGAAGGATATTTGTATGTTATAGGCATTTAATTCGTTCATCGTCCACTCATTCCCGGATTTCGCAGACCGAATAATGCTGGCCATCGTGGCTGAACGTTCTGAGCGTTGTGGTGGTTTGAAGACAAGCGATAACAAATGTATTATGACCCCATTTCGTTGACGTCTGTTTGGTCCTCTCACGTGTTCATCTCTTCTCTCCGAGCCCCTGTCTCACAACCTTTCTCTCCACGCATTTATTGTGTGCCCATGTCCTCGACATTTGCCCAACTTTGCTTTCCTGTCCCTGTCCCATAATGTCCGCGCTGACCATCTATGGCTTCTTTGCCCTCGCCAAGCGATGAGGTAAACCTGGCTGGCGTTTAGAACCACCTTCTCCTCTGCCGCGCCCTCTGCCAAGCGGCTCGGATCGTGTTCCCGAGCAAGTGAGAGCAGATAATGAGCACTGAAGCAGCTCCGACGTCTGGTGCATGGGGCGAGAACAATCGAGCGAGCAGGAGAATCCTGAGATCATGGTTCCTACCTCCTTAGCCAGGTGGTCACTCGCTGCTACCATCCGTTCGGCGAGCGAGAAAAAGGATTTATAGTGCAGGCATTCCTCCAAGCTGATTTGAATTGCACGGAGAGCGATCGATAACGACACCAATGTCTTAAAAGCTTCGTGGCGTTGAAGAATGACACGCCAGTTATCAAGGGGCTTCATGCCTTCACTGAACCTACGATTGGAGAGGGGGAGGTCAGGAACATGCCCAGTGATGACAATGTTGTTAGCGTTGAAGCATCAAGAAGCATCAAGAAGAAACCGTCGCTGCGTCGTAGGCCTTACAACTCGAGGCACAGACCATCATGCGGAATATGAGCGCATGCCATTTACAGAGCACATACAATCGGATGCATTCTCATTCGTGGCGAAAATGTACAAGCGAGGGTGACAACTCTTTGACACGGTACAGGTCTATATTCCTTCATGAGGTTATCCGCTGAGCGTATAATCGGCAACGACTTACAAGTAAACATAGTTGGTGTTTAGAATCCACGTCCTCGCCCCCTTCCTCTGCCGCGTCCTCGGCCCCTGTCCCCACCGGGTCCGCCTCTGCCCCCTCGCCCACCCCTTCCTCTGTCTCCTCCGGCGTCCTTCTTATTCCGCGCACCACCTTTGGGTTTGGGAGCATCGTCAACAAGGAGCGTGTCAAGCGGCAAAGCGTCAGGAAGAACAAAGTATCGGATCGTGTTCCCTCGAAGAGAAAGAGAATCCAGAGATGTCGCGTCGCGGTTTCGCATTGACAGCTTGACGGTTTTGAGATGGGTATTCATTTGCATATCGACCCCTGGCCATTGATCGTCAGAGGGGACACGAGCAAAAGGGAGGACGAACGGACCAGTTATTGTACCATGGACGACGCTGCCGTTTTTGAGTTCGATGGTCACAGTTTCATTGTTCAATTTCATGAGAAAGCTAGCGAAGCGCCACCCATCGGTCAGAAAAAGAGGCAAATTGGGAATCGAGGAAAGGGACGTACCGTACCAACTTCATCCTGGTGAATGAGAGATGCTCGTAACTCGAGGAGAGATGGATTTGGGCGCGATGGATGCGTTTTGGTGTTTGGTTGTGTTTGCCTCCACTACTACAGACTTACAGAGAAAGTTGCACATCTACGGTAGATACAGATAATAAGAGGATATGAATTTTACACTTCCTCCTCCTCTTCGTCGCCTGAAACCTCGGCATTCTCCTGCTCGGCCTTGCGCATGATTTGTTCCAGATCTTGTTCTTCCGTTTCCGAAACGGCTTTTGGCTATACAAATGGTGAGTAAGAAAGAGGTCAAGTAATTTACAGCGACAGCGTACCTTCATCTTAACGACTAGCGATCCTCCCTGCTCTTCGATCGTACTCTGGATGGCTTCGATCGCGCGTTCCAGGCGTTCCACAGCAGCGTACTACTCGCCAGATCAGCTACCACCCGCCTCAGCTACTTTAATCTCACCTTATCCGTAGCGTTCGTGCTCAGAACATACAGCGGTGGGGCCACTAGTTTGGCTTTGATTGGCACCTCGGTTGTGCTTCCCACCTTTTCGCCGTTCTTCAGTGCTTTCTTGATAGCATCGATGCCCGCTTCGGTGTAACAGGTGACCTCAATGTCGGATCGTAGTTTGATAGGTTGGGGGGTTAGACGACGCGCGATCGTTGAGGTGAGGATTGTGATGGTGGATGGCGGGATCACGATGCCAGGCGACGAATTGGGTGTGTTCGGTGAGGCGGGGATGGATGCGAGGGATGCGAGAACTGTTTGCTGCTCTGTTAACATTAGCTTGAATGCATCGTACGGATGTCCGTATTTCCGACCCAGAGGCCAGGCGATCTGTTCGTATAATCTCTCGAGCTTGTCTTCTTCATTCGGGCTACCCTTGTAGCCTCCGGTAGCGACACCCGCCGCGGCTTCTTCGTCACCCTCTTCGCCATCGCCAGAGGGTTTACCCTTGCGGGGTCTTTTGGTTTCTTTTTTGTCACCCTCGGTATCTACTTCAGGGTGCGCTTCAGCTGAATCGGTAGCGGGAGTCGTAGTGGCGGGGGCAGAGGAATCGTCTGTTACGGTGACTTTTGAAGCAACGTGCCGCATGATCGAGGCGACTGTCTTTGATTTCATGTACCGTTCTTCGCATTTTGTGATATCCTCTGGCGAAACGCGACGTTTTGATAGATCAATGTAACCTGAGAAAGCGAGTCAGACATAATTGTGGGATGATGAGACAGAAAGCGGCACCCTTTTCTTTATCCACCCTCAGGACGACAACGACCTCGTTTCTGCCGACACGGATGAGTTTCTGGATGGATCGGATACGCCTGCGCGAGAGCTCTGAGAGCAGGATCATGCCTTCGATGTTGTCGTATTCGAGCTGGTCGAGTCATCAGATATCGGTGGGCTACAGGCGGGGCATACTCACCAGCTTGACATACGCGCCCATCTCTGCGATCTGGCGCACCTGGACCATGACCAGCTCATCGACCTCGGGGTATTTCTGCTCGTAGTAGCGCATCGCGTCCGAGCTTGCTTTCGACTGCAATGGTGATGGACTCGGATGCACTTGTCGTCCAAACATCGCCAAGCAGGCGGCCCCTATTCCGAGCTTCACGTGGTTTGTGAGCACAAGGTACCGAAAACAGTTTTTTGTCTCCAGCGCAAACACGGACCACGGTAGTACGACAAGGCGCAATCCCACTTCGGTGCGGTGTCACGACAGCCTTCTTTGATCTCTTCCACATATCCTTTTCTCTCGTACGAGGCCTGAAGTGTCCCCGGTCAGGCCTCGCCACCACCCTCTTCCCATTTCTACGACACACGACTACCACTTGGCGTTCCAAGCACAGCTCACAATCGAATACCCGACCACAAGAAACAAGAAAAAACTCAGGTTGAGATCACCCTCTTCGAAGAGAGTCACTCAATGCTCAGCTTCCCACTAGATGCCAGCTGCGGTCGACCGAGACGAGGACAAGGAGAGAGACAGGGAGGCCAGAGATCACGACAGATCGAAAGGGAAAGCCCCCCCGTCCAAAGGTATGCTCGCTTCCATTGGCCTGTTTGCTCGTTATTCGAGGCCTGAGGGCACAGTAATGCATCCGTTGCAGCAACACAACATCTCGGGGCTACGCATTGCTGACTACTCTGCTTTTTCGCTTTGCTCTAGGCAAGGACGTCTCCCATGTTCCCTGCAAGTTCTTCAAGGTGGGCTCCTGCACTGCGGGCTCTTCATGCCCTTTCTCTCATACCGCAACGGACCCCGGACAGAAGGATGTCTGTGCGTGGTACGTAAAGGGGAACTGCAAGTTCTCTCACAAATGCGCGCTGGCCCACATTCTGCCTGGCCAGCCCATGAGCATGGATAGGAAGAACAAGAAGGCTGCCCAGATGGCTAATTCAGGGAGCGGAGGCAGAGGAGACGGACCTGGTAGCAAAGACGGCAGGGATGCAAGAAGTGACGGCCCCGCGAAAGGGAGAAGGAGGGATATGGGCGGAAAGCCTCAACTCCTAACTGGCACGACCGCGCCGACTCGACCAGGACGCTCCCTCATGGCGCTCAAGGCAACCATCTCCCCGAGTGCCCCAGCGCCTCCTTTGAAGGACACGGATTTCATGGGTGTCCTCGATGAGGAAGTTAAACTAGCTTCTGCACCTGCCCGAGGCTCGCCAACCACGCCGTCAGGTCCAAAGGACGCTGAATCGGGTCCCTCCAAGGCTACTACCACCGAAGATAAACCGACCGCCTCTGTTGCGAAGCGACCGGAGAACGACGGATCACCATCTCCTGCTCCGTTACCCGTCAACAGCCCTCGTCGCACCGCAGCCAACAGCTCGAACGGCTCTCCTAATGTCGATTTTGGCCCAATTGGCTCCCCTCCCAGAACCGGCCCTGCAACTGCTGGATTATCAACGTCGAGGGTTAACGGCTTCTCCCCCGGAACTTCCCCTAATAATAATAATAATACCAAGTTCCTTTCCACATCGCCGTTCTCTGCGCCCGGCTCCCAGAGCGTTTTTGCGGCGAATAATGCTAGCATGAGGGGTGGGATCGCTGCGAGTCTGGGCTCCGGGCTGGCAATGTCAACGAGGTGGGACACCTATAGCAGTAACGAGGGATACGACACTGGGATTGTACGGAGCGTAAGCGGTACGAGAGCCGGTGAATATGACATCAACATCGAGTACGAACGCGTCTCCGCCACGGCCGCAAACTTAACAAATGACACTGCTGTCGACGATGGCGATTTGGAGGACTTCATTCCGAGCTCGCTGACGGAACTTCTGACTCCAGAAGAGAGGATGGAGCGCAGTCGTCGGATGAGTAGAGGCGGTCATGGCCAGAGTCCCACCCTCTCCCCAGGCATCCTTGGCAACTCGGCTTCAGGCGCCGTCAACGGTGGCCAAGGTCATAGACATTCGCGTTCGGTTCCTTCTACATCTTTATTGGGTGAAATGGCTAATATCTGGTCCGATTCTAATGGTGGCGGGGCATTGGGTGGTATTGGAGGCATCCCTGGTTCACCAGGGCGCTTGGGAGAACTTGGCAATGGGACACCGAATTCGTTCAACAAGAGCCCCTTGCAGTCCACTTTCGGTGGCAGGGCTGATGAATTGGGCGTTGGTATGGGATCCCCGAGTCCTTCAATGTTAACACTGTCCCCGACGAATGCAAGTGCGGCGTTCCTTCCTGGAATCCACTCAAGTTATCTGAAGGCGAAGCAACAGCAACAGCTGCAGAACATGTCGGGCTCCGGAAATCCTCCTTTGGGCCCAGGCATCGGAGGCACTGGGGGTTTGGGGGTGGGTTTGGGGCCGGCGTTGGGGCGCGGTGTTGGTGTTGGGATGAGGGGCGCGAGCAATCCTCTATACGGGTCGAACGGTCTTGGTACGGGCGGAGGGGGCGCTATCAGCAAGAGCATCGGCAATTATCTGCAGGCGGGCCCGGTCGCAGGACTTTCGAGCTCTCCTTCGTCTGCTCAAGTCCACACATTTGCTAGGGCTACGCCGTACGACCCCAGTTCCGCGGCCCCCGGGATTCGTCCTATACCCACTTACGACACAGCCGGGGCATACGCTGGTGGCGATGGTTATAACGGTGCTGGCGGGTACGGAAGGCTGGGCGGGGAAAATGGAGACGGCGGCCCAATGCTGTCGCCTAACACCAGGGCTTTGCAACAGCACGCACCAGGCCAGAGTCTTCCGCAAGGATTGGCTGCGGGATACTCAAGAATCCATGCTTTACCACCTTTGGCTTCGCCAGGTTCGTCGGCGATGGGTGCGAGCATCAGCCCAGGGCCGGGAACATTGGGTGGCATGACGGAGTGGGCAACGTTGGATCATAGTCCTGGCTATGCCGTCGCAAACAGCGGTCAGACCACAGGTAATCTAAGCTCTTACTCAGCTGTCGCAGCGCCTAGGACGGTGATGAATAGCTACACCAATCCCCCAGGTACGCCTCCTGGGTTGGGTCGGAACGTCAGCGGTGGCGCGAAAGGAAGTACGTTGAGCCCATTGAGAGGTGTGCTAAACAATGGCGAGGATGATCTGTTCGATATGGAAAATTAAAAGCCGATAGGCCTCGATATTTTATTTATTTTCACTCACTCATTTTGCAGACATTCCAAGTTCGCACTGTTGTTTTTCATGCTAGTTCAGTTCATGCTTAACATTTGCCATTTGCCAAACATATCCAGATGTGCCGTGGTATCATAATGTATCGATATGTAGGATATACAAGTATTTGCTTCACTTTCTGTATATCATTTCCGGGGTGAGGTTGTTGTAGCCTAAAGTGGGATGCGCGAGATGGTACAATATTTACGGCAGGGTTCGGGGAGCAGGTCCTCGAGGCCGGGAGACATGGAAGAAATAAATCATAGGCTAATACAATGGGAATTATGATGTGTGTCTAGAGGACTCGCTGACGAGCAAGCAGATCGGAAGGATTGGTCAGTCCCCATGCCTTCCAAGCATGCACCTCAGCACGGGGAAATTGTTGTTACACACCGATTAACGGTACTGGCACCTTGGTATATAGTAGACCTTCTGGCGGGCGATATTGAACCTCTCCTACTCGTCCCCCATCATGAGGCGGCCTCCATTTCGTCCTTGTAGTAGATATGAAGCCACTCCTCGGCCTTCTCGTTGTCCTTCTTCGCCTGGCTGACCATTTGCGTGATTTTCTGCAGGGCTTCAGCCTGGACAAGCTTGCCTTCTCCCAACGCGTCGTCCCCGCAGTGCTGTATCTTCTCGCAGGATGCCTGCACCTTCTTGATTCCGATGGCGGCGGAGGAGCCTTTCAAATAATGGCCCAGTCGCGATAGCTCATGCAAATCCTTTGCCAATCTGCGACGCTGGGTTAACACTGGCTCTGATCGCAGTGATGATCACTGTGATACATACAGTGCGCGATCCATATTCGTGAACGTCTCCTTCGCCTGGACCAGATATGCAGCAGTCATTTCAAACGAAAACTCTTTCGTGTCCCCATCGTCGAGATCGAGGATTTGATTGAATATCTCCTTATCGATGATGTCCTGGCATCATAGGCAATTAGCTCAACGCTCCTGACGTGTTTAGACTCATCAATCTCCAAGATGGCCAGTCGCGAGGAAGGTGATGGGCGTAGAGAATGAACACGACATACTGATGGAATCTTGTCGTCGCCGTCGTCTGTCTCATCGTCAGCGAGATCATCCTCATCTACCGGAGACTCTGACTCCTTCGCTGGGGCAGGTGAAGGCGGATCGACGATATCTACGGGCAATGGTTTCACTTCGGATGGAGGAAAGCTTTTCACAGGAGGAGAGGAATTCCGCCGTTTCTGCGTAGATTCCATCCCAACACGAGTTCAATTGAAGAGGACGTGAGCGGTGCAAGTGTTAGAATTGATAAAGCGATATCCTGGAACGAGACGAGTAACCGAGTTCCCACGCTGCTCTCAATGGCCCCCTCTACGAAACTCGGGAATGAGTAGACGATGAACAACTTGGATGCGTATATCATACAAATAAGTTTCGAGGGAATTGCCACATTCTTCGGCGCGACAGCCCTGACCCCGACGACGCCCTTGACGACCGCGTCTACAATCTCCTCATCCAAACTCCCTCCAGAACATGACGAGTCCACTGGCAGCGGCTCTCCTTCACGCCCTTGGTTACATCCATCGCCCTCGAGCAGTGCGCACGCGCAAGCAGTTCCTCATCTGTGGCGAGACCAAGCAGCAAACTCCAGCGTCCGCATTCTCGATCGCAACATAAAAGATAATATGGATCCGCGGGACGCGCCGGCGGTAGCTCGCTTCGGAGTGTTAGGACAAACATTCAGTGTATATTCATATATTCACAAGGCAATCGGAGTATTATTTCCAGGATATCTACGAGCCTTGTCATCTAACCTGTATTGTAAGTGTTTACCACCTAGTTTAGCGACTCGTGAGTGTTCTTTTACACATGACAAGGCAACAAATGTAAGGCCGCATGAGAACTCCTTCTTCCCAAGGCCAAGCTTGATCCGCGGTAGGGTAAGACCTTGAGACTTGTGAACAGTAACAGCCCAAGCCAGTCAAAGTGGTAGTTGAGTACGCGAGCATTTCTTGCCTTGAAGTTCAAAGGTTGTCTTCAATGGGGTTATGGGCACAATTGGTACTCCATCGGGGAAACCAGGGCGCGGTCCAGTATACCAGAGAGTCGGTCCAGTGTATCCAGGGCAGGGGGCCAGGGCAGGGGCAGATCAGAGTGAGAGGCACCAGGAGCCCAGACAATGTCTTCAAGTATTCCAGTGGTAGTGTTGACAAGCCCTGAGATTGTTAGGGGTTCTGGAATGGAATGGAATGAAATGTAAGGATCCGTTTTAATTTACAGAACCGCACAGGCACTTCCTAAAGAGGGTGGCTACTTCAGGTAGCCGGTTGCTGATTCGTCAGATTGTCAATCTGACTTAAGCTTTGCCCAACAGGTCTGTATTCTACGTGGACTGTCCATGGTACGTCATGTGTGGGAGTACCAGTGCCACAGTGTGTGAGAATATACGGCAGTGGCGTTGTGACATGCTCCTGTACATAGGCAATTGTTCACAGTAAATCTGACCTGTGGCCTTTCACAGCTTCCTTCCGCACATTCAAGTATACATGTGTAAGGGGACACCTCTATTTTCTCCTATTCCCCTGTCCCTCTCCCTTCCTCCTTGATCCTTTCTCCTTTCCTTCATCCCACGGACTCTTACCTACATCCCTTTCATTCCCCTTTGCTCCCTTGCCTTTCCACTTCCTTTCTGCCCACTCCCTTTGCATCTGAGTCACGTCCGGTGACTCCAAAGTCTTCCCGCACTTCGGACACTTCGGACTCGCTCGGACTCGCTTCGGAGACTTCGGACTTGCTAGGACACTTTGGACTCGCTCAGACTCGTCTATACTCTTCGGGGCTCATCCTGGTTACCTCTATCCTCTTTCCCCACTTCATTACTCTTCACCCTTACTTCCCCAGGTCACTGGCACAACTCCTGTGCATTTACCCTCCACTTCATTATCACATGTTTCCTTGTACCTTGTGATACTCACTCGGACTTGTGGCTGGTGTACTGTACAGTTATCCTGCATTCCTCTCATGCTACTACAGTATATACTTCGCTTCCTAGCATGGAGAATCCTTATCCTGTTCTCTTTGGATTCTCCCTCTGCTAGGTGAGCAGCTCTCTCATGTATTGTAGTTAGTCTTATTCATATCTTTTGATTCTCCCTCTGCTAGGCCTGCACTGTCAGCCATCTTGAGGTTGCCCTTACAACATGTTGCCCTCACTGCCGCCTTTTTCCGTCCTTGCAGCATACACAGTGCCTTTCAATGTGTATAAAATGTCATCTGCCCTCTGCCGTTCTTCCCCCACCCTTGTTGACTCTTCCGCTCCAGATCCTTGCAAACTGTTCTTTCTCCAATGTACAACAGCCAGCCCAACCTTCTTGATCACCAGCAGCTTCGCAATGTTCAGTTCACGACAACCAACATCTTGATCAAGGCGTTTGCTGCAGGAAACCTCTCGTGCATTGTTGCGCCCTCCACCTTACTCCCCCCTCACCTTTTTTTTGCAGTATGTTGAACAACAAAACCTTGTGATGTCGTGCGAGATCATCTTGGTTGGGTTTCCAACTCCCTCGACTCGGCACAAGCTTGTGTTGCTGTTGCACAGACTCGCTGCCTTGTTCTGGTGACTGCCTGTCCTGTGTCCACTAAATCGCATCCGAATTTGATTAGCTCCGGAGCAGCTTGGCAACATGCCAGACATCATTCTAATGATGGCTCCATGTTTCATTTTTGCTGCTTTTGCTTCCCTGCGGAGACCGAGGCGTTCCGGTGCCTGTTCCGGCTGTCACAATAGAGGTCAATAGACCTACTAATGGGTGGGGCGCTGAACGTGGGAACGTTGCATTGACCGTGGGAGTCGTGCACTTGTAATGTATGTACAGATTGCTAAACAGTGCTTGCGCACTTTTAGCAATACTGTCAACACCAGTCATCCCATGATGACCTGGGTCGTCCCAATGGGTGTTGGCAGTGTCTATGGGTGGTCCCCAATGCGTGGGAACCGGGCGCTTGGTATAGCGCAAGTTTGTTATACATTTGTACAACAAGTGTGCACATCACTTCAACACTTTATTATCCAAATCAAGGAGTCCGTCCATCTACCCTTTGCGAGCCAATACCACGTACATTCAGTCCATTCCCACGGGATAAATCCAATTCCCCCCACTGTGCTGCCGAATGCAGTAGTCGTTCTTGGTGGACTGATAAAGAACGCAAAACAGTGCTAGGGTTCAAACTGCCCTGTATGATTGTAGAACTTCACAGACACTTTATCGCTTGGTTGCGCCCTTTCCTCCCGCTTGCAGACGACCATCTTCCTTGGAACTCACTCCCATATCTCTGTGCTACAAATGCGATACAAATTGCTGGCATACCAGACTCATGCCCCTTCCCAGGCTATGATAGCAACTCACGAGGTGTATCGGGACTCCCAGCCAGGTTCGTCAAGCTGTATCTAAAATATTTGCCTAGGACACAAACACAGGGAATAGTCTGCAGAAGGTTGGAAGGAGAAGAACATCAACATGAGTGTTGGAATGATGTAATCCAGCACATGATCACCATTTGAATGGACTGGAAAGGGGCATTGCCCGGCCAGTAATGAATAAATGGTTGGGTGGTCATGTGATGGGAATACATAATTGTTGGTTGTGCAGCCATTGAACAAGGCCAGATAGCTCAGATGGTTAGAGCGTCTGGAAAGCATCCAGGAGGTCCTTGGTTCAAACCCTAGTCTGGCCATCTTTTCTTGCCCCTGATTTTAACAGTGAGTGGGGTTGATCAATATGCACTACTGCTAGCTGATGTTTCCATAGTTGCAAGAGTCGGTAAAGTGCCTATCATGACCTGTGGTGCCCCTCGCCATCCTTCAGGCCATACACATGCAAAGTGTTTGTTTGTGAAGGACGGCGCGATGTGGATAGATTGAGGCGGCGAGCCACGCCTGCAGCCTTCTGACTGTAAGGGCAACCTCAAGATGGCCGCACAGTGCAAGCCTAGCAGAGGGAGAATCCAAAGAAATGAATAAGACTAACTACAATACATGAGAGAGCTGCTCACCTAGCAGAGGGAGAATCCAAAGAGAACAGGATGGGGATTCTCCATGCTAGGAAGCGAAGTATATACTGTAGTAGCGTGGGAGGAATGAAGGGTAACTGTACAGTACACCAGCCACAGGTACGAACGAATATCACAAGGTACGAGGGGGCATGTGATAATGAAGTGGAAGGGGAATGTACAGGAGCCGTGCCAGCGACCTGGGGGAGTGGGGACAAGGAATAACGAAGTGGGAAAGGAAGATGGAGGTAGCCCGGACGAGCCCCGAAGTGTATTTACGAGTCCGAGCGTATCCGAAGCGTCCGAGCGAGTCCGAGGCGAGTCCGAAGCGCGGGAAGACTTCGGAGTCACCGGACGGGGCTCGGATGCGAAGGGAGTGAACGGAAGGGAAGCGGGAAGGTAAGGGGGCGAAGGGAAAGGAAAGGGAATGAAAGGAAAGGGAAAGGAACAAGGAGGAAGGGGACGTGACAGGGGGAAAAGGAGAAAATAGGAGTGTCCCCTTACATCACCCCCCCTTCAAGGTTGCGGCGACCCGACGCGAAGATTCCTGCCTGCCGCGCCATGAATTCACCAACCCGGAGACCCCGGACTGCTGCGAGAAGATGTCGAAATATGACTGCGCGGAGCCCGGAGCCTTCCGACTACGCCAACGCTCCCAGGACTGGTCCAGTGCTGCAGGAGTCATCCGGAGAGGTAGAGCAGTCGTCGGATTCATCGGATTCGTCCGGAGTACGCGTACCACATCCGGATGACGATCATGGAAGTCCTTGACCTTCCGGGCAGCATGCTGGAGGTTGCTCGCGGGCTCCCAGGAGTCGTGCTCGATACCATAGCCTCGCCAGCGCACCAGGTACTTCAGGACCCGACCGAACCGTCTGCTATTCCGGACCTCTTCTACCTCATGCTCCTCTTCTCCGTCAACGAGCTGCGGAGGTGGCGGAGCGACAGGGCGTCTACCCGGAATGGGGTCCGGAACGAAGGGAGAGAGTTTGACCACCGGGAAGACGGGATGGAGACGGGATAAGCCTGGGGGGAGCTGGAGTCGGTACGCTGCCTTGCCAACCTTCCGGACGACCTTGTAAGGACCAAGTCGTGCGTGTCCGAGTTTCCGAGAGGGTCGGGCAAGGTTGATGTCCGACGAGTCCAGCCAGACCTTGTCACCCGGTTGGTACTCCGGAGCAGGAGTCCGACGCTGATCGTAGTAGCG